ATCAACCGAAAGAGCGACAAGCAGAGTCCTCCGTTGATTTCAAAGGACGTTTGGTATATGAGTTGCGCCCAGCATCTGCGGGTGGTCAAGGGAAGCGACCTGCACTCATTTTTTCCATCCCAGAGGCTCTCCTTCCACCACAAGTCTGGTGCGCATCCAAGGTACGCGGAAACACATTCATCGACATCGAAAAGTTTCAGTCACGTCCTCCGTTGGCCATGCGGGAGCCAAGGCCGGTCCGTCCCCTCAGAACACCATCGGCAACTCCAACCAACTCCCCAGCTCATGCAGCAACGCCGATTTGTCTCGTCTTGAGGGGCAATACAGTACGCAAGCTCCCTGCGGGCATGCCGTTAACTCCATCGCCATCCGATGCGTCGACACCGAAAACACCCCCTACCCAACAATCCCCGTTGGACATCCCAAACCATACGGCCTACTCCAGCCCAACCGTATCCCTACCCGCCCTTGGGGATCTTGGTCCCTGGACTTTATCAACGGTCTGCCTCCCGTGGACGGGTACGACTCCATCCTGAACGTCAACTGTCGCCTCACCAAGATGGCCCACTTCATCGCCTGCAGCGAGTCAGAATCCGCCGAATCCACCGCCGACCTAGTCTTCCACAACATCATCCGTCTCCACGGCCTCCCCGACGACGTCATCTCTGACCGAGGACCCCAGTTTAAGTCCCGGTTCTGGCGTCGACTTCTCGAACTCCTTGGGGCAAAAGCCAACCTCTCCTCGGCCTTCCACCCCCACAGCGATGGCCAGACGGAATGCACCAACCAGATCCTGGAGCAGTATCTCCGATGCTTTTGCAACCACCAACAGGACAACTGGAAACAGCTTCTGTCGTCCGCCGAGTTTGCCTACAACAACACCCATCAGTCCGCCTCCCAGACCACCCCCTTCTACGCCAACAAGGGTCTCCACCCCCGCTTCAGTTTCGCGGCCTCTGCTACCTCCGAATCCGTCAACCCCGCCGCTGAAGCCCACGCTAAACAAATCAGGGAAGTCCATGAACAGCTCGCCCTCGAGCTCAAGGAAGCCCAAGATCAAATGAAGCACTACGCCGACGCCAAACGAATTCCTGGACCGGACTTCGAGCCTGGCGACCACGTCTGGCTCCTCCGCAAAAACCTCCAGACAACCCGGCCCTCTCAGAAACTCGACCATCGCAAGATTGGGCCATTCCCCATCGTTGAAAAAATCAATCCCGTCGCCTACCGGCTCAAGCTCCCGCCTACGAACAAAATCCACGATGTCTTCCATGTCTCGCTCCTCGAACCCCGCTTCACCATCCCCGAACGACACGAACCCGAACCCGCGCCCCCAGAGACCGTTGAGGGTCAAGAAGAGTGGATTGTCAAAGCCATCCTTGACTCCCGCATCCATCGTCGTCGCCTTCAGTACTTGGTCAAATGGCAGGGCTGGCCTGACTCTGAGAACACCTGGGAGCCCGTGGAACACCTCACCCATACCGATGCACTCCTCCAGGACTTCCACAGCGCGTACCCCAACAAGCCTTCCTCTGTCCCTGTAGCGCCTCCTCTGCGGCCACACCAAACTCGGCACCGCCGCCGCCGCCGCTAAAGAGAGGGGTGATGTTATGGACGACACGCCCATACCATAAGCTTACCTACTGACAGCCGCCAATGTCAACCGCCAAATGTCAAACGCCAATGTCAATGTCAATGTCAGTGTCAATGTCAGTGTCAATGTCAATGTCAATGCCACTCTCCCTCTCTCCCCTCATTTCGCCAATCCTCCCGCAATATCGCCACTCCTCCTCTCTCCTCTCATTTCGCCAATCCCCCCTTGGCTTCTCCACACCCCCCACTACTTCCCCATAGCCAGCAGCTGTAGCAATGCTCTCTACGCTCGCCACGCACGCTCTAGGAGCATAGCTGGCGCCCCCCCAGTCCCCTCTTGTTGTTGTTGTTCTCTGATCTGCTGGGTTGCCTATCTATAAATAGCCGGCCTCTCTTCGTCCATTCCCTTCCTCCCCAGCAGATCAACACCAGTTCTTCTCATCTCCTGTTCTAGTCCTTGTTTCTTGTTTCGCCAATACAATCTCTTGTCGCCTATCACTCTCGCCCTGTCTTCTCTACTTCGCTTCCGCCTCCGTCGTCGAGATCATAAGAACAATACACGCTCCCCGGTGAGGCAGATCTTCTGGAACGCTATGCTTTGGTTATTCGACGAGGCCATCCCGCTAGCTCTCGATCCATCCACCCTCTTGGCTGGTGTCTCCACGGATCCGTATAAGGATGTTTTGAGACGCCTTCTGACTATGTTTGTACGCTTTCAAAAGCGTAACTACATCACCTTGACGTACTTTTTGCTTGGCTCATTGGGTATGTTGGTAATATTCCATTTCAATGCTTCAACTTGGCTAATGTATGCCTTCATGTCCAGAGTCTGGAAGGCTGCCCCCCAAGATTATTCCGCACCTATCCAGCGAGGATATGGAGGTCTTCAACTCCGTACTCCGTAATGCAACACGACATCAGGATACTCACGACCAAGTCGCCCGGAAAGCTCTCTACCTCACGGCGACAAACGTCTCCGTCACTCACAGCCTTGCATCATTCACGAATGTACAGCAACTCGAGAGCGCGCTCGAGTTCGAACAACTCGGTCTCACAACTTACCGTCGACGTTCGGGCTCGGACAAGCGCCGTTCTGATTTTGAGCACACAGATTCTGACGCTGTGCAACAAAAGAGGCAATTCTTGACATCTTTGATGGCTTGAAGGGGAAGTTTGAGATTGCGTGCGGGCAGGGATCAAAAGACGTGGTGCTGGATGGGGATCAACCGAAAGAGCGACAAGCAGAGTCCTCCGTTGATTTCAAAGGACGTTTGGTATATGAGTTGCGCCCAGCATCTGCGGGTGGTCAAGGGAAGCGACCTGCACTCATTTTTTCCATCCCAGAGGCTCTCCTTCCACCACAAGTCTGGTGCGCATCCAAGGTACGCGGAAACACATTCATCGACATCGAAAAGTTTCAGTCACGTCCTCCGTTGGCCATGCGGGAGCCAAGGCCGGTCCGTCCCCTCAGAACACCATCGGCAACTCCAACCAACTCCCCAGCTCATGCAGCAACGCCGATTTGTCTCGTCTTGAGGGGCAATACAGTACGCAAGCTCCCTGCGGGCATGCCGTTAACTCCATCGCCATCCGATGCGTCGACACCGAAAACACCCCCTACCCAACAATCCCCGTTGGACATCCCAAACCATACGGCCTACTCCAGCCCAACCGTATCCCTACCCGCCCTTGGGGATCTTGGTCCCTGGACTTTATCAACGGTCTGCCTCCCGTGGACGGGTACGACTCCATCCTGAACGTCAACTGTCGCCTCACCAAGATGGCCCACTTCATCGCCTGCAGCGAGTCAGAATCCGCCGAATCCACCGCCGACCTAGTCTTCCACAACATCATCCGTCTCCACGGCCTCCCCGACGACGTCATCTCTGACCGAGGACCCCAGTTTAAGTCCCGGTTCTGGCGTCGACTTCTCGAACTCCTTGGGGCAAAAGCCAACCTCTCCTCGGCCTTCCACCCCCACAGCGATGGCCAGACGGAATGCACCAACCAGATCCTGGAGCAGTATCTCCGATGCTTTTGCAACCACCAACAGGACAACTGGAAACAGCTTCTGTCGTCCGCCGAGTTTGCCTACAACAACACCCATCAGTCCGCCTCCCAGACCACCCCCTTCTACGCCAACAAGGGTCTCCACCCCCGCTTCAGTTTCGCGGCCTCTGCTACCTCCGAATCCGTCAACCCCGCCGCTGAAGCCCACGCTAAACAAATCAGGGAAGTCCATGAACAGCTCGCCCTCGAGCTCAAGGAAGCCCAAGATCAAATGAAGCACTACGCCGACGCCAAACGAATTCCTGGACCGGACTTCGAGCCTGGCGACCACGTCTGGCTCCTCCGCAAAAACCTCCAGACAACCCGGCCCTCTCAGAAACTCGACCATCGCAAGATTGGGCCATTCCCCATCGTTGAAAAAATCAATCCCGTCGCCTACCGGCTCAAGCTCCCGCCTACGAACAAAATCCACGATGTCTTCCATGTCTCGCTCCTCGAACCCCGCTTCACCATCCCCGAACGACACGAACCCGAACCCGCGCCCCCAGAGACCGTTGAGGGTCAAGAAGAGTGGATTGTCAAAGCCATCCTTGACTCCCGCATCCATCGTCGTCGCCTTCAGTACTTGGTCAAATGGCAGGGCTGGCCTGACTCTGAGAACACCTGGGAGCCCGTGGAACACCTCACCCATACCGATGCACTCCTCCAGGACTTCCACAGCGCGTACCCCAACAAGCCTTCCTCTGTCCCTGTAGCGCCTCCTCTGCGGCCACACCAAACTCGGCACCGCCGCCGCCGCCGCTAAAGAGAGGGGTGATGTTATGGACGACACGCCCATACCATAAGCTTACCTACTGACAGCCGCCAATGTCAACCGCCAAATGTCAAACGCCAATGTCAATGTCAATGTCAGTGTCAATGTCAGTGTCAATGTCAATGTCAATGCCACTCTCCCTCTCTCCCCTCATTTCGCCAATCCTCCCGCAATATCGCCACTCCTCCTCTCTCCTCTCATTTCGCCAATCCCCCCTCGGCTTCTCCACACCCCCCACTACTTCCCCATAGCCAGCAGCTGTAGCAATGCTCTCTACGCTCGCCACGCACGCTCTAGGAGCATAGCTGGCGCCCCCCCAGTCCCCTCTTGTTGTTGTTGTTCTCTGATCTGCTGGGTTGCCTATCTATAAATAGCCGGCCTCTCTTCGTCCATTCCCTTCCTCCCCAGCAGATCAACACCAGTTCTTCTCATCTCCTGTTCTAGTCCTTGTTTCTTGTTTCGCCAATACAATCTCTTGTCGCCTATCACTCTCGCCCTGTCTTCTCTACTTCGCTTCCGCCTCCGTCGTCGAGATCATAACAACAATACACGCTCCCCGGTGAGGCAGATCTTCTGGAACGCTATGCTTTGGTTATTCGACGAGGCCATCCCGCTAGCTCTCGATCCATCCACCCTCTTGGCTGGTGTCTCCACGGATCCGTATAAGGATGTTTTGAGACGCCTTCTGACTATGTTTGTACGCTTTCAAAAGCGTAACTACATCACCTTGACGTACTTTTTGCTTGGCTCATTGGGTATGTTGGTAATATTCCATTTCAATGCTTCAACTTGGCTAATGTATGCCTTCATGTCCAGAGTCTGGAAGGCTGCCCCCCAAGATTATTCCGCACCTATCCAGCGAGGATATGGAGGTCTTCAACTCCGTACTCCGTAATGCAACACGACATCAGGATACTCACGACCAAGTCGCCCGGAAAGCTCTCTACCTCACGGCGACAAACGTCTCCGTCACTCACAGCCTTGCATCATTCACGAATGTACAGCAACTCGAGAGCGCGCTCGAGTTCGAACAACTCGGTCTCACAACTTACCGTCGACGTTCGGGCTCGGACAAGCGCCGTTCTGATTTTGAGCACACAGATTCTGACGCTGTGCAACAAAAGAGGCAATTCTTGACATCTTTGATGGCTTGAAGAGGAAGTTTGAGATTGCGTGCGGGCAGGGATCAAAAGACGTGGTGCTGGATGGGGATCAACCGAAAGAGCGACAAGCAGAGTCCTCCGTTGATTTCAAAGGACGTTTGGTATATGAGTTGCGCCCAGCATCTGCGGGTGGTCAAGGGAAGCGACCTGCACTCATTGTTTCCATCCCAGAGGCTCTCCTTCCACCACAAGTCTGGTGCGCATCCAAGGTACGCGGAAACACATTCATCGACATCGAAAAGTTTCAGTCACGTCCTCCGTTGGCCATGCGGGAGCCAAGGCCGGTCCGTCCCCTCAGAACACCATCGGCAACTCCAACCAACTCCCCAGCTCATGCAGCAACGCCGATTCGTCTCGTCTTGAGGGGCAATACAGTACGCACGCTCCCTGCGGGCATGCCGTTAACTCCATCGCCATCCGATGCGTCGACACCGAAAACACCCCCTACCCAACAATCCCCGTTGGACATCCATCCTGCCAACAGGCCACGAGGCAGCCGCCCGCCGCTTTCTGAGGATAGCAAACTTCCCACGCTGCAGTTCGTGGGTGCAAAGACTTCCGAAAACAACGCAGGGGAATGCTCGAACTGTGTCGCCCTTCTGGAACACATTGGAGTACAATCTCTCCAATGGCTGCAAGGAAATTTAGGGGGCAAGGGCCGCAGGGTGGCAGAGCAACATGTAGCAAAAGACAAGGAAAATGTCCCCCCCCCCTTTAGATAGGTCAGCAGCCCCTTAACATAGTCAAAAACGCTTTTTTCACGTCTTCGTCAATCGTGTTTTTATTAGAAGAAGTTTACGTACCTTTCCCATGTACCGCTGCGACGGTTACCCCTTTTGTATTGCACCCAACTTCACAAGTTTCATTACAATCATATGCATATTAACGGCGGCCCAACCATGCTACACAAGTTTTGAGTTCAACGATTTTGCCCAAAAAATCAGATCGTCTATGGAGAAGTCACAAATGCACATATGAAAGGTGCCTCAAATTTCGCTGGGAGTCAGAATCATAAGCCAAAAAGGGCTCCCAAGCATTTGATTGCAAGTTAATATGTACGTTATGAAATGGCTAGCTGGCGGGGTTTGACGGCAAAAGGGAAACCCAGAGGGAGCATCGACTGACAGCACTCGCGACGCGCTCTGGGTGGCTATGCTGGGTTGCCCTGAGCAGATCTTAGAACAAAACAGGCTAAGCGCACACCCTGTTCACAACATTGCACTCTCATTTTGCATCAACAATTGACCTAATTCATCGCTCTCGACACAGGTACGTCAAAATCTGGTCTCCAGGGTGATTTCTGTCGTAAGAACGGAAAGGGGATTCACCGGGAGCCGCTCTCGCGAGCGGCAACCGGTTTGGGTTTTCACCCAGCGCATCTAGCCGCAGAAAACCAGGAGACCTTGAATTCTGCTTCCGATGCCTCTAAGTCCTCCCCGCCGGCCCCATCGGTTTTATCCGTTATCTCTACCACAATCTACCCTAGCATCGTCGATCCTGGTTTTTAGCCAGTGTATGCGGACCTGATGGTGTGGCATCAACTGAATTTATGAAGTCTTATACCAAGAAAATGTGACGGGGCAGAGACATTGAATGGGAAACCGTCCAGTCTTTCCACCAACTACGGCTGGAGACTGGCTGTCGCCGCTACGGTAGATTTAGGGCCGATCGCCTTTGCACCGGCCTTCAAGGCGGTCATCCAAGCATCTTTGTGCTCTTTGTCTCCAAATCTGAGTTTGATATGCTCACCATCTTGCGTGGCAAGAGAGATGGTGGTATCGTTGACTGTTTTCACACTGTTTTGCTGATACACATAGTAATTTGACGTGCTTTGTCGATACTAAAGAGGGGAGGAGAGGGTTAGTAGGGAGCGCGTTCGCGATGATGTGCAGAATCCCATAGATGTCATACCTTCCGTAAAATGATAGCCCCTTCGTTAGCAAGATAAAACAACGAATGTGCTGAAAATGCGCCAAGAATCCCGGTGCCAATTTGAGCTTGAACCAGCGTGACCTGCACGGAAATAACCTATCAACGCCCACTTGTCAACGAAAGCAAAGCTGCATGAAGTCTTACCGATAAACACATGCATTTCTCCATTTGCTGCTCGTGCGAAATGCTTTCAACGCCAAAGGAGTTTGTTTGGTTGCTGTCCTCCAAATCGTTGGCTGAAGGTTTATGGGATGGGCTCCTATTCCTGGATTGTGTCCCTGAATCGGCATCTTCTTTATTGTCGCGCGTTTCCAAAGCCCTGATAGCGATGAGCTTCGGGATGAAAAGCTGGGTGGATACGAAGACGGAGCCAAAAATGAGCAGGAATGCAACGAAGAGGCTGCGGACTTGAAATCCAAACAGTTCGACTGCGTAGTTCATCGGTAGAAGGATGACTGAAACCAGCATAAGGGTGTAGATGCAGCTAATGATATGCTGAGATTCGTTGAAGGCCGATTTCACATTGCGCACTTGAACCGCGGAATAAATGCCGAGAAGCAACCAAAGACTGTTGTACACAATCAGAGTTGTCGAGAAAGCTTGAGCAGTAGAAGAATCATTCGAAGTGCAACCCCCTAAAAAGGAAGATGCGAGTTGGCAAAGCTTCCCTGAGAAGTATATACGGACAGCACGGACATACAGTACAATGAACCGCCAACATCCGTTAGCAGTTGCGGCCGAGGTTTGTCCTGTGCGAACCAGGCTATCAAAATGATCTATAGCAATTGATCAGTTCTTCCTCCAAGCGGACCTTTGACAAGCCATTCGTACCCAATCAACTGCGACCGCTGCTCCAGAGACTGCGAAGAGGAACCTGTCTCGCAGGGCCCAGCGAAACCGCTTGGCGGTGAAAGGAAAGTTGCTATACCGGAAGTATAAGCTTGGTTAACAATGCAATGGGACACAGGTGTCGGAATCATGAAAATGTAGACTTACAATAAGATGTGAACACGTAGCGTCTTAATCACGAGGCTCCTACAGCATACAAAGCATTAAGCTATTAGTCGACAGGCTGCGTCAAGGCAATGGTTTGTTGAGGAGTTTTCTCACCCGATCGCGATTGTGAACCCAACAGCAACGAACAAAGGCTGCAGAATGCACGTAGTGGCATTTGGAATGTCGATGTAGGTGTATACGTCCAACAGTCCAAGAATGCTTCCGAAGATAATTTGAAAAGAGAACCCAGGGCTGGTGGCCCGAATTATCTTGCTCTTTCTGTATGTGATGACCGCTATGGCCAAGACACACACGTATGCCAATGCCACCGTGTTGATAGCGGCGACCACTCCGCCGAGGCCAGACTTCCAGACAAAGTTCGAGTAGCGCACACACTGATTCTGGAATCCGCTGCCTAGCATATACTGGCCGTGTGGACAGTCTTCGCAATGGTTTGTTTCAAGGTTCAAGGAAGTTCCAGGAGGACATTTGACGTGTATAGGCACGGTAGCTTGCTTGGATGCCGTGTCCAATCCGTCGGAAACGAGATAAGTAATTTGTGATGCCGGCTTCCCGCCTTCATACTCGTTGGGATTGTAAAAGGTAAGCTCAGTGCCCGCGAGAAATTCATCCCCAGCAGCTACAGCCTTGCCGCTACTCGTGTAGAATGCGCCTGGTTCCGGAACAGTGACAATTTTGATCGTCAGGACGTCACCATCAGGATCGAAAGCCGTTAAGGACACGGTAGTGTTGATGCCTGGCTCTACCAGAAGTGGGGCCAAATACCCTCCGACGGGAGCATTGGACAGGTACAGCGCCGGTAGTGCCGCGGCTTTCTGTGTGCTCCCATCCTTGTCCCAGCAATCTGCCTGAGGCACTTCTGTCGCTGTGCATTGCCCGGCACCCAGTGGGCAATAAGGAAGCTTATTGGGAACACATCCACCTGGGACAAGGTCGTTTTTGAAAGGACTTGAATCCTTGAGATACCGGTTTGGCGAATAAGGCTGTTGGAACGCTATGGCATCGGCATACTGATCAAAGTTCCTGAAACCAAAACCATTTTGATTATCACGAGCACCCACAGAACTATTCGACTGTTTCCATACCAGTAGCCTTTGAGTCCCTGTTCGGTTCCCGTCAGACTGGTGTGCATGTCGGCTTGGATTTCATTCCGGCTTCGCGCGTAATTGAAGACTCTAAACTCGTCAAGGAACCCCTTCGGAGAAGCACGCGTTAAGATAGCTGGACCTTCCGCAGGACACCGTCGTTTCCGGCACTCACTTTATAGTAGTGGTAATTTCCCCAGAATGGCCTATTGCATGTTTTTTTAAAAGATGTTGGGAGGCATTGTTTGAAATATTCTTTATGCCTCTCACGTACCAATGACACAAGTACAACCCGTCCCGCTTCCCGAAAAACGGCACATTCGCGATCTGTCCAAGAAGTTCGCCGCTACAAAAATGCCAACCTCAGAGTCTGAATCACGTGGATTGAGCGTTGCCTATATGATACTCACTTCAGATACACCCGCAATGTTGTGTTAGTTGAAACGATTGCCATGTGTTTCCTGAAAAAAGAGTTCGGAAGCTACGTGGGTATATTTTCCGAACCTCTTGATCCGGGTATACGTTGGGAAGTGAACGCACCATTGCTCAAAGACCGGCGTAATATCAAGACTCAGAAGTCCGTTTCCGGTAGTGGATCCCATCTGTCAGACAGGAAGACAAGGTCAAACTTTCTGCAACACCCGTCGAATTGTTTGCTTCAGCTACTTACGAGTTGTAAGCTTCCGCTTTCTGATTCGGCGAGTACTGATCGAATTTAAACCGGCCAATGCAAAAGTCTGATTTTGACCAGCGACTTTCTTTTTGAAGACACCAATTGCCTGTGTAATTTACTCCAATCTCGTTGTTTCTGTGGGGTTCAAAGGAAACCCCCGTTAGCGTTTATTCCAAGTCCATTGCGCCTGGAAACCAACCCGAAAGAGAACAGGGTGGCTACTGGGCCGTCCGAATAGAAATGGTATGACCAAAATTCAATCGTCTCATGTAATAAAGCGATGATTAATGTCAACTTCTTGGGGGAATTATTGCGTTGATTCTCTCTTACGTATTCTCCGTAATCCGCAGTATCGAAAGAAAAATCCTGGAAAGCAGCTTTCAGTCAGATATCCTCCAATTTGAGCAAAACTGCTTTGCAAAAGCTACCTTGGCGTATGCGTAGTCATCCCCTGCCATGTAGATTACAACGTTAACTGATTTATGACAGATTTATGACTGATTTATGACGTAGCTTTTATACTTACCGTCGCAATAGAAGACTCCGCCACCATCGCCTACAATGGGTTTGCGATTCGTCTTGACGTAAGCGTTTACGGTCATTACCGAGGACGTCGTGGAGCCGTCCGACACAGTGTACTGAAATCTACATATGTCCGAGACTGGTGCACCGCTGGGAGCCGCGGGAGATATCATATTGACTTCTTTGTCGGCTGAGAAGGTGCTGGACACAGTGGACAGTGCAGTGCCCCCAGATGCTTGCAACGTCAATACGGTGCTACCGCTCCCACAGCTCGGCAGTGATGTAAGCCTGATGGTGAGTCCAGAGGCAGCACCTGGTTGTACCAGCGATATTTGAGCTACATGTTGGAAAAGAGATGACCGACTCTAAGCCATGACATGATCGTCCTTGTTCTGTCCTGAAGCGCAAGGGCCCATTCACACCTGATCCTGCTGCCGCTGATGTCCTCGTAACACTCGCGACAATGCTGCTCCCTCGGATTGGGGCTGTAGACGGCACATATTTCGGTGCGCCTCGTATTGTGTTTGACTGTTCATATCGTCAGCATCCTGTCGATTTGGAGGGACTCGGATGATCCTTACCATTTTCATATTATAACGTTGCGCAGATAAGTCCTGAGAAGGGGGAAACGGTTGTGGGAGACTGTTTAAAACGTCCCCGAGTCCGGATTCAACCTCAACTATATGGAAAGACCAGTATCCTACAGTCAGCCAAAATTCCCGAGCAGGGTCGTAATTGTCGAGGTTGTAATAAAACACAGTGTTCGTAATTTCGGAGGTGGTTAATGGACGGTTCATCGCCGCTTGAATTTCGCTCTGCGGGCATGAATAATGCGCTTTCAAAAATTGGTATAACGACGAAAACAATCATGCAGAGAATCAGTGCGGCAACCTGAGTCCGAGGTACATTCCAGAGGCGAATCTCGTCCATCTCCCCATCAAATGGTGAGAATGGTGTGCTTCTCTTGGACAAGCCTAAAAGGAAAGTGATTAATCTCTTGTACCATCATCAGAATTCAGAATCGACTTGCCTATTGAGAACGACCCGCCTGCGATCCTGAAAGGGGACGTTGACGTCAAAGTGCACGTGTACGATTCCAGTACGTTTCCGTCTCCATATAATGTCATCTTCTTGTTGAAAGCGTCAAAAACGGCAGCAACGTGACTGCAACGTTGCAACGTTGCTGGGGATGAGCAACAACAGCAACCAACATCTTTCACACTACATAGCGCATACTCACTGCCAAGCTGGGGCCCAAGTTTTCCCTGGAGGTACCGGAAGAACATTGCCAAATGTGCTCCAAACGCTGGAGTTAGATCGCAGTTCGCCTCCACAGGGATCGGCCCCCGCTGCCAAACTAGTTGTCGAGAGAGACAATGCGCCTTTATCGGCGACCTTGAAGACCAGCTGGGGAGAGGTTGCTAGAAGATTAATAAGTTAGCAAGAGTTCCTGGCAGGCTACCGGAATGTATCTCTTACCATCGTCGGTATTGTACGTTTCGAAAATGGTCCAACAACAGTCTCGGTCTTGGTTGTGGCCAGGCTTCACCCACGCTTCGATAGTGAATGCTAAACGGGGATGGCGTTATCCAGAATGCTGCACAGTGTGAAATGTGTCGATGCTTACAACTGAGGGCGGACCATAAGTCCAATGGGGATTCCCAAGCCGCCTGCACAGAATCAAAGTTTTCGAGGAAAATGATAGAATTTTTTGCGGTTGTCATTATTGGAGAAGTGGCCCCAATTTTCTTGACAGCAATTTTCGAAAAACGTACCTTTTGATATATTTGATTTCCATCTTGCCCGGCAAAAACTCCTTTCAACATCAAGGTGCGATACGACAGTTCTTGCGAATAGACATCCTCCGATGAAAAGGAGAGTGCCCAACCGGCCCCACCAACGAGAGAGGGGTTCAGGGCCGCTTGGCTGCTTGCCACTGAAAGCCAGAATATCACGATTCCGCTCACCACCGCTCTGGCCACCATCTTGGTAGACACCGATGATAGCGAGTTAATGACTATTGTACGCTGTGTCTTTCAGTTTCCCACAAAGGAGTTCTTTCCGGGGAAGACGACACTGGTTGAGAACTATCAATTCGTCAAGAACCGGAGGACGAATTGACGGCATTGGCCTATGATTACGGAAAACCGACAGCGCGATTTATCTCGTAAGCAATTCTCCGGTACTCCTTTCTCGGGCTTGGTGACGCTGATGACTAAACTTGACAATTGAATGCCGATCGTGGTATTACAACTTCATACTCTTCCCCGTCAAACTCTGGGCCACTAGTCGCATTCCTGGTGCTACCAGACGAGTGATCATGCAGTCCGGTCAACAATCAACCCGTCAGATCAGGGTCTAGCATCTACCTACTGTTACCTACTAGTACCGACGTACCAGCGTAGGCGGTTTAGCTGGCTGCCCGACCAAAGACATTGCCGTGGTCCGACGTTTTTCAAACCTTATTTGCAAATAATACGCCCTTCCTGTGGAAAACTTGCCCTAAAACCCACCGCTCCACTTCCGCGTCTCAGTTTCCTTCTATTAATCGACTTGTTTCTGCGAAACTGGCCGAACACGAGTAGAAAGAGAACGAATTGAAGCCGAGAGATATGGAGAGCTCCAGCAAAGTCAGCCTGAAAGAAGGCCCTAATATTGGCGAACTCGCGCAGGAATCAAGTCATAGAAACAAGGGAACTTGGGTACCGGCCATACCTTTGACGCTATTGGCGCCTGTGTTGATTGGTCTTGCTTTGTTGGGCGTATTGCTTCCGGTGAGACTGTTAGAGGGGGTTAGCGACCACTTCTTCGTCTCCCAGGTTCTGATGAGCTCACGTCTGGACTACGCACCTATAGAATACTATCATCTTGACCAATGCAAGTAACGAAACTGCAGCCCTTGTTACCGAGAAGTATTTTACATCTGTTATTTCAGATGTAAGCGCTATTTGACGTTTTAGGAAGGAAAATATCACAAGGTTGACCTACTAACTTTGAATTTCTTCTTGCAAGGTCACCTTTCGGTGCAAAGCGCCTATCAGCGCCCTTTTGCCAATCGTCCAGATCGCGACTACCATACCTGACCTTGCGGACATGTTTGCAGCACGTAAGTAGCGGACAATATGTTTCCAGTTCTAATGCCATACCTTTGACGCTATTGGCGCCTGTGTCGATTGGTCTTCCTTTGTTGGGTAGCAACATGGCGCGCTTTCCAGACTGCGCGCGGCGCTCCCGAACAACTCGCCATCTTAAGGGAGAAGAACGGCATCGATGTCCTGGTATGCTCAGGGGCTCGCTACAGATCCGGATGCAATAATGCGTAGGTGCACTATGTGCCACAACCACTACCGCATTTTATTCTCAGCAGTGCTCTCACATTCAGAAATACCCCGATTTTGAACGACACATGCGTTATCCGAGGCATGGTACGAGAGAGAGCAAAACTTTCGGTCGTAAAGGCATTCCTAAAACCTATTTCCAGATGCAATCTATCGAACACCCAGCGACCCACAAGGGTGCCATTGCAGTAGTGGACGACGATCCTCGTAAGTTCGATCATCGTATCACTCCTTTTGCCGTCCGGCGAGCCCATTAACGTGATGCAATCCGCAGCGATATCCAATTTCGCCATGCGCGGATACACATTGGATCCAACCAGTATGATTGGAGCGTTAAATCGTTACATGTAATCTGTTGCTGAAGCTTGGCCCTTCTCCTCGATTAGCTCGGAAAGTGATGAACCCCGCAGAAAATGACACGTTCCCATTCACCGACTATTCGCCTGTTATGATCATGATGTTGAACAAATCTATTGTAGTCCCGCAACCGTTTTTCTTCAGTAAGATCGGAAGCTGAAGTCTTCGGCTGGGCATGGTTCGCGAATCTCTACTGACCGGTCATCTATCATAGTCAACAAAGTCACTGGACTTGGGTTGAAAACGGCATACACGATTCTCGTTCGGATGGATTCTGTCACCGGCCTTCCGTCCTACGGGTGCGGTGCTGGAGTCAATGTGGATAACTCCTGGATCACGATGCTTCAAAAAATCAAGCCCATGGAACAAAGCAGTACGTGTCCGCTAGTTGAAGATATGAGACTTCGTTGAGCGGGATCTAACCGTCACGTCCGGTAGTCGTAGCACTGTTGGAGCTTCAGGACCTCTTCCGTGCCACCAATTTCTCAGTACTGTCCAGTAGCGAAATGATTACGGCGGGTGTCACTTTTGATGCCAGTGGAAATCCCAAGTACGGCACGGCCGCTGTGGATGAAAGGACGGCCAAGCTTCGGCTTGAAGTCATGCAAAAGTTTCCCACCATTGCAGCTGCTACGGCAGCTGCCGCGCAGCAAGCGAGCTTCGAGATTGACCTCGACAATAAAAGATTTATAACTACGCTGGGAATGGCTCAACTGGCATTTAACTACAAAGTGCTTGTAGTCGTTACGCTACCCAGAGACGAGGTGAATTTCTTTGACGATTTGCACAGCTATCTTTACAGGTTGTAATAGGAATGCTGATCCTTCCCATGCGCGAATTGTAGATTTATGGCAAGATCGACGCTGCACGCACTAAAAGCAGCACTACTTCTATCGGCATCAGTATTGGAGTGACTTTGGCGATTGCCGGGATCTTTGTGGTAGCCGTACTTCCGCTGTTCTCGCTGGCTAAGCAGATGGAAGGCTTGACAAAGCTGGACTTTGGAACTCTCGAATCGTCTGGAGCTCTGGACGCTCGCTCATGGGTGTGGGAGGTAACGCACTTCAGGAATCCGTAGCCATCATGGATTTGGCTCGCAACTAACTATCGTCTCCACATGTACACCATAGTTACGCAAAGTCCAGATTGTTTTTGGAACCATGGTGAAAGCATTGTAAGTCGCTTCCATTGCATATGCGAAATTGAGGCGGTTCGGCGAGGTTTCTAATCCCATTACCTCGTCAAATCAGTGCCGGGGCCATCAAGAAAAACAAAGCAATGATGGGCAAACAAAGCGGCACGAGCGGAACCACATCAAAGCACGGTCAAGGTAACGCAAGCGATCAAAAGAAAGCTCCCCCGCTGCGTACAGCCGATAACGTGTAGGGCTGAGGACATAAAGAGCGGAAGAGGGCGAAAGCTGTCTAAACCCTCCCCTCCCCATTACAAAAGCAAAAGCACACATAGATCTTCTGTTCCCAGTGATTTTACATCCCTACCTGATGCTCGCAAATAACAGAAATGAACCCCCAGACGCTTCCGGAGTACCTGGAGCAGGGCCAGTCTTACTTTCCGTTCGAAGTGGGCTGGCATCTTGAGTTATCAGTATATCTGAGTGGATTCAAGCTCTTCGCTCAAAATTCAAGGCGAATGATATTCGCTCTGATGCATGCCGCTTTGTTCAGTCAGTTCAGCGGCTTAGCAGGCTGAGTGTTGCTGGAGAATGCTCAGCGAGGGAATTTTTCGACAGGAGAGCCGTTACTTCATCGACGACACCATCGTCAGCACAGTTTCCAACACAACCAAATTCAAACACGAGAAACGCACACCAAACTCCAACTCCGTGACAGAGTCATGCTGCATGCAGTAACGGAAATGGATTGCGTATACACCAAGAGAAAGGGGCAGAAAAGGGCTGTGCCAGTTCAGGCATATGAAATTGCAAACAAATATGGATATGAAGGAAGGATGCGCGACAGAAATCAGCAAATGCACGAGAGAATACCCCCATCATACGCCAAACGGATCTAGCTATTAGCAGCAAGGTGGCACGGGCCCCGTTGAAGGCAACCAGATTGAGCCTCAACGAGGCAGAAGGGTGAGTACGTCTTCTTGTCCCTCCCAATACGCCACATTTAACACACTGAGATCACGGGAGCACTATGGGGCCGATCCAGTGATGTCCAATACCGGATCTGGTGCATCAACCGTACTAGTACCCTCCCCTCCAATGCTTGGACCTGTTGCACTTGTTCATGCGATGTCTACGGCATCGGAGCTCGAGGGGGTGAAGCTACGATACGGCCAACCAAGCGTGTCCTTGCCTTCGAACCGGCGCCTCGCGGTGCATTGGGACCTACACCTGGTCTCTTCTCGGCGGGTGGCTTTTTGGGAGCGGATGCCTCTTTGCGGCCGGTCTCTTCTTTTTCTCGGATGCTTCGCCAGTCGCGGAGGCGGCGACGGATGCTTCAGCGGTCACTGCCAATGGTTCTGCCGATGGTGATTCGTTGCGGCAGGTTCGGTGGTAATTCGGCAGGTTCGGAAGGATTCGGCGCGCGCAACCTTCAGACCTTCGCGCGGTCGTTTCGACGCCCTTTTCCTCAGAATTCAACGCTCAGATCTTCACTTCATACGTGTAACTTTACCTAACTTTGTTTATTCTTGTGTTTCCCTTTTAAACTCCGACGCGTATTAGTAAGCCACAGCACAAGTCACGTGTCGATCATTGTTTTTAACCACTGGCGGTTTCCTCTCTTCCGCTTTTTGGCAGGGAAGAAGAACCCTCTTTCTCTTCGTCCCTCCTCCGTCCTGCATTTCAAGTATTCCCCTCAACAGTATGTCAGTTTCTGCGATCCTTACCGTCACCGCCTCCGAATATGGGAACCGCACAGGCAACGTAATCGATCCCGCCCAGGCCAATTTTGACACCGTCGTCTTTTGGTTTGCCCTTGACAAACTGCGACGTCATCGTCACTGGAAACTAGACGGCCATGTACATTTCGTATACCGCGGCGCAACGTCGGAGACGCCACGTCCGTCTATGGATAATGTGATTCTTACCCCTCCGACAACGGTCAATTTGACAGGACGGCATCGTGCGATTTTTACAGCCATAAGAGACCCCCATATACAGGAAGACTGTTTTCTTTGTCACAACTCTCGAAGTATTCCCGGCTGGCATGGTAATGAATATCTATAAAGGTGTTTGCATATGCTTGTTTTTGTGTTTCCGAGAAATTGACTCTGGCTTCTCACAGCTTTTGACACCATGAAAGCTGCCGAGACTGAGAGCCAAGAGGAACCGGCTCCGGCCACTGAAGTTAAACCTACTCTGGCGGTGGGGTTTGTACGGAGAATGTCCGAAACCGCCGTGCAGGATATTATTCCTGTTATCCAAAGCATAGCCGGCACCCCGGGTGCGGTAGCCAGTGCAGTTGCGGATACGTTTCGTCACCCTATCGGAACGTTGCAAGAAGTCCAAGCCGCCGTGCAGGATATTCTTCCTGTTATCCAAGATATAGCCAGTTCCCCGCTACAGGTGGTAACTCAAGCGTACGACAACGTATCTGCCACAGCTACCAGGCTTGGTGCTCTGAGGATCAGTGCAACGGAACCTTGGGTAAGAACGCCGTTTCCGGTCATGTTCCCAATTTACGTTTTTGACTGACGTGTTTTCATTCAGAGTTTTCTCGACGACCTTGTTGAAGATACTGGGGCAGAAGACCCAGCCGAATCGGACAATGAATTTGAAGACGCTCTTCCATCTGCCCCCAACATCAGTGCGGATTTGCAGGTGTTGTTTACGTCGCTGACCACGTTCATCGACCATCGTCTCGGAAGACTCCGGAACGATATTGGGAGTTTGTTTGAATACGTTGCACGAGGCCAAATCTTGACTCGTGTTCAGAGCATTTTCGGCATTGAGACAATGAACCCGGAGGGAGTCAGAGTGCAAGGACGGGAATTCACATGGGAAGGTAATGTACCTCAAGTGACATCTCACTGCCCTGCTTGGAATACTCAATATCGTCTGGGTTAGATAATATGTCCTCTTTCCGACTACTTTGGACGGCCTTAACACAAAAGTATCAAGCGCAATGGGGAACGAACGAAATCCCTGTCAAGTCTAGACCTCGGAGCCTTGAGATAAACTTTTTGTACTTTTGCTATCATTCCGGCACGCCAGGCAAACCCATAATTTCCCCACCTACGGCTGTTCCACGCACCCCTCTTGACCAAGACTTTGAGGCGTCCCGTTCGGTAACCGGCATGTCAGCTATAATGAAGGCCGTCGGAAAACAAGAACCCAACGTAGTCATGGTCGGAGAACTTACCACGAGCGAACTCCTTCTAAATAACAAGGCTACAAGAAGAAAGCTTGGACAATTGGAACGTGGTATCGTCTTCCTTTGCATTCATTATAAGATCAAGCCTAATCGGATTTTTGCATTCCTTCACACACTTCGACCCCTCCGGCAGGGCGCCCGTGCGTTCCGTGACGAGCTGTTTGGACCCGATGGATTTGGGTTATCATTTCCCATACTTGCGCGAATGAGTAGGGAAGAAAGGTTTTTGGTATTGCCCCCGTGAAGTTGTGTGTGTGCATGTAGTTAGTTCTAAACACGGGATATGTCCTTTGCGAGATTGTACAACAATAGTTTTTTGGTTACTTCCTGCTCCTCTTGTTTTCTTATACTCTATACTCTGGCAAAACTAGACTCTTACCAGCATTAATCGTCTACTTTAGCGTGTGTTCGCAGCAACCAATCAGACGCGTTCTTACTCTTACCAACCGGTAGCACACGCATACGGTGCAGAGAGCGCCCAACGCGTCCGTACCATCTCGTACAGCAATCTACTGACCCCGCCCGGAATCTACTCGATCTACCTCTCTCTCCTATAAACTACTATCCACCCTGACAACCATGCCTCCCAAGGAAACCAACACCGCCACCGCTCCCGCCAAGGGCGAGAAGAAGGTACGTTACTGCTGTGCCCGAAATTCTCGTGGACACCGCCAATCTGCGCCCATTTCCCCGAATTCGATCTAGATTAGCCACCTAATAGACTCACTTTACTCACTTCTTCCATCCTTTTTCTTTCGCTTTCCTCTCATAGCCTGCTGGAAAGGCCCCTGCTAAGAGCACTCCCTCCTCCGGCGAGAAGAAAACTGGTGGCAAGAGGAAGACTATCCGTCGGGAGACCTACTCTACCTATATCTACAAGGTCCTTAAGCAGGTTCGTGTCTGGTCCCTTCGTCCAATTTTTTTCTTCAACTTTGGAGAATTAGTATTATCCTTTTTCGGTTTTCTTCAGTTCCAATTCGAAATTTCGATTTCAATTTGCTGACTATCTATCTGGAAATTTAGGTCCACCCCGACACCGGAATCTCAAACAAAGCAATGTCCATCATGAACTCCTTCGTCAACGACATCTTTGAGCGTATTGCCGGAGAGGCCTCGAAGCTCGCCGCGTACAACAAGCGTTCCACCATTTCCTCCCGCGAGATTCAGACTGCTGTGCGTCTCATCCTCCCTGGAGAACTTGCCAAGCACGCTGTTTCTGAGGGCACCAAGTACGTTTTCTTTCGTTCGTCGGCAAGTTATCACATGACCTTATGGACTCACCTGACTTCTCCTATTTCCTTTGATCTTCTGCTGTCAGGGCCGTTACCAAATACCAGAGCTCCAAGTAGTGACGGGGATATATATCCGAAAGTTTTGAGATATGCACTCGTGTTTTCTTCAGCACGTCAGAGGTGCTTCTTGTTGTTGTAGATATGGTCTTTGAAAAGTCTTTGGAATGAAAGAGAGAATGCCAAAATTGAGCATCTTGGGAAGACCGAAGATCAGAGCACAACTTGGGATGAAAGTGTGTGCTCCTGCGTCTAAACACAACGTCGGCCGCGCGGTATATGACCAATAGAAGCGTCCCACCACTCTTGAGCGACTGGAAGATGCCAGACAGCATCGGGAATGCCAATGGGAGTGGGCGTGGGATCCAGGGTGGAGGGGTGGGCAGCCCTTGGACGAGGACCAGGCATCGGATGTGGGTCTGGGTATGGGAGACAAGGTGGATGGGGCGGGAGGAGAGGCAGGTTCCAGTGCAGGTGGAAGACGAGGAGGAGGAAGACGATATGTTTGCGTAGATTTGTGTGTTATATGCGGGATTTCTTTGCGCGCTTTTAGAGTTTTGGATTTCGCCGGAGGGAATTGTGTATGGTACAGTTGAGTGGGTTCGAAGGCGTTGCCGCCCGACGTATGTGCCATGTTGATGTTTTTTGGACATCCTACAGTTTAGAAAACACAGGCTTAGTCTTGCTCAACGTCGCTTGCATCGCGATCGGAATGTCCTACAGAAGATATAATGAGAAAGGGATTCATAACCCCGCTTTCTCCCCCTTCTCAACCTGACAAACCTCAGTCTGCGTCATAGCCATATTCCACACCGCGACATACTTCAGCCCCTCGGCAACGGTATGGTCGCGCGAGTAGTTGAGCACCTCTTTTGTGCCTAGGACCGCGATCGGGGATTTGGACGCTATGAGGGTTGCCAGCTTTACTGCTTCCGCTGAGAGCGAGAGAGAGACAGGCAAATCATTACAAATGAGATTAGGCGCAAACAAAATATATGATTGTAACTCACCCATAAGTCGATCCGGACCCCCTTCAACAACCCTCGCCAACCCCATCCGCTCCGCCTCCGCCGCATCGAAATTCCTCGCAGTATACGCAATCTCGCGCACCCAGCTGTCGTTGCCGACGACTTTCGGTAACCGTTGGAGCGTCCCGACGTCTGCGGCGAGCCCAATGTCGACTTCCTTGAGGGAGAAGAAGGCGTCGGGGGAGGCGAGGCGGATGTCGCAGGCGGTTATTAGGTCGAGGCCTGGGGGAATCGAAGACAGGGAGGTGGGATGAGTGAGGGATGAATGATGGACGGGCGACGGACGGAATGAATGATACCCCGCTCCCTCCGCTCGCGACAAGGGGGTTGCGCTGCTCTCCATCGCGATACATACCAGCCCCAATACAAGCCCCCCTAACAGCCGCAATCACCGGTTGCGGACACCTCTCAACCGCCGAAAACGCCTCCTGCATCCCCTCCACAAGCTCCTTAAACACCAACGCCCTCCTCGCCCCATCCTTGTCCTCTCCATCACCAGCTAGACTCGCGAAATCTTTCAGGTCGAGGCCAGCGGTGAAGATGGGGGAAACGCCGCCGGAGATGATGATGCAGCGTGTGGAAGTGTCGGTGCGGAGGCGCGTGAAGAGGTGCAAGCATTCGCGCCAGAATCTGGGAGGGAAGTGGGAGGGTGAGATATGACGAGGGTGGGTGACGTTTGGCTCAGGGGGAGGAGGTCGTTTGCGTTGCTTTGGGAGCCCAGGCCGTGCGCGATAACTGTGAGGGGGCATCGAGCGGTTCTCTTCATCACACTCGCCCCTGTTGCCCTCCGCAGCCACTCCCCATCATCGTGTATCGCCTCCCAGTGTCACAATAAACACACAATACTCCATACCTACACTTTATTCATAGCATTCCGCTGAGCGGGCCTGTTAAGCGCGACGTGAAGCACGCCCGGCGCGACGGTCGAGGTGAGGAGGGTGGTGTAGCTTGCGTCTGACATTGTGTTGCTGAGAGGGTAGTCGGTTGTTGCGTTTATGCGCCGTTGCGATGGGTAGGATGGGATAAGGGATGGTGAGGACGAAGGCTTGTCGCTCGATCTCTTCTCGGGATGGTGGGTTGTCCTTTTATAATATATATGACGGTTGAGACTTGGGAAGTTGGGAGGTTCTCACCCGCGACGCGTGACATCTTGCGGAAGCGGCTTCCCCTTCGGAGAGCAAGCAGGCATAACCCCCCGGATATATGGTTTCAACAGGGGTACACACCCGCCGGGTATATCATATACACAACGTAACACCGTACGGTCGTATCCTATGCACGGATCATCTACACAGCAGCAGCAGCAGCAGCACCAGCCTCCTTCTCCCGTCCTCCGCTCCTCGACGCAGACCCCGCCATCCGCCACATCCCCACCGTCGACATGAAAAACACCACCGCCATCCCGACCAACAGATAAATCACCAGTCGGCGCATCGATACCCTCCCCCCACTGCCATCAAAACCATGGATTAGCATTCATGTTTTGCGCAAGCAGTGGTATGAGATAGATACGCACCAATTTAAATTCCCACCGCCACTCATCGGATGCAAACTCGTCGTCCGTCGTCCATACTTATCCGCATCGCTGTCTATCCTCAACATGCTCGATTTGCGCGATAACGTGTTCGCGGAATGTGGGGCGGAGCGGGATGATAGGGGTGTTGTTGGAAGCGAGGAGGAGGAGTGTGGCGGTGGTGGGTAGGTGGATAGGGCGGGGGGTTTAGTTGTGATGCGTGGGATTGCGGGGGATGTTGGGTTGGATACCGATGGGGGGGCAGGTGTCTGTGTATCATAGGAGACGGATGAGTTTGATGCGGTTGGGGATGGCGGTGATGAGCGGTCGTGACTTTTCTTACCAGGGATGAGGAACGGAGAGTATATGGTGATCCGTTCCGGAGATGAGTGTCGCCGAGTGTGTCGCGGATGTGGTGCGCGGTGGGGGTGGTTTTGTCGGGGGTTGGCCATATCGGGGACTGAAAACGATGATAGGTGTCAGAGGACTGTTGGGACGGGACCAGATCCAGGACATCAGGCGGGTGCGTTCTTTCTTGCCTATACGGCTCGCTGTCCGCTCTGCATGCGTCAGGAATTCTTGCGCCTACGGTGCTCGCCTTTCCTCTCTTCCTCCCTCCCACTCCATCATTCTCGCTCCCTCTTTAGAGCGCGGTCGTTCATCAACCATCCCTCAACCACGCATCAAACGAATGATACCCTGCTCGCTCCGCTCGCGACGAGGATGTTGGGTTGCGGTGGGCGGAGCGTAGCTCTCCTTGCTCGCAACAGATCTGACGCTCGCTGAGCTCGCCAAGAATCGTGGTTAGAGGTCGCGCTCGCTGTCAATCGCGAATACGTTCGCCTAGGGCTCGCCAGCCTCAAGCATCCCATCTGTCCCACTCGCTCCGCTCGGCCTCTCGTCATTCCAAACTCACCATACATTCCGGACACCCCCCACCTCCATCCCCGTTCCCAGCCGATATCCACCCCTTCAAACACCCCACATGAAACACATGCAAACAACATAATCGCAGACACTGCTGTCCTTCTAATCGATTACTGCATATCCCGCAGTTGGGGGAATAGTCGGAGTTTTCGAGCCAGGCCAGGTAGGGGCGGACAATGCACGATGGGTGATCTGTACGCGGAGGGGGGGATTAGACATGAGCTGATGGCCCGGGACGGACGCGGGCAGGCAAGGGAAGACAGATAATGGGAGGAGATATGATTGTTTGCCGTACCTGTAAGCATACACCTATCGCAGACATTCTTGCGGTGGTTGAAGCAGACTGAAAATAGCGGACGGAGTTGGGTCAGTTTCGCATCTCGCACCGACGGCAGCAAATGAATAGACATCTTCGCGCAAAGTGCGAGCAAGTGGGTATTTTGCGTTGAGGTGGTGCTTACATAGGTTTGTGACCTTCCTGCAGCCGCTGCATAGACCCATGTTGGTGGAAGGCGGGGTATGTGTTCCAAGTGTGGGAGGTGTTCCAAGAGTGGCTGGGTAAGTGGGTGCGGGTGTGTTTCTGCGCGGAAGGTAAGGAGTGTGCGGCGGCTGCTCCCGCTGGTGCACCGTTGATTTCAAGCTGACGACGAAAGGTGGTTGGTGTAAGTGATGATGCCGTTGCCGTTGCCGTTGCTGTAATTGGACGCCCTGTCAAGAGCGAAAGCGGCCGCAGAAGGAATCTGAATTTGAAGGACCCACGCGTTCAACGTCGCGTTGGTTCTGTCTTGTTTCTCGCTCCAAAAAATGCAGTGCGCTGGGCCAACGGTCTGCCTCCATGAGGACGAAAACCACCTTCTCGGCTCAACCTATGCGCCCCTGTGGCACATACGGATGATGTGGCCCATATGCAAACAGCAGGCCAGGTAATTTGACCACATTCGGCTCCTTGAAGGAAATGATATGTGATCTTGTCTATTGTAAACGACACCAGTCTCGTCTGAGCAACCCGCATAATAAAGTCTGATGGCAACCAGACATATTTTCTCTATACGAAGCACTGTTCTGAGATCTTCCTACGTACACGCTATCTACGCCTTAGTCTGACTGACCTTTCCCTCGCTCGCAATGCTCTCCATAACCGCCTCACAAAACGCCACATACGCCTTCACATATAGCCCATCCTCAACCTTCAACTGCTCCCTCGTCACGTGCATCTCAAAGTAGTGCTCGCGCGTATCCTCCGGCTCCACGGGCGTCCGTCCCGCATCCACCTCCTCCTGCCTCTTAGTCCGCGCGACAATCGCCTGCTTCTTCTCCTCCACGCTCTCCGTCCACGGCGCAAATCTCGCCGCGATTCGGATACGGTGCTGCTTCTCCACCAGCGCAACGGCGTCTTTGAGCTGCTGGGATGTTGCACCGTGGAAACGGATCACGGTTTGCGAGCAGGTTGGGATGGAGGGTTCAAAGACGATAAAGCGGGAGCCGTCTGGCGCGTGGAAGGGGGAGGTGGCTTGTGTGATGGCGGCGGCTACGGATTTGAGCTTGGCGTATTTTTGCGCGAACGTGCCGATGTTTTCGTTGAACCCTCGTTCGCAATCGATGGTTTCTTGGTAGGATGTAATGGGGTTGACGCCCGCGCGTCTCCGCCATGTTTTGGTGGCCGCCATGAAGCTTTCGTTATCGCTGGCGAGTATCGCGCCCGCGTGTCCTCCCAATCCTTTGTAGAGGCTGACATAGACAGAATCGAACAATGCGGTGATATCCTTGATCGATTTCCCGCTTTGCTCTTGATAGTAAGGCTCAATCTCCCACAACCTTGCGCCGTCCAAATGCAGTGCGACCCCAGCCGCGCGGCAGAGTTTCGAAATGTGCACTAGATCCTCGAAAAGGAATGTCCGGCAAGCCAGCTCGCGGTTGGGTACTTCCAGCAGAATCACAGCAGGACGCTCCGCTTCGGGGAGAGTCGTTAAAGTTTCGATATCCGCGACCGTTGGCACCTTTGTGGGTTCGCCGATGAGTGTGCGCCGCAAGCCCCACAAAGTGTCGAAAGCACTCTCTTCATGGCCTTCCAAGTGCGATAGATGGTGCCATGCGGCAAGATTGTTGCCCTTTCCGGTGCAATGCTCTTTCAATGCCGATAGTTGTGCGGCCACGCCTGTGAAAACCAAAAGTCAGACATCTTGCAGCGAAAAAGAGAGAATTGAGTATAGCACGCTTACCAGTCCCAAAGAACAATCCATGCTTCTTCCCCAACACCTTCTCCGCCACATGCCCCTGGAATTTCTTCATATGCCCACCAGCCCCGTACACATCCATCTCGACGTCGGGTTTCCCCACCTCCGGCAAACAGAACAGATGCTCCCGGTCGGTAAATGTCTCGGCGCCAAGCACATTCTCGAGATACTTCCGAGGATGCTGAGCGTAGTCGAGGGAACGCTGCATGCGCTTAACCCCGGAGCACTTGAAATCGGGTGTGAGCAGGGTCAGGGGGGTGTCCTCGGTTTCAATCGGGGCGGTCATCGTTGGTGTTCTTTTCGAGTAAGTTCCAAATGAGGACGGTGCTTCCGATGGAAGGGTTGGGGGGGAGCGGGAAGCGAGCTGTACTTATGCGGTCGAGAGCGCACTCGGGTGGCGGATTGGTGGACAAGCCCTGTGGGTGGAGTGGAATCTGTGGAGATGTCTGTCCTACCAAGTCTCTGTCTGGCTTATGGCATCCATGATCCTACGCGTACGCAATGGGCTTCTACTAGCGGACGAACGCGTTCCAACTTTCCCTGCGTCCGTTAGACTCTTCCCACGATGTTTACTGGCGGGACTGCGGTGGCCCTACCATCCGCCGGTATGGCTGCAAGACGTGTTCACCTTACAAATGCGAAGATTGCAGGCTTTACGTCATGATGAAGAGGGACGTTTCAGGCAAACGTCTCTGTGCCGACTGCAATCCCTACTTGCAAACGTCGAGACGAACGAGCACGGGCACCGGAACTACGAGGTGCTGCAGTCATTCGGTCATCCACCAATAAATCAAGAGCGCAAGCAGTTCCCAGACCAGTTAGGCCGGACGACTACTATCAGCAGAACACGCGCTCTGCTTCGAGCAGTACACCGATGTCGTCCGCGTGAATTCGTATAGGGGTGCACGGCAAAGCGCATGCACATGGCCAATCAACGGTGACGGCGTTATCTGTTTCGCACTTGAAATGATAACTGCCAGAAATCACGCGTCCGTTTGCATAAGAATAGGGGTGTCCCTCATTCGCGCCGGGGTTCGGATAGTGTGCGCTGTGCTGAAGAGAAGCGATGATCTAGCTCAAGGGCCGTTGCCCGGAAGTCCCGTGGCGGTCGTCTTGTGGATCGAGGATAAGATACTGGCCCGTAAGATACTGGCCCGTAAGAAACGTGGTCTCTGGCCTCCGGCGCCCTAAGAGTCTCAAACCGCATCCGTCCAACCAAGTTATCCGTTGTCGCCATATGGTTCTGCATCGCTAGCACCGCACAAGCGAAATCGAGCCTCTGATCGCTCCAGAGCAAGTCAAATGTACGGCTCCGTTTGAGAAGTACGTGCACGTCGGAAGGAAGGTTGACACTTGTTTGGATGGCGTCGAGGTAAGTTGCTGGGAAGAAGGTGTGGACGATATATGCTTCTCGGCGGTGGATTCCAATCACGAACGCCTGCACAAGAACGAAATCGCGCACTTCAGTAAATGCTATCTCCGATGCAAGTTGGATGCAAACTAAAGCTGACCTCCTGATCGCCGGGGGCTTTCTCCCGGTTCTTGACAGCAATTGCTAAACATCCGGCGAAAAGCCTAGCATTGAGGTCATCGTCTCCAGAATGTCGCTTTGCCTAGAAGCATCCTTTAGCTTATCGTTTTTCAAGATGCCCTAATTACTCAAAAGCTCCACACACCTCGATGTCACATAGCGCAATCCCACCAACAAGCTTTCCTCGTTTCGAACCTCTGAGCCGCCGTGGAATGAAACGCCCATCTGTATTGACAGCGGCCTGTAATCCACCGCAGAGTGATAAGGTGCTGTGAAAACGTCCTCGACTGCATGAGGGTTACAAAATCAGTCAGCCGCAAACTCGGCATTGGAACCGCATTAAAGAGGCAAGGAACGTACCACAACTCGATACCATAGGGCTTGTTATCCCGGACAACAGTCGGTCCCAACTCAGTAACGAGTAGGAGAAAAAACCTCAGGAGAGTTCCCGCAAAGTGGTCCACCTCGTTTTCCGCCACCTCGTCTTCCTCCACCTCGTCTTCCTCCACCTCGTCTTCCTCCACAAGGGCCGTCGTGGAAGCACTTGGAATCGTGTCCGTCCCATATTCATCCACGGCGGCCTGTAGCTGCCGGTAAAACCAATAAGACTCAGACCGTAGCGCAGTCTTGATAACCTGGTCGTCCGGTAGTCTCTCGACATCCTCGGCACACACGACGTCTCCGTCAAGAGCAAAGAGGGACTGTCGACCGGCCCTAACCAAGTCCCGCGACGGTATCAGGTGGAGAGGCACCACGGCTTCGACCGGTAGGTTTGCCTTTGTGACGACATGAAAGGCAGATAAGTGGTTTGGGCCCCATTTGGAAGCGGAGCCCAAGGATGCGGGAGGCGGCTGGCGGAATGCGTACGAGCGAAGCTCTTCGATTCCAAACGGAAAGTTAAGATCACCGGCTCTCTCTGCGAGGTGGGAGGCCATGCTGCTCTAACTGCTGTACATATGTGTATGTGCGAGAGCGAGGTTTGCGTGTGGGTGTGTGGTTAGGGCCTGATGAAGTGGAGAGCTTTGCGTGGTGTGCTGAGAATTCCTTGAGAATTTGAAAACTCCTTCCCGTCTATCTCTTTTTCGCTCGAGCAAACTGACTCCTAAGGATCATCGGACGCACAACGTCCTACACTCTCCAGACTAAGCATTTGCTCTCATCCTTTCACAATTAGCCTGTACTCACGGACAATTCTGCCTTCACGCACAGAATCCCTTACAAATACACACGGTACGGGCAGCGCCGCAAACGGCGTTCGAAAGGGTTTTCACGGAGCATAGCGCTGCGAGATGCATACACACACGGCGGGCGGGCGGGGCGGTTGAAAGGGCTGTTGGGGTTACAGTTGGTTGTTGTGGGGGGGCAATGGCAGCGTAAGGTGAGTGGAAGTCACATGTGGGAATCCTTCTAGCTTCTAGAAACCTCAGAAAGCGGGTATCCTCGCCCCGCCGCGTGGACGTCACAGTCCAAGGCAAATAGCCGTCAATTTTGCACGCGTTATCTCGCCCCCCCGCCCCCCCCCCCCCCCCCCCCCCCTTGCTGGCGAAGCGCTGAAGGCGGGTAGGGATGTGCGGGCTTCTTTAAGTGCACGACTTTGACGGCCATTTTTCGACACTCCTCCCTTGCCCAAGTACGCCGCCTCGATGGAGCCATGTGCGAGCCTGTGTTTTGCACATACAGTTGAATAGAAGCGTTTGGGCGAGTTCCAATGACAGACGCAGATGGACATACACACGCAAATCATCATTCTGATCTGTTCGACGACCGAAGATTACTCTACATTGTTTATCGTAAACGGCGTAAGAACAAGCCAAGCACATACGCCGTGGTACTGCAACACTGGGACCCATAGTCCGCCTGATGCGTTTCCAACCACTACGTTTCCACCCGACAGATTCCCCCCTCCTTCCACCTCCCCTTCTCTATTTTTCCCTTATGCACTCTGTTTCCCGTCTCCAAAAGTCCCTCCTGTTCGATCTGACATCGGGTGAAAAGTTCAACATGGTGTGATAATCCATCCACTGCTACGAAGTCAACTTGATGACTGTTTTCCGCTGGCGTTTGGTGTCAACCTTCAGCGGCGTTGGCGGGAGTCTCGATGGGGAGTCTTCTTGTCCTGGTTTGCGGGAGGCTTGTGCGAGAGCGTACTGTTTGATTTTCGAGATTCTATCCATCAAGACTTCCGTAGATAGAATGCTTTCCGTGATCGCTAGTGCCGAGCCGTTGCCCAGGTCCCTCGGGACCGTCATACGCCCAACCTCTACGGCAACAAACATTTTCGGCAGCATGTACACTTCATACACCCTGCCTTCAAGTCCTGTCAAATGTACCGCCACCTTTGGTATCGTTAAGTCATGAAAATAAAATCTGTGTGGACAAACAAAGATTTTAGCGACTTGTCCCGTAGTACACTTCCACTCTCGTTTGCAGCTCACCCATGATATTCGTGTTTGAACCAATCCACGCAATGTAGAACCGATCGCGCTTTGTCCTTCTTCTTCTCAAGCGGAGAAGCCCACGGCGATTTGATCTCACACGCCATCAGCGCGCGTTTTGATAAGCAAGTTCGCCGCCGCATGTGGATATTGACGTCGGGGCGTAGGTTACTAGCCTCAGTTGCGTTATCAATATTGTAGTCAAGGTGTGGATCAATCAACATGCAGAGCAACGGGACAACATGTTTCACGGTCCATGTGGGCTCCAGCAATCTCTCTGGTTCCTCCTCATCGAGGTGCTGTTGGAGGTTTTGCAGGGTGAGAGCACGAGCGCACTGCGTGGTGTCTCGGTCGTCCGGCATGCGTGGTGTCCAGCGTCGTCCGTCTCGGTTCGCCTTAAGCATGGCTTTCACGTCAGGTAATAGACTAGTCATGTCGTCTATCTCCGGTAACAGTCGCGGCTCAAAATGGCACCATAGCTTGGCCCAATCCTCAGCGGTAATGTGATTTTGATATGCGATTGGTCTCAGCGGTGTGATCAGAAGACAACTGAAAACGCCCAAATAGTCCTCAGTGTCCTGCAGCGAAATGTCCGCATCTTCCTTCAGTATCCTTCTTTGAATATCCTGCAGTAGTCGCCCAGCATCGACTCCATTGATAAGAACCTCCTCCGATTCTAGCTCCAGTATCGACGCGCTAAGCCTTTCAGAGACAGTGGAGACGGCCAAATTGTCCCCTTCCTGCACACACGGGCCGTCGAGTATCGAAGATATTGCTTTGATAGGCGTGCTCGGTAACTGAATGTTATGAGTTCGCTTCGGTTGCTTCGAACGAACGTTTTCTGGGCATCCGGGAAGGGGTCGCTTCTCGCCGATCGGTGATCCACCCATGAGCTTTTTGCGCGCAATTTGGGCATCGTCGGCGGATGATTTCCTCTCGTTGAGGTATTGCAGTTTGGCGGCCTCGAATTCGGATTTTCTCTAGGATAAGGCAGCGGGAAAAACACGTTCACATCAGTAATGGCTTCCGTGGGTGGAACCTCCGTTTCACCAACTGCACATTGCGAAATCCTGGCACCCAAGCAGACGAGTGTTGTGGCTCTGCAGACTCCCAAGAGTGGATTGGATAGCAGGCTCTCCCGTCTCCAACCGGACAAGTGCACCATTGCTCAAGGCACACGACACCATTGCCTAGGATGCTTCCTCAGACCCTTTTGGTAAGGATGCCGATTCGCACACCCCAGCCACAACGCTCGGGAAATCTGCTTGCAGGATCCGCCCAAATAAAATGCAGAGACAAGTGCACCATTGCTCAGAGCACAAGATGCCATTGCCCAGAACGCCTCATCAGACCCTTGCGGATGCCGATTAACACGTCCCGCCGCGGTACAAGCGGCTCGTAGCACTTTTTACCAGAATCTCGTTAACCGTCAAAGATTGACTTACCACGAGCAGCGTCTTCACCGCATCCTTCCATCGGGCCTTTTTCTGCACGTCTGGTGCTCCCAGCGACGAATCCGCGTACGTGTCCAAGTCATCCGAAAACCGATACAACTCGTTCTTCCACGAGTTCCAGTCAATTGCGGCCGCGTTCGCAAAGTACGTGTTCAGAGTTGGGAACTCGAGAGCTGATAAGGTCCGCCTCGCCATTGTGCTGGCAGCTGGTCTGGAGGCTGCAATGGATGGCGATTCGATTCTAATCTACCGCTCTAAGGAAATGTTAGGTCTAGCCCAGTAGATCTCGTCCGCCACGGCCTCGGCTCTCAATATGGGGGGGGCTTGGCACGCGTCTTTCACGCGTCTTTCAATGGATGAGAAGGTTTTCAATGGATGAGGAGAAGGTTAGATTTATTCGAGCTCTTGACTATCGGGACTGGATGGGACTCTTGACTATGGGACTGGGATTACATATCCTGAAGGCATATTCAGTTCCAACGCTCAAAAAAAACTTCATATTGCAGCTGACGGGGTTCATACCTCTACCATTTACACTTCCTACGGTGGCCTATTGAGATCATCCGCTTAGATCCCAGCCGCATCCGCACTACGTCATTCAAGTTCAAACGGCTACTGTTCGAGCTTCACACTTTCGCATCCTTTTTCACACGCGTGCAGCTTGTTGGCACAATAAATGGACCGAATAATGGAGTTCACCTCCTTAGGACGATCTGATATGCGGCGTATGAACTTGGATGGGAACCCGTATGAACTTGATTAGGTAGTTGCGTATGAAGTTATGAAGACACGCTTGCTTTTAATCCGGAAATAAACTGAGCCCTCCATCACGTGCCCGCTGGGCCGTCCGCGAACTTCGGGGACAACGATCAAGGGACTGCCACTTCACTGATACTGGAGAGTTATTGGTGCCGGAACAAAAGCAGGTCCCCAACGGATTTAGATATATACTAGGGTGCTAACACAGATCCCATTGCGATTACTTCTATCGCTTCATGTGCGAATCTCGCCGCTATCAAGTCAACCGGATCCCGTCGCAAATAACTCATTGCCGCTCGTGAAGTTTCGCAAACGCCGACGATTTATTCACCAGTAGGCGGCGAGGGTCGTCGAACTCCTGGATAGTACCCGCATCCAGGACCAACACTTTGTCACTTGCACAAATGGTATCGATTCGATGAGCGATGGAAATGACCGTCTTGCCCGCAAACCGGGTGGTGATGATGCGCTGCATGGCCGCGTCGGTGGCGGAGTCGACCGAGGCAGTCGCTTCGTCCAGGATGATGATCTTTTGAGAATGGAGATCAGGTTTAGTCAAGCCGTGGATTTTATGCTGGCGTTCCATGTGGGATATGCTTACCTTGGCATCCCTGAGAACGGCGCGACCGAGACTGAGGATCTGTCGCTGTCCTACGGAGAAGTTCGACCCTCCCTCCTCGACCTTATGATCCAGGCCTCCTTCCAGGTCCTGCACATACTTTTTGAGGCCGATATCTTCCAGCACAGCCCAGATGGCCTGGTCCGTATGCTCGTTGAAAGGATCCATGTTGAATCGAATCGTTTGCGAGAAGAGGACAGGCTCTTGAGTTACGAGCCCAACTTTCGAGCGCAGCGTGGAGGATGGGATGGAGTCAATGTCGATACCATCGATCAGGATGCTACCGGATAAGAGCGGCTCGGAGTTCTCTCCTGAGATATCGACCGTCGTAGAGCGGGCCGCGCTCGCTCGATAGTCGATGAAGTGCAGCAGCGCCTGCGCAAGGGAGCTCTTCCCAGCGCCCGTTCTACCACACACTCCAATCTTTGAGCCGGCCTCAAAGACCAAGGTCAAATTCTTCAACACCGGCTGAGCATCCTCCGTGTATCGCAGAGAGTAGTCGCGGAACTCGATCCTGCCTTCGGTCGGCCATTGCGCCGGAATATCGACAGCCGGTTCCGTCAAATCCTTCTCCTGAACAAGATCCATGTACTCGATAACCCGACCAAACGGCGCAGTCATGGCACCTAAGAAGGAGAACAAGACGACAAACATATTCAAATCTTGCGTGATGGACATGAGGTACGTGAGCATCAGCCCGGCCGAGGCCGACGACACGGACGATGGCGAAAGCACAGCTACGATTCCGACGGCAGCGACCAGGAAGGCGCCACATAGCTGGGTCAGGATCGAAAGCCATGCTTGGAGAGAGACGTTGAGGAAAGCGTAGCGCTGGCGGTCAGATACTTTTTCGAGCACTTTGTCGAGGAAGTGGGATCGGAGGCCAAACGCACGGATGGTGTCGCTGCCCTCGGCGACTTCGATGAGGGAGCTGGCGATGGGGGACATCATGATCATGGAATGGCGGTTGACCGGGGTGGATATGTTGAGGAAAATCTTGGCGAGGAAGCCGAAACCAATGGCTATATCAGAGGGAGGAGGAAGCGATTGATGAGCAGAGTAAACGATGAGGTTGAAAGCGCAGGGAGAGCATAAATACATACCGGTAACAGCGACAGGCAGCAAGACAATCGGAAGAGTGATGATGGCCGGCAAAATGTCGATCAGAAGTATGAGAAGTAAAGCGGCCGTCATATGGACGTTAGGAGGTATATATATGTCGACATACTCGAGGTCATCCGACAATCGGTTGGCAATACGACCCAGTGGGTTATCGTCGAAGAAGCGCAGTGGCATGTGGATAAGTCGCCGGAACATGGAGGCGTGAATCGTAGCCGAGGCTTGGATTCCGGCAAATCCCATGAAAATATACATAGGGACAAAGCTGAGGATCGACGCAACTATGGTCAAGGCGCCGAAACCGGCCAGGTAGATCCCGAGAGGCTTCTCGAACGTCCCGCTAGCATTGATATCGTTTTGCCAGTATGCCAAGAAGAATCGAGAGCCGAGAGTAATACCGGCGTTCAGTAAGTTGGTGAAAATCCAAGCGAGTCGAACAGGGGTTGAGCTTCGGACATGGAAAGAACGGATGCGCATGAGTATTCAGCCTACAATAGCGACCCACATTCGGAAGTTTCGCGAACACAAACGACTTACCAAGCCTTGAAGTAACGAAGGTATGCGCTCCACTGATTCGCTTTGCTCGAAGCTTTCTCGACGTTTGCATCTTCCTTGACCTCGGAAGCATTCCATTTGACTTGATCATCCGGAACGTCCCCAGAGGCGAGATCAACGGAGGCATTCACAACGGCAGGTTCAAGGCCCAAAGAACGTGGGCTACCATGTTCACTGACGCTGCCGTCCGTTATGCGAACGATCTGATCGGCGAATGGGAGGAACTTTTCAGCGTGGGTGACCAAAACGACGGTCTTCCCGGAAAGCAAACCGCCCTTGCCCAAGAGCTGGTTGTAGACATGCGTGGCGACATGTGCATCCAGCGCGGAGAATGGGTCGTCCAATAGGTATATGTCGGCGTCCCTTCGGTATACAGCACGCGCAATCGATAGTCGAGCTTGCTGTCCTCCCGACAGCGTGCCTCCCTTATCCCCCACTGACGTGTCGACACCATCCGATAGTGCGTGGATGTCTGGAACGAGACCGCACGCGCGGGTGACTTTACGAAACCACGCTTCGTCATACACTTCGCCGAGAAGGATGTTGCCTTTGACGGTGTCGTTGAGAATCCAGGGTTTTTGAGCAACGTACGCGATGCGGCCGGAAACGTGAACTACACCAGTGCTCGACTCAACATCGCCCAGGATGGATGCTAGTAACGTGGATTTGCCGGCTCCAGTAGGACCAACGACGATTACGAGTTCACCTTTGTTGACTGAAAGGTTGATGGACGAAAGGGTTGGGGAAGTGATGTGGGCCCACGAGAACGTTCCTGTCACGATCGAGATGGCGATATTGTCGTTGTGATTGGGGACTTTCAGAGTAGCATCTACAGATGTGATTTCATCGGTGAGGGTATCACGACTCGACACTTCGGAAGCGACCAGCAGGTTCTGAACGCGTTTGAGGGATGCGAAGGCACCGCGCAGCTCTCCATACTTGTGCGGCATGTGCGACAAGGTCGTTTGGAACAGTTGAAAGGCGACGAGAGACACGAAGACCCTGTTGGCATCGAGGGTAGGTAGGGTCGACACGGAATAGACCACGAGCATGATGAGGTATGCCACCGTCGGGTACCCGGTGCCGAAGAAGAACATCAACATGTTGGCTTTCGCTCGGGTCTTGATAGGCACGAGCTCCTTGCGACGGATCTCCTCGACTTTGGCCGTGAAGATGCCCTCGAGGGTGGCCGCCTTGACCATCTTGATGCTCCGGAACAACTCCTGGGTTAAGGTCATTCGGGTGTCCATTATGTCGTTCTTTTTGCCCATCCAGTACCCCACCTTCCCCCCCACTTTCGTCGATAGCGGTCCGTTCAAGAGTAACAAGCCAATACCCACGAAGGTGGGCCATCTGAGCTGCGTGTACACGATCGCAGTGCCGAAAATGATCTGCCAGAAGCCGGTCCAGATCGTAGCTACGTTGTTGAAAGCTCCGGCTAGGGTCGACACATCGGCAGTGACGCGGGTCATGATGGCGCCGGCGGTGAACTCTTTCTTGGCTGAGGGTGACAAGATCATGCTTTTCTGCACGATCAAGGAGGTGAGAGCAGATTGCGCCGTGATTCCCAACTTCCCTCCCAGGTACGAAGACCAAGTGGTCAGGAGAATAGTGAGCAGGTTGGCGAGCAGGCCTGCGACGGCAATGGTGACTCCAACTTCCTTTGGTTGCGGAACGCCGCCATCACCGTACGACGCGAAGAAGCCGAGGAAGGAGTCTAGCAGCACGGGCTGCACATAGGTTGCGATGGCGCCCAAGAGGGAGATGGCGAGCAGGAACAGTGCGGAGGGCCACCACGCGTAAAAGATGGCGAAAGCCAGCTCATTCTCCGACAACTTCTCTGCTCGGGGTGGCCAGCTGCGGCCGATTACGTTCATCGCATTGTGCGGCTGTGCGGAAGCTTCAGGGGCCAGAGGTGGAACTGTCTCTGGGACGAATCCGGCCTTGCGCTGCGCCCACAGATACGAAGTAATCCAGCCGAAAAAGAGATTGGGAACAGGGGCGTATCCGGCATCGGTTATGGTCGGTTCAGAGCGTTTCCACGAGGCGACCTGCTCCAGCGTGACGAGGACGATTACCAGCGCCAGTTTGATCAGGATAGTCCATGCGATAGGACGATACGCGTCGGTCGCGAGGAAAGTAGACCGGAAGGCAATAGCTGACTCGACAGCCACCGCAGACCAGTAAACCGTCAGCATATACGGTATCGGTGTGGCGGACAGGAAATATTCGACGATTATTAGCAGAATCGCCGGCACATGCCCGAGGAGCGGTCCGATCAATGCTTGCGACGGAGCTGTGACAAGGCCAGCGAAACCGCCCTCATCATCGCCGTTGGGGCCTCGAGAGCAGATGGTTGCCACAAGAGCAATACCCGCGGCAACTTTGAGGCCAAGCGTCGGCAAAGATAAGGAAGACCGTCGCCACACATTAAACGTTTTTGCGGCGGCACGCTGGGTTCTATCTCTTGACGCGAGAATGATGAAGACAAACAGTACGAGCCAGAGTAGTAACGTCGTGGCGAGAGGGAGAAGGACCACCGAAGAACAGACCGTCAAATCCCATGGCCGGAGTTGACTGACCGGCCCCTGAGTGAAACAGAGAAATTGCGAACGTTAGGATCAGATATGAATGCAACACTGACGCAAGACCATCTTACCCATCCATCTCGATCGAGGCATAACATGGCTCGTATCTCTGGGGGCTCCCAGAACGAATCGAGCTCGCGAACTTTTCTTCTTCACAAGTACAAATGGGATCCTGACACGATCTTTCCATTTGGAAGTTTTGTTGCATCTGAGCGGTCCCTTCTTATTCTTTGGGATGTCGGTCAGACTGCATACATCTGTACATAGAGCAGTCCGCATGGGAGGGTCCGCATCCCGGCCTAAGGTCCGCATCGGGTGTCGGAAATTGGGAAGCGGCAGGATTTTCCGATTTCGAGCTACACATTGTAAAAGGGGGCCACGAAGCCGTGCGCGTTTTCGTGCTCCATGAGTTGTCCAGGCACCTGTTCGTAGTAGTACGGCCACTCAGCCGGTCCGTTGATCTCGCGTCCTCCCCGCGGCTACTATATCTGCATAGATGATTAACTGAGAGTCTGAGACACAGTTCCTATAATCGAATTTTCTCGATAGTTAGTACCGGCCAACACGATTGTGGTCAACCAAGCTGCGCAACCCAAAGATGTTGCACGGGGAGTATTGGTATACCTCCCAGTCGAGGGCGATCCTCAGCTGCAATGCAAACTTGCTCTGGCTCTGGCAGAATTGACAGTACAAATCAGCTGTGGCCAACGGCCTAATTTGAGGACATACTGTAGGTGGCCAGATATCTGGGTACGACGGGTTCTGCGCCCTGTCTGTGGAACCCAAAAGTCAGCGACCAGCTGCCGTCAATTCCCGTACAGTACTTCTTCAGGTGTGCAGGCATCGGAATGATGTGTCTTTGGGGCGTCGTACCCAGATAGATATGTCGCCACCGACTGTAAAGCTGAATGTCGTGTAGCGGATACGCGACACGAATACGGACATTCATTGCCATTCGCGCGGGGGTTGGTGGGCTTGATACTGGTTGCCCGGTGAACGATCTACGTTCTTTGCAACGGCCGGAGGTGACTGATGAAACCCGAAGGTTGGCTCGTCGTCGAGTCGTCGAGCATAAAAAGGTTGCCTCGTCCAGAGCTCCCTCCATCCCTGAAACTCGAGTCCCGACGACTCGCCAGAGTTATATACCCGGGCTTACAGCCTCCTTCTCGCCTATGCCAGGCACTCCTCATAAAGCATCGGCGATGGTGTCAAACGAACCCTCCTGTTGCGACCGGTAAATTAAAGCCACAGCTTTGTGTTCATGATCGTAGGTGGGAAGGAGTGAGACTGACCTTTTCATCCGGCTATTCCAGGTGCAGAAAATCACATCGCGCGTGTGATCAGGGACGTCCCTGCGGACGGTGCGCCCTAAAAGGAAGCCAATGCATATATACAAAGCAGAGGTAAGCAATGAAGCGGCGGCGTACGATTTCATATGGGAACTGAGATTAATTTCGGCCCTCAGTTTCAAAAGTAAGGCCTACAAAGCAAGTCGCACTGCCCGCAAGGAGGCTACCGTTGTGAACCACACCGCCTTTCACAGTGATCCTGCAGAACAGTGTGATAATGCACTTACCGGCCAGGAATCTCATCAAGCACCCATGATGGACGCATACATGCCAACATCAGACGAATTAGCAATACTTTCTTCCCTCGATCAAATATGCACCGATGCGGAACTCGCAAGTTCCATGGGCTTCCCTTTTCAGACGTTCACGTTATCGCCATGCAGATATTCAGAGGGTCCACTGGATACTACCCCTTCCACGCACTCGATGGAAGCCCCTACATATGTCCCTTCCTCTTCCGACGATGCAAGCTGCAGTTCCCCATCCCGCACACTCTCCCCGGCATCCTCATCTGCGGAACACGAAAGCCCTCTGCCCACAAGACCCTCGCACAGCCGCGAGTGTGTTTGCGGCTCTCTGAGTGACACAGTGAACAAGTTTCCTATACTTGATGCATCATGGCAACAGGACGCAAGGATATCAACAGCATCGCATCCCATGCAACGCACAGACGCAAGCAGGTCTTCCCTCGAGAGCGTCCTGGTTCGTGTGGCGTTTGTTGCCGACGAGTTGCAACAGCTTGGAGGATTGTTTGGCGCAGTGCGGAGCGTGCTGCCCATTATAAGTCAATCCGATGCTCCGTCTCAGCAGCCGTCATCTGTCACACGATCATGGTTACAGATCTGCAGGCGCCCGGTTTATCGTCTCCGGCAGATGTTCTCAACATCGGCCTCGATCAGAGCGGGCTCCTCATCGACGAGATGACATCGTTCGTCTCGGACTTTCAAGGGACAGAGCCTCCGACGACACCTCCGTTCCTAACATCATACGTCGCGGGTCCAGCCATGGCGCCAAATGGTCAACAACAACAACAACAACAACAACAACAACAGACGCAGCAACCGCAACGGCATCGGCTAGTTCCGCAGCTAAGCACTCAGGGCGCAGGCGCCTTCCACCTTCATCCGTATTGATACCCCTATATCCCCTACTGCTCTACGTCTATGTAGTATGTCGGACAAGCGAAATGATGCACTTAGAAACTTCGTATTGAGTTTATATATCTGCACGTAAAATCTATCCATTGATAAGTATCGCTAGAGTCTATCCATTTATGAAGTATTGATACCCATATATTCCCTTACTGCTCTACGCCCATCTTATGTCGGACAAGCGAAATGACACACTTAGAAACTTTGTTTTGGAAATTCTATATCTGCACGTTTAAATCTATCCATTGATAAGTATCGCTAGGAATCTATCCATATATGAAGTGTCTAGAAAACAAGCTCAACGCGTCCATCCCTGGTGAACCTTCCTTTATACGCCGTCTTGAACGCCCATCTGCCTTTCCCCTCACCATCCCTCTCATCTCGTAAACTCACAAACGTTTCCTTCGTCGAACTCTGGTGCCCCAGATACCCATTGGCGCTCACTCCCACTCCATGCACATAGATGGTACCCGTTCGCCCGACGGGAACGCGTCGCATGTCAGGGTCCAGGATTTGGAACGCCATGTTGGGGATCGCGCGCCCGATGAGGCGGTAGGGTTTTGTTGCAGCCGCCGGATCCGTGGTGGGGTCTGTCGTCGGTATGGGAGTGGGGATGGCGGATGCCATGGCTAACCCGTATTCGGCGGATGCAAACGCGAATCGCATGGTACCGACGATGGGTTGGAGCTTGAGATTGGTTTCGGGTTTCATGGGATCTTCTACGTTGATGAGGAGTTTGATGTTGCCGCGATGGCGTGTTTCGGGGTGCCAGCAATCTAGCGTCGAGCCGGTGGCCCATAGGACATCGACTGCTTCCCCGACAGAGCTTGTGGGCTGTTGTTCCTTGCTTAGTATGCTCGAGGCACCTGCGATCAAAGAGGTCCAGAGTTCCCTAAGAACAAGACAAAACGATGAGTATCGACGATACTAGCGGACACAAGGAATATTTCGTTCCGATAAACATACCACTCAGCCATCCGTGTGCCTGTCTTCAGATTCGCGCTGACACGCATTCCAGGTTCGATGGGCACGCCCCAGATGTTCCTTTGCAGAACATTCATCGCCGCCTGATGCGTGACCTCCACGACCTTGGGCTTGCCATTGGTCGCCGTTCCATCAGCTAACAGCAAGAACGCCGCGGCTTCCGAGGATGACCGCGCAGGTGACATGGGTATCGGTTCTGTGTTCTCGAAGGAAGTCTGTGGTGATGAAATGCAGAGGACTTTCCTCCTCCGAATGCCCTGTGCCTTCTGTCGGAATTGCTCCATGTAAAGAACGATAGGAGCCTTGATGGTGTCGAGGAGGGTGTTGAGGCGAACAAGTGGTAAATGACCGTCGAGGACGATGTAGGCGGCCCCGGCTTTCAAGACAGCCAGCCTGGCTAGGATCGCTTCGGTTGATGAGGCGACAAGGAGGGCGATGCGATCCCCGGAAAGAGTGCCTTCTTGTTTCAGTGTCGCGGCCAGTGCGTCGGCCTGCTGGTCCAGCTCTTTATACGTCACGGAAGGGCCATCTTGTGCGGGTTTTACGGAGATTCTGGTGGGATGAGCCGCCGCGACCTTCTCAAAATTTCGTTCAGGAGCGAAGGAGGGAGGGCCACTTTGCGAGCTGTCGAGAACAGATCCAATGATCCCTTTTCGGAGGGCGTCCAGCCGTCTAACTCACGTAGCAGCACGGTCGGGGCAGACGAAATCATGGCGACCAGAAACTGTTCGAAGGTTTCGAGAATCGCAGAAGCGTCAGCTTCGTTGTACAGCCGGCCATCGTAGGAGGTCTCGATGTTGACGGTCGTGTGGAGTTGGATGGCCATGGACATGGCGAACTCATTGAATGTGCCGCCGGACTTTTCGTTGGTTAAGCGAATGGCACGTTCCTTCTCGGGGGTCACCCCTGAGAAATTTTGTACGATGAGCAAAGTGTGAAAGAGCGCTTGTTTGGCGGACAGGCCAGCAGCTTGCTTGATCTCAATCATTCCCAAGTGACCGAATTCCGAAAAGGCGGAGCGGGAGTTGTGAAGTCGATACAGGATGTCGCTGACGGACATATCGTCGTGCAGAGTGACTCTCTGAGGCACAGTGTTGAGGAGTGGACCCACCATCCTGAAAAGGAACGTCAAAGTAAGTGACCCGTTCCAAACACAGGTAAGGACGAAATGATAGTCTAACTGCACACCTTCCTGTATCAACAGAAGACATGTCACGACCGGAATGCGTGACACCAAATACAACGTCGTCAGTTCGCAAGTAGTGCCGCAAGACCAACGCCCAAGCCGCTTTGAAAAGACTCGAAATCGTGACTTCCATATCACAGCAGAACCGACTCAAGGACTGGGGCGACACGGCGGCGAGCGCAGTTTGGAACACCGGGAACCCAGCTTCTGGGGACGAAGGGCTCGAAACCTCGAACGGTTCACTCGGGTGCATTCCGGAGAGCTCTTCCTTCCAAAACGAGACGGTTCGGTCTTGATCCAGAGTGGAGGTGGCCATCAGGAAGTCCTGGAAGGTGTTGGACGGAGGCAGCGTCCCGTTGTTCACGGCCGTAGCGAAATCGTCCTCCAGAATCTGCATAGACCATCCGTCGTAAAGGGCGTGATGTATGACCTTGACGATTCGCTCTACGTTGCCGCCTTCTCCAACGCATGCTGCTAAGGCATACATCTTTCCTGATTCGATGCTGCAGTTACTGATCAGGCGATTGAGGATCTCTTCGTCAGAGATTTCGACGTTGAAGAAGGTGACATCGGATGATGTGGCATCCCTCAGCTCAACCTGTTGAGATAACAAGCAACGCAATCAGTGAAACTGTAAAACTTACTCATGGATTACATAGGATAAGACACCTATCGCGGTAGGCAGAACTTACGTGATAGACTTTCCTCGCAGTAGCAGCAAAGCGAGTCCGAAGGATCGCATGGTGGTTGCAAAGTGTCTTCCAAGCATAACTCACGTGCGCCGGTGTTAGGTGGCCACCGTCAACCGACCATGTGGAAAAGCCGTAGAAAGCCCGAGGATCTTGGATGGTCTTCATCAGCATACCCTCCTGGATAGATGTGGTTGGGTAGATGTCGAGGACATCCGACATTTCGACTCCCCAAGGCTGGGCGAATTGTGTGAAGATGGTTTGTCGCTCCTCCTCCGATAAAAGCGAACGTTTGGTTGAAGTAGCTTGTGCCACTTCATTGCCAATGTCTCGTTGAGAACGTGCCATGCATGCCGCAACTAACCTCCTGAGGGTCGGACTGACAAAGAAGTCGTTGGTCTCCACCATGAAACCCGCTTGCCGGGCTGCGATAGATGCTCGCACGGCGCTGATCGAATCTCCGCCCAACTGGAACCAACTGGTATTCTTGGTGATCGTGGCAATATCGACGCCGAGGAGGTGTGCCCAAAGTTCCCTCATTCTCTGCTCTTCTTGCAGATAGGTCTCCACCGCGGCAGGAGCGGACTGAACTAGCTCAATCAATTGCTTGACGTCGGCTTTCTTATTAGAGCTGAGGGGGAAAGCGTCGAAGGCATAGATGACGGTTGGGACGGCGTAGTATGGTAGAACCTTGGAAACTTCCTCGCGCACAGCCTCGACATCCACAGTGCTGGGAGTCACAAAGCCAACAATCGTCTTATCGTATACAGCGACCGTAGCGTCACTGACCCCGGATGTGTGCTGCAGTACGTGGGCAACCTCGTCGAGCTCGATGCGGTACCCCCCGAGCTTCACACGCCGGTCCGCGCGACCAATAATGTGGAGCGTTCCGTCGTCATTCCAACGGCCGAGATCGCCGGTTTTGTGCATAGGGATTCCATTCAACTCAATGAATGCCTCCTTGGTCTTCTCGGGATTGCCATAGTAGCCATCAGACAACCCGACTCCGGCGAGATAGATTTCCCCGCTGACGCCGATAGGCACAGGGCGTAGCTTGGAGTCCAATAAAAACACCTCCGTGTTGACGATGGGGATCCCAAGGGAGACTGGCAAGTCGCTCTTCATTATCGCAGCGTGCGTAAAGATCGTATGTTCAGCTGAAACAAATTCTTCAGCGAAGAAGTTCAGCGCATACAATGTAAATTTCTTTTACTTACTGGGACCATAAATATTGACCAACTGGACCTTGTCAGCCCACTCTTGCACAATCGCCGCCTTCATCGTCTCTCCCCCGGTTATGACCATTTTCAAATTGGTATAATCCTTCTGCCTCATTCCGCTCAGGACCGTCGGGGTGATGACAAGTACGTCTACTTTGCGTATGACCGATCGGATATCCCTTCCACGGATGATGAGCGTAGCGCCGTATGATAAGGCAGGCCAAATTTCACTACAAGGACAATTGTGCTCAGCAAGTCAAAAGGGGTCATTGGACATGTCCGTGACTACATACCCAGCACAGGCGTCAAATGTCACTGACATGACCTGACCAACTTTCGCCCCCCTTTTTATTCCGGTCGCGAAGATTGTACAGCCCACAATGTTCTGCAAACCTCGATGCTTCAGGAATACACATTTCGGAATGCCCGTGGTGCCTAGATGAAGAAACGATGCTCAGTATGCGGAAACGAGAGTGCATTATAGTGAGGACGGTCCTTCCTACCAGACGTAAACAGTGCACATGCGTTATCACTTGATGTGATGCCATCGATCCGCAAACGAGAAACATCGCCTGGCATCGAGAGCTCCTCGCTGATCAAAATGACCGGGCACTCGAGGCCAGGAACGACGGCCGAATGATATTCCTCGGTAAGAATCGCCGCAATCGCGACTCTCTCCAACTGAGCCGCGATCCTCTGCAAAGGATGATTGGCATCGGCAGGCACATATGCGCAACCAGCTTTTAGAACAGCCAGGCACGCAACCACGTTGTTAATGCTGTGTTTCGTGATGATCGCGACGTTGCTCCCGGGGCCTACACCGAGCCGATGGAGTTTGTTCGCGAGCTGGTTAGCTCGTTGTTCCATCTCACCGTACGTGAGACTATCATGATCGCACTCCGCGGCAATATCGTCCGGGTGAGCCTCCGCATGACGCTCAAAGGCATTGTGCAGCAATTCCTCAGGTAGAGCGCGCTGAGTGCCTCTCGAGAAGCGAAGAATACGCTGTTCCTCTTCTTTCTGCCAAGCATCAATAGATGAGATGCAGAGGTCCTGCCCGCTGGCGATGCATCCCACGACCTCCCTCAGGACGGATTCCCAAGCGGATGCTATGTGCTTCACATGCGCCACATCCATGACGCCTGAATCGTGTGCAAATTCGCAGGCGATAGTTGTTCCCAATCGCAGGGTGAGAGTCAATTCGTACTCGCATTCATCGCCGTGGAGACTCCTCAGCCAGATTTTGTCTCCGGGTTCGCTGGGTTGAAGCTGATTATGTTCATCAGGGAGTGGTACATCCTCTCGCGTAGAGGAATAGCGGTTGCTTCCTGTACAGACTTGAAATTAGGTAAGAAGTGCTCGAGCTCCTCTGAGGCCTCGTCGTGCACCTTCCGACAGAGGCCGAAGAGGGTAGGGTCGTCCAAAAGCTGAATCCGCTTTGGCGATGTCGTCAATAATATTCCGCAAATCCTGAAGAGAAAAAATGGAATCGACACGATTAATGATACCCATAAGGGAGTGAGGGTGGAAGGAAGGCACAAATCTGGCAATTCCTACTTGTCGACGTCAGCAATCGGAAGGTGTCGATTAGAGTTTACATTCCCAAAAATCACGTCGTCCACACGTTGGGACTGTCGCAAAACGAGAGCCCAGGCGACCTGCAAAATGGCGGAAGGTGCGACTTGCAAGGTTTTGGCGGCATAATGCAATCGTTCCACTTGTTCTGACGAGATGGTTGTGAATTGAGTCAGGGGCTCACCATGCGCACCGACTGAGGCTCGAGAGAGCGATGGTCCGGTACTAGCGTTTTCAAGCTTCGCACGCCAATATTGCTCGGCAGGCTCCTTGGGCAATTGCGCTGTGTAATCGACAAACTTGCGGAAAGACGGTCTTTCGCAAAGGGCCTCGCCTCGCAATGCAGAGAAGAGTTCCGTGAAAAGAATCTCGAGCGTCCAGCCATCGTAAAGCGCATGGTGCATTGTGATGACCACGGACAGACCATCGCCTGGATGTCGAATGATGGCAAGGCGATGCAAGTAAAGTTCATCCGCATCGAAGCCCGCACGGCAGTCCTCTTCAAGGAACCGGTCTAGTTCAGCGCCGACGGAAAGGCTATGCTCGTGGATATTGGGTTGGGCAGCAGGAGATACGACCTTTGCGATTAAAAGAGAAAAGATCAGCCGTTATCCCAGATGTACACATGTGCCAAATACTTCTCACCTGGAAGATTCCCTGCGTTGTTTTGCAAAACGTTGTCCGCAGGATGTCTCTCGCTGCAACCAGTCGCTCCCAGGCAGCCCGGATACTCGCAGGGGAGATCTCTAGCGTCGGATCCAAGCCGAAACAAGTATTCGATACATACTTGGAGCTCCGTCGCTCATGTAGCATGTAGAGTGCCGCTTGCAGATTGGTTGTTGGGAAGATATCCTGGATATCCACGCCGGTCAAGGTGTTGTGCACCAAAGCCTTGATTTCAACACTTTCCGTGCACGGCGCCTTGGGCTCCTCCATCCCGGCTGCCAATGTTTTGCTGGAGGCGAGGAGAGCCAAATCCTTCAAGATCGGAACCTTGTACACATCCGTGACGGCGACAGGCATGCCATATTTCCCAGAAACGATCGAAAGCTTGATAGCGCTCAAGGAATCGCCTCCCAGCTCAAAGAAGCTCTGGGCTTTCCCTATGGCCCTGGCACTGATATTGAGAGTCTCGCTCCAAATCGTCGCCATCAACTGTTCGTCGTCCGAAAATATCTCGTGTCGCGCTGCCTGCGGGATGTCCATGTCGGTTAAGGCCTTGAAATCAATTTTGCCGTTGCTATTCGCGGTTATGTTATCGAGACGAATCAGCAATGCAGGAATCATGTATTCCGCGAGAAGGTTTCGTAACGCCTCTCGAAGTGGTAAAGCTTCTCCGGAGAAACTCGAGTAAAAGCCGGTCAATAGGCCATCTTTGATAATGACTGCGGCGTTCGACACCCCTTCGACGGAGCATATGGCAAGAGCGACTTCTTCGAGCTCTAAATACCGAGCAATAAACATCGTAATGTATAAATACAGATGTTGAGCAACTAAGATACGAAGACAGACGGTCTTACCAACCCGGTATCCCTTGTACTTCACTTGATTATCCTGGCGTCCCAGAATCTGCAAGGTACCGTTTTCTGTCCATCGGGCCAGATCCCCTGTGGCGTACATAATCCCCTGCCCAGGAAGGACTTCACGGAATTTCCTGGCCGTCTCTTCCGGCGCTTTCCAGTACCCAGGAGTGACTGCCAAGCCACCAACGTACAACAATCCCACTTCTCCCAATGGACTCAATCTCATGTCTTCATCGAGGATCACGAGCTGACTTTCGGTAAGAGGGTATCCGACGGTGATCGTTCCAGTGGTACTGACTTGTCCTCCACAGACAACGAAACTTGTCTCAGAGGGACCGTATAATTCAATGACACGCCTTGAGCTCCACATCTTCAGGGTGGAAGGAGGGAGCGGCTCCGACCCAACATACACTGTATGAATCTGCGGGTACTCCTCTGGCCTAATCTGCGACAATCCGGTGGGAGTCGTATGAAGAACATCGATGGTGGCAAACACTTCGTATGTATTGGCGCGCATCACCATGGTAGCGCCTCGTGCGAGACCGATCAATATTTCAGATTGACCTCCATCGAACGAGATGGCGACGACGTTGGATAGACGAACGCCTCGCTTAATGTGTTCAAATACGCTATCGTCGAAGAGACGCGCGATGCCGCTGTGTCGAACAACGATACCCTTTGGCTTGCCAGTGCTCCCCGACGTGAAGACGAGCATGAGAGAGGCAGAGGAATCGGTGATGGCATCAAATGGGGCCGCGTTCTTGCCGTCGCGCTGAAGATCCTCGATGATGAGGACTGTTCCCTGATAACTCGTCGGTACGGAATCTTTCGCTGCTCGCGTAGTCAAGACGAACTTCGATTCGGCGATGTCGATCGCATCTTCGAGCATTTTGGTCGGGAATGTGTTGGATAGCGGGACATATGTCGCGCCTGCTTTTGCAAGCGCAAGCATGCCTACCACCATCTCGGCTGATCGGTTGACAATCAAAGCGACCGGCGCTTTAGAGACAGCCTCCCAATGACGGAACTTCAATGCAGAAGCTACGCTATCACTGCGAGCATCAAGCTCCTGGTAGGTCACGCGCTCGACGTCCGAGTCGATGGCTATGTCGGCAGGGAATTGACGGGCACGGTTCTGAAACGCGCCATGAATGGTTGGCGTGCGGAGAGCAGGTCCCCGGCCAATCTCGACGAGGCGCTCCTGTTCTTGAGAGTAGGTCCCGTCGGAAGACGACTTCGCTAGCATGCTTCCAGAGTGCATGGCTGCTTCGGTATTGTTCTCGTCTAGGATCCCAGTATTGCTCAACAACACTGAGTATGTATGGTCGATTATGCGAGGATAAAGGAATGCCGCCGTCTAAAGTTGTAGGGACGTGAGAGCATTGGCTGCTCAATATACTTCGGCTGGTTGGTCAAGGAAGGGTTAGGTTCCATGTTGGCGGTCCGCTCCGTGCCCACTACTCCTCCTCCGTCGTACTTCCACATGCAGTGCGGCGGGGACCTGTCGGCACGGCCAAGCGGAGCAAGGTTGTACTGTACACACATGTCCAAAGACTAAAGAATGCTGTATAGTCCTGGGACCAGCTGGTGGAGGTTGTTGTAAATACGTAGTAGTAGTATGTGCTCGGTGCGGACGTGGGATATCGGAAGTGACTTCTAATAGAGAGGTGCGGACGCGGAACGGACCCACGGAGACAGCAGGTCCTTCTGTCCGCGTGCGGTCGGACAATCCCCCACCTATACAGAACTTGCGCAGTCGGCCTGCTCTCCAGATGCTGACCTCAACATAAGGCATACGAGCAAGGGCATGGACAGTACATACATACAGTACATTTCAAAGACGAAAATGGTCAGTGCTTTCACTCCACAGAAGAGGGCAACCATTGTGGCCTTGCATAAGTCTGGAGACCTAGAATAACGTAGCGCAAAACCTGTCCAGAGGACCGACCATACCCGGTTACGACGGGCGCGTCGAAATCGAGGGTATTTGGGCTAACTAGTCGCGGCTGGCCGGCCCCCTGTCAACCACGGCGAGGGCTAGGCAGACATCACTCGTTCTAGGCAGACATCACTGTAGAAGCCTCAGTAGGCTGTGAGTGCGATCTCTGGACTACCTGGCAGGTGTCCTGAGCGTTGTGAGGTATGTCAGAAGTTTTGGCGTTGCAGTTGATGTGCTCGCAATTTCAAGGATGTTGGTCAAGATGTCGCCGACGACGGCGGCCGGTGACTTCTGCTGGCCACAAAGATTATGCTCTGGACGAGGAACGTAGTTCATGAGTTCAAAGGATGAGAGAAGGGAGGATACCTCTCGCATGCGTGGCATGGCACATTTCAGTATGACACTGAACAATTTCTCCAGCCTCAAAACGCATTTGCTGAGGAACCCTTCGCCAGCTTCGTCCGAGCCGTTGAAAAATATGGAAATCAGATCCCGAAAGATTTAAACTCTCTCCAAGTTCTCATGGAAAGAACGCAAGGTGGGGGAATCCACAGTTCTCGCAACGATTGGACAAGTTTATCACGTCTAATGCGGAATAAGATGGAACTATTCGCGGCGGGCGGGCGGAGGAGACGGTCGGTTGGAGTCGACGGGGGCCCCGGCCAAGAGTGCATGTATCCTATAACCAGAACTGAAGCAGGATGAAGGACGTCAACAGTCCCTTCTCGACAAGAGGACGTTAAGGTGAAAGGTGAGATGGAAAGAATCTTTTATAACCCCAAGTAACTCTATGCCCTGACCCTCGTTGTAAATCATAACTGAAAGCACGACGGAAAAGCGTCTACGAAGTGCTTCATATTCTGTGTATAATACAGTACATCACGCCGTGCAGCACAAGGACAGCCAAGACGCGTCCAGAGTGGGGGAAGGACAATTAAAGTGTCCAGAGTGGGGTAATCAACGCGATGGGGTCGCGCCTGGCCGTGCGCAGTCGGCCCCTAGCCGGGTGCTTCGGACACACTGGACAGCCCTTCACAGTGCCGCAATTGCGAGATCATCTTCCCCATTCCCACACCGACAATGCCGAAACCCCTCACCCCCCAAAAGAGGGCAGCCATTGTTGCGTTGAGCAACACTGGCAAGACACCCAGAGAGATTGCAGAGCAAGAGTCCGTGCCTGCAGAACCGTTCACAGAACCCTGAGGAGGTTCCAGAATGCAAATTGCGACGACCCCAACGCATTCAAGTCAACAAAACCCAGGAGCAGACCAGTTAAGTATCAACCCTCAGCAGACAAGCTTGCTGAACTTTGCAACGCTGAACGGGATTGTGCAGAATGTCTGGCAGACAATGGATGTTCATTTAGAGAGACTTATTGGTTCAATGCCTGGACGCATGGCCGCTGTCATTGCCGCAAACGGGGGACTTACAAAATATTAGGAACCCAGATCTAGTTTAGATTAGAGGTCCCAATACCGTGATTAGGAACCCAGATCGAGTTTTAGATTAGGGGTCCTAATACCGTGATTAGGGAGTCGGGACCATGATCAGCCGCGAGGACAGTGACTTAATTTCAGGCGCGACCTGCTTTATGGCAACAGACTGTACACGCCTGGTAGTTATAGTTTGGGGACGCCCGGACGAGGAACGCTTGGCCGCTCTATCTAGTGATGGTTCTATTGATGGTAGCAGTGCAAAGTCTTTCTATCCCACTACGAAGCGCGCAAAATGACTACACTACGGCTTGCGTGGGGAAAAATGACAAAGAAAGAAGGAGGAAAACGGAAGACCACAGCACTACTACTGTACACGGTAATGCGCCTCCTTGCGCGTTCGGATGTGAACTGCGCCACGGTCTGGTGAATCATAATGCAGAGTGTGTATCGGCAGCCGGAGTCCGGGGCAAACAGATTTACGCACGGCGTTGCGCCCCCGGGATGGAATGCGTGGAATGCAAGTTGTTGCCATGGAATGTCGTGTTTGTTTTCGTAAATTGTGGAGGTCCGCCGTCCAGAACGCGTGGAAAGTCGCCGGGTGCAAATGTCACGGCGCCCGAAGGCGTGAAGCGGGGACTCTCCAGACTCCAGCCATATCTACACGACGCTCGGCAAAAGTAAAACAGGGTCGGCTTAGCGCTAGTAAGTGAGGTCAAACAAGGGTGCGCATCGTGAGAGACGAGACGCAGGGAGACTTATGTGCAGCAGTGTTCCCGCGGAAGGCGATCGTCTCCCATTCCATACAGCCCACTTCGGTGCATAAGAAGCAGGCACCGGGCGACGGACCCCTCTCTCAAAAACTCTCGTCTGCTACCTCTCACTCCAGAAAAACATTCCCCCCGCACATCTCCATTCCGTCCGATTCCCAACAATGCTCGCCGTCAAGTGAGTCCTTCCCGCTCGCCCTCACCCTCACCCCATCCGACCCCACGCTAACCCCTTTCTCCCACTCCAGAGAACACCAATTCCTCGCTTACATCCGCGAAAACCTCGCCCCAAACGACATCGGAAATCCAGAGGCAGTTTTGAAACTCGCGGACGAATTCGGTCGCAAGCAGTGGCTGATGGCTGTGGGGGATACGAAGGGGGGGATTATCGATGATGTTGTGCGGGTGAGGAATCCTAAGGTGAGAAATGAGGAAGGATTGGAGGGGGAGGTTCGGGGGGATATAAGTATTGAAGATGGGTTTATTGGCTTCCTAGGTGATGATTGAACTCGGCTGTTATTGCGGATACAGCGCAACACGCTTCGCCCGGTTGTTGCAAGGGGAGGATTCGCACTACTATTCGTTTGAGATGAACGAGGTGTATGCCGATATCGCTCGCCAGGTAAGCGTCTTGGGATCCGTTTTGCCGTTCCATATGGGTCCCCACGCTTATCAGGTCAACCTCCCCGTTTCTAGATCTTCGAATTAGCAGGCCTCTCCCACAAAATCACAATCATCACCGGCCCCTTTGAAGAAACCTTCCGCCTCCTCTCCTCCACCTACAACGTCCAAACCGTCGATCTCGTCTTCATCGATCATGCAAAGGACCGATACCTCCACGACCTGCTCCTGCTTCAAAATCAGTCCACCTACTTGAAACCAGGAACGATCATTGTTGCGGATAATATTATCAAGCCGGGCGTCCCTGATTATCTGGAGTACGCGATGAATACGGATACGTTGAGGAGTAGGATGGTCGAGACGGAGTTTGAGTATACTACGACGGGGGAGAAGGATGCGCTTGTTGTTAGTGAGGTTTTGTAGGGAGGTGGGAGGAGGGAGGGTTTGGGTTTCTCGATTGGTAGAAATCTGTAGCGTATTATAGTGGTAGCATCCGTATTGCATATGTCTGTTTCAGTCTGTTCACATTCCCCAATTGTATATACTTACACAAAACAACACAAAAACAAACTCCGAGTCGTGAAGGGGGCAGAAGACCATATACAAATTACTGGTTGATCGCCAGAGACGCGATGATTGCAAAGACCCTTGACATTAGCCGTCACGCAACCATTGTTATTCGTTTGCATATGCGCACCTGCATGGTATCCGATGGTTCTTTGATATTCATTGTGGTGATATATGTTTGTGGTGGCCAGCATGCCCAGTGAGGCAGGATCTTGGACCTTGGATCACCCTGTCCGGTGTGCCGTTGGCAAATTCATCGGGGGACATCGGAAGCGAAACGATGCAAGAGGGGTTTCCCCCGCCCAATCAACTTTTACATCAACTCCGTCAACCGATATGCATAGACCCATCTGCCCCTCTGTCCTCATCTATGATTCCGTTTAGTTGAACTCAACTCGCATGGCGGATGATTTTGAGATGTACCGCCCTTGCTATCGTCTGTAAATATGAACACAGGGAAAGCGCATGGCCAGAAAACAAAAACCTTGCCGGAAAACGTGTCCATTTCAGACTCTAGGAATGACAAGAGGTATATACAATAGATATCCAAACGCTCAAACCAGAATCAAGAAAGGATCTCAGGTCAAACGGGCCTGGAGTCTACATCCCCTGAACTCCACCTACGCCTTGAACCCCACCCTCACCCCTCCCCACCAACGCCCTAAACGTAACGCCCCCCTCCGCCACGGGCCTCGGCTCCCTCACCAAGTCCGCCGGCGCTCCCAACTCCTGCACCAGGCCCCCCTGCAACACCATCACGCGATCATAATCCATAATCGTCCCCACACGGTGCGCGATGGTCAACACCGTCGCGTCCCTAAACTCCGACCGGATAACAGCCTGGATCATCGCGTCGGTTTCCGCGTCCATCCCCGCCGTCGCTTCGTCGAGGACGATGACGCGTGAGCGGCGGAGGAGGGCGCGGGACAGGCACAGGAGCTGTTTCTCGCCGACGCTGAACGGGGTCGCGGTGATGGGTGTGTCGAGTTCCGGCGATGTGGAGAATCGGTGGTGCATGCCCACGGCGCGGAGGGCTGCCCATAGCTCTGCGTCGCCACTCGTGCCCGTGGGGTCGAGGTTGAACCTCACGGAGCCGGCAAACAGCGCCGGGTCCTGCGGGATCAGCGTGAACCGCGATCGGATGCATTGGAGGTCGACGGAGCGGGTGTCGATGGCGTCGACGAGGATGCGGCCGGAGTCGAGGGGCGTGAGGCCGAAGAGGGCGGCGGCGAGGCTGGACTTGCCGGCGCCCGTGCGGCCGACTATGCCGATCTTCTCGCCGGGTGTGGTGATGAAGGAGACGTGGGAGAGGACGAGCGGCATGCAGGGGCGGTAGCGCATGCTGACGTCGTCGAATGAGATCTGACCAGCCGTGGGCCAATCGTCGGGGGTCACGGAGCCGGCCGTCGCATCCTCAACGACCTCAAACCCAGCCCCGGTGTCCCCCGCCCGCCGCTCCCGCTCCGTGGGCAGATCGGTGTACTCCGCGACCCTCTCGACCGCCACGGCCTGGTTCTGCAGATCGCCAAACAACCGCAACAGCATCATCAACGCGCCCGTGATCTGCATCGCGTACGTGATCGTCAGCCCCGCGCCGCCCACACTCACCCGCTCCCTCATCACGACCGCAAACACGCACGAGCCCAGCACGACGCACGCCGCGAGCAGCTCCGAGCGGATCTGCACCCATTTGTTGCCGCAGAGGAACGTCAGGAAGGCGCTTTGGTTCACGTCGAGGAGGGTTTGGTACCGCGACGAGAAGGCCTGGTGCCGGCCGTGGACGCGGATGGTGGAGGCCGCGGGGAGCACGGTGGAGGCTGCGGCGTACACGGGGGAGGAGGCAATCATCATCAACCGCTTAAGTTCGCGTGAACTCGCGAGGTAGTACGACTGCAGCAGGTAGTAGGCGCCCGCTAGCGGGCCGATGAAGGTCAGGAACACCGGGTTGGTGACGACGATGATGATCAGGGTCGAGACGACGGAGAGCGCGGCGTACAGGAACTGCACGTAGGTCTGCACGAGCGATTCGTCGATGGTGCCCATATCCTGCGAGAAGCGGTTGTTGATGCGGCCCACGGGGGTTGTGTCGAACCACGAAGCGGGCGCGTCCATGACGGCGCGTAGCATCCGGGCATGCAGCACCCGGCCGCCCTCGATGCCCGTTTTTGCATAGAGCAGCGCGTACGCGGCGAAGACTACAACACCGGCTGCGGCGACGCTGGCGGCGTAGTAGCCGAGGTAAGTGTTGTCGCCGTCGAGTGTGTCGGCCCATTTGGAGAGGATGACGGTGGAGGAGATGAGCGCGGCTTGCGCGAGGCTGGCAACGAGGAGCCCGCTGAGCAGCCAGGCGGTGCCACTGGCACGGATGTAGGTGAGGTAGTGGGAGGATTTGACGGCGCCGGTTGAGCGGGACTCGGTTTGGATGAGTTTGCCGTCCTTTCTGGGAGTGTCGTTCCCGACGTCTTTGTCAGGAATCAGATGAACTACTTCTACATCGCCGCCCGACTTCGCGTTCACTGTACCGGAAGTTGAGACCGACGCAAAATCCTCACCCGGGTCCTCCCTCTGACTCCCCTCACCCCCGTCATCCCCACTCATCATCCCCGCGCTCTCCAAAATCCTCCCAAACTCCGTCTCGCCCCTCACCAGCTCCACATACCCCCCCTGCTCAACCACCGCGCCCCCCTTCACCACCACAACCCAATCCACCTCCGCAATCCCCTTCAACCAATGCGTCACCACCACCCTCGTCTTCTCCTTCAACAACCCGCGGGGCCCAATCACGTGATCCCAGATATGTCTCGCGACCTGCGCGTCGACGGCGGAGAGGGGGTCGTCGAGGAGGTACAGCGAAGCTGCGGCGTAGACTGCGCGGGCGAGGGAGATGCGCTGCGTTTCGGCGTGCCAGGTGGGGGTTAGTCTTCTCTCATCACATTTGCACAGCGGGAGGGAAACCATGTAACAGAAACCAACGTACCTGTTTCTGCCCGCCGCTGAGATTGACCCCTTGTTCGCCAATCTCCGTGTCGTCGCCCGCGGCCATCCCCGCGATATCGCTGCGGAGCGCACACGCGTCCACCACCGCGGTATACCACGTTTCGTCGTAGTCCCGCCCAAACAGGATGTTTTCACGGAGGGTAGCGTTCTGGATCCACGGTTGTTGCGGGACGTGCGCGATGGTCAGGCCGTCGAGGATGTGGACGCGGGAGGAGGGGGGCACGGGGAGCATTTCGCCGAGGATGGCGGCGAGGAGGGACGATTTGCCGGCGCCGAGGGGGCCGACGAGGGCGGTGAGGGCGCGGCGGGGGATGGCGAGGGTGAGGTTCGTCAGGGTCGGTGTGGGCACATCCTCATCCCAGGCGAAGCTGGCGTTGTCGAACACGACCGCGGAGCCCCCCGGCTGCGCGTCGCTTGCGACCCTCTGCACGGCGTTCGGGTCGAGTTCGTCGAGGAGCATGTACGCCTCGAGGCGGGTGAGCGACACCCGCGCGCCGTTGCCGTTGGTGAAGAACGCGTTGAGATCCTGCACCGGTTCCGCGATGACCGCAAACAAGGATATGCTGACAAAGATCCGCGTCGCGTCCAGCGGGGTGCCGAGCGCGACGGCGGTGGCGAAACTGGCGAGCGTGACGAGGAGGGGCGTCATGGTCCCGAGGAACAGCTCGGCGGCGGCGTACAGCGCCATGCTGCGCAGGGCCAGCAGCTCGTTCCTGCGTGCGTGTTCGATGCGGGTGAAGAAGGGTGCGATCCACCCGTAGTATTTCAACGAGCGGATATGGGTCAACGCTTCGTCGACGAGGTTGACGCGTGTGTCCGCGTGCTTCATCTTTCGCGCAAACAGACGCTCGTACAGCCGGCCCATCCCCGCCTGCATCGGGACCAAGAGCAGCACAATCACGCCCAACCCCGCCAGCGTCGCGGTGCCCAACTGCTGCCAGAGTAGATAGGTCCCGATGGCGACGTTGAGCGGCGCGGCCCAGAAGAGGTGGGAGAGCTGCATGAAGTTCATCACGCGGCCGGTATCCATGCCCATGTGGTTGGACAGCTGGCCTGCGGAGGTGCGTTGGCGCGCGGCGGGAGAGAGGTGGATGGATTTATGGTAGATGAATGCGTTCACCGCTGCGCGGAGCTTGTAGCCGGTGAGGAAGGCGTTGACCCATGCCTGCACGTTCAGGATGCTGTTGAGCACGCCGGCGGTGAAGATGAGGAGGGCGAGGAGAATGCCGAGCCATAGGGGTGTGGTGGCGTCGCTGATGACGGAGAGGATTTGCCCGAGGAGGATGGATTGGAGGTAGGCGAACACCATGGCTGCGAAGCGTTGCACGCCGGCGAGGACCCATAGGGTGCCAAAGGCGTTGTAGGCGGCGCGTAGCAGGCTGGGTTTGGCATCCTGTCCTGCTGTTGCAGCCCGCTGCCCCTCGGCTACCCATGCTTTCCTGAGTTTGGTCACCAGGCTCCCGCTGGTCTGTTTGGGCGCTGGCGTCCACAGATCGCTCATCTGCAGCGTGCGCTTCTTCCCCGTCTTCATCACGCTGTGCATGTACTGGAACGTCACGCGGGAAAACACATTCACGTTGCTTCCCGTCGGCGTCGGGCTCTGCGGGGTCAACGTCTCCTCATCAACGGCGCGGGTGAGGTTTTCAAGCACGAATTGCGCGATGAGCATCCCGAGCTCGATGGCGGTGGTGATCAGGGCTGATGTCGGTAGCAGCGCGATGTGGGCGCTGGTGAGGGAGCGCACACGGATGGAGGCGAGCACGGCTGCGAGGGGCCAGTAGACGAGCAGAAGGGTGGAGGGGCGAAATGTGCGCGTGTGCTCGACCCATAACAAGGTCGAGGCGGAAATCAAGGCGATGAGGTGGAGTGTGCCTTGCAGCACGGTGGCGGATCCGTACTGCTCGACATACTCCGGCGTCGTGAGTGCGATAAGGAGGCTGGCGAGGGCCGATGCCGCGGTGGCGATGGAGAGGATGCGATTCAGCGCGCGATGCCAGATATGTTGCAATTTTTGGGTGGCTGGGGATGTGGGCCGGCACCATAGGAAATGGAGACGGAGGAGCGCTAGAATGGTGAGGATAAGGTCCGGGATGAGGTATAGGATCCTTTATGGATTTGATGAGAAGGCCCGTCAGTATGGCTGCATGCCGAGGCAAATGCAGAGCATCGACAGCAAGTTACCCATTGAGAAAGCACGGGGAAAAGTCCTGGACACTCGAGCGCTGATCAAAGACGGTCTGGAATCACACCATTCAGAACATCTCGATCCACCGCGCAATCCCTTTACTCAAACCGCGAAGCCACTCACCAGCCCCGACTGACTCGTTCCACAGAACGTCATGCGGAAAATTGACTCTTTTGTTGCAAAGATATATCAACTTGAATGCTAACGATGTTAAAACGACTTCGGGTAGGGTTGCTACCGTAGGTACGTGTATGTTGGGCGGCAGTGCTGTTTTCCTCAGACGTTCTCCCGCACCCCAGTCCTGACTTTATATAATCCAGTATTCGCACACGTCCAGGATATACGACCCCCGACCATAGGCTTTAGGTTCTTTGCACCCATTTCTACCGTCCGTAGGAAGCCCACGAAGCTCATTTCCTTGCGGCGAGTCGGCGCCCATGTTCGAATTTTAGAATTTCGGAGGTCAAGCTTTTTACTGTAATTTCGGTGAGAAGAGAAACAAATTAGAGGATCAAGGGCGGTAGATTCGTGTCAGGAAGGGAAAGTACCGAGGGTTGGGAACCTTGGGGACCATGGGATATCGCTCATGGGCTTCTGGTTTCTTCATCATGGGGGATGGTAGGAGGGTGAGACGGGTAAGGAATGGAAGGGCCACAAAACCCGACGCCCGCCAGCCGCAGTATCAATCGAACTCGATCCCCACGAACGCCCGGGTGGTTTTGACAGTGTCATTGCTATTGACAGGCGCGTTTCGAGTAACGTAAGCATATAAACGCGTCCGTCGAATCGAGACTTCCCCAGACAACAGAAAGCAGCATTCGTTCTTTCTTCCGCTTCGTCCCACCACCAGTCCCAGCACATAGCCACCTGACCTTGAACTTATATAGATAGGAACCGACAATGGCTCCCAGAACGACAACGACCCATCACGCAATCGACCGTCCTCGTGCGAGCCAAAAGCGGCGTACAACCGGCCCCCACAAGCCACGAGAGATCGCGCGGCGGTCCCCTGCAAAAGACTTGGATGAGTTTCCACGAGGTCAATGGCGTTGATCCCGCCATTGTACACTGATATAAAAGCGTCGCCGAACCTCTCCAATGTACAATTTACAATCATGTACTCTACAAACACCGACAGCACAATGAGCCGAAGGAAGAGTAGGACTAGCCCGCACCAACACATCGTGCTCTAACGAGTGACTCTTGAGGAAGGATGTCCAGGCAATCAGTGGCCAACAGGCAGCAGCAAATCGGAAACCGTTGGTGGTGGTTTTAGCGATGGAGAGATCCGAGTGCAGGGTCCTTTGTGACCAACACAACAACAGCTCATCCAGTATCAAGGTTCCTGGACGCGGACTATACCTGAAAGGATTCTTGAAGAACCGAAAAGCGAAACTCAGTGATTGCGAGTATTGCAGGGGCCCTCATAAGGGGGGGGGGGCCCTTCTTCCACAAGGAATATATCTAAGAATATAGACAATCACCCACACCGCTGGCCTGCGCTCCCTTCGCCAGCCTCCAATTTCTCATCCCGTGCGTGCGTGGGCTGGACGAGTTTCAAGGAACTGATGACTTGGGTTTTTGAGAGTGGACGGAAAAGGAGTATGGACGGCGCAGGAAGTAAGGGACCCGGCAGGACGTGGGCGCTTGGCATGGAGACGCGGCGGGTGGTGAGGGTGGAGAGAGATCAAACTCTCGACGCCGCGGACATAGGCAAGTCGAACTCAGCAGGAGGATACGTGCGCGGGTGAGGGACGAGGCGAGTGTTGGCAAGACCCATGATGCTGCAGGAATACTAAATGAACGCCAGCTGTCGGGAATGAAGCTCTTATATCCGTGTAAGATAGCATGGGAGTCAAAATTGCGTGCAGAGAAAGCGCGTGTGTGAGTGTTTGCAAAAAGGGGGAGAATTTCCACGGGAGGCAGTGACTTTGCCGCCGGCGAGCCTAGTCACGTGACTCCCCTTGAGAAGAGGAAGTTGGCGAGAACGAGGCGGTGAGGGGACTCATCTCGGGGGGGGGCGAGAGGCGAAGGAGGCGGACGGCACACAAGCGGACGAGCAGACGGCCACGACGCAAAAACGGACAACGGCAGAGCGGCACATAACTCCCACTCTCACACTCCCACTCCCCCCCTGCCTGCCTTCACAACTCCCAACTCCCACTCTCTCGCGGAGGCATCACCCGCCCACGCGCAGTCTCCTCCTGAGCCTACCCTACCTCTTACCCGCCTCCGTAGCACCCCCGCTCGTCCCAACCGCTCGTCGTAGACCTCCCAGCGCGTCAAGAGACTCTGGATTGTGTCACGCCTCCGAAAAACGCCTCTCGAGAAAAAACACTACGACCCGACAAGAAAACGTAAGTGTGAAAACGTGAGGTGTGAAGTGTGACTTGTTCGAAGTGTGTGGTGTGAATCCTGGACTTTCCATTTTGGGACCGTAATCATGCGTCACATACTATGAAGGCGAATCTCTCGGCGTGGGAAAATGGGTGTGAGCCCCAAGCCAGGCCCATGGCGGGGAACGAAGCGACGCGCAAGACTGGCTTGGGGCTGCCGACGGATAGCGAGCAACGGCACGAGCGACAGCGGAGGCCCAACCTCCATGCTCAACACACCTCAGCGATACAGTCCCGTTTTTTTCGTGAACACTACTAACACCTCCATCTCCCTGCTCAATATCTACAGTCAACAACCCACCCGATACCCATCCCACAGGGGAATGATCCACCACTGGCAAAGGACACAGACCACATCTCATCGCACCCATCCAACAGCAACACCAACATCTCCCACCCTTCACCCCCAACCCACCCAGCAATGATGATCCCCCCCTCTCAAATGTGTCTCCCCTCGCCTTCGGCAAACCTCTTTGAACGGAGCATGAACGCCCTCGTCTCCAATTTCAAAGGCTCAATGGCCGCGGCGGCGGCGGCAGCGGCTAGTCAGGGGACGTTCGATTGGGGGATTGAGGAGGATCCGGCGTCGTTTTTGGGGTCCAATTGGGATCCCACGCAGGGATTTGAGGAGGGTGGTGGGAAGGAGGGGTTGGATGAGCTTTTTGATCAGGATTTACTTGGTAGGTAACTTTGCGAGCGAAGCGAGCAGCTCCACCCATCGACATTCAGTAACGGCGATGGTTGGATCTTGCTGGCGCTCAATGATCGTGCACCCTTTGCTTACCTTGCCCTTGATCATTCCAGGCCTCTTTGCGGCGTCAGCAAACCTTCAACAAAAGGGCGGGGATTTAACAGGCGACAACAACAACAACAATCTACCCAACCTATCACCATCGACAGAAGCCCTCTTCACGCTCGACAATGGGCAATACCTCCTAACACCCGGTGGCTCCCTACGCACAGATTCATTCCTGGGTGCCCCATCCGCCACACACCTCTCTTCCTCCTCACCTGCGCAACTCGACCAGGACCAAATAACAGATTACGATGCCGCATTCACAAACTACCAGGCGCCAACGCCGTTCTCTTCCACCGCAGGAGCAGCAGGTACCGCCGCATCACCGGGCAACGCGCTACCATCTTCAGCCTCGTCAGCGATGCTTGCACCTCTCCCGAACAGTCTAGACGTTGACGAGTTCAAAAACCCGGCGTTCGACTACATCGTTGGTTCTTTCCTCGACACGATCGAATCGATGGCACCGGCGACCAATTTTGATCTCGACGCCTTTGCCGACATTGGGAAAACATATACCAACAGTATGGGCTCGCTGGATCCCAATGCCCTTGGAAGCAGCGGCGCCGGGTTGGGATCGTATGGGGACGGCAAGGGTTTGGAGTTCCATGAAGACATGTTGCTGCTCGATTTCGATGATTTCGCGTCGTCGCTGGCGTTGAAGAACCAGACGACTTCGGCAGCTGTAGCACAGTTTGATGATAGTCTGAGTGGGTTGAACAATCTGGCGGCCTCGGCCGGGCTCAATGCGGAGAGCCGGTATGGTGGGGCGGGTGGTGGAGTGTCGATGGGGAACGTATATGCACCACCACCGCAACAAACGTCGCCACAGAACACGACGGCGTATGGCCTCTCGCCCAATGCGCAGATTACGAATGCGAGTCCCGCCGCGATGCAGCAGCAACAACAACGGCAATATCAACAGCAGCAAGGGATGATGCTCGCCCCTAGCCGGGCTGCTTCGCGAAGAGGACCGGGAGCAGGGGCGGATGCGAGCAGGTACTCTCCTCGGCCGCCGACCAACTCGCAATCGTCATACCAGCAGCAGCAGCAACAACAGCTTTTGCAGCATCCACCGCAATCGCAGCACCGCATGGGCAAGCAGACGTCTGACCCGTCGCAGTTCCTGAACAACCAGGGTGGGTTGGATATATATAACGGCACGCCGCCTGCGCAGAAGTTCCAACCCCCGCAGCAACAACAGCAACAGAATATGGGCAGACCATACCAACAACCGCCACCGCGCCCCGTCGTCCAAAGCGCCGGCGCCGCCGCATCAGTCTACCGCCCCGCCCACACGCAGCTGTTCCCCTGCCCGAGCGCAAACTGCTCCAAAGTCTTCTCGAAATACACCTCCCTGACGCAGCATCTCGCGACCCAGCACGGCGTCACGCAGATGCCGCAGGCACCGCCGGTTGCCCCGCAAGGGCTATCGCACCATCATCCACATCACCCGCAACAATCCCAACCACAATCGCACATATACAACCCGAACCACCCGCAACCCCAACAACACCTGAATCACCCACCCGGCCCCCTCTACCACACCCCCCAATCACACTACATCTCCCACCCAACATCCACCTCTCCCGCCGCAACCACCCAATCGCAGACAAACACGTCAAAAGCAAAACCCTACCACTGCACCCTCTGCCCCCAAACCTTCTCCCGCTCCCACGACCTCAAACGGCACTACTACGTGCACACGCAGGAAAAACCTTACCGGTGTAAACGGTGCCAGAAGGGGTTCTCCCGACGGGACGCGCTCAAGCGGCACGAGAAGAGCGTGGCGGAGGGGAAGAAGGTGCATTGCCGGGCGGCGGATGGGAGTGTGATCGGCGGGCCGTGGGCGGATGATGAAGATGAAGATGAAGAGGAGGAGTGGGAGGGGAAGAGGAGGACGAGTGGGTTGAGTGGCGGCGCCGCGAGCGAGTTTGGAGGGAGTCCGATGCCGCAGCATGTGATACAACAACAACAACAACAACAACAACAACAGAGACCGCAATCGGCACCGGAGGGTGTGGGGCATGCCGGACAACAGCAGCAGCCGGACCCGCTGTATCAACAACTCAGGCAGCAGCAGCATGCGGCGAGGGAGAGGATGGAGAGTGGGGGAAGCGGGGGGAGTGGCGGTGGAGCGCAATAGGATATTGTGCCGCGGGGGTATCCTTTCCTGGGGGGTTGAGTTCCACACACGCATACCATGGCATACCCCCCTCGTTACCACTCACAGGGTTTCTGAATCATAATTCTTAATTACACCCTTGTTATGGGAAAAAAACGCATACATGCAACATATGATTGTTCTTTTTTTTTTGCTTTGCGAAAGTGTCCCAGAACGGTCCGCCTCCAAAAACCTCCCCACCCGATGTCGGGCCCGCGTCCCATCCCCCCGGATCCCCTTCTCTCACGCTTGCCCCCTTCCCGACCGGTTACGACGTCCAAGGCTTTATCGACCTCGTGCATTTTCTCGACAATGGCGCTTCCGTCATCAGCGTACGCTTCCTCTCCCACTACCCCTTGTCTCCTTGCCCTCCGTCGGGTGAAAAGGCCGCAGCCCGGCCGTCGAGGCGAGATCGTAGAGATGAAGACTGCCACCAACCTCGCATCCAAAGAAGCCCAGCTCCGCGGCCTACAAGCCGAGCTCAAAGCCAAACTCCACGAAATCAGCGCTCTCTTCTCTCGCGAGTTCGGCTTCGCGGCGCGCTTTGGCGATCGCGGATTTGGCTTCGGAGCCTTGGTGTACCGTCTCACGTCTGCGTCCATATCGGGACAGTAAAACTCAATTGTAGCCCAGGTTGGCCACCCGGATCCGCATTGGCTCCCCGGCGTGTGCCACGACTTGCAGGATGGATCGGCGACGACGTGGACGGGGCCCACTCCTTCTGGGCGGGCGTTCATGTTACGATGGTTCAGCGCGACGCTTGGACCTGCGCAGGAGGACAAGTCGTTACCAAGCCTTAGTCCTCGAATCGATTCGGTGTTGGGGAAGCCTGTGCGTTCTTGGTCCGGGTGCATCCTTCCCGCTCGTTCCGAGGGTCGCTTTTTTGCTCAGGTGGGGGTGCATTGCTCCTCATGACCGGCCGGATGGGGTTTCTTGGTCATGCATCGTTCCCGTTCCGAGGGTCGCTTTTTTTGCTCAGGTGCAGTGCATTGCTCCTCATCACCGCCCGGATGGCGTTCCTTTCCTTGAAAAGGAGTATACCATCTCGCCAGCGTCGCTATATAGTGGTCCTCAGGACGTGTTTGCTGCGATGGTGTCCGCCTCCATCGCTCGCACACGGAGCAAATATATGCACCCCCACGTCAACGCCACATAGATGCAGATTCGTCTTGTTTCGTGTGGGATCCGTGGTAGTTGGGAAAGCTCTTCCTCCCATGCGCTTCGGAAATCTTCGTCCGCCAGCCTCATCGCCAGCCTCATCAGGTATCCACGAGGATCTCAGCTCGCGGATGGCTCCGGAGCGCTGCCATCAGGTTTATTGAGACCGATCCGAGAAACGGAGAGATGTTTCAGCTCGTATGCTGTGCGAGGTCACTGCGATGCTGTGGGGCTTTGTCGCAATCGAGACGGATAGTCTCTCCTCGTCGACAGCCTCGTCGGGCTGGGTCTTCCCGTGCCTTGTCGGACCGCACAGCTATTTGGATGCCCGTCCACATCCAGGAGGGTGAGTGCCGACACCCGCACGGGCTTCGGCAGTCGGCAATGCTGTTCTGTTGTTGTTCTCAGGTGCAGTCTACTGCTCTCGCTGTATCGCTCGCTCTTGGAAGTCCGGTTATGGACTGACCAGAGTCCCGAGAGACCGACGTTCCCATGATGGAGACGTGCTGATCGAATCTAACGATACGTATGGATATGTAACAGGGACTACGAAATACACAAGCATCCGTGGTGTAGTGGTCAACATACTCGCCTTCCAAGCGAGTGGCCCGAGTTCAAATCTCGGCGGATGCACGAGTTCATTTTTTCGACTTTTTTGGTCAGTTCTCTCTCTCTTGTGATCACTATGACGTACGTATGAATCATGCAAGCCCTCTGCGTACGTATGTTTGACAGCGCGTGTTGAATCTGTGGGACTTCAGCCTCGCTCCGTTCCCAACACAACACAACAATCCCCCCCCAGGCCCATTTACACAATCGCCGCTCGAGACTTCCATGAGTCCGAGGCATGTGATTCCCTGAGTCCCAACGAGAGCCGTGTGTTGGTTATTGGGCGGCTTTCGCGAACGACAGAACGTCATCCATCCAGGTATGAATCAACATGCGAGATATATCTCTCATGGCTGTCATTTATTGATTGAGGCATATCGCCGTTGTGTGGATGGATGAGCGGATGTGGTTGTTTATGGAGGTGTCGAAAACCCGTTTTGAGTGGGTTCTCACATGGGAGGGGTGCCAGTTGCGTGGGGGGGGGGGGGGGTGGGGGGCTATTGATTGAATAGCGCGATGACATCACCACCCGCGCGCGTCCCTTTCCCTTCCGGGCTGCGTTGCGTGTTGCGATGCGGATGTGTGGGTTTCGGAAGAGAGGAGGGACGGTTCTTGCCACATGATGATATCTCTCCCAGACTCGGACTGCCTGGAGTGTGGCGAGATGATGACACCATCGCCCGTAATGTCTGTGCTTCCCCTCCCTTCCTGAGCATTTCAACCGTCCCCCCCCCCCCCCCCCCAAACTATAAAACAACCCCTCGCTCGTCCGTCCGCTCTCGGTTTTCTTGTTTTCCTTCGTTCAAGTCCATCCATCCACTTCTCAAAGCTCAGGAGCTAAAAAGAGATCTATATCACAACACAACATTCGCTAAACCCCCCTTTTTTGAATCTACACACACCCATCTTGGATACTCCACCCTTTTTGAAACAAGCATACCAACGAACATGTCTTCGTACACTACCCAAACAGACCCGACTCTCGCCGTCGTCACGGAGCAGACCACTCTGGCCCAGACTGGGAACCCCGATCAGCCGATTGAGAGGATCGATACCGTCGATATTCAGCCCGTTGTTGTTGAGGAGGAGGGACTACCCTATGGTGAGACTGCTGAAGGTATGTACGCGAGAGCGGTTGTGTGCGGCGAGCGTTGGCGGGCCAATGCATGTTTTGTGATGACAAATGACAAACCGCGAGCGAAGCGAGCGTGGGTGCCCTGTCTGCAACGACCGAAGCGAGGTGCAGGACTGGTTCTGTGTGAGAGACCGATAGGTCGAACAGGGCGAACGCTTTCTGGTTTGCGATGGGAGCGGCAAGCGATAGCGTGCGAGTCCTTGAACATGGGTCTTAGCGAGTCCTTGACCATGGGTTTTAGCGAGCCTCAGCGAGCACCCTTTGGCGCAAGATTCCCCTCATCCAACCTCCACTTCGCGACTTTCAGTCATCCAACCATCGCCGCAACATACTCATACCTTCTTCCTCCCGCAGCCGTGCCCAAGACGTCGGCCTCATCGTACATCCCATCCGCATCCACCATTTCTTCTTACCTTCCATCGACCGAACAAGTGAAGGACACTCTCGCGAGCGCGGCCACCACAGCAAAGAACGTTGCTGGCCAGGCTGCTACCGTCGCTGCCGGCGCTACCAGGTCAGCAGCGGATACCATCCAGCAGTCCGGCGCGATACCCAAGGCCAAGGAGCTTGCTTCGTCAGCGGCTTCCACCGTCGCTTCGGGTGCTCGCTCTGCGACCAACGCCGTCACCTCGTCAGTGTCCGCACCGTCCACCGCCACGGCTCCCACAACGTCCACGGTCGCCGGCTCCAGCACGGTCGTGCCTTCTCCCGTCTCGTTGTCGGAGGTTCCCGCCGGCAGCGTGATCTACGTCGCGCAGCCCACAGCGCCTGAAACCGCTTCGACTGCTCCTTCGTCCCGTGCGATCTCTGGAGCTCAAACCGCTGGTTCGACGGCGGGTAACATTGCTGGTACCGTCGCCGGTACCGTCTCGGCGGCCGCCAACTTGGCCAAGGAAGCTGCGGTCGGCGTCACCAACAAGGTCTTTGGAGCTGGCACTACCGACACTGTTCAAGCAAAGGCTGGAGAGACAGTCGAATCTGCCAAGCAATCCGCCATCGGCGCAAAGGAGTCTGCTGTGCAAACGGCCATTGGCGCGAAGGAATCCGTCAAGGCCAGCCTGCCTGGAACGTCGACCACCAGCAGCGCCTACAGCACCATTCCATCGTCTGAGGAGTCGCCCATCTACGCTGCCCGTGAAGCCGCCTACGAGACTGCCCCGCAAACCACCGGCTACATTGCCAACGCTACCGAAGCAGTCAAGAACACCGCCGCGAACGTTCAGCAGGCCGCTGCTAGCAAGGTCGGCCAGGTCCAGCAGTCCGCGCTTAACACGGTCCAGCAGGTGCGCGAGCAAGGCCCCGTCACCACCGCTTCCTCCGTTTTGTCCAAAGTTGGAGCTGGAGTCGGAACGGTCCTTGGAGCCGTCGCCGGATCCGTCGTCGCTGCTACTCATGTCGCTACCGACGTTGCTTCCGCTGCCATCGGCCGTCCTCACGAGCACAGCACCCTCCCAGCCCAGTACGCTGGTGAACAAAAGGCCCGCAACATCGAACACTCTCTGCAAGAGAACAAGGACCGGGCTGTCGGTGCTGTGAACGAGGCTGCTTCCGCCGTCGCCAACTCCCAGCCCGTGGTGGCCACCACTTCCGCCACTCGCTCGGCTTACGACTCGGCCCAAGCCAACGTTATTGCGGGTTCCACCCTCGTCGGCGACGCGGCCCACGTCGCTTACGACAAGACCGCCCAAACCGCCGCTCAGGCCCGTGACATCGGCGCCTCGACCTATCGCTCCGCCGCTGACACGACTAACGCAGGTGTTGCGGCCACCAAGGACACCGCTGCTTCGGCTTACAACAAGGCGGCAGAGATTGCGGCTCCTGCTGTGAACACTACCAAGAGCGCTGCAGCGACTACGTACAACACTGCTGCGGGTCTTACCCAAGCTGCTGTGGATACCACCAAGAGCGCGGCTTCAACTACTTACAACACTGCGGCGGGATTGACCCAGTCCGCGGTCGACACGAGCAAGGGTGCTGCTTCGTCGACTTACAACACCGCTGCTGGGTTGACCCAATCTGCCGTCGACACGACCAAGAACACTGCAGGAGCTACCTACGACAAGGCCGCTTCCTACTTGCCCACCTCCAAGTCGGCGACGACCACCACCACCACCGCGGAGCACATCTCGGCTCCCCTTCCCCCCACCACGGCATCTCACTCGCACCTCGGGAGCCCCGCGGGTATCGCCGGGGCTTACGGCAGCTCGGCCCCTCACCAAGCTCACACTGGTCTTACCGACGACTCTGCGATCGCCGCGGTCTTTGTCCCCTCGGACCAACGCACCCCCGCTCAACAAGCCGCGGTCGACGCTGCGTTGAACAAACCCTCCCTCCCAACCCCAACATCGGCCCCCGCTTACTCCCCTACCGCCGACCTCCTCAAGGACACGACCTACACCGCCCCCACCACTTCCACCGGTGTCAAATCCGTCCTCCCCGCCGACCTCACCTCCGCCGAACTCGCCTCCCCACCCTCCGACGACACCTCCACCCGATCCCTGCCCACCTCCTCCGCCGACGAGCGTGAACGTTTCGCACCTTCTTCCCTCGGCTCGTCAACCCACACCGCCCCCTCTTACGACGAGCAGCGTTACGAGAAGCCCGCCAACACGTCGTCCCACGCCGGTTCCATCGCCGACCTCTCCGCTCTGCACCCGGAAGCCGCCCCCTCGTCGACGCAGGTCAACGCCCTCCCGTCCAACCCGCCCTCGGCTGCCTACACCAACACGCAGCCGTCTGAGCAGAGGGAACACGTCCATGTGTCGATTGGGGAGAAGTTGAAGACGAAGGTGGACAAGATCTTCCACCCGAGCGCGCATACGCAGGATAAGCACCGTGTGGCGCCGGCGGAGGGTGTTGCTCACGGGCACACCCACTAAGGCCTTTTTTCATCCCTTGCCCTTTGTCCTTGAGTGAGCGGGCTATGCGATTTGGAAATCATGCCCCCTTCACTACCTACCTACTCTCGAGTGTATTTGTGTCTTTTTGTTGCTCGATCCTACTCCCCTCTTTTTTGGCTTCACACCCCACCGCTTGCAAAAGCTTTGTATGGCTCGATTTTTGTATAACGGATGTGAGATTTTGAATACATTTGATAAAAAAAACTACTTTGGTCTGCGGTTGGTGTTGGTGATTGCATTGGCGTTCTCTCCTTAGAGCTTTGTCGAATGTGTGTGGTTGGCTAAATCGACATCGCCACAGCCCTGATGGTAGAGTATACGATCTTGCACACCACAACCTCATCAATCGGTCGCGCATCCCTCCCCCAAGTCCTCGCATACGCAAGGTCTGACGACCACCCTACACATCGGACCACAACCCGATCGATAAATCCCCAATTCGTCAAAAGCAAACATCTTTACAAATGAATCTGTCCATGTCCATACCCCAACATCCCTCTCCCCACGGTCCCAGATCGAACCACATGACTCAACGCCCACCCTTTTCCTCGCCCCGCAAGTCTCGAAAGCGTGTACGCACTGGATAAGTGGAGACCATGGTTTTCGTTCTCGAGTGTATGGGTGGATGAAAGCCAGGGATTTGCGAAAAGGTGGCAATCGAACAGCCGTGGTGGCTATGCTCGGAATGATGTCTGGGGCGTCGTCACCAGATTTGTGGCCAGCATATACTGTTTGGCGTAGTGGCGAATCTTCCTGGTCTGCAGACGTGCAGGTCACCGGTTCGATTCCCACGTCCTTCAGCTCAGAGTATGACCGCGTCAGTGGTATGTTACCTGAATGCACTTTCTTTTTGCTTTTTGTAACACTCGCGCTGAACACCCGTCACACGGAGGAATGAAAGAAGAAAAAGACAAAAGGAGATGTGCATCCGCCGAGATTTGAACTCGGGCCACTCGCTTGGAAGGCGAGTATGTTGACCACTACACCACGGATGCTTGCTTATTTTGGGTTTACATGCCTACGCTTTATTCTTACGTTTATCGCATACTTCGGACATGTCTTCCCCACCGGTTCATTTCATTCTGGCGAGTTTCTTGGACTTTCTCTTGTCTTTTGTGCGTGGAAACTTTCCACTCATCTCCGCAAGATCATCGCTCTTGACCTCACCTCTCGGTCAACACTCGTCTCCCGGCTCACATAGTGGAGCTTATTCACTTGTAAGTGCCCGCCTGCCGTTGAGCCGTGCCATCCAGACCTGAAGGATTCCTGTCATTGTCGTCCGAGTTTGTGAGTTGCTGACCCGTTCGTCTTTTCTTGCTGCGTTCTCTCAGGGATACGACAGGGTTTTCTACAAAGTCAATTGCATCTTTATTCTCCTTACCACCGAGTCCGCCATGGAAGCGACACCAGAGAACTTTGCGGCGCTTTCGCACTATCTGGTGCAGACGCTGGATCCTACCACGCAGAAAGCAGGTCAGTGCGGGGAATTCCAACCCGTTGGGGAGCCAGTTGGGTCCTCGATAGCCGCTTCTTTACTCACCAACGCATCTGGGGAACGCCGTTGAACAGCCGAGCAGAGTCTAGCGACCGTGGAAACACAGCCGAATTTCCCGATAGTGCTTCTGAAGCTGGTGCAGAACCCTGCCACCGAGCAAACGGTTCGGTTCGCTGGATCCATTTATTTCAAGAACTATGTGAAGAGGCATTGGAGTCCGGTGGGTACATGGCGCCAGGTTTTCTGTTACTTGAGGAGGATGGGGTTTGCCGAGTTCTGATATGTTTTCCTGGATGGCAGGAGGACGGAGCGCAAGATGTGATCGCTGTTCAGGACCGCGATGCGATAAAAACCTACATCGTCGGACTCATGCTGAGTGTACCGCATGGGATCCAGATGCAGCTTGGCGAGGCTGTGTCGATTATCGCCGATATGGACTTTCCCGACTCTTGGGAGGGGTTGATTCCGGTATGCATTGGGGGACCTCCGTTTGGTTGGAAGCAGTGGGTGAGGACGGAAAATGGAATAGCTGCTGACGTCGGGGAACTGGTTTTAGGAAATCTTGAGCAAGATTAGCCCCACCGATTTTGAGTCCAATGCTGGTCTGCTGCAAGTTGCTCACTCCATCTTCAAGAGGTATGGCTCTGGGGTTACAGACCCAGTCAGTGGGATGGCGGACGTGGGCTAAAGGGCACATCTGAATATAGGTATCGGTCTGCAATGAAGTCGAATGCTCTCTACATCGAAATCAAATTCGTTATCGAGCAATTCGCTGCTCCGATGTTGTCTCTCATGCAGGTTAGCATGGTCATTCCACACCTTGTAGTGTCACAATTGAGTTCTCATCAATCCTATTTTACAGGCGGTCGATTCGGCGATCGATGCAAATGCTGGCAACGCGGCTGCTCTGCAGCCATTGTTCACATCGCTACTCCTCCTGACCCGAATCTTCTACGACCTCAACTTCCAGGATTTGCCGGAATGGTTCGAAGACAATCAAAAGGGGTACATGGTGATTTTCTTGAAATACCTCAGCTATGCCAACCCAGTCCTGAACACCGACGTATGTATAAGCTGAACGATGTAGGTCGAGCAGAGGGGTTGTTGACTTACTTACGGCCATTCGCAGACGGACGACGAAATCGGGCCAATCGAAAAGGTCAAGACCGCCATTTGCGAGGTCATTGATCTGTGGGCCAAGAAGTATGAGGAAGAGTTCAAGGACTGCCGGGAGTTCGTGACCGTAACATGGGGCATGATGACGAGCGCAGGAACAGAGCAGAAGTACGACCTCCTGGTCAGCAAAGCCATCGGCTTCCTGACCACAGTGGTGCAGTCAGGAAAAAACCACGACCTGTTTGCCAACCCCGACACCCTGCGGAGCATCTGCGAACAAGTCGTGCTGCCAAACATGATGCTGAGGGAGTCCGATGAGGAGTTGTTCGAGGACGACCCCATCGAGTACATCCGCCGAGACCTGGAGGGATCCGATACCGACACCCGCCGCCGCGCGGCATCCGACCTCGTGCGTGGGCTCCTCGAGCACTTCGCGAAGGAGGTCACGGGCATCTTCTCAACATACGTGTCGCTCAACCTGCAAGCGTACGAGAAGAACCGCGAGGACAACTGGAAAGCCAAGGATACAGCGATCTATCTGATCACGTCGTTGTCTGCCCGATCGTCCACGGCGCAAATGGGTGTCACGAAAGTCAACGAGTTTATGGACGTCCTGCCGATCTTCACGACGCACATCTTACCTGAGTTGCAGAGCCCGGCGGAAGGATCTTCGCATCCGATCATCAAAGTCGACGCCATCAAGTTTTTGATGATTTTCAGGAGCCAGCTTACGAAGGATCAACTGTCCAGTGTGTTCCCTTTCCTGCTGAACCACCTGCTGTCGACGAACTATGTGGTTTACACATATGCGGCCGTTTGTATTGAGCGTGTGTTGGCGACAAAGATGGAGAACGGGGCATTCCAGTAGGTCTTCCCTTGCGCTTCCACTTGGTTTCGCTTCTGAGATGCTGACGCATTGAATAGGTTCCACGAAGGAGACATCGCCGCGGTTGCCCATCCCATTCTAAAGCACTTATTCGATTTGATCGAGAAGAATGGGACAACGCCGGAGAAGTTGGCGGAGAACGACTACTTGATGAAAGGCAAGCAACCTTGCGTTCGCTTTGAGAGCGTACCGGTGGACGTCATCTGACTCGTACTTCCACCCACAGCCGCGATGCGCATCATCATTGTAGCGAAGCATGATTTGGAGCCGGTTGCGGTTGAGATGGTTGGACGATTGACACGAACCATTGAGGCGCTCAGCAAGAACCCCAGCAACCCCAAGTTCACACACTACACTTTCGAAGCCCTTGCCGCTCTCATCAGGTATACCCGGAGTGGGCCGTAACCCTCACTCTTTTTGGGTTAACTGATCTTCTATGCTTTTCTAGGTTCATCTGCGCACGGAAACCAGCACTAGTAACCGAATTCGAAGCCCTGCTAATCCCCCCTCTCGTCGCCATCATCGACCAACAAATACCCGAGTTCATGCCCTACGCCTTCCAAATCATGTCGCAGATGCTGGACTTCCACCCCGTCGGCCAGGTACCCGAAACGTACCAGAAGATGCTCCACTCGCTGTTGATGCCTGTGCTGTGGCAATCGTCTGGAAACATCCCGGCTCTGATCCGTCTGCTCCGGTCGTACCTGTGTAAGGCGCCAACGCTGTTTGCCGATGAGAAGGTGTTGCAGGCTGTGCTGGGGATATCGCAGAAGTTGATTGGGTCGAAGATCAACGATCATTGTGGGTTTGAATTGTTGTGTGCTGTGTTTGAGTTCATTCCAAGGTACGTGTGCGAACCTCATTCGCATCCTTTCTGCCGACACTTAAACTGAAGCTGCCTCCCTCTTCTTTTTGTAGCCAAGCGCTGAAAGCGTACATCCGGAATATTCTCACTGTGCTGCTTACGCGCATGTCGCAGCAAAAGACATCAAAGTATACGCGCGGCTTCCTCAACTTCATAACGTTCACATTCATGCTGAAGAAGGAGGACTATGATGTGGATGTTGTTGTCGGTGCTTTCGACTCCATTCAGAACAAGTTAGTGGTGCAGCTGCGGAGGTCATTAACATAATTGGGAACTTTGCTGATAGTCCTCTCCCCCTTTCCTCCACGCAGCCCTTTGTTCAGCAATGTGTTGCAGAATATCCTGATTCCGGAGCTTGGCGTCATGATGGCGCCCAAGGAGCGCAAGTCGGCCATTATTGGGTTCGGAAACTTGCTTGGTCAGAGCAAGATTATGCGTACCGCCCCATACATTGTTATCTGGTGAGTTTTGGATCCCGCTCATGTCGACATGAGGTGATCACATCACTGGAATGCTCGCTAACGCACGTCGCATCTCGCTCCTAGGCCTAACCTGCTGAGCCACCTCGTCTACCTCTGCGACACTCCCCTGGCGCAAAACACATCCACCACCGAAGAAGAGGAGCTCTACACATTCGACATCGAAGATAACGCCGGTTACTCGGCCTCCTTCTCGAAGCTCACCGTCGTTGGCCACCAAGACAAGGACCTCACCGCCGCCGTCCCCGACGCCCGGAGCTTTCTCGCGCAGAACGTACTCGAAGCCGTGGCGAGCGACCCCAAGGTCCGGGAAGCCGTCAACGCCGAGATGGCGCGCAAGTTCAACGAGTACCTGACTGCTGCTGTGCCTGCCCCGTTGCGGTAGTCCGACGGAAATGAGATTAATGGATCCTTTTTTTACTTGAGAGCAGGTTTCAGGCGTAGCGTAGGGTCTTCCCCTCCCCGGCAATCTTTCCCGCATATTGTGTTTGTCGTGTAGTTGCTGCTCCACCCCGTTTGTGCGCACCTTAATTTAGATAGAAGTTCTTCACTCCTGTAAAGCCATCCCTTCCCCCCGTCTTCCTCAACGTCACGTCATAATCCTCCCTGCCTCCGCTTCATCGAATCATCGAGAGCTTGATCAGAACAGGTTCCTGAGTTTTGGTGGTTCCCTGTCTTTCCCGTTTCGTTGTTGATCTGGACAGCCTGCACGCGCCAAGTTGTTCGGACAAGTTTCGGATAAATGGAGCGCCCTTCTCCCCGTCGATCCTCCGACTTTCCCACGGACTCGATTTGGCATCTTCCAACGCTCGTTGATCTCCGTACCGACCCCATCCACACCTGCGCTCTATAGTTATTTTGGCAATCGGTGTCGTGAACGCGGGTGCCAACTTCGCGTACAAGCAAGCCCACTTTGCAGCAGGATCATCTTCGCCTCCCGTCACACCTGGTGAACTTCTCGGACGGAACTTCTCGGACGACAGGCTGACTGTGCTATATATATATGGCTGTGTTTTTGAGCAGTCTAGCAACCAGGTATCATACTTGCGGGGTATCATCGTTGGGGAAGGCCGAGGGCGGGTGTTGTTTATATAAACGCGTTGTGACTTTGCCACGTGACCTTCGTCCTTCTGCCGCTCGGTCCGTCTGGATGCTCCTCGGTCTCTCTGCGAGTGGGACGGACGCCCATCTGCTGCAAACCTCCCCAGAGACTCATCACTCACCAAGACTTATTACAGCCCCACACGCTTGTTCAGAAGCAGCTCCCTTTCTTTGGTGCCGTTTCTCAGCAGCCGCCCACCGCCTGTTAGGCCGAAAAAACAGCTCCGATCCAGATAAAACTTGCACCATGTCCGATAAGAAGGCCACGAGCACCGCAGGCGCTGGCGGCGACCAGCAGCAAGATCCAGCCGCTGCCTACCAAGCCTACGGCAACTACGACACTAACGCTTACTATGGGAGTGCTACCGGTCAATATGGGCAGTATGGCGCGACTGGTGGTATGTTGAAGACTTGGAGATCAAATTCTCATACCGCCTAGCGATCCGATCACAAGGGCCATGACGCCTAATCTACCTTCTCTTTTGTTCAACACAGACAACGCAGCCTACGCACAGCAATACGCCGACTACTACGCATCGCAAAGCCAGCAGCCATCCGGTGGTTACGGCGGAGGTGACCAGAAGACCGGTAGCGGCGGCGGATACCAATCACGCGACGACAAAGGTGGTTATGGTGGCGGCAGCGGCGGCGGCGGGAGTTACGATAACGGATCCCGTGGCGGCGGTGGAGGAGGATACCAGTCGAGAGACTCGTATGGAAACGGTGGCGGCGGTGGCGGGTACCAGGCGAAAGACTCGTATGGAGGCGGGGGAAGGTCTTCTGGCGGAGGATATGGGAGCGAATCTGCGAGCAGTGGCCCTGGTCCTACTAATAGCCGTAAGCATACGGGTGTTACATGAGTGTTTGATATGTGCGGGGAACTTTGCTGATGCGTGAGATTTCGAATATCCACAGAAGGCAAAACGCTGAGTGAGGATACCATCTACATTACCGGATTACCGAAGACCGCCACTGAGCAGAAGCTGATAGGTGAGTATTCCATTCCTACCATCGATCCGCGATCAATGGAGTTCTCACTTCTTTGTCAACCTGTTTTAGACCATTTTGGAAGCATCGGGATCATTAAAATGGACAAAAAGACCATGAAGCCAAAAGTGTGGGTCTATAAGGACAAAGTGAGCGGCGTCCCGAAAGGGGATGCTACGGTGACATACGAGGACCCCCATTCCTGCGATGGTGCCATCAAGTGGTTCAACGGTATGCACAGACAACACAACTGAGCATATGAGTTGTCCTGAGCTGACAATCTCGTTTCTATCCTCAGGCAATGACTTTGAAGGCTCGAAACTGAGCGTCGAACGCGCTGAACAGAAAGCACCTCCACCAGGCGGATGGCAGAGCAGTCGTGGCCGAGGCCGTGGTCGCGGAGGAGGCTTTGGAGGAGGTGACCGAGGTGGTGGTGGTGGCGGCGGGGGCGGTTTTGGCGGACGAGAAGGCGATTGGAGCTGTACATGCGGCAACACGAATTTCGGTAAGTCGTTGCTTTGCGTCACATACTTTTTCACCTTGGCACCGGGGGATGGTATTCACAGCGGTTTACTGAATAATTGCGCATTTCCAGCCAGAAGATTCGAATGCAACAAGTGTGGAGCCCCGAAACCCGGCGGCGGTGACTCTGGCGGCGCGCCTTCATCTCGCGGCGGATATGGTGGGGGCCGAGGGGGCGGTCCGGGCGGAAACCGACGTGATGGGGACTGGAACTGCGAGTAAGTTCCCTCGTTTTGTCTCAAGCGATCCACATTTCAAGCGGAATACTCACCCATAGTCATATCTTTCATTTTACAGCGGCTGCGGAAACGACAACTTTGCCTCCCGAACTAGCTGCAACCGTTGTCATGCACCCAAACCATCCGGAGGAGGCGGCGGCGGCGCCAGTGGTGGGGGTTACGGAGGCGGTCGCGGCGGCGGGGGTGGTGGTGGAGGAGGATATGGAGGCAGCTCATACGACCGCGGGGATCAGCGGTCGGATTCGAGGAGGGATAGGAGGGATCATCCTTATGCTCGGTGATTTGTGTTGGGAATATTGTAGGGTTGGCGGGTCATGGGATGCGCTTTTGAGGTGGCCCATGCGTTTGTAGAGTAGATTATCCGGGGGGGGGAGGTGTTGGTGCACAACTATGTATAGGTTGCTTGTTTTCTTTTTAAATGTTGGAATGCCGCCTTTCTCTGCCGCCCTGGGGGGGCAACGCGTCGAAACTACTGTACTGTACTTCTCCGTCCGACTCTTTTTCTCGCCTCGGCTTCCACCCTTCCAACCACAATGGCAGAACGCATCCCCTTCTGGGCATACCCCCGCCCACACCAACATCGCCCACCACCACTCTTCCCCTCCCTCCCACCACCACCACCACCATCACACCACCGAAAACCCGCAGCCCGTCGAACCAAACGCGCACCCGCATCCGCCATCTCAGACCCAAACATCAGCATATGGGAACCCGATCCCACCCCACCGGTCCGATACCCACCTCCCCATTCCGCCGGCGCCGCAGCCGCGAATCGAATTCTCAGCAGTAGTAGTAGTTCAGGTGCACATACGCGAAGGGTGGGGAATGGAGTATCGGCGAAGGCCGGACGGACCGGGAATCGTACGCGTACGGGGAATGAGAACAGCGAGAATGTCCGGCCAGCTGCACACGTCGCTTTCACCGCTCCCGTGGACGACGCCAACGAAGCAGAGAGACGAGAAGAGCGGCACAAAACAACGCCGGGGCGTACGCGGAGTTCCCATCCGAGATCATCCCATCCCACTCTGAATCACACCACGAGCCAAAAGATGCGATCAATAACACAGGTCGAGGTAGACCCGCGCGAGTACGCTCAACAGCATATAGTCGACCCACGACTGCGCGGGAAACTGGGTCTGGAGCCTGATGTTGATCGGCGGTTGATTCATGTGGGGCCAGGGCCGTTGGGGGAGTATAATCGGTCGGGGGTACCCGTGCCCTCTAGTCGTGAGGGTGGGGTAGGCGGGGTGGGAAGGGCTCCGTCGCCGCATTTAGCTCGGCCGAGTTTGTTTTCGTCGCGTGCGGTGGAGGCTGCGCTGGTGAGGGTGGAGGGGGAGGTGTTTGATCCGAAGGAGGCGGCGCGACGGTTGGGACTGCGTGCCGGTGGGGCGGATGTCGGTACGGCGGCGGTGGGACGGAAAGAGACGGAAGTGCGGGATGTTGCGTTGGACGGGTTGAGGAGAGGGGTGCGGAGTCGGGTTACGACCAAGGTACGGTTTGCCGGGCACAGACTCGTTTCACTCAAACGCATATCTCCAACCAGATTCCTCTGTTACATTTCGCAGGCACTAAACCTACCGCCCCAAACGCTTCTATACACCAACCTCCAAAGCGTCGCCAAAGCCTGCAACAGCCCCCCTCCCACCACCACCGCTCCCGCAAACCAAGTCCGCCGTGCACGCATATCCGTCCCCCGCGATCCCAACCACACCCAACGTGCGGGCCCATACCGCCCACCCCCGCCGGAAGTGACTGATACCGTGTCGGTGCCGTTTCCGAAGATGTCGGAAAAGGTCTATTCGCGGTCTCCAGCAGCGTCACGAGCGACGGGAGATGTCGCGAAAACGAAGAAGGGGAAGCAGGGACGGAAGAGTGCTGTGATGCCATCCCCGCCGCGGACAACAACAACAACGACAACGACGACGACGACGACAGAGAGGGCGACAGGGCAGGCGGGAGTGACACCTCATGACGCAGCCTGGGAATATCTTCGCTCCGAGTCACGCCGGCTGAGCGCGTTTGTGGAGTGGAGACGGTTCAAGGCGGATGGCGAGTTGGGGGTGCTTTTGGGTATGGGTGCGAGAGGTGTTGGGAATAATAGGAAGGATGGGGCTGCGTGATGGGATGTCGACGGGATATTGATGACAACTGCGTTGCGAAAACTTCTGACGTGTATGATCGTATGTTCGCCTTATGAGGATACCGAGAATACATTCATATCTGAACCCTACCGAGCGAGCATGCCTGCCACGGTGTCGAAATCGGAGAAAGATGTCAATTCCCGACCGCACGAGCGTCTTTCCGAGTGACTGTAGGGCGAGGAAGGTCGTCTGGAACCCCTCGTATCAGGGCACGTCCCAGCTTCTGCCATGTCATATCTTACTCAATTGCCCTTACTACATCTTCTTAACGCTCGACTTTGCGGAACACCTCATATACCAGAAACACATTTGAAACTATAGCAATGTACAATTTGACGCCCGGCGGAGACGAGACAGCGTAACAACCGATACAACACGCCTTTGCAACCCCTCCTCACAAAGAAGACGCACTCCCATCCAAACCCCCGTCGCCCTTCGCAGCCCTCAAACACATCCTCAACCTCCTATTCTCCTCAAATACACACCTCCCGCTCCCCTCATCCCACCCACACTCGGTGAACTTGTAACACGCAAACACGGGGCGCCAGACACACGTCGACCGCACGTCGGGCGCTGTGGCGGGGATGCAGAACTCGGCGTTGCAGCCTGCGCGGCGACACCGGGGCGGGGGGGTTGCTGCCAGTGTCGTGGCCGCGTGGGCCGCTGTGGCGGTTTCCGTGCCCGCAGTCGTAGATGCGCCCATTGTCGACGAGACACCCTCCCCCCGGGCCGAGTCAATACACCGCCGCAACCCGCGGCTCTCGTCCCAGATGCACTCGTCGCCCGCGACATCATACACGCATGCGGCGTTCGCGTAGCATGCGAATTCGGGTTTGTAGATGCAGGGGCTGAATAAGCCCCCATCATCATCGGAGGAGGAGGTCTTGGAGCAGAGTTCGCGGTTGCAGCCGCCGATTGTGCATTGCGGGGATGTTGATGGGGAGGGCGTTTGGGGGAGGGCGTGCGAGGAAGTGAGCGTTGCGAGGAGGGCGAGGAGGAGGGTGGTGGGGATGTGCATTGTCTTTTTGGGGCGGTGTTGGGGCGGGTGGTTGGGAATCGATGCGGATTTTGTGGTTGTGTTTGTGGTTCGTGTTGTGGGTGGATAGATGCAATCGGTAGGAATATGAATGCCGTCGTATAACTGCCTCCCGAATGCGTATGTGTCCAGAAGAACTAAAACCTTGTTCAGCGATCAAGCCTTATATATCGTGTACAGTACTTTCACTTTCTTGGCATACCGAGATGCTCTCCACACGTCGCGGTTTACTTGTACTTCTGACATGATGCCGTTAACGGCCCTGACGGGGCTGGCTAGCTTACAATACATGCTTCACAGTGGGGTTGTGGGGTCGTCTCCGTTTGCGAACTCAGCCCGCGGCCGTCACGCGACCTTGACTCCTTCCATCGAAAAAGGATGCTTTTACAAAAGCCGCCCGCACTTTTGATCAGAACTTTATTTCAACTGGGGGACCGAAGGTTGCGAGGAAATTGGCAAAAAGACGTGAGAGTTTGGATGGAAGAGGCATCGGGAACAAAAGGGAAAAGGCAAAAGACGTGTGCATCCGCCGAGATTTGAACTCGGGCCACTCGCTTGGAAGGCGAGTATGTTGACCACTACACCACGGATGCCTGCTTGATTTCGTGTCACGTTTGCCTAGCTCATTCCCATGTTGACAGCATGTGTCGCTCTCATTGGTGTGTCAGCCAAACGCCACATGAGAATTGCTCGCCGCACGCGACGGTCGCATTTGCGGTCACACCGACGGTTCCCACAGCCTTCCTCTCCGGGTGTCTTTCCTTCGATTTTTTGCACCATTGGGTTGGGTACGGGGAGGGCAATGTGCCGGCGGTATGGGCGATGGACGCTGAACAAATGCCTCTGCAAATCGGACGTGCGTTAATAAAGCAAAGTACTGTATTAGGTCAAATGCCTTATCTTGCCGCTGGAAGACCTAACTTCAACACGGCATTATTGATGCATCGACTCTCCATGAGCATCAGGCGGCATTCGCTGCTCTCTAGGCGGATTGAATGTGCTCTGGACGTTTCAAGGGCCGGCAACAGCAGCGCCCGCCAGCCCTTAGATCGTTGTGAGCCCGGACATTGGAAACAGGTTCCCAGGACCAGGAATGTTGTTGTTCTCCGCCACGCACCAAAAGCCTCAGATGTGAAACTAAACTGCATTGTCGTCGACCATCTTTTTCTGCCCTCCGGACCGTTGCGGCCGGATTGCGAGGATTGTTCCTCTCCCCAAAAAACGCTTCCTCGGGAATATGTATCCCCTGCGCTGCGTCTGTCCGTCCCTTTTGACAGCTCAGCCCCCGCCCAAAGTGCCGACGGGGCGCATGCATGCATGCAGGGGAAGCCTCCCTTGAAGATCAAATTCGCACCTCCGCCTTCCGAGTGAGTCCTGCGAAAATTCTCACGGCCGGCGGCTCTTCACGGCCCATCTGCGCCGATCCCTCTTTTTGATGCCGTGAGATGCTGCATGTGTTACTGTGTTACTCTTTGAGAGAGTTTATATGTGGAGCCTCCGTATTGCGAAGGAGCCCCTTGCACAACCACACTTCAGCGTTGTCTATCACAACAGCAGGCTTGACTCGAGAGAGATCCCATATATCCAGGCTCCTTGACTCGTTCGGTTCACGCCAGACTTGCCACCTCATTCAGAACTGAATTTGAACACTTACCCCCCCCCCCCCCCCCCCCCCCCCTCCCTCTCACAAGAAGCAATGCTTGTGGGATTCACCTCGGTCAAGCAGGCCCTCGCCTCGCTTCTACTCACCCTCCTAGTCACCCTCTCCCTCCTCAACAACTTCGTATCCGCGGCCGAGCCAGTAGAAGATCTCGAAGTGCCAGTGGGCAACCCCAACCTCGCCGGCTTCCGCTACAACAAAACCGTTTTTGGTGGCGCACCCGGAAAGAACCGGTACGATGTGTACTGGAACGTCGACAATGTTGGCACCCCGCAGGAACAGCTGCATGTCGTGCTGAGGTTGACAGGCCCGGCGTTGAAGTGGGCGTGGGTGGGCATTGGGTTTGGACGGACGATGTTGGAGGGACAGTTTGTGGTGTGCCACCAAATCATGGCGAAGGAGGCCCCCAGTGCGCCGACGAACACGGAGTTGCATGAGCATTGGACTCGGAAGCAGTATGCCCCGCCGGTGAGTTTCATGTTCCACTTCGTTCGCTCAGTAGGCGATGAAGGTGTCTGTGGAAGACGGGTCAAACCTGCACTCAAGCCGTTCACTAACAATCCTCACCGTTTATAGAGAGACCGAGACCAAACGGAAGCCGCCTACACGCAGCAGGCAGCCATCCCCGTCGTAGGATTCACCGACAGCAACACCCTGACCTGCGAGTTCACCCGCGCCACAAAACCCGCCGATCGCTACCACGTCCCCATCGATGTAACGACCGACACGAACCTGCTCTGGGCTTTCAACCCAGCATCCGAAAAAAACAGCGACGGCGGTTGGTTCACATATCACGGCGACATCTGGAGAGGGGCGCTGGTCGCCGGGCTCGCTGAGGGCGACATGCTGGCGGTCGCCACCAAATCCTTCCAGAAGAAGCAAGCCCACGGATTCGGGATGATCGCCGTGTGGCTCCTCATCTTCCCCTTTGGCGCATACTACGCACGCTACCTGCGCTCCACTGCGGGGTGGAACATCGTCCACTTGGTCATCCAATCCACCGGCGTGTGCGCCATCATCATCCTGATCGTCATCATCGTCACCGACATGGTCTTCCTGAACCGAGCCCACGCCTACCTAGGAATCACGATGCTCGTCCTCATTCTCTTCCAATTCTTCCTCGGCATCACCAACCTCCTCGGCCTCTCCTACGAACGCGCCGCCCGCCTCAAAAAGGTCGTGCGCCGCGTCCACCAGTTCCTCGGTCTCTCAGTGATCCTCGCGGCCACCGTGCAAGCGGGCTTGGGCATCAACAAACTCTACCCATGGCAGGAAGACCGCGGCAAAGCCGTATGGGGTGTCTACATCGGCCTCATCCTGTTCTGGACCATCCTCTTCATCTCCACCGAGACATACTTCCGCCGCTCCGTGCGCAGGACCGACCCCAAGAAGGCCGGCGGGGCGTACTCTGACCTCCGCAAAATCGACGCGACGAACACGATGGTGCCTATGAAACAGAAGGTTAAGCGCGGCGAGACAGCGGTGACGTTGATTAATGCGTCGAATAGTGCGGCTAGTACCACTATCCCGATGACACAGACGCGGCTGAGGCCGGGGTTGACACAGTATACGTGGGGGAGCTTGAATCAGGCGATTATGAATGGAGAGCTGTTGGTTGTGGCCAATGGTCGTTATGTTTACAGCATTGCTCAGTGGTGAGTCTTCTCTTGATCTCGTCGGGTGATTTTTCGCCTATGTCATTTTTTTGCCTTGCATGTATGCTGACAATTTCCTCACTCGCAGGATCAACTCACACCCCGGAGGCCAACTCATTCTCCACGCCGTCAACGGAACAGACATCACAAACGACTACTTTCACGAAGCCGGTTTCGACGCCGACGAGTTCACACCGAGACCCGAGGCGCCTGCACAACGCAACAACCGCGCCAACGCAGAAGCCTCCTTGGGCCGCCGCAACGGCGACCTCGCTAGTCTCACCAGCACCGAGATGAACAAATCCCTTAACTCGTTTGGCGACGAGCTGGTGGAGGAGATGAGGGTCGCGCCGACCATGAACGAGAAGGACTGGAAACTTGTGGTCAAGTCCCGTCGGACGAATGTTCACTCCCGGCTTGCCATTGAACGTCTGTCGAAATTGCTGGTCGGTGAGCTCGTACCCGAGAATACGTCATCGTCGTCCGAGATGGGAAACGCGAATGCGCCCTTTGACCCTAACGAGTACCGCCGTTACGCGATGGTGGAAAACACACCCATCGCGGAACGGTCGTCCGTCGTCAAGTTCCGTTTCTGTCTGCTGTACCCCTACGACGTGCGCAGCGGCGAGCCGCAGGTTATCTTCCCCGGACAGGCCATCGAGATTTGCGCGCGGATCAAGAACAAGCTCGTGACGCGCTACTACAGCCCGCTCGGCACGACCGGACTTTCGACCATCGAGATCATGGCCAAGATCTACCCGGACGGCGTGATGTCGCAATACCTGTTCAAGCAGAAACCGGGCGACAGGCAGATCAAGATCCGCGGTCCCTTCGGAACTCCGCTTTTCCACCCGGAAAAGACCCTCGTGCCCTCTGACCGCGTCACCTGGTTCCCAACCAACCTCCTCTACATCGCCGGCGGAACAGGCATAACACCCTTCCTGCAACTCCTCACAGCCGCCATCTTCCCCGTTGCAGAGCCGTTACGCGTTCACACCGAGTACCTCCCGCAAATAGACGACGAACTCACCCTCCAACGCAACGACCACGTCGCGGTTTCCCACCACTACTACGACGGCTGGGCCGTCGGCGTCAACTTGCGCACCGGCCAGCACGGCGCGTTCCCGCTGACTGTCACCGTCCCCTACCCAGGGATGAACCTCCTCCAAGGCGGAAAACTCACCCTCATCCACGCGGTGCGCACCGCGGGTGAAGCCATCCTCGGCGACGAGCTCCTCGAGGGCGCCATGCTCGCGTACCCCGGCGTCCTCGAAATCCACCGCTTCATCGCCGACGGCAGCACACCCGAAAAGCCCCTCGGCGTCCTCTACGCTTCTCAGTTATCTGAACCGAATTTGGAGGATATCCTGAAGAAACGGTGGAGGGATACGGATGCACACGGAAGGGAGGTGGAGGACGAGGATGAAGAAAAAGCGGCGTTGAGGCAGATTGTGGTGTGTGGACCCACGGGCTTTGGGAGCTGGGTTGTGGATGCCTTGAGTGAGGGGAGCGTGGATATGAGGCGGGTTGTCATTTTGCCGAGTGATCGGGTTTTGTGAGGGTTGTGAACTGCGACTACCCCCGCGAGTTTCTCTAGTTTACGTACTATTCGTCTAATACTACTCATTCCCCGCAAACGAACGAACATAATGCCACACCCTCTTGTACCAGTTTACTACTGTATGTACTTTGCATCAATCAAATCGCTTTTACCGTGCTTTCCTAGGATTCGAACGAGAAAAAATGTATGCTTTCCTGTTACGGGACCCCAATCTGTCGTGCGATACCAGCACTCGGCACCCACCCACTCTCTTTTATGTTGAGTAGGTATGTACATCTTTGGCATCATGGTCTGCCCTCGTTGGCGACGTTGTTGGGGAGGGTTGATGTTACATTTTTTCTGTGACGTCGTTCGCCTTTCATGACGTGACTGGCAGAACATTCGCGCCCTGGAAGTTGGACCTCAATTCAATTGAAGGTTGGGCGGCTCCAGCGTTCACGTAAAAGGCGGGACATTTTTTGCACGCTTTTCAACGCCCCATGGGACATATCCGTTGAGCGACAGCAGGCTTACAACCCACAGTGGCAAGTCCAACAGACAGCAGCATGTCTCAAACAACAACCCGATATGTCTTCCTCCGCACAACCGCCCTCCTAATACTCGCACTCGCAACCGCAACCGCCGACGCACTACCTCTCGTCGAGCGAGCGGTCGCGGAGGAAGGCGCAGCAGCAGCAGCCGCAGCCGAGGGAGGGTCGGGAGGAACATGGTGGAAGATATTGGTGATTGCTGGGTTGGTTGCTATTGGGGGGTTGGTTGCTGGTACGTCGAATGACTTGTTTGTTGGGCAATTGTGCGCTTTCCGGATATTGAACGTCATACTCCCGCTTTGATAGGTTTGACGCTCGGACTTATGTCGCTGGACGAAACGGACTTGAGGATTTTGCTGAGCGCTGGGACGCCTGCGGAGAAGAGGGCTGCGGCGAGGATTGCGCCGATTAGGAAGAACGGGCATTTGCTGCTTGTTACGTTGTTGATTGTTAATGCTGTTATCAATGAGGTGGGTTTTGCGGGGAGGTTGGAAAGTGTGGCGGGAAAAGGTGGTAGCGAGAAGGATATCTCTGATGCCTCAGTGTGGAACTCACTCCTTTCTTACCAAACAGACACTTCCGATCCTACTAGACGAGGTTGCGGGTGGAGGTTGGCAAGCTATCCTGATCTCCACCGTCCTCGTCCTCGTCGCCGGCGAAATCATCCCCCAAGCCGCTTGTTCGCGGTACGGGCTCCAAATCGGCGCATTTTTCGTCTGGCCCGTCCGCATCATGATCTACGCCATGTTCATCATCGCGTGGCCGATCTCCAAACTCCTTGATGCGATCTTGGGTGCTGGGCATGGCGCGATTTACAAGAAATCGCAGTTGACGGAGTTGGTTGCTTTGCATGGACCGGAGGAGGGAAATGCGCTTACGCATGATGAGGTCAAGATCTTGCAGGGTGCGCTGAATGTGCATGAGAAGACCATTGAAGAGATCATGACTCCTTTTGACAAAGTTTACATGGTAGGACCTTTACGAAAGGTTCAAGTCAGTCGCAACTCGTGCATCCTCACTGACAAAGTTCCCTCTTTAGCTCTCAAGCGACACAAAACTCGACCGCGAAACCATGCTCGACATGCTCCGCAAAGGCCACTCCCGCATCCCCATCTACAAAGAACATCGCACCAACGTCGTCGGCATCCTGCTCGTCAAGTCAATCATCCTGGAAGACCCCTCCAAAGCCGTCCCCATCTCCTCCGTCCGTCTCATCACCCAATTCCCTCGCCTCAAACCCGACACGCCTCTCCTTGATGTCCTTAACACCTTCCAGGAGGGCGCGTCGCACATGGCGTTCGTCACCGACTTGAAGGGGGCGGATTTTGTGGGGATTGTGACGCTCGAGGATGTGGTGGAGGAGATCATCCAGGAGGAGATTGTGGATGAGACGGACGTGTTTGCGTCGAATTCGGATACGAAGCCGCTTGTTAGGCCGAAGACGCTCGTCAAGCTCGCGGGCGCGCTGCTGAAAAGGAACTCGGTAAATAACAGGGATACGTACTCCGCCACGTCTTCAGGGCAACAACACCCGCGCGCCAATTCGGCCCCGCTTTCTAAATCGAGGAATGAGACGGCGCCGCATGCTAGCACCGCCGCACTCCTACCCGCTGCTAACGAATCGACAAATACCATCCCCACCTCCTCCACTACCGCCATATCACCAGCCCGCACCTCTCTAACCGCCACGAAGGCAAAACCAAGCACCAAACTCCCCCTCCCCGCCACACCAACACACACTCCAACCGCCCCACCACCGAAAGTAATAGGCTGGCGCCGTGAAAAGCGCCGCGCACACTCCGACCCGGAGGCCGGCATGCCCATGTCTGTCATCTCACCCTCTGATTATGCGAATAGGAGCTCGCCGTTAAGGGGTGAGGTTACGTCGAGTGAGGATGGAGTAGACGGGTCAAGGGAGGTTACGAGGGACGGACGGATCTTGCATGCGAGGGAGACGGTTGCGGAGCCGGAGGAGCATCATGAGAAGAGTGACAAGGATGGGAACATACATACGAATGGCGGCGTATGAAGGCTTCTTGCAAAATACACATTGGACATACTGACACTACCTAATAGAAGTTCGAGCGAAAGACGGTAATACATGACATTTTCACATCATTTGGTTTTTGACCCTGAGGACATGCTTCGTTTTGGTGAATGTGTGGATTTGAAAGCATAGCGAGTGGTCCTGTTTTGAGAATGCGCGAGAAGGGTTTTCGAATTTGTCCCTCAGAATGACTTACGAAAGTGTAGGAAATATGAGAGGAAACCAAAGTGTGCATGTAACCGTAGATCACACAAGCATCCGTGGTGTAGTGGTCAACATACTCGCCTTCCAAGCGAGTGGCCCGAGTTCAAATCTCGGCGGATGCACATCTCTTTTCCTTTTGATGATCGCGGTGACTCCAAAAGTTTAGATTTTTATTTTTGCAGGGCCTGCACATGCTGATTTTCAGGGGTTTGCTGGGTATAAATGTCATTGATGTGAGGGTATAGTACAGGCCAAAAGGCCACCGGGGTATGGAAAGAAATACTTCAACATCCACGATTTCACTGCCGCACTGTTTTGGGATCACAATAACGCTTCTTGTGACAGCGTCCCACTTGTTGCTTCGATCGAATCCCAAACCGGTTGGGTCAACATACGCCGGGGGGGCTTCTCATATAAAACAAAGTGGAGATGCCGGTGTTAAATGGTGTATCACGTCGTCGTATGCGCACGGGTGCCGAGGAAGTATGATGCTCGGGAGGCCGCCGCATACTCGTCTGTCAGCGCCTCTATGGCTGGTTCTGCGTGTCCTGTGAGTACGAGGGTCCAAGTGTTCACCTGCAGTTGTCATCTCTTCTGTTGTGAAATGTTCACCTCGAACCATTGGCCACCAGGTCGCAGAGGACAACTCGGCGCAACCCTCCCGAAGATGTATCGGTTACTCCAAAGACCATCGGGTCCCGGCATTTCTAAGTCTATACGAGACTTCAGCCTTTAACCCCCAACGATACGGCCTGAATACCGAAAACACGTATTTGACCGATTCGCACTACAGCAACCTTTGAGGGCAAGGTTGTTCTTTCAATACCTTGGCTTCACATTGAAAGACCGGAAGCACGCAGAAAATGTGTTTGGATCGACGGTGCGCCTACTCAGCATCGACAGTAAAGTATCGAAGGCCAAGCGAGACCTCGCTGGAGCTGTACTCAGAGACATCGAAGCCGCCCAGTTCGCGTTGGCAACAGGATTTTGGGAAAAGAGAGGAGACAACGAAGAAAACCGAAGGTTCTGCTTTCCAATCACTGTTAGCACTCACTTACAAGTGCACGCAGTGGCGAGTCACGTTGTGAATCGAGAAAAGTCGAGAGCGCCGAAGAAAACAACCTAGACTTCTTGTTGGTAGGGTTATTGTTCGTTGATCGCTGTTTGTTGTGTCGTGCTCATCTGACTGCCACAGGCCGAGCGGAGGGCGTTGGGTCGCAGAGGCACGGAATTAGCACTCGGTGACTCCCAAGGACCTCTCGGCCTTGCGAGTCAGAAGGGGATGGAAAAGATATTGGCATGTCGGGATGTTTGTCTGCGAAAGTTCCAGGAGACCAGCCAGGGACGAGAGGATGAAGTGGCGATTCCGTTCTGGTTGCAGAATCACCAAGTCGCCGTTTCATTCCGCATGCGTCTTTTATGTGGAAACGTCGTTGTAGCCAACTACGTCAGCAACTTCCAAAACTCATTTTCCTGGAGAAACATCATGGTCAAAGAGGCGCTTGCTGGCGTGGAACTCTTTTCGTCGACGGGCGGTTACGTTGTGATGTCCACCACAACAGCTGACACCACAACATACCCGCGCGTCAACGAAGAGTTCCACGCCAGCGAGGGATGAAATGACACATGTGCATCTTCACCAGAATACCGCCGTGGCGACGGCGGAGTTGCACCTGCGCGCTACTATCCGAGACAGCAGGGGGCAGAGAACACTCCCATGCTCGACGCAGAAAGGGAACCAGCCGGATCTGATTCCGCTGATATGGCCGAGCACTAAGGGGCGGGAGGACGAACTAGATGCCACACCAGTTCCCTCACCTTAAAAGCAACGTCAGGAAAAGAAGGCAGCTGTCAAGCCTCGCAGCGCAGACGCTAAGCAGACGAGGGTCGCAGAAGCCAAAAAGCCGAAAAAGTGCACTTTCTTCCCTCGCAATCTCCCCCCGCAAGAAAGTGCACGTTTTCGACTTCCTGTGACAGGTGTCGAATATCGCAAGTCAAGGGACGCCCCACACTCGCCTGTGCTCCTGATCTACATATGGCAAGAATCCTCACAGATCGTCCAATCGCCGCACGGGCCTGGCGTTACGTGTGGAGAGGCGCAAGAAGCCGTTTGCCTTTCTGTTTGCTCGTTTGTGCCTTTCTCGTGCTTTGGCCAGTCCCACCAGCGCGCCCATAGACCACAGGGCCCATCTCTATAGGTTGACGCGCTTTCCGTGTAGAGATGGCCGGTCCCTGGTGGTCGCGAACATCATCATCGGTCAAACCGTCTTTCTATGAATGCACGCTGATGGTGTACGCCGATACCGAAGGTTACAAGGCTTCGCTCAGCCGCATGGTGTCTGCAATGACGACGATTCGAAGATCTTGAGAATTTGCGGTGAAACACTGATCGACAACGAGGAAGAAGTCTCCGACGACGATGATCCATGTCTACGATTCCTTCATTTCTTACCACGTGTCCAAGGCTTGAGGACTGCGGCTGATAGGTGTTGTAAGAGACGTCATGCGCATTCTCGTCGATCTACCGCAAATGTACAGTGTTACATACATCTTGTGTTAGAGTTACTGTACATGATTGGGAATTCTGACTCGATTGACGGGTGAAGCCCATTTGACCAGGTTGCGCTTTTCCCAACGCTATTCCACATCAGAATGATCACACCCCATATCTTTAGGGATTCGGGTGCTGGAAGGTTTCTGGAAGACGCTCCGGCCCCTGCTGAGTGATTGGCCTGGAGCGGACAGTCCCGTGGGAGCACATATGTGCTCGATTTTCACACGCGCCATATCAGGAGTGCCAATACCATCTCGACGACGGGGGGGGGGGGTTCACGCCCGCCCTTCCTCTTCAGCGACATGATCGGCCGCGACCGCAACGGCATACCCCGCCGAGCTGCCCACCAGCGCGCCGTAGACCACAGGGACCGGCCATCTCTACACGAAAAACGCGTCGACTTATTGTGCATACCATATCATAAAGGCACAGTACGAAATGTGGTGATTCCTTACCTGCATATCAGTCTGCCAATCCAATGAAAGCGCACCGGCCCCGAGCCATGCGCCGAGGATGCCGAGGGTTAGCGGGTAGTACGCGAGGCGTTCGGTTGTAGTTTTCAGTCTGTAAACGAAGGGCACCATCAAATAAACCATCATCCATCAACCAAGGTATGCGTTCGTCGAAATGGCTGGCTAAAATGCGGGGTGAGGGGAGTCTTGCGCCTTTGGCGCAATGTGGCTCGCTGGTCCCTCGCGAAGGACGAAGCAAACCTCAAGCATCCCTGCACCTCACTCCGCCCGCCGCAGTGCGCGGTCGCTCGCGACCCTTACCTCCCCGTAGAAGAAACCACCCTCCTCCACGCCTCCCCATCTCCTCCGACCCCACAGCTTGCCGGAAACACCACCAACGTCGCCACAAACGCGGCCGCCAGCCACGTCTCCTCAACCAACTCAAACAAGGGTGCTCCAAACAACACCGCGAGCATCCACAGCGAGATTGTGCCGATGCATGTCCAGAGGAGGGCTTGAATGGCCTCTGTCGTCCATGATCGTGTTAGCGGTGGTTGCGTTGATGAGTTAGTCGAGCGGTGTGATTTCGGTGATGGGGTGCGATTACTGTCTCTGGAGTCGGGTTCCGACCAAATACGGAGGGTGGCGAGCAGGAGGCGGCAGGCGAGGAGGAGGAGGGTGGCTTTTAGAAGGGCGGCGTTCGGAGTGGAGGAAGAGGAGGAAGGGTCGAGGGTGATGGGCGAGAGGAGAACGGCGCCCCAGGCGGAGAAGGAGGAGAGGGCGGCTGTGAGGAGGGGAGATTGCATCATCTTGGGGGACGAGGCAAGAGGGAGGACGGTGGTTTATCCGGTCTGTCCTATGAGTCCTATGAGTCCTGTGTGCTGCTCTCTGTCTTTGTGTGTTGATTGCAGTCCAAAAAAAGCAAAGGGAAAGTGAACACCTCTCGAAAGTCTCGGCGGGCGTGACGGCAGCGTTCTTTCAACTCCTCCAATTCCGCCCATCCCCATCACCCTTCGTCCTCCCCCGAAACAACACAACAACCCCTCCTTGCACCCCTCGCCACCAACTCCATCCTCCCACCCTCATCCACCCACTCACCAAAACCATGTCCCACCGTAAACTCGACGTCGACCATTTCGACGACGAAGACGCCTTCATCGACGAGAACGAGACCGCACACGGCAACACCGCCATCAACGAATCCGCTCAGCTCGACGTCGATACCCGGGCCAACACCGTTAGGGACTTGCTTTCCAGGTAGAGTCGTCCGATCGTAATTCACACACACACGTCGAGGGTGATGTATGTATCTGATACGATTGCTTGGTGTAGGGGGGACACGGCCTCCGCCGTCGCCGCGGCCCTCGCTAACCCGCCTGCTGGCCGTGAAGTCCAGTCCATCAAGGACAAAAACACAACAACAGTGATGGAAGCCCTCTCCGCCGTCAAATCCGCCGACATCTTCCCGATCGTGAAGCAGCTCGACCAGGCGCAGGTCGATGTGCTGGTCAAGTATATCTATAGGGGCATGGCGAGTCCCGAGACGTTCAATTCTGCGGTGTTGTTGGCGTGGCATGAGAAGGTGCGTGCTGGGTGGTGGGAGGGAGGGAGGGAGGGGAGGAGAAGACGATGGGGAGGATGGGGAAGAGACGGGGGGGGAGAGACAGTGTTGGGGACAGGGAGGTAATGGGGCCGAGACGGGAGGATAGACGCATTAGTTGAATGGCCGGTGTCATCCAGCATAATGCCCTCTGCGACCGAAGCACGGCATTCGCGGTATCTAGGGAGCTGGCAACGGCCTTGACGTTCCTCCACCGCATCACGTATTTGCATTCCTTTCGTAGCTCGCGGACCTTTCTAACACGTTCCATTTCCCGACTCTAGGCAACGGAAGTGAGCGGTCTCGGATCGATAGTACGCGTCATGACTGACCGGCGAACGGTGTGAAAAGAGCCTTCGATGCTAGGAATTCCGACAGGGGGGTGGAGGGTAGCAGTGAGGAAGGTGTGGGAAGCGTGGGGATTAGCAGAACGAATGTGGTTGTTATACATGACGAGGAATGGCACGGGTGGGAAATCGAAGATCTCTCACGAACAATCTCCCCTACCACACCCCGCCTCGTATCTCTCCCTAGCGGCACACCTGTTCCGAGTCGCCTTCGGCATCCTAGAAATCCATGTAAATAACCCATGCTAAACGAAGCCAAAAAAGAGAAGAACCACCTGCACGTTCCTACCTCACACGGTTGATATGCGACGTTCAGACGTTCATACCACGGCGATCGGAACATTAACCACCTTAGACGCCATGCGTGTAGATAAATATGTGTATTGAGTGTACAGTGTATATAAAAACCCGTCCGATGATGCACAGGTTGCCACTCTCGCAAGCAAGCGAAGTGTTATCTCTGTGTCGGGAACCAGGAATAAGAGTCTCCTCGACCCTTAAGTCCTCGACCGCCGAGTCGCAGAGGAGGGACTCCTGGATGGGGGCCGATGGTCGCTGGGTGCTCCATCGACAAGTCCTCATCCCCTCACACGCTCTCCCCCCCGCCCACATCCCTCCAAACCCCCTCCACAAACTCCACCCCGGCAAACTCCTCCCTCAACCTCCCCACCGCAACCCTCATCTCCACCCTCCCCCTCGTCTCCGCCTGCACCTTCGCCCAAAACTCGTGCGCCTCGTCCATCCGTCCCTGCTTGACCATCACCCTCAACACACTGACCCTATCCGCCGCCGTCACGGGCCACTTCCCCTCTCGGATAAGTGCGAGGATCCGCAGCGCGTTGGGGAGGTCTTCCGCGGCGATGTAGGTGTCAAAGACGATTTTGTGGGGTTTGTAGGCGGGTTTGAAGGCCGAGGCGGGGTAGAGGGCGAGTACCTTTTCGGCAAGGGCGCCGTTTTTGAGGGTGCGGAAGCCACGGAGGAGGAGGCGGAGGGTGCGTTCGGTGTATTCCACGTCTGCTTTTTTCAGGATGGTTTTGAGCTCTGTGATGGTTTCGTCGGGGGGGAGGGTGAAGATGTGTTGGGGTGTGGCGGTAGCTACGCCGCGGGCGAGGCGGTGGACGAGAGTGCGGATGGAGTGCGGGGTGTATGCTTTGGAGGCCTGCCAGGCGGCGACGGCGTCCTGTTGTGTGGCGGCTGTTTCCGCGACGTAGGCGGCGGATCGGGCGTTGGGGGGTACGTTCGCGGCCTGCATTTCTGCGACAAGTTGGGCGGCTTCTTCGGGTTTGCCGGCGCGGTTGTAGGCGTTGATAAGGATGTTGAAGAGGGGCCCGTTGAGGGGGCGTGGGTCCTGTTCTCTGCGGAAGTCGAGCCATTCGGCGAGTTTGTCGGTATCGGCTTTGGCAGCGTAGTAGCTGAGGATGTGGAAGTAAGAGTCTTTGAGGTCGATGCCGTCTTCGAGGTATCGCTCGAACGTTTGCAGCATCTCCTCTTCGTGGCCGCCGGCGGAGAGGCCAAACATGTAGGCGTTGGACGCCTTAAGAATCACGTCCCTCCTCTCCGATTTCAACTTCGCCAGGACGGCCCTCGCTTCCTCGAACTTTCCCTCGAATGCCAAACACTGGACTCGTTTCGTCTGCACCGCCGCATCGTCCAGCTTCAGTCCGGCCCTCTTGGCAGCCTCGATCGTCTTATCCACCCCACTCAGGCTGTTCAGTCGGCCGTAGAGGTACAGGAACAGCTTATACACGCCTTCATCGGGTTTGGCCGCCGAGGCGTGGTAGTGGGTCCACAGCCGCTCGGTGACCTCCAAACGGGTTTTGTCGTCCCTGCTGGGCAGCACGGTGTTGAGTTTGACGAGCTCGAGAACGGATCGGAATGCGGGTGCGGAGAGACGGGTGACGTCGCCGTTCTGTTCAAGGATGGTGTAGAATTGATAGGCTTTGTTGGACCGGCGGCTGTCTATTAGGGACATGAACTTCTGGAAGGCTTCGGGGTCTTTGAGGGCTGATGTGCTTGTTAGAGATGGTGGTGTTGCCGATTCTGCTACAGCATCGGCGGCGGTGGCGAACATACGGGCGGCGGCGGGCCTGATCCCTCTTGACCCGGCGGCTACTCTTAGAACCGCCTTTGCGACGATACCGTTCGAATGGTGTCTGTTTGACCGTATCATGCTGGCGCAGATCGACACTTTGAAAGCGGCCATTGTTGCGAGATCACTCGGGAAGACAAGGCTATTTTGTGAACGAGGCTGAAACTTGAGCGCAGGAACCGGGTAAGCGTCGGGCGTGGGGATATGTGTGCCCTGAGTCCTTGCTGCTGTGTGTGGGCTTACGTCTGAGGGTCTGCTGGCTGCGTCGGTAGATTGCCCTTCTGCCGATGCTCGTCGTCGTTGGGCTTCCTGTTGTCGCGAAGGCCAAAAAGCGACTGCTTATTAAACTGCATTTAATCAGAGCTTTCCTCCACGTGCCTTGGTTAATATAATACTCTTGCCCCATGTGACTCCCATTTTCACTTTTTGCAAGGTTTTTCTTTGTTAGCTTGGAAGAGCTTGGAAGAACTTGAAGCACCTTGCCCCATGTGACTCCCAGTTTCACTTTGGCAAGGGTTTTCCTTGTTAGCTTGGAAGAACTTAGATGAACTTGAAGACACCTTGCCCCATGTGACTCCCATTTTCAGGCAAGGTTAACTTGGATGAACTTGAAAACACCTTGCTGGGGACTTGCACTTGGAACTTTGCCCAACAGAGCAACTGAAGAACACACACCATTTTGCAGTGCTCCACACAAATTTGATGCTCATATGTCCACAACCAAGGTATCCAGCGGTCTGTTCTAATTGGGATGACCACAAAAGCCTCGCACTATAAAAGGGGCAGCCGCTCCCGCCACGCTCCCTCGGGACAAGTTCCTGCAAGGCGTGTTCTCCAGTTGCCTTGGGGGATCGAACGTCCGTGCGCTTCGGACAAGTCTCGACAGGTCTCAAACAGCATTCGGCTCGCAGTGACCATGTTGGCGTGCACCTATAACTGCTCCAGGGAGGCAACCGGTTTCTGTGTCGACTGCTGCAGAGACGTCTGCGACCAGTGCATGGCAAGATGGCACACTGGCATCCGTAAAGACCATCGGAGCATTGTCTTCCATCGCTGCCAACTCTGCAATATCTTATCAGGCCCCGCCAAGATCGCTGGCTATTACTGTCACTCCTGTCCGGCTGCCAAAGGCTGCTTTGGCGTCTATCTTTGTTCTCGATGCTGCCAAGAAGAGCACGCAGGAGTGAATCTACTTCATGGTGGCACCGAGAATCGGATACATAATGTTCTTCATGTGCGCTTGAACGGGTATGTGCAAATCTTTCATTTCTGACTTTCTAGATCTCTGTCGTTCCTAACCTTGCGTCGTGTCAGAAACAACACCGTCCCTACAACTCCACCGATCACCGCCTCCTCTGTCCCTATATCTGCAATCTCCGCCTCCGGTCATCATGAGCGTATACCCGCCTCCTCTGTACCTGTGCCTGCAACCACCGCCTCCGGTCAACAGCCCCGTATACCCGTTAATCAGGCCGTTGAGCGAGCAGCCCCGGATTTCGCCACATTCCGAAATCGGATGGAAAAGCACTTTCCGCCGAAAAGAGCAATGAGTGCAGAAGTCCTTGCAATCCCTTCAACCTTCCCCGCCGTCAGGCAATCGGCTCAAGTTCCTGCAACGGCAACAACAGGCGTTCGACATGCAGCGGCCCCAGCACCTGTTCATGAATCTATAGCAGAAGCTATCGTTCCCTTTCATGGACCGACTTCCGCGACTGCTGATGTCACCCAAGCGGCCCGCATATCTGAAGCTTTCCTCGCGAGACCAGCCAGCGCAGGGCTCCCCATTCATATGCGCCAAGTCCTCTCCAATCATGTAGCTATCCTTGCGAGGCAAGCTGGCCTTAGTTACACGCCGACTCCCGCGACAACGCCCGTCAGCCAAGCTGCCTCCATTCATGTGCCTCCGATAGGGGCGGACACGAAAGCTCCCGTCACTCATATACCTACCTCTACAACAACGCCGGTCAGCCCACCCGCACTCACTCCTTTACCCACCGCAGCAACAACGCCTGTCAGCCAACCGGTGCCCACGCATATATCTCCTCCAGCAACAACGCCCTCCAGCCAACCGGCGCCCACTCCTGTATGTAGTTCGGCAACGGCGCCCGTCGGCACAGCTGGGCCGACTCCGACGCCTACGACCGTCGGTGGCCAAGCTGCCGCCGCTCATATACCTGCTTCTGCAACAACGCCAGTCAGCCAAGCTGCACCCATACCTGTACCGCCAGTTGCGAAACCAGTCACCCAAGCCGCATCCATTCCTGTTTCTTTTGCGAAACCAGTCGGCCGAGCGGCCCCCATATCTGTGCCGTTCGTTGCGAAACGAGTCAGCCAAGCGGCGCCCACTCCTTTGCCTACTCCCCCGATGACGACCGTCGAAAACAAAGCTGTCCCCGCTCGTATACCAACTTCTCAGACACCGCCCGTCGGAAATCAAGCTGTCCCCGCTGATATACCGACTTCCACAACATCGCCCGTCAGCCAAACGGGGCCCATCCATGAGGTTACTTCCCCTCCTACGCCCGTGAGTGATCAAGCGGCTCCCGTCCATGTACGCCCCGCAACGGACACCCAAGAGTGGCGAGAATACTTTATGCGCGCGCGCGCGGGAAAAATGCACGAAAAGCAAAACGTAGTCATTGATCTCACCGAGGAGGAACCGGCTTGCGAGAAGCGTGCTAGGTCGGAAGAGGATGAAGCTCAAATGTCTTCGCCCAACAAACGAGCGCACTCCCTTCCCGCGAAATCGGACAACTGCCCGCCGCCTTTCGATCCAGAGTTTGCACGTGAAGTCGTGCGCCCTCGACTTGAGGTCGTAGTCCAAGCGCTATCAGTAGACAACCTCGACGTGGAGCTGCCGTCCTCAGAGGAGTTGAAGAAATTTTCTCGCATTCGGTACGAAGGGCCCACAGTCCACGCGAACGCTACCTTTTATGCGAAGATGGAAAGCACTCCGTTCTACGAGAAGAAACTTGAAAATGGTGCCAACGGCGTAAGCCAGGAGATCATGGCCCTCATGCGCAAATCCTTCCACCGCGGCGTTCGCGGCGGGACAGGGTCCGTCGACGCAGAGTGGGCCATCCGGAAAGCACAACACCTCCAGAGCAAGTTCTACATCGACGCCGCGGCCCCAGAGGAACGAGGCCTGGCCCGCCGCGTCGTCTTCTACAGCACTGCCGGACCCAGGAGACCACTCGACAGGAACCCTGACGGGGATTGGCACCAGAGTTTGGCCCTGCTCATCGAGGCGACGTTCCTCGCCAAGGTCGCTCCGTTGGTGGATCCTGGCGGTTACGTGTTTTACGGCATCGGGGACCAGGTCGATCAGGCCGCGCTCGCGTTCGAGATGGTTGTGAACAAGGTTGTTGAGCTGAGTCATGACCATAACGGGGTGCAGGACTCGTTGTCCATGGGCGAGCTCGCCAACACCTTGGGGAATGTTGGTAAGGCTGCTAGGGAGGAGATATACGGGCGGGAGTCGGAAAGAGATAAGGCGGCTCGGCTGGCGTGGGAGGAGAAGAGCTGGAGGATGGCAGATGTTGTTGCGGTTGAGAATAACTTGAATAGTGCGAGTTTAGGATAGCCTATTAGCTTTGGAGCCCCTTTTGTGATTACCATCTTGTAGTGTACATAGCCTGAAACTATACCAATAATTCACATCATCTGCAAGAACCTCGTTGGCCAGCAGTTCGGATATGCCGGGGTCCGGGTGGGCAAAGATGGTGTTTCAGCTGCTGTGGTGTAGCGAGTTGAGTGAAGCGAAGAGGAAACAAAAGAAAGCCGTGCGCAGGGTAGCTAAGGGTAGCCTTTGCTACCCGAACATCCTTTCCAGGCCTTAGAATTTGACAGCATTTCGACTGTGACACAGCAACCGAAGAACGAACGAATGGAGCACCAGCTGATCGGAACACGGGGACAGCGCTCTACCACCGGTACTGCCCCAACCCAGTTGTATGTGTTCGCAGCGGATAAGAAGCGGGTTTGTATCCAGACGAGCGAATGACTCGCCTCTCGACTGAGCTTCCCAAGAATCTCTTGATCCCCAATAACTTCAAAGTGTACGGGTGCGTTTGGAGATCGCCACACAACAACAATGTCGGCAAGGGACAACACCGGCAACGGGAGCAAGCGCAAGTGGGACTCGCCCGCTGCTGGCGGAACCGACAGCGGCAGCACAACCTCTCCCGCAAAGAGGCCCAAAACGGACACCACCAATGACGACAAGGCCGACGAAGCAGCACGGCAGGCCGCCGAGTTCAAACGCATCCAGGCCCAAGTCGCTGCGAGGATGGCCTCTCTCACCAAATCCGGCCTGCTTCCCGCCACAGCCGCCGCACCGAAACCCAGTAATGCCACCCCACCGCCAGCAGCAAGCGCGACCGTCGGCGGGATCAATATCTCGGAGATCAGTGCGCGGATCGCCCGGCAGAAGGAGCAGCTGCTACTCCAGCAGCAGCAGCAACAACAACAAGCAGCTGCATCCTCTTCATCCCCAGCCAATGTCGACCGCGCAAAACGGGGATTGAAGATGGAATACCACCCCTCCCTCGTCTTCGACACCACCGGCCAGCTCAACATCCGCGGCGGCGCAAAAGCCGCCCTGATGCCCAAAGCCGATTTCGCAACAGTCCGCGCCAACCAGCGGTCAGGGACACCAGGAACAGCGGGCGGTGCGAGTCCAGGGATACCTGTGCTAGGCAAAGACGGCTTCACAACCCTCGGCCCCCCCTCCATAAACCTCCTACCCAAAAAGGAGATGAAGATAGAGACCGCCTCTCCCGATTTCGCCGACCCGACCAAGAACCCTTACTTCGATCCTAACCTGGCCGCCAAAGCGGCAGCGGGCCCGAGGGAACGCGCGAGGAAGGGGTTTCGGTTCGTGCAGCAGGGGAGGTTTATTAATGAGGCGAATCAGTTGAGGAGCAAGGCGCAGTTGGAGAAGTTGAAGAGGGATATTGCGGAGAGTGTGAAGAAGACGGGGATGGCGGTGGAGATGGAGCTGGTTGCTGATCAGTCAATGAGGGTATGTAGCGGCGAGCAGAGCGAGTTCCGCGCCGCAGGCTCAATTCTAGCGAGCGAAGCGAGCAGTGAATGTGAGCGACCGCGAACGGTCGTTTTTATTTTACAGGCATTGTGATTGATCGTGGTTGATGGTTGATGGATCATGGTTGACAGGTCGATGCGCAGATGATGGTTGATGATGTGGTTGATGGGTTGCGTGATCGCCAAAACTCATATTTCTATTCCCTCCCCTCTCCAACAGACCGAACCCCCACCTCCCGTCGAATGGTGGGACGCCCCCCTCGCCCCCGACGGCTACGCCAACTTCAACCCTGGGCCCCTCTCCACCACCCCCATCCCACCCACCAACCTCCCCCTCCTCACCGCTCTAGTCCAACACCCGATCCCCATCCAACCCCCCGCCGAATCCAGCGACCCGAAACCCAAACCCCTAATGCTCACAAAAAAAGAAACAAAGAAACTCCGCCGCCAACGCCGCATGGAGCTGCAAAAAGAGAAACGCGAGAAGATCCGGTTGGGACTGCTGCCACCGGAACAATCCAAAGTCAAAATCTCCAATTTCATGCGCGTCCTCGGCACCGAAGCCGTGCAAGACCCGACGCAAATCGAAGCCACCGTCCGCGCGCAAATGGCCGCGCGCAAGCAAAAAGACCGGGACCTCGTCGCCGCCAACAAACTCACCGACGCCCAACGCAAGGACAAGAAACGCCGTAAACTGGATGAGAGCGAGGTGACCGATACGCTTCTCCACGTCGCGGTGTTTCGGATCAACGATCTGAGCCACCCGCAACATAAATTCAAGGTGGATATGAACGCGCAGCAGCATAACCTCACCGGATGCGCGATCCTCCATGCGGGGTCCAACCTGGTGGTTGTCGAGGGCGGGCCGAAGGGTATCAAAGCGTACAAGAAACTCATGCTGAAACGAATCGATTGGGTGAACACCGCCCCACCCGCTGGAGAGTCCTCATCGGCACCGCAAGAAGACGATACGCAAGATAAACCGCCGAATGAGTGTATTCTGGTGTGGGAGGGGCAGGTGAAGGAACGGAATTTCAAGGGGTTTAGGTTTAGGCCGTTGCCGACGGAGAGGGGGGTGAGGGAGTATTTGGAGAAGTGCAGGTGTGTGCATTATTGGGATGCGGCGCGGAATTGGGTTAAGGAGGGGTTTTAGCAAGGGGGGCGTGGGGAGAGTTGGGGCAATTGTGATGTGGAATGTGGATGGGGGACGGGAGATGAATGTGGTATACCCCTTCTCGATGCTCCCAAGCGCTCGCTTCAAACCCTGGTCTTCCATTCATGAAGTTCACAAACCAAAGAAATGTAAACACCCACACAGCTATCTACGTCTACCCAAACGAACACCTACATATATGCGCTTTGATACGAGCGCATGGATTTCATCCGCCCATATTCTCCCAATTCACAATCTCTCCATCTTACCGCCCCCACCACCCGGGCGCAACAGCCCTAACGCCCACCTCCATTCCCTTCACAGCCAACACCGCCTCCATGTCTTTCACAGCACCACCGCCATCATTACCCTGGATGTGGTGTTTCCCGCCAGCGACATATTCCAACCGCACGAGCGCAAGCCCGATGTTGGCGACGTGCGAGCCTGTGCGGCCGATGGGTTTCGGAGTCGTGGTTGCGGCAGTTGGGCGGCGGCGGCGTGTGGGTTGTTGTTGTTGTTGTTGATCCGATTCTGACTGTTCTGACTGTTCTGATGGTGTGGTCGATTGTGATGGAGGCAAAACCACAATCTCCGTCTGCGGCGGGACTCCCTCGCTATCCTCCGTTTCCGACCCGACATCCACAGCCAGTCCACTGTCGTCATCCTCGATGTTGGGAGACGCGGCGGCACCGGCGGTGAGATACTGCACAGGCACGATCCGTTTCCGCACCACGCCGGTGTGGTACGTCCTGATCGTGAGTTCTTGGCCGAGGTAGCAGCCTTTGCGGAAGTCCACTGAAACAAAAACAAACGTGAGTTTGCCACGATTCAACGCGTGATGTATGATGGAGACGGAAGCGGTAACGTTGCTTACCCCCCGACATGAGATCGAGGTTCGATTCGAGCGGTAGTGCGACGCCGGTGGGGAAGTCGTCGGCGCCTTCGGGGATCCCGAGGAGGATGCGGCGGCGGAGGTAGGTCGTGTACGGAACCTTAGTGAAATGCTGTGGGAGGGGCGCTATTGCGAAAAAGAACGTCCATTAGGTTTTCAGTAACACATACGGTAACGAAGAGGGGCACGTACGTTTCCCCCCCGTCTCAAGCACAACCCTCAACCCCATCTCCCGATGCCTTGGATCCCTGCACCCAATATCACACAACCGTTCCCTCCCCACCAGCGCACCCAACGGCAAGGCAACACCCCCAACAACCTCATCCCGCACGACATTCACGCCCCACATCGCGGCCGTCGCCGGGCCCCAGATCTGCCACGCCGTGTAGGTCGCTGAGACGTCGGTGATGGAGATCTTGGCACGCAGTTTGTGCCGTTTGAGGTGGAGGAGGAGGGCGGGGGTGTGGCGGGCGTCGTGCTCGATGAGGAAGGTGGGGTGGGGAAAGGTTGGGCCGGTGTTGTGGGGGTAGATGAAGGCGTCGTAGAGGACTCGGCCCTGGAAATGAAACAGCGGCATTGATAAGCTTTCCTGACTGCGATGCAGGGGTCCTACATGCATCTCTTTCATCACCCCTTACCTGAGCCGTAAGAAACGCACAAAATACCCCATCGCCACCCCGCTCAATCAACCCCATCTGGTTCGTCGTCAGCCCTTGCAGGAATTTGACCGCGTCGGGGCCGTCAACAGCTACGAAGCCGCGGTTGGGGAGCGGGGTGAAGGAGTCAGTGGCGGAGGTTGTGGCGAGGTAGGTGGCGGCGGGAACGAGGGTGCTGTTGCTGGATTGAAAGTGATGTGATGGGGGCGTTGGTGTTGTGGGTGATGGAGTGTGCAGGGAGCGGGGTGTTGCGCTGAACGCGCGGAGTTGACATTTTCGGGCGGGATGGAGTGATGCGATGCGGAAGGAGTGAGCGCATGGCGGCGGGCGTCTGCGGAGCCCTGCAAACGAATAGGGAAAGGGAGTGGGTCGTATATATGTGGTATTCCAATAGTCTTTTTTCTCCGACAGAAGGATTTGCCACCTCGCGGGTTACAATTAAGCGCATCATACGAAACTTTGAAAACATACCAGCCAGAAGACGGAGTGGTTGTGCAGGACGGCTCGCCATTGGAATAGCGACGGGTAGAGTGCTGTGTTATGCGTAGGTGAGTGTCTGTATGGGTATCTTACGGCTTTTTTTTATGAGGTTCCATGTCTGCCGGAAGTGCGAGAACTACAGGGAACACCCGCCTGCTTCGTATCCGCTGCGAACGCGTTACTTATCATGTCTCGCTGTCAAGTTGAGATCCCGTCATTTTCGAGCTCACCACAGTACTCCTCAATCGCACGGCGCAACCATGTCCTAAGCACGGCCCAATGTTTATTGAAGAAATGGGGACAAATGCTAGAATATCACAGGTCCTGATGCTCCATGCGCACTGCCAAGAGTTCGTCATTGCGCAAGAGCGTTGTGGCGAGAAAGCCGCCAGCAACCTCCGCTCTTGGCGGGAGCGCACCCCTCCACCGCCCATCGCACCTCCACCACTATAAGGTCCTTCCCCCACCGCAACGTAAAGTTCCCATCGGATGTGTGGAGAGAAGTGTCCCCTACACTCCAGAGTGGAATTATGATGTCGGCCTCTAACGCCAGCACATGGATCTGCTCGCGGTCTAGTCCATCAGGATCATCGGATCATCGAGCGCCGCTACTCCTCCCTCAACCCAATCTTGCACCCATTCTGGTGGGTCATTCTCGAGTGCGTTGGTGGGCTCCCAAAGCGATCTACTGGAGCAGAAAATAACCGAGTTAACGCACCTACAGGTGCAGCATGGACGATGTAAGATCCGAACAGACTCGAAACTACAAGCTACAAGCATGCCGAACGCCAAGTGGACCGCCAGTGGGATAACTACTACGACGATCTTGCAATATATGAAGAAGAATATGATCAGTATTGCCGGGCGTCTAATTGAGCGCGAAGAGAAGGCAGGAGGCCCACCCGCGCAGCGGCCAACGAAGCCGACACCCCCCGCACGGTACTCACCTGGCGGCGTCAAGCATATCAGTAATCTCCGACACATGTTCAACTCCCCGGCGGCCGACCCCGAGCTACACGACGCACTTGAACGGAATTTCACGGCGCACGGTCGACACCCACGACCTGTAAAGCATCGTTAGCCTCCGAGGACCCACGTCTCAGCGAAGAGTTTACGCACGATTATCCCCACGGCGAGCTTTCGTTCAAACGTGCAGCGTATTGGCATCACAATGGCCGCTGCTAGATACAACGTCCCTCATAGCATTTACCAACCGCAAAGCAGCCGTTCTGTCGGTACTGGTGATGAGAGGGGAATTACTGCATCGAAGACGGAGCACTTGGAGCCGCAACGCAAAAGAGCGCGATCGTCGTAAGAGAAGCGGTCACTTTGTCATACATCATCGTGAGTGAGGGAACAGGAGATACATACACGGAAGAACTAGGTGACACATACCGTCCCTCCAACCACACCCGCTCAATATGCTCGCGTAGAACGAAGCTGTAAGAGTGAATTAAGACGCTAGATGGATAATATCGGAATTTCTTGGCTGAGAGTCCAAAAGTTCCCCTTTGGGCCTCTTGGACTCTTAGCCAAGAAATTCCGATATAATCTACCTAGTGAACTGGGTGCCAAAAGGGAGATGTTGCGAGGGTTGAAGGTGGAGATGGAGGGTGGGAATTTACAGAGAGCACAAGGGATCGGTAGGGAATGCCGATGGATAGGGGGGAGGAGGTCAGACAACGGGTGGGGCTTATGAAGGCGAGTAGGAGGTAGACAAGGTACTCTCTGGTTTGTTCTGGGAGTCTGAGAGGGGCGAGGAGAAAGTTCCGCGCTGCAGGCACAATAACCGTGAGCGCGGACAGTCGTTCCTACTTGAGGGCGACAACGAACGGTCGTTTTCAATACATGTCGCCTGACATCCTTGTTGCGAGTGGAGCGAGCAGGGCATCCTGCAACCACCATCCGCTCCAATCATCCAGCCAACCGTCGCATTCAAGCATGTGCAGTTTGAGACATCTTCCGGATGGATGGCGTATTGGGTCTGTGAACAAGGAATATCGGATACTCTATCGGACGTGTTGACGAGCGAGAACCTGGACTGAGGGCAGGGCCCTATATATATACTTCCCTGAATGGGTTTCCTTTGACCAACACGATCCCGGGGCGCCAGCTGTATCCGTTTCCATTTCGGCAAATTGGAATTTAAAGGCACCCCAAGAACAATGACAACTCACTACCACGACTGAGAAGTACAGGACCAGAGCACCCTCAAAGTGGAAATCGCGAGGGTCGCTGCGAGAGTAGATATCCCGTATAGAGTCCGGGGATTTTTTTTGGGTTTTTCAAGTTCTCTCACCTTTGGGACACTAGATATTTGAGTGTATGATCGTTCCCTTTGAACTCATCGAGACCCTTAGTATCTTCCTGTACCCGTCGGCGAGCGAACCCTGGCGGTTGGGTTTGACACGATTTTGACAGCATCATGCAGGGGAGGCCGTCCGAAAGCAGATGATGGAGTGCACAGCCACCCACTCGTTCTTCTCATGACAACTTTTGAAGCACTTGGAGCACTTCCAACATCCGTTCACTTCAACCAGAACTGAAAGTGAGTGAGAGAGAAGCAAAGCAATGGAAAAACCGCTCTTCCCCGACCTCGAGCAGGGTCCAAACGAGCCCCTCCTCCTACCTCGCCGCCCAACCCTCCCACCAGCCGCCGTCCCAGCCTGCATCAACAGATATCTCCGCGATTACCAACGCGAAGGCGTTGCCTTCCTCCACTCTCTCTACGTACGCAACTTCGGCGGCATCCTCTGCGACGACATGGGTCTCGGAAAAACAGTGCAGGTCATCGCCTTCCTCGCCGCCGTCCTCAACAAAAAGGGAACCCCAGACGACCAAACGGCGCGCAAACGTGCTCTCCGCACAGGAAACGAAGACCACCTCACCCAGATCTTGATCGTGTGCCCAGCCAGCGTCATGTACAACTGGCAGCGCGAGCTGGAGACGTGGGGATACTTTGCCGCGGATATCTTCCATGGCGCCAAGAAGCAGGAAGTCCTCAAACGAGCACAGAGGGGTGGACTTGAGATTGTTATCACGAGTTTTGATTCGTTTCGGAATGCGATTGATGAGATGGATGCTGTGGAGTGGGATATTGTGGTGGTGGACGAGGCGCATAAGTTGAAGGCGGATAAGGCAAAGATTACGAGGGCTATGAAGGGGTTTCAGCCAGGGACTTGTAAACGTTATGCGCTGACGGTGAGGGAATGAGAGCGGATAACATTGTATCTCCGTGGAGCGGCATTAACTGTGAGATTTGGTACTTGGCAGGGCACTGCCATTCAGGTACGCGGACAGAGGATTGCATGCGGAGGTCGAGAGGGATATGCTGATTCGATGGCAATCATCACAGAACGACTATAGCGAGCTATGGTGCTTGCTTGATTATTGCAATCCAGGTATGGATCTGCGTTTCCGCCGCTTTGCTTTAAGCTATATAGGGTCACAGTTCACCCACTGACATGCCCTCCGCTCTCTCCAGGGTCTGTCGGTACGGGCCCAGATTGGGAAAAAAACATCTCATCAGTGCTGAAACGCGGGCAATCATTCAAAGCAAAAGTGCGAGACCTCGCCAAAATGCGTGAAACGAACGCACGGCTGAAGATCCTCCTGGAACAATGGATGCTTAGGCGCACAAAAGCCCTAATCGCACATCAGCTGCCACGCAAAGAAGAGTAAGTACTGGATTCAACGATCTCTGTCTCGGAGAGGTCCAAAGGAGACCATTCCTAGCTCACTGCGTCTTCTTCCGTTCCACTTCACTTCACGTCGACTTCCAGCCAAGTGATCTTCTGTCCTTTGACTGACACGCAGCGGATAGTGTATCAACGCCTCCTCGCCAGCCCAGACTTTGAATACTTGGCACGCAAGCACGAACCCTGCCCATGCCTTTCAGGAAAGGCACGCGGCGACTGTTGCTACACTGAAAGCGCGTCAGGGCTACCATGGCAGAAGATCCTCTTCCCCTGCATGATAGCCCTCCAAAAACTCAGCAACCACCTCGCCCTCCTCATGCCACACCCGGACGACCCCGACTCCAAACGGGCAAAAGCCCAATCGCTCCTTCAAATCGGCTTCCCGAACGACTGGCAAACCCGGACCCCCGGCTTCCGCGAATACGCCGACGTCGAGAACTGCGGCAAATGGAAAGTCCTCTCCCAGCTCCTCCCCACCTGGCAACGCGCCGGCGCAAAAGTCCTCCTCTTCTCCTCCTCCGTCCGCCTCCTCGACATGCTCGAGAAGCTCATGTTCACCGCCGGATACGATTACTCCCGCCTCGATGGCCGCACCCCGCCCAACCAACGGCTGGACATCGTGGACGAGTTCAACAACGATCCGATGAAGTTTATCTTCTTGATAAGTACGCGCGCGGGCGGCGTCGGGCTGAACCTGACGAGCGCGAACGTTGTGGTGGTGTTTGACCCGAACTGGAACCCGAGCCACGATCTCCAGGCGCAGGATCGCGCGTTCCGGATCGGACAGCGGCGCGATGTGAAGGTGTACCGGCTGATTGCGGCGGGGTCGGTGGAGGAGTTGGTCTATGGGCGGCAGATCTACAAACAGCAGCAGGCCAACATCGGATACAATGCGTCCACCGAGCGCCGCTATTTCGAGGGCGTCCAGGGCGATAAGGAGAATAAAGGCGAGCTGTTTGGAATCGAAAACATCTTTGCGCTGCATCGCGAGTCCGATATCATCACGAAATTGATCGTCAAGCGCACCGAGACCGCTGAGATACAGTACCAGGTTGCGGATATGATTGGCGGCGGGGGTGGGGGCGGTGGTGGTGGTGGTGGGGGCGTGAAAGAGGAGTTGGAGGGAGATGAGTTGCGGGATTTGGGTGATGAGGTAATGTGCGGAGGGGGGGTTCGTTATCGCTGTTAGCGGCCTGTGTGTTAAAGTTGACTATGGAACGCCAACCGCGCCCACAAACAACAGGACGACGACGAAGCGCAGCTCGCAGCCCTCGCCACCCTCCACCACCAAGACGAGCACCCACCACGCGACCCACCCACATCCATGACCGCCGACTCGGAACGCGCGATCCTCACCCACTGCGGCGTCTCCTACACGCACGTCAACACCGACATCGTCGGGCCCTCCCGCATCGAGGCCCGCATCGGCATCCAAGCCCGCGCCGCAGTCGAGAACGGCCTCAACACACAGGCATTCGCGTTCGAGCCCGCCACGTGGGACGACGACGACGCGCCGGGAGGGTTGCCGTATTTGCCCGTGGTGGGGCAGACCCCCGAAGACGTGCGCGAACAGCAGTTGGGGGAGATGGCGGCTTTCTATGGGTTTGAGAGTACCGAGAGGTTTTGTAGGAGCTATGTGGAGGCGAGGAAGGAGGTCAGGGAGAGGTGGCTGGAGGGGTACTACGAGATGTGTAGGGGGAGGTTGGGCGGGGAGAAGGGGAAGGAGAGGGGTGTGAGGTAGAGGTAGGAAAGTGTAGGTAGAGTTGGGATGGAGCGGCGGGGGATGTGTGGTATGTTTGTAGATAGGGTGTAGTTAGCATAGGGTCCTTTTATGGATCTTGGTGTATATACTTGCTGTGTGAACGAGGGCATAAACGATGAGGAATCATGTGCAAATCGTGGTTGTATAAAATGTACAAGTGATAATGCCCCAACACAACGCTGGCAACGAACAGAGAGTGCTTCCGTGGGAGCGAAAGGCGGCAGTCTCGCATGATCGATGCGACACTTTTCCGTTACCGTAGCAGTTGCCGAAATCCCCTCCACGTCGTCACCCGGCCCCTTCAGTATTCCACCTTCCCCTTCCCCTCCCCCTTCCCCTTCCCTTCCCTTCCCCCCCTCACCTCTCTCCGTCTCCCCCCACCCTATATCCGATGATCCTCCACCGTCATCTGCTTCGCGACATCGGTCGCATCGACCATCTTCAAAAACTCTGCGAAATCCACCTTCCCATCCCCGTTCGTATCGGCCTCCATGATCGTCTTATCTACAATCTGCTGCAGCTGCTGGTCGCGCAGGTTGTTGCCGACCATCATTTTGAGGACGAGGAAGAGCTCGCCGTTCGAGATGAAGCCGTCCCGGTCCATGTCGTAGATCTTGAAGGCGACTAGCGGGTGTGAGAAGGTGGGGTGAGATGGATGTGATGGAAAGAGAGGGTTCGTTCCCCCCTAGGCCAGGGCCGGGCCATAGGGACTTTTTTTCACTCCACGACCCTCCGTATACCCGCATCCCAGTTCCGTTCTTTTCAAAGTCCAAGACACCTACACTTCAACTTCTCCTCGCGATTCCCCTTGGTCGAGAACGCGCTCAGGCCCAAGATAAACTCCTTGAAGTTCACGTCCCCATTCCCGTCCCTATCGAACACGGCCAGCAGCCGTTGGGCCAGCGGGTTGGCGGCGACCTGCGGCAGGGCGAGGAACTCTTCCTTGGTGAGTGTGCCCGAGCCGTTCTTGTCGAGCTTGGCGAAGCGTTTGTAGAGGCGTTGGATTTCTTCGGCGGTGACTGCGGGATGGGGGAGGTGGTTAGGTTGGACGAGGAGTGGGGGAAATGGGGTGGGGAGGGGGCTTACAGTGGGTGTTTGCGACCATGTCCTCGAGATTTGAGGCGGCGTTTCCCATGGCTGTTTGCTGTTGCGCGGGAAGTTTGGATCGGGGAGGGGGAGGGGGGATGAGCACTCGCGTCGGTGTGGGGGAGGCGGGAGGTTGGGTGACGCTTAGAGGAGCCTGTGGGTAGTGCGGTAGAACCCTTTGTGACTTGTGTTTCTGGGCAGGATGTCTGTCGCCGTCTTCGGGTTAATGGCTTTGGGGCTTGTTGGGGAAGAGCAGGAAGGAGGTGACGACACGCTTCTCTCTTTCTCGCCCAACCCGCCCGACATCAGGCCTTGCGCTCACTCCCCCAGCAACTCACACCGCCCACCATGCACCTCTACGACTCGACCATCCCCTCCGGCAACGCCTACAAAGTCCAGCTCCTGCTCTCCCACCTCCGCACGCCGTACACCACAACCTCCCTCAACATCCTCTCCACTCCGCCGGAGACCCGTTCGAGCCAGTTTCTAGCTTTGAACCCGAACGGGAGGATCCCTGTTTTGGTTTTGGATGACGGCACGCCGCTGGCCGAGTCGAACGCTATCTTGTTTTATTTGGCGGAGGGTACGGCATACCTGCCCGACGATAGGATCGCAAGGGCTCAGGTGAGGAAGCGAGGCGTATGGGATGCTTGAGGCAGGCGAGGCCTGGGGGAAAACGCAGCAGCGGAGCGAGTCCCGCCAACTCCAATTCTAACGAGCGAAGCGAGCAGTAAAATGTGAGCGAAAGCGAACGGCAACGTCGCCCCGTCAACATTGTTTTGAGGAACGGGGCCGATTGGGTTCACCTATCCAACCGACCCAACCTTCGCTTCGCTCATCCGGCCGGCCTCATCCCCGCACTTCTAATTTATCGCCATCATCTCATGCGAGCACAGGTCCTCCAATGGCTCTTCTTCGAGCAATACTCGCACGAACCCTACATCGCCGTCTGGAAATATCGCACATACTGGCACCCCACCGGCTTCTCCGACCTCACCTCGCCACAAATCACCACATTGAAAGAACGTGGCCAAGCCGCGCTGGAAGTCATGGAGCGTCATCTCGCGGGACGGGATTGGTTCGTCGGTACGGCGTATAGCATTGCAGATATTGCGCTTTATGCTTACACGAGCGCTGCGGAAGCGGTTGAGTTTAGTGTGGGTGCGAATGTTGCGGCGTGGTTGAGGAGGGTGGAGGGTACGGAGGGGTGGGTGAGGATCAAGAAGGACGAGACGGGGAAGAACCCGAATTGACGGCCATCGGAGAACAATTCTGTTTCGTCGTTAGAATGAATGCCATGCAAGATTCATGGATCGAAGCACGGATCAACGGAGATCCCTGTCCTACCTGTATTGTCCAGGACGCCCAAGAAGCACCGCAAAGTGGCCGGCGCAGGGCGATATGAGCTCTAGTGCTGTCAAGGATCCCGTGAACGTTCCGGCGTTTGTGGGTACTTTCCTTCCAGACCCTTTCCTTCTCCGGCGCGGAAAGGCGAACAACAGATATCACACAAAGCATGCAGCAACAGACGAGCAAAACATTTTATTTTGTCATTAGATACAAGAAATTTACGAAAAAGGAAGGAGTAATGCAACTATCGATCTACGCTCCGGGAGCCTGAGATTGAACTTTATTCATGGCGTGAAAGTTGGAATCCATTTCGGGCGAGTACCGTATCAAAAACGATCCAGTCCACACAACTTTTACGAGCCCCACGAAGTCTGCTTTTTGGTCGAAACCCTTCAACTTGGTCAAGAAAAGAAAGGCAATAGCCTGAAGGATTGCGAGAATTACCCATCACACCCTGAACCCACGCCTGATTCAGGACGACGTTCTGATGTGCGCTACCGAGTTCGAACCGGGAGCCAATCCTCTTTCCATACGGGGTTTGACCGTCGCACAGTATGCCAAGTAAAGCAGGAAGTCTGCTACTGACAGAACAAGAACAGCCCCTCTCACTCCGAAGGAAGCGGGGAGGGAGAGCACATCCATGATGGGTTGGGTGCCCATGTTGTTTGACGCGACATTGGCGCGTACATACGTTATCGAGCGTGCTACGCGAGCGAGCGTCCGAAACTGGCAGGGCGGGGTGTCCGAATCCACCCGGCGCGCGCGCTGATTGGCAGCCTAAAACGCCATGAGCGGGAGCCGACTGCGCATCGCGTGCTCGTTGCCATCTCCCTGTGCGCAACTGCTTCTGAGGACCAGTAGGAGATAACAAGCGGGTAAGAAGCAGTGAAGAAGCCGTTAGCAGACTCCCTCATGTCTTGTCTCATTGTCCACCCCCCAAACAAACGCCTTTCCCCCAACCCCGGCCGGAACAACAACCGTCGGGCCCATTGACCCAAACGGGCCCTCAACCCCCGCCAACAACTCGCACTCCCGTATGCATATACATACATATATATCTACCTCCCTACCAGCCCATACAGGGCATCACATATATATATACGGGACGACAGAGCTGCGTCTGCTCTCCGCCGCAACCAACCCTCCAACTCTCAACTCCGCTCAACCCCGCCTGCCCGCCATGACCCCAACAAACGTCTACTCGCCAGTGGTCGACGTGCCTCCAGTCCCCCCAAAACGAAGGAAGGGCGTGCAGCGGGGGTTGGAGGCAAGGCATATACAGATGATTGCTATTGGCGGAACAATAGGTGGGTTGGACAGGGGGATGGCAGCGAGTAGTGACATATGTATTGACACACTTTGTTTTATTAGGAACCGGACTTTTTGTGGGCTCAGGAGCGACGATTGCGATTGCGGGGCCTGTCGGGGCATTAGTTGCTTTTCTCATTGGTATGGGTGATCGCAGCTGCCCTACTATGGTCGCGCAAAGGTCAGTCATTAACTGCATCAAAACGATCCATAGTCGGGACGATGGTGTTCTTTACGACCTCGAGTTTGGGGGAAATGGCGACGCTGTTTCCTGTGTCGGGGTCGTTTGTGACTTATGCGGGACGATTTGGTATGGAGGACGTTCCATGTCTGAGTTTCTGCGGTGCGATGTGTGTATGAGATGAGCTGATGTTTTCGTGATTTTTTAGTGGATCCTGGTAGGTTTTGGCGAGCGGACAGTGGCGAGCGAAAGCGAGGAGAAACGTTGTTTAGGGTTGATTCGCGGAAGCGTGTCGGAGCGCTAAGCGAGCGCAACCTGTCCCAATCGGACCCCCACCGCCCTTTACTCACCACTCCACCCCATTCCCCTCCTCAGCCTACTCATTCACCCTCGGCTGGAACTACTGGGCCCAATGGGCCGTCTCGCTCCCCTCCGAGCTCAGCGCGCTTGGGATCATCGTCTCCTTCTGGACGCCCAACGTGCCGACGTGGATCTGGTCCGCGTCCATCCTCACCGTGCTGGTCGCGGTGAACCTCGTCAGCGTAAAGAGCTTTGGGGAGGCGGAGTACTGGTTGGCGGCTGTTAAGGTTGTTGCTGTTATAGGTGCGGTGGAATTGGCATATGCCATGACATGTATTTTGTTTTCTTCGGTGGTGTGTGGCTTACTTTGATGTGTGATCTCCTCAGCGTTTATATTTGTGGGAGTGGCCGTTGATCTGGGCTGGCTGGGATCCAACCCTGCTGTCGGGTTGGAGTACTGGTCGATACCCGGCGCACCGTTCAAGGTAAAGAATGCCCCGATACCCTCACCCCGAAAACATCCCGACATTCCTGACCATGGTTTCATATCTTTCTAGAACGGGGTTCTGGGAGTGTTCAACGTGTTTGTGATTGCGTTTTTCAGCTTCGGTGGCACTGGTATGTCTTTGTCGAGCCCACCGACGAGAGTGTGGACTGACGATTTTTTTTTGGGGGTGTAGAGTTGATTGGGATCACGGCGGGGGAGGCGAAGAATCCACGCAAGAATGTGCCAAAGTAAGGGCTCTTTTGCAAAAAGACCAGATCCAACAGACTTGATGAAAATCGATACTGATTGTGTTTGCGATACAGAGCGATCAACCAAACGTTCTGGAGAATCTTGTAAGTACCCCCAACCCGTCCCTCGCACAATCCAAAACCCCCCAAGCTCACACCCCACCTCCCCCGCCCCCCCTAGAATCTTCTACATCCTCTCCATCCTAACAATCGGCCTCCTAATCCGCAACGACGACCCAACCCTCCTCGACTCCTCCACCCCCTCCGACATCTCCATCGCGCCCTTCACGCGCGTCTTCCAATCCGCCGGTCTGAACTCCGCTGCCCACGCCATGAACGCCGTGATCTTCACCGCGGTGCTATCGGCGGGGAACACGGCGATCTATGCGGCGAGTAGGACCCTCATGACGATGGCGAGGGAGGGGAGGGCGCCCGCGTGGCTTGGGGTGGTGAATGCGAGGGGCGTGCCCGTCGCGAGTTTGGCGGTGACGACCGCCGTGGGGTGCTTGTGCTTTTTGGGGACGGTTTTTGGAGGTGCGTCGTTTACTTTCTCTCTCATTTACCGCTTTCATGTTGACCTCACGCATGTTGATGTGACGTAGACGGCACCCTCTTCACAACCCTCCTCCACCTAACCGGCCTCTCCAGCATCCTCACCTGGCTCTCCATCACCCTCATCCACCTCCGCTTCCGCGCCGCCTGGACCGCGCAGAATCGCTCGTTGGACGACTTACCCTACCGCGCACCCTTCTTCCCATACGGGCAGTATCTAAGCCTGGCGTTGGGTGCGGCGGTCATTGTGGGGATGGGGTGGGCGGCGCTGGACGAGGGGGGAAGGTGGGTGGGCGTCGTGGGGGTTTATCGTATGTATCGGTGGGCTTTTGAGTCCTCTTTCCTTCCCCTCTTTTTTTTCCGTGTGCCACCACTTTTGTTAACATTCCCCCCCCGCCCCCCCTCCCCCCCTTCCCCTGTGTTTTTCACACAGTCGGACTCCCGCTCTTCATCCTCCTCTACCTCGTGCACAAGTACCGCAACAACACGAACCTGATCCCGCTGCTCGAATGCGATCTCGACACGAATCGGTTGCCCCTGTATGAGAATGAGGAGGAGGATGGTGAGGAGGAGGAAGGCGGGGAGGGGGAGGTGGAGGTGGAGTTGACGGAGAGTGAGGGGGAGGGGTGGGTTGGTGGCGGTGGCGGTGGTGCGTAGGTGGCTAGAGCGTACGTCAGGACGTGAATTTTTGGACGCTTGCTGGGGGGTGGGGGCGTAGAGCGTATGTGCGTGTGTGTGTAGGTAGGGGGCGCTGTGTGGATGTAGCTTGTGTAGAGGATGGGATGGATGATGCTTATGACGTGGATAGACGCTCAACCTTGCAGATCGGTGGTGAGGTGGGAGTATCGGGGACCCCACCGCTCTCGGAATGGGTCTTTGGGGTCCAAATGTGGGGAGGCTCACCCGCCCCTGATCACCCCCCTGCGGACATCTGAACGATGCGTCCTGTATATATATAAACGTACCGTCCGTGGGAGCTTTCAACAAGCTCTCGGTCTACGCAGTCCCACTTTCTGCTGGAGTTGGATGGCTATTTTGAAGGCTGGGAGGGATTCGTCGGTCCCGCAAGAAGCCGTCAGAAGATTAACCGTAGATACATGTGCGCGCATGAAACCTAACTCCCACCAGTCTCCGCGACAATCGTTCTTTCCGAGAGGAGGTGTTTCCTCGCCGTGTCGTGACGTATGGCAATCGAAGAGGCAATTTGGGCTGTATGTTATATCGACCCGCTTCCGGCCAGCTTGGAGTGTTCAAGTCTTTGCGAACTTGAGCTCCAAACTCGGGACCATGTCGCTGGCTCAGGTTAAGGAAGGGGGTACGACGCCTGTGTTTGCTCGTCCAGCCTGCTGCAATCGACGGATAGAAGCTTTCCTGGAGGTGCATCTTCAGCCGATATTCGTAGCGGTATGCGACACGTTGGGCAAAGTCCCCGCCACTGCATGTCCGTGTCGGTCTTTTTGCTTCAGCCATTCCGACGACATGGGTGCATTGAAAGGCGGGCGGTGTTCAGGTCGGTGTTCATCCATCCGGGCAGGATGACGGAAATCGACAGCGCGCGCGGGCTCATGCTGACGTACACCCGTCTGGATCTTTCTGTTTACGTTGATCCACCGTTGACTCGGTGAAAGGCCCGTTGACTCGTTGAAAGACAAGAACTCCTACCACGTTTTCGGTCCACCGCCGACATGAAGAGATACGGAGGGGCGTCGACGTGCATCCTGCTGCCGGTGTTGGCAGGATTATTTAGCCAGCCACAAGACGTTGCGGCGGAGCTTGGTAGTTGCAGCAACTTGGACTCTTCCTCGTTTGCTTCTGACAACGTTGGTAAGCGGAAATATTGATGAGGGGTTTGCATCCCTCTCCCGGCTGCTGTTGCGCTGTCTTGTGAACACGTCGATGGCCATCCATCCTGCGAAGTTGCTCTTGGTTTGGTGCTCATTGACTTATCCTTGACGTATGACTTTTCCAAGTGAATGGACGTAGCTGGCAATCGGCAATCACGACCCGCAACGGGTTTCAATACGCGACATGGTGGGCTGCCAATCGAACGGCCATGGTCGGCCGACGCCGATTGAAGCCAACCGGAGCTTGGGAAGTGGCTGCTCTGAGCTACTCTCTCCCTGATGACACCTACCTCCGCGACTCGAGGAACGCCATCAGTATGGGGATCTCACCCTCCGATGAGCGGATCCATCTCGCTTTCAACATGCACGACAGTGAGCTATTTTACATTGGCAGCCAGAGCGACATGACGTCCGTTGCTGGTCATTCCTTGTCGTGGGGAGGGCATCGATTTGGTATTATGATCAACAAGTTGGCTGGGACGCCCATTGAAAGCGTTGTCGCGTACCCTCAATTTCTTGTTAGTCCGACCAATTATCTGCAGATGTTTTACCGAGTTGGGACAGTGGGTAATGGCACCAATGCCATCGCAAACTACAATGCTTCGACGAATGTGTGGTCGGCCTAGGGCTCATACACCAGTCCCGCCGGAGTCTACACCACCTCAGGCAAAAGCAGCAGTGGGCCTCGATCCTTCTTCCCATCTGGCCCAGCATATGGTACAAACAACGTCCTCTACGTCTTCGGAACATTCCGAGAGAGCGACCAAAGTTTGCTCTGCAGCGCGGGCGGCTTATCCAACGAAGGACGTACTTTATCCAGTCCGGCGACCTCGGCCGGAACTGGAATACCGTGAAAAACAACCCCGTCGCGAAAACCGGCAGTACTCCCTCCTTGGCTGTTGACGATCTGTACGTGAGAGCAGACGACGTTGGCATCAACCAAGCCATGATGAATTCGGAATCCATGGTCGTCACGAGCAGCAAGAGTTCAACCCTCCCGTTCACTCTCGTTTCCCACGTACCATCGGCGTCACTTTCGTGTTCGACGGATTGGCAGAACGATCGCATAGCGTATGGCAGAAACTACTTGCTGAGACGCGTGTCCGGGGGGTTCAACAAGACGCTGATTGATTTCCCGCTGAACGGATGGGGCACATCCCATCTCGTCCTCGACAGCAAGGACAACGCGTACGTGATTTACAACGACCTGCGGGTGGTTCGCGGCTCCAAGGCGTCCGGTTGGCTGACCTGGACGCTGTTGTCGGATTTCGGAAGCGAGCTTGGATACTCCTCTGCATCTTATGCCATCGACAAGTCGCGGTCGCAGACGGAGAATGTCGTGTCGCTGCTGTTCCAGATGCCGACGGGGGTACGGGTGATTGATATAGTGCTCAATCCTTGAACGAAGTGCACTATAAACTGCTGTAGCACGACCCTTTTTGGTAGCACAGGAACGTTTTGGTAGCAAAGTCCGCAGCCCTGTTTTTCTCGAATAAACTATACGGCTGCATAAACCCCTTGCTGAATGCTAGTCGATTCCGGGGATCAGTGCCATGTCAGCTGCATCGTCAATGAGCGCGACCACTACAGCACAGCAAGAACGGGTCACTAGTGAGCGTCGTTCACGACCACATGGAGCCGTGGTCAAATCCGTTCAATGCCACTGGTCCCTAGGTCACCGCAAGATTTATCGAACTTAGGACTTTGAAATCCATTTGGGTTATTCGAACAGTTACCGTAACCCTTCCTGTTGTATGTGGAATGGGAATGGGGGTGCAGGAGGTCATGGCTGTCTCCTCAGAACCAGGTCTGCGTAGATTTGCTGGCGTCGGCGTGGCAATGTTGCAAGATGCCTGGATGAACTGGGCGACGAATCTGGCTGGCAATTCGAGTTGGGGGCCCATACTTGATAAAAATCGTAGGCTTACTGGCCTGCCTGATTGTGATAGTTGCCACCGGAGAAGAGAGCGACTGTAACCGTCGCCTTGGTAAAAAAAAAGCTAGCGACTGCGGTGGTATTCAACACTGTTCTGTGACCTACCCAACTCGGTAATTACGAATAGCACACTTGTTCATTCTGATGTCAACGTGCGGCGGATTTCCGTTTCTGAGCTCAGGTCGCGCTGTCGAATTCCGTCAACACAACGGGGACGCACTTCGAATCCTGGAGGGGTTTCTGATTTTGTTCTTTCCAGCCGGCTTGCTCCCGACGACAACGACGGCGACGACGACGACGAGGATCCCGTCCAAGTCACTGCAACTGCCGGCACATACCAATAACCCCACTGTTCCATACCCCGTCAGTCCGTCCCTCCGCATAGAATGACCGGCACAAAGAAAGGTGCACGGCGCCGCAAACGAGCAGCCGCAGCTCGCCCAAAGCGCTCCAACACCCACACCCGGCGCGACGATGACGACGACACCCTCTACAACGACACACCCACAACCGAGCAACACAGGCGAGGAAATGGTTGGACGAAGGCAACAGGGGTGGTTGGGGAGGAGAGCGCTGGGGGGCGAAACTCATTACGGTTGAACCCGGCACAGAAGGCCCGAGAAATCACCGCGGCATTACGGACGGGCGATCTAACAACTCTCCGCCAACTAGCCCTTTCCCAAGGCGGATTTCTGAACGATCGCTTACGGCGGAAGGCATGGCCGGCGCTACTCACCGCCGTCGGTGGGACGAATAGCGACACACCATCACAATCCCCACCGCGCGACGCCCCCCAAGTCGCCCTAGACGTCATCCGCTCCCTCACCCATCTCATCCCCCCTCACTTCTCAACCACCCACCAAATCCAGATGCGCGCGCATCTCTCCCACACCATCCTCTCCGTCCTCGCGCAGTACCCCTACCTGCACTATTACCAAGGCTACCACGACATTGCGTCCACGATCCTGCTCACCCTCGGGCCAACACCCAAAACGATCCGCTGCCTCGAAACAATCTCACTCTTCCATTTGCGCGATTTCATGGCGCCCACATTACAGCCCGCCTTGCAGTATCTCTCCCTCCTCCTCCCGCTCCTGCGTCGATCCGCGCCGGACGTCCACGCGTTCTTGGCACAGGATGTGGCCGGCTTCACTCCCTGGTTCTGTCTCTCCTGGGTCCTCACCTGGTTCACCCACGACCTCGCAGACTCCTCACATACCATCGCACCGCGCCTCCTCGACTTCTTCCTCGCCTCCAACCCGCTCATGCCGCTCTATCTCGTCGCGGCAACCGTCATCTCCCGCCGCGCGGACCTGTTTGCTCTTCCTGATCCCGATTACGCGATCGTGCATCATTTCTTGTCTAGTTGCGCGCGCTTCAGCAACCTAGACCATGTCGAAGACCTGATTCACGCGGCGGGAGAGATGTACGCGCGCTTCCCGCCCCCGACGCTGCAGGGGGATGTCGCTGCGTTACGGTTACCCCCGACGTCGTGTGTGGAGCGCTGGGATGTCGATGTACTTCCCTTTTGGGAGTCCACAACAACAGCAACGAAACGCAAACCCCGCCACCTAACCCCCGCCGAATGCATGGCCCAGCTAATAGCCTACACCACCGCTCAACAGCATAATCTTTCCACCCAAGCGAGCAGTAAACACACGTTGGGGAAGGTCTTGCGACATGTGACACTTGATGGCGCGCGGCAGATGGCGATTGTGGCGGCGATGGCGGGAGCGACGGCTGTGTGCTGGTGGGTGGTAGAGAATGGAGGGGTGGGGTATGCCGTCGGGTGAAATGGGACTCGGAGGATGTCGAGAGCACTAGGATGGGGTAGACAGGTGGTGTTGATGCTTCCATTCGGCTCGAACAGCGTTTATGCACTTTCAACGCCTTCCCTCCTTTCGGCCGGCGTCAACCCCCACGCGATTCATGCTCCAATCACACCTTATCGCGGTGCATTGAAACCAAAAAAAGTTCGCGTGTATTTACAATTCGCACCGGGCGGCGTCCATGCTGGGATCTCGCGTCGTGTCCAATGACATCGGGCCATCAAAAAACTATCGAGAAACTTCACCACAAAACGCCCCCAACACCACCCCCGCGCCTTTTTTACTCAACGCCCCATTCCCCTCCTTACACCCCGCCCTATGCACACACCCCGGACACCCGTCCTCACATGGACACTCCCTCACAACCACCCACGCGCGCCTCAACAATTCCGGAATATGTCTGAACGCCTTATACACCAACCCGCCACCTGTCGTCGTCGGTGTCCTCATTCCGTCATGAGTGGTAGGAACAGCCGACGACGAGTCGTAGATGATGATCCGGGGCACCCTGAACCGCCCCGCGCGCGGATGCTTACAATCCGTCCTGATATCCGTCTGTCCCGTGGTCGGTATCACAACACACGTGGGCAGCAACCCCAACAACGCGTGAGCGGCGGCGTGGACGCTAAACTCGACATTGATCCCCCGTTCCTTCAAAGAAGTGACGGCGGGGTGGGGAACGTCAACCCAGAACCCCGCGCGGTGTTTTGTGATGGGCGGGTTTTCGAGCCCGTCGACGGCTTCGAGGATTTGTTTGGTCCGCGGGTTGAGCTTGAAGTAGCCGAAGACGGTGGTTTGGAGGCGGAGGAGGCCGTAATTTGCGATCGGGGGCGGGGGCTGAGTCACTTCATGCGGTGGGGTCTCGGCCTCTGCAGCATCAGCTGCTGTGGCAGATGAGACTTCCGCCCCCGCAACAACAACCACCTCCCGCGTCTCCAAGATCTGAATCGGATCAACGTCCGTGAAATCCCTATTAGCAGTCACATAGTCCACCGTCGTTGGGCGGACTTTGGCCAGTTTCTTGTCCGCGTCGACTTCGAATACGATGTAGGACCGGCCTTGTTGGATGAACACCGAGCCTGTGGGGTAAAACCAATAGAACGCGTTGAATTTGAAGCACACGAGATTTTGGAAATTGAGCAACAACGATTTTAGGGAGACACGCAAAACGCACCTTCGTAAAGCGTGAACGGCACCCTCGACATCTCCACATCCTCGATATCCCGATGCGTCGTCACGTCAATCACGCGATAATGGTCCTCGTCGATGCTGCGGAGGGAGATCTGGCGGGATGGGTGGGAGGTGTATTTCGCGTGGGGGAAGAATACCTAGCATTCACCCCACGTCCCCGTTCCGTCAGTCTTGCACGAGCCACCATGTCTAACGACTTTGTTTTTTTTTTTTGATCATACCTTGAATGTATCATCCCACCTCAAATACCGTCCACAAAGCGACTCCACCACCCCCAGGTCGCCCAAAAAGCCCATGTCCGCCCCCTTCGCCAACGGCCACTCCCACGCCGCACACTGCAAATGCGCATCCACCACCAACTCGTTTCCCAAATCCACACCACTAGTCTCCACCTCCGCGCCAAACAACTCATCCGGGCGGGAAGCGTAAAACTGATCCAGCGGCGAATCCCCATCACACACCATCACGCTCATACTATCCCGTTCCCTCCTGCCCGCGCGGCCGGACTGCTGCCGGTAGGAGGCGAGGTTGAAGGGGAACCCGAGATGGAGGACGGCGTCGAGGGAGCCGATATCGACGCCGAGTTCGAGGGCGTTGGTGGCGACGATGCAAAGGAGTTCGCCGTTGAACATCTTTTGTTCGATGAGGCGGCGGTCGGCGGGGTTGTAGCCGCCGCGGTAGGACATGGCTTTTGGGATGAGGTGGGGGAGGTGTTCGCGGAGGTGGGTGTGGAGTTCTTTGAGGAGGATCTCGCACATGCGGCGGACGCGCGCGAAGCAGATTGTGCGCACGCCGTGGTGGATTAGGTGCGCTAGGAGTTTGACCGTGTCGTCGAGGGCGCTGCGGCGGCCTTGGCTGGGAAGTGAGGGGGTTTTGAGAGGCGGGTTCCAGATGATGTGCAGTTTGCGGCCGGTGGGCGAGCCGTCGGCGGAGATCACGCGGATGGAGGCCGGGGCGAGTCCGAAGAATTGGCTCATGTGCTGTTATTATACAAATATTCAGTATACTGTGCTCTCGCGATTTGTGTCATGTAAACCCTCACCTCTTCGGGATTGGCCACCGTAGCAGAGCAACTGATGAACTTCGTGTCATCATTTGCATAGGTATGGCAAAGCCGTCTCAACCGCCGCATCACCATGGCCGCATGGCACCCAAACGTCCCCGAATAATAATGCAGCTCTGATAACCGTCACCCCACACGCGTCAGTCGCTAGCCCTCGATCGCCCTTGCTACTCTCACCTCCCCAACTCACCATCCACAATAACAAACCTCAAATTCTCCAACCACCCTTTCCACTGCTTATGCCCCGGCAAAATTGCCACATGCAGCATATCCGGGTTCGTGAAAATGACATTCGCATTCTCACGGATATGCCCGCGCGAGCCGTCGCTCAGGGACGTGTCGCCGTCGTAGGTGTCGACGAGCACGTGTTGGAGGTGCGGACAGTGGGTGAGGATGGCGAGTAGGGCGCGTTTCTGGTCTTGGGCCAGGGCCTGGGGGTTGTATGTGAGGAAGGGTCCGAGGGGGTTGGAGGGTGGCTGTGGGATCTGTTTTTGATTTACCTTGGTGGGGAAGATGAACATGGCGCGAACGTTGGGGTCGCGTTCGAGGGCGCGGAGGACGGGGAGTTGGTAGATTAATGACTTTCCGCTGCGATATGCATCACATCAGTTTCCACCCGCAGAACGCTGCGACACCCAAGAGCATGGGCCCACACACCTACCTCGATGTTGACGTGCTAACAATGATATTGAACCCCTCCTCCACCGCATTGATAGCTTGCGCCTGATGTGTATAAAGCCGCTCAATCCCGCTCGCCTCACGAAGCGCGTGCGCAATCTCGTCTGAAAGCGGGTTGTTCGAGTCCTCATACTCCGCCTCTCGATGAGGTTGCACCACCAGCCCGTTGTCGACGATCTGGCCGTCGTAGAAGGGCTCCTTCTTGAGGTCCTCGATGAGAGCGACGAGGCTGGTGGGGACGGCGGGGAGGTCGGAGGGGAGGTTGGAGTCGGGGAACGCGGTGTTGGTGTAGTGCAGCTGGTTGGGCTCGGTGGGGACGGCGCCGAGGGCGAGGTCGCGGACTTTTTCTACGGGGTCGGTTTTCTGCGAATCCCGGAAGGAAGAGATGGGGCGGGCGGATGAAGTTTGCGGTCAGTGCCCATCAGAAGTACATGCTTGGCTGGATTTCACCAAATTGACATGGGTACCCACCTCCTCCAAGCACATCCCAACAAAATTCATCATAAACTCGCGAAAGTTCCGATTACGCCTGTCCACCAACGTCGGCACCGCATGACTCTTCCCCGACGCCGCCGTCTGCTCATTCAGCGATACCGACTTCCACCCAATCTGATGACCCCCCGTGTCCACCAGCTTGCGTTTGCCATACACCCTCACCGGCCGCGCGTCCGTGAACTCGATGACGAGGAGGTACGTCGAGTTGTCCGGGTCGTCTGGATCGATCATCTCGCGGATCGTGCCGTCCTCCAGTTCCTGCCGCTCAGCCCAGTAGAGAGTCATCAGTGGGGGCGCAATGGCTCGCATGGCGCCGAGGTCGGCTAATGTGAGTTTGCGACCGCTGAGACGCTTGACGGAGCGTTTGAGGCCTTCGTGAGTGCATACCATCTGGCGTTGCACTTGGCAGAAGGAGTGGACGGTGTTGAGGCATCGGAATTGCTGCTCGAGGTCGGCGAAGAAAGTAGGGAAGTCGGGTGGGAGCGGGTCTTCTGAGGGTTCTGGCGTCTTTTTCGTTTTCCGCTTCTTGTTTGGTCGAAGGTCCGCCGCTGCTGGGTCAGTGGATTCGACGTCAATATTGGCGGGTATTTCTGAAGGCACATCAGGCAGCTTTGCCCCTGCAGCACAGTGCCTTTGATGTCTCGTCAGCCCTCCTTTGCTTTTGAGGGTTCTTCCGCATAGGCACACGAGCGAGAGATCCACAGCGACTTCTGCGGATATGGATCCCGTTGAGCCCTCTGAACCTGCTAACGTTTCACTCGGGCGTCCCTCTGTCACCGCTCCACCATCTCTTGCCTTCTCGGTGATACTCTGGGTGATACTGGCCGTCAACACCGACGCGGCGTCGTCGTCCACATATACCACCGACTGTGTGAGCGGCGGTCCTTGGGCTGCATTCCCTTCAGCGGACGGCCGACCAAGCCAGTCTTTCGCCTTCTCTGTTTCCTTCTTTGCCTTTGGTTTTGTTTTTATTTTGATCGCAAAGCCTGTATCAGCCGTCATTCTGTCAAGGGGCCCGCAGCACCCGGCGTGGGTCGAAGACTTGAGCAAGGACTCCCCGAGCCTGAGCAGCTGAGGATGAGTCTTGAGGTTCCCAGCACAATTTTGCCTCTCCTGTCTTGCTGGATGCGACAACTTTTACGAAGCAACGGTTCGAAGGGAGAGCGCTGGGGCAACTGTGGCTGTGCAAGTCAATCAGCAAATGGCTCTTCACTTTTGACGGGTTATGACAGGCCCGGCTCCGTTTTGGTCGATGCCTCCTCCCGCTGGCATGACTTTTCCCTCATCCCTTGTATCCAATCATGCACACTACCCTTTGGACGAAAACCAAGAAGGAAATGAATCTTGCCGCGTGGCTAAGACGCTGTGTGGAGAAAAAGGATCCGTGCTCCCTGACATGCAAAGCAAACGGCGCGGAGTTGTTTGGTGGGGGGTCTGTAATCCATTTCCAATAGGCAGCTCTTCATTCTCCGTCGTGACAAAATCGGATGCGGGAACAGCTTACCGGCGTAGTGCATAATTATCTAAAACATGTCAACTCAACGAATGAGGAATGTTGTTCCATCAGAGCAGACAGGCAGTCGCAGACAACTCGTTCTAGGGGAAGGTCAATAAAACCGGCCAATGAGAACGCCATTACGCGCCATAACATCACGCGCCATTTCCAGATGCTCTAAAGCGTCTCGCAGCTTATACATGAATGTTGCGAGCCCCGCCACGATGTACTGTATATGACCGGGTTGATAATTGAAATTCCCCAGAATAACTTGCTGACGTGGCCTTGTGTGTTGATCTCGTGGGCGGCTAGGCCTGTTGCCATGGACTGGACGACGAACACTATTAAGGCTTGGGTTTTGACAGGGTAGACCGCCGCGTATCTGCCATTGTACATTCCATCAGCGACGATATTGCGGGGTTGATGAAATCAGATCACATGTCCAATCGATAGCCACGATCATAAGCTGGAACCGCACTTGTAAGCAGCTGCCACTACCAATGTGATATTGCGAACCTCGGGAACGAAGCCCTCGAGTACGGTGCGCACGGCCATCACCGTTCTGGACGAAGATTCAGAACCCTGGCCTTGCTATACCTGCGGCGTAAGATGCGCTTGGAAACCCCCTCTGCGCGACTCCCGAGCATCAAAGTGCTGATGACGGGCGAGCATGGGGATCAATCGACTTCTCCAATTCTTCATATGTTCACCTTTCCAAAATTGATAATGTACATCTATATAGACAACCCTTCGTGATGTCAGCCATCGGACGGCGAGCCGGCTCGAGATCGACGGAAGAACGAGAAGCGCTCTACTCGTGCTCTCTACTTCTTCTTCTTCTTCCCCGACTCGGCTTCAGCCAGTTTTGCTGCATATTCGTCACTTCGCAGCAAAGCAAAGAAGCCCTTTGTGCCCCCTTCGTCCAAGACATCCTGCAGGAATGGCAAGAGAGGGTTTTTGTAGGCCCTAAAGGTTGTGCCGGAGGTGCCTAGTGGTGTGTTTGCCAACTCCTTAGGAATGGTTTTGAGCTTGTTGCCTTGTAAGAGGCAATACCGCAGCGCTTGCAAGTTCCCAAGTTCTGCGGGGAGGTGGGTGATGTTGTTGTTGCAGAGGACCAGTGTATTCAGATCAACCAGTTTGCCAATCTCTGGCGGCAGTGTTTCCAGGTGGTTATCGGAGAGATGGAGGGATCGTAGTGTCGTTAGAAATCCAAAGTTGGCCGTCAGCTGCTTCAACTGATTGCAGCTGAGGTCCAGATAGACCAGATTTGGACATGATCCGAAACCGGTGGGGAGCTCAGTGATGAAGTTGTAGCTTGCAGTCAGGTATTTCAAGGATCCCATCGAGACGACTGATTTTGGCAGTGCCGACAGCTTGTTTCCAAAGAATGAAACATTTTCTAGCTTTTTCAGGCGCACAATGTCTTCAGGGATCTCGCCGAGGCGGTTGTTGGCTAGCGTTAGCTGTTCGACGGATTGGACTTCAAATAGAGCAGGCGGCACATCCTTCAGTGATTGAGCGTTCAGGTCTACAATGGTGGCATTGCTAGAGCGTGCTGTTTCGAGGATGGACTTCACGCTCGGCATGACGGCGATGGCTGGACGAATGGAAAAAGCGCCCTTTAAGGTGGTTGGGTTCCAACTGACACGAAGGTGAATGTATCAGCATATACACGGCAAGTTACCAAACCTTCAAGAACACTCACCTCGCGTTATTCTGCTTCGGCCCGGTCTTTGAGAACGAGTATGGAAGTTGACGGACTGTCGGAGTTGCAGTGGTTGAGCGAGAGGGGCGAGAGTGTGGTATCTGCGACGAGGGCTTGAACAAGGCGGCCGCTGAGCATAAGAGCTGGAAGCTCGCGGTGCCCGTCGTGTGGATGAGGGTCGATGAGGCTTGATGGGGCCAGCGCCGATGGAGCCGATGGCGTGTGGATGTCGCCCCGGTTGTCGTTGCGACGCGAAGGTCACGCGAAGGGGACAAGTGACAAGTGAGTGACAAGGCATTGAGAGCTGATTGAGAGCAAACGCTGTGAGCTCCCCAGCACAGTTGTCACTCCTCCCTGGTCCACCCACTGTAACCCGCAGCTTCCTCCCTCGCTATGCACTCCCGTCTCGCCCTCCGCTCGCTCCTCTGTCCACGGCTGCTGGTCGTCCCGCCCTCGGCACCTCGCCTCCTGCCCTCCATCCGCGCTCCCCTCAAGGCCATCTCACCCCCGCGGCGCTTGAACTCCACCGTTGCCGCCGAAGCTAGCGCCGAAGCACCGGAATGCTATCTCGAGCGCTTGCAGGGTGCTGACAAAGGTATGGCATACGAACGGTTCTAACCCCCAAAAATGCCACGCCGTGCTCAAATATGTGCTACTTCAATAGGCATCGTGCTCTTGAACTTCAACAGGCCAGCGGCGAAGAATGCGTTAGGGAAGACGTTCATGAAGCAGTTCCGCGACGCCCTGCAGGAACTGCGATTTGATGAGTATGTTGAGAAGGACCTTTGGTATCCTAGTTGGGAGTTTCCGAGCAGGGCTCCGAGCGATAGCGAGGAGAACGCTTGAAGGCCCCGAGCGATAGCGGGCAGATTGTCTGACTGTTCCGAGCCACAGCGGCCGCGAGCAAGGCGAGCGATGATTGGATGCTTGAGGATCCGAGCATTGGCGAGGAGATGGTTGTGTGGTAGACGGTTGATGGTTGATGGTTGATGGTGGATGGGTTAAGTTGAAGGTTCATGGGTTGATGCTCGGGACAGGGAGATTGACGCGGGTCACATATTGCAGGGGCGTCAGGTGCATTATCGTCAAGAGTCTGGTTCCGGGGGTGTTCTGCGCCGGCGCGGACCTGAAGGTATGTATACATTCCGAAACGCAAACAGGAGCGGTGCCATCTCCGGAGGGATATCAATCATCCTGACATTTACATACGTGGACGTAGGAGCGAGTGAAGATGTCACCTGTGGAAGTCGCGGCGTTTGTGCACGGACTCCGGACGGCTTTCGCGGACCTTGAGGTATGTCTGCGCTGATCAGAACGTGGCGTCGGATGTTCTCCCCTTGACGGAGCAATCTCCATGCACTAGTCCCTGCCTGTCCCTACCATCGCGGCCGTCGACGGTGCCGCTCTCGGCGGCGGTCTCGAAGTCGCCCTATCCACAGACATCCGCGTCGCAGGTACGTCTCCAACCGATCCGTCTCAGCCTCTTCCTCACCAATCTGACCCGCTACCGTACCTCCCCCAGGAATGAACGCCAAACTCGGCCTCCCCGAAACCAAACTGGCCATCATCCCCGGGGCCGGCGGCACCCAACGCCTTCCGCGCCTCATCGGCATACCGCGCGCCAAGGAACTGATCTTCACCGCCCGCGTCATGCATGCCAGGGAGGCGGCAGAGATTGGGCTTGTGAACCATGCGGTCGAGGGCGTCGCGGCTGATAAGGCGTTGGAGATTGCGAGGAGTATTATTAAGAAGGGTACGTTCAGCCGGTCCTCTAAGCACTTTCTTTGGGGTTTGAACTCATTTGCGTCGCCTGGTTGAACAGGACCGATTGCTATCCGAGCCGCAAAGCTCGCCATTGAGCGCGGATCTCAACTCGATATGTGCGTTTGCGTCACATCACGTCCCATGTTTGTTGCTACCCACTCTGAACCACACCACTGATTTCCGCCTCTCCTCCTTTAGGGCCTCGGGCCTCGCCTTCGAACAAACATGCTACGCTCAAGTCATCCCGACCGAAGATCGGTTGGAAGGTACGAGAAATGCAGTCTTGTCGTCACAATCTATCTCCGTCTGCTCACCCCATCCTCAAACACTTTCTGTGTAGGTCTACGCGCGTTCAAGGAGAAGCGGGAGCCGGTGTACAAAGGCCGTTGAAGTCCGCCATAGCCACGATGCCCACCCACACCCACATTAGAAACCAAAATGTATGTATGAGACAGTCTAAACCCCACATGCCACAATCGGCTGGATCTATATAGCGCATCCTTTTACGGAGAGATACATAGACCTGTAGCATACTCAAAACCAATACATATAATTGAACCAGAAACGACCTTATACACCACCGATTATCAGGAATGCCAGCACCACACCCAGCACCACGCCCGTCCACCCTGCACCCTTCACCCTCTCCGCACCGGAAAGCGACCCGCCCCCCAACGCCGTCGCAGTCCCCTTCGGCAACGCGCGGCCGGTCGTGGTTGTGGTTGTTGTGTTGGCGGAAGGATGCGATGCCTCGTTGAAGGAGCCGGGGATAATGTTTGTAGGTGGTACCGCATCGCCTGCGATATTCCTCGGCGTCTCGCCTACAGCATACGACGGGCATCAGCGTCCACGTCTCACCATCACACCAGCGGCCTCTCAAAGAACAAAAACCCTCACCAGGACACAAAAACACCTTCTTGCCAAAATCATACTCCTTCACCACACTACAACTTCCCACCGCATCCCTGCAGAACCCATTCGACAGCTGGTTCCCCTCGCCTATACAGCTACACCTGCAATCCTTCCACGTGCCCTGCATTTCTCAAAAGGGTCAGATCAAACTTTGCGCGATCAGTGATTGAAAAGAAGACTCGCCTGCTGGCATCCGCCTGCCGGGACCACCGTGGTGCAGTTGGAGGATACCGGGGCTGGTGCTGGCGCCGGTGGAGGGACGGGGAGGGCGGGGGTGGGCGGGACGGAGGGGCAGGAGTAGCAGGTGTCGGTGTAGTAGTCTGCGATGGGGCAGGTGCGGTAGAGCCCCTCGTCGATGCGGCCGTCTGTTGCGTGGGGGGGGGGGGGGATCAGAACATGACCCATCTCACATCAGTATAAGAAAAGGGGAGAGGGTAGGTCTTTTTTTTTGGGCGTCTTTTTTCGTGTACCCACTTCCGTTATCGTCCACCCCGTTGCAGATCTCCGTCTTGTTGGCATCCCCCCGAGCGTCCTGCCACGGACACGCGAACAGAGACGAGCTTTGCATGGCGTCGAGGCCGATGGGGTTTTGGAGCCAGGTGAGCAGTTGGGTTGGGGTTACGAACCAGACCTGTTGGGTATGCGAGGAGTGGGTGAGGTAGATGCGGAGGGAAGGAGGGGAAGGGAGGGTGGGGTTTACCGCGTTGTTGGTGTAAGAGCGGGCCCAGTCGAAGAACTCGGTGAGGATGGCCATGCGGTCATTGACGGGGTCTTCTAGAAACCAGGCTGCGTGCAGCCTATGGAGATACAAGCGTTTGTGGATCAGTCATCGCAAACATTGCTTCTCTTTCACAGTCAAAGAGTATCTTACCAAACACCGAACGGCAGCCTCCCATTCTCCCAATGCAGCTTGAAATTGTGCCGGAATAAGTTCTGCAAGAATGCCGGGTCGCCCGGTGGGTCCATCGATGAGAGGGCCGTGCCGGTCGCTGGATCCATTAAGGTGTTCATTGGGATCTCCCACAGGCCTGGAAAGCGGGCTGTGTAGTCGCATGTTCCTGTATTGCTATACGTTCAAATTAAAACACTGTGAGCTTCCCACGAAGCAGGAGATGCCGACGCACGTTGGGGTCTCACCACTCCACCGGAAACCCCTCATCCAGCGTATACGGCCACGTCATCTGCCCGGGGGGATCCACGGGGTTACTGCAGTCCCACTGAAGACCGAGGTCCCGCAGGGCGGCGTAGGTAGTCATGTTGTATTCGAGGAACGGTGCGCGGAAGCCTTTCATGTCGGCGAGGGGGATGCCGGCGTAGGCGTTGAGGGCTTTGCGGCAGCCGTCGATTTCGGGGGTGGTGGGGTTGCCAATGTGGGACATTGTGTGGAGAGCGATCTGTGTGAGAGCGAGGCACGCCGGATGTCAGTCCGCTGTTGGTTTCTTGGGGCGTTGACTGAAGAGAAGGATCTTTGTGGTCTGGCCATCATCGCCGATAATTTGCCCGCAGCGTCCCCAATTGCTTCAGCCATGGACAGGTCTCCCGCAGCCCAGCCGTACTCCAGTCCAATCCCCCTTACAACCGTACCTCATGCCCCGCGCCATGCAACATCTGCACCATATGATAATTCGTATACGTATTCGACACAAAGAACGTGGCGGGTATCCGACACCCATTTGGATTCTTTGAGCTCGCTGCCTTCTCAGCCAAAGGGTGCGAGATCACTTGCACGGCGTCGTCGAAGGTTAGGAGGATAAATTGGGGTGTACTACGGAAAGAAGATGTTCAGAAAGTGACCCGAAAGAAAATGATTGTTGATGAGAAGACATCAACTCCAAACTCACTTTGACACAGCAAGCCCGCCCGCCGGACTTTTAGTCGGACAGAAGCAGTTGGGCAGTTTACATATCGTTGGGTCGCAGGTGTACCCCGCCGTAGCCCGCTTTGCCAAGAGTGGCCGCTGGTCATCGAGGTAAACGGCCGCTCTGAGTTTCCTCACGACTTGGTTGGGAGTTTGGGGGGATGTGAGGGTGACGTAGGTTCCTAATGCTGCGTGGCCGGACAGCGGATCACAAAAGGTGAGTATTGGGCAGTGCCGGGCATCCATAGATACTACGAGGTGGTGTGGGTAACTCACCGAAAACACTTGCGATCACGCCCAAAGTGACTAGTTTGCTCACAGATCCTCGTTTCACGGCATCAAGCGTCCGTCTCGGTGCGACGGCCGTGCTCGACCCGGTCGGCTCTTGCGAGTCTGCGTCCGTTCCCTTCTCTTGAGGCTTCCTCCGCCGTTGAGTGATGGATGCGTCCATGTTATCGATACGGGGTGGTAGAAGCGCGAGCGTGCGTAGGAAGCGTAATGCCTTTTTTTTGGGAGTTGGACAGTTGACAGCGGGACGAGAGAGCGGGCGGGAGTGGCGCAGTCTGCAGCGTCACGCGTTTCGGGTCTTTGCCCGTTGTCTCTCGCTCGCCCTTCAAGTCCTCGCAAAGAAAACTCTCTGAAACAGGATGAAGATTGCCCCAAGAGGCCACTTGACAAAACCAAGTTCCCGCTCCGTAATTTACCGAAAGACGTCTACCTCGTGCGTGCGTAGCTTCAGTTGGGCGTAACGCAGTTCAGGTCGGTTCTCACACCAATCATACAACCCATGGGCGACCACTCGCACAGCGGCATCGGCGGTATGGCCAGCTCCCCGGAAGACTCAACGCCTTCAGTACGCCCCAAGCACACCTCGCCCATGGAAACAGACCGTCCACACGATGACACCTACATCCCCGACGAAATCGCCCCCGAAGACGACCCAACAGATCTAGGCCTCGACATTGCGTCCATCACGCTGATCAGCCCGCCGGCGCCTCTGGTTGAAGCTGGAGGTTGGGACGCGCCTGTGAGGGGGGTCGGGATCATTGGTGGTGCGGCGCCGGTACCTGCCGTGGGTTGGGATGGTGCGGCGCCGCGGTCGTGGTCAGTGAATGATGTTGATCACGAAAATGGGGCCGATGGTGAAGGGCATGAAACCGGTAGAGAAGTATCTCCACCTAACGATATGAAGGACGAAAAAGATACAAAGAAAGCACCCGAATCAACCAAACAAAGGATAACAACCCTTAACACAGCCCTCGACACCCTTATGTCCCGCCTACTCTCCTCCATCGACGCCTACGAATCCCACCGCAAAGTCCTCTCCACCCTGCTTTCCGGCGGCTACTTCGACCTCTCCTCCGCAAGGCAGGCTCTGGGCGGGTCGCCACAGCTTACACCACTGAAATATGATATGCGGATGAAGTGTACGCGTGGGGTGATTGTGGAGGAGGCCGATACCGCGTATGGGGAGGCCACGGAGGTGGTAGTAGAGTTTACGGAGAATGTCGAGAAACCCGCGGAAGGCGTGGTGGACCCTATGAGATGGTTCGCGGCCCTCCCGCCCGCACCCCTCCGATCCGCACAGACGCAGTTCGTCAAAGCCGTGCAGCGCTGTATCTGTTTGGCCAACGCATCACGCGAGATTGACGCGTTGAGGGTCGAGATTGCGCAAAAGAAGAAGGAACTCGACGCATTGGATGGATCGAAAATTGCGAAATCAACCGACGCTCGACGAATCGATGATGACCTAACACCCCCACCGCCCGACCAACAAGGCTGGGACGCCCCCCTCCCCAACACACTCGTGATGGACATCCAGGACGAACTCGAACAAGAGATGGAAGACGACCCGCTGGCGGCGTTGGGGAGCACGACGTGGGATCCAGAGGATGTGGAGTATGATTATGCGGATGGGTGTGCTTATATTGATGATTATTGAGTGGGGGCGTGTAACAGAATCGGAGAGAATGGGAAGAAGGAAGGAGGGAGAATGGGGGCGTATTGGGCGAAAAACAATTGTTCGATGTACATATCAAACCCGACCTGGGGATGGAAAGTGCGACAAGTTTTGGAAAGAAAAGGGGAAAGCGGTAAATAGCGATCTGGGTGCGTTCCGGGTGCGTTCCGGATGCGTGTACATACATAGCATCCGTATATTGTAGGGCAGCATGCTCGTGCGGTAAAATCAATAAGGAGCATATACCTCCTGTTCTGCTCTTCTACATGTACGTGAGCGAAGCCAAAAAGAGGTGGGAACGAAGAAGTGTCCTCTTCCACACTGCTCATGAACTGTTAATGAACTGTTCATGAACGCCCCAGCGGCGCCACAACATTCCTCGGCTAGTTCCTCGGCCGCAACGCGAGCCCAGAGACCCATGGCCTGCCCACGGCGACCTGTTTCAACCTTCAGTTTAGCGACCTTCACTTCGCTCGCTTTACCGAGTAGATGCAACTCTCAGCCCATTACTATAACCCCTTCGGCGTTCTCGTATACCCTTAGTAGAGGATTTCCACCGCCTTCAACGTTCGACGAATCCACTCGCGGGACCTCAAGCTTATTCTTTTTTTTTGGCAAACATCCTCCGCCTGCGCTCACGCACTGCTCCCAGCATGGGCCTCTTCGGGCATAAGAAGAATGCGGCGGCACATCCAACCCCAATACACTCCTCCTCCGGCTCCGCCTCCGGCTCCGCCTCCGGCCTCCACTTTGAAAACACCGTCGCCCTTCCGGCACCACTTCCACCACCACCAACACTTTCGAGTGCCCCACCAATACCAGGCGACGGCAGCGTCGACCCCGAGGACCCATTACAGATAGCGATATTCTACCACGAGCAGAACGTCCTCGACGTTGCGGCATACTACTTCTCTGTTGCAGCGGCGAGAGGACACCCAGTGGGGCTGTTCATGTATGCCATGTCGATGCGGCATGGATGGGGATGCCCGAAGGATGAGGTGGAGGCTGTGCAGTTACTGCAAAAGGCGGCAGAGACTGCGGTGATGGACCTGAATATGGGGGTCGGGAGTGGAAGGTCGAACAAAGGATCACAATCAGCGTCGGCCTTGAAGAAGGTGGCGACAACAGAGCTGACGCTGGCGATTTACGAGCTGGCGATGTCATTCAAGCAAGGTTGGGGCGTACCGAAATCGAAAACAACATCTGTGTACTATCTGGCGATTGCGGCACAGCTTGGGGATGTGGACGCTCAGCAGGAACTGGGCGAGTGTTACTTGAGGGGCGATGGGGTGAAGCGAGATAAGAAGGTAGCGGCAAAATGGTTTAGGGAAGCCGAAAAACAAGGGGCAAAAATGGTCTCAATGCAATGGATTTGGAAGGACAAGTACAACCCGTGAGGAGGGGGGGGGGGGGGGGGGGGGGGGGAAGTCGGGGAGAGGAGGAGAATGGGAGGCGGGGCGCAAAGAAGCGCATACGGGAGCTGGCCTCCTACGCTGCATCGCAGCCTAATGATACGATATCCAACACCACACCGAAACCAGCATAAAATAGATAGTATCAGCAAAAGCCAATTTGGTATCTACATATACACCTTATGCCTTGTACAAAATTTTCACACCTCCTTGCGATCGTGAGAACAGGAGCTTCAGGCCGTTAGTTTGCGCGGAAGGCTCTTGGGCGGGGGCTTCGTTGGGGAGTCGGTCAGTCACTTGGGGCTTTCTCACGCGCGTCTGCCCAACGTCACTTCTGGGCTGACTTCTGGGGGCGCTCAGACTCCGTGGGAAAGGTAGGCAGCTGGGCAGAGTCAGAACAACAGCCCAGTCGGTGGACCAGCTGTGTACAGCTCTCCGTACTAGTCGGCTACCCTCGTTCGCTGAGGAAGTGTACAATCGGAAGAAACCGAGCAGGATGGACCTCGCCTTTGAGAACCACTTCAACATGGCATCGCGGAGGCCAAACGACACTCCCGGTGAAGCAAATGACGAGATCACTGCTGACAACTCAAAGAAGAAGAAGACTGCGAAAGTTATTGTCAACGACCCGACTATAGACCTCGATAGTTACACCGCGAACTACAGTGGTAAGGGAACAGAACTGTCACTTGTTTGTTCCTCGTGGGAAGCGAGGGTGCTTGAACGAAGCGAGGTGAATGCGACTGGGCCGGAGGCTCAGGGATATTTGGGGTTTCCGAGCGGAGTGAGGACTTGCTTGAGGTCACCGAGCGAAGCGAGGAGATTGCGAGCGATAGCAGGCCCCAACTGGGCCGGAGGCCCAGGATTGCGGATCACACACCAGCCCCGCATCCTTGTCGTGAGCGGAGCGAGCAGGGTATAGTTTGTTGATGGCTGGTTGATGGCCGACGGTTGATAGTTGATGGTTGACGGGTTGATGGTTGTTGACGGGTCAGTGGTTAATGGTTGCTGTTGGTTGACAGGCCGAACAAAGATAGTCCGCCTCCTGCACATAGCAGAATGGAGCCCACCCCTCTCCATCGACGCCTACAAGCTCGCGCTCCAAGAACTCCGGAACACCCTCGACTATCAACTCTACATCGACGTGCATCGCAAACTGAATCATTCTTTGGAAGAACGGCGGCAGCCTCCCGTTGCACTGGACGCGGCGTGGGTGAACCATGCTAAGAAAGAGTTTAAGGATAAATCCGAGAAGCTGGAGCAGGAATTGAAGGGGTATAAGGTCAATTTGATCAAGGAGAGCATACGGGTGCGTTTGGAGGTGTTGTTGGAGGTGTTGTTTGAGAAACAGGTGGATCTGAACTGACAGTGGGACGCTAGATGGGACATAACGATTTGGCCGAGCATCTATACAACGGAGGCGAGCTGCAGGGAGCGTTGAGATCGTACAGCAGGACGAGAGATTATTGCACAACCTCAAAACATGTCGTGGATATGTGTTTGAGTGTTGCCAAAGTGAGTTTGAGTTTCGGTGGCCTTCTTTGGAGGCGGCGTAGATGACTGAACTGAACCTAATGATTGCTTTAGGTCAGCCTAGAGCTCGCGAACTTCTCGCACGTTCAAAACTACATCGTAAAAGCCATGAGTCACCCGGAAGTACAGGAGAAGGGGATCATCAACAGCAAGCTGAAATGTCTGAGCGGTCTCGTGGATCTCGAAAACGGTCAATTCAAACGCGCTGCGGGCAGTTTCTTGGATGTCAGCTTTTCGTTGGGGTCGCAGTTCTCTGAGGTGTGTTCCGTCATTGATGAACCCGCCTTCCACCCCGATCAGTACTCACGCCAGATTCCTCGCGAACCAAAGATAATATCACCAAATGACATCGCCCTGTATGGCGCACTCTGTGCACTGGCCACGTTCGACCGCCACGAGCTCAAAAGCAAAGTGTTTGAAAACGCGGAGTACAAGCAGTATTTGGAACTGGAGCCGCAAGTACGCGAGCTGCTGTATGGCTTCTACCAGAGCAAGTACACCCAATGCTTGGATACCCTGACTCGGATGAAGGTACGAAAGCCCTAAAACATGTCAACATATACCCCAAAGTCCACCTACTCACATCGTACAAACCGCAGAGCGACCTATACCTCGACATCTGGCTCCACGGGCACGTCGACCTAATCTACCAAAACATCCGCAAGAAAGCCCTCGTGCAATACTTCCAACCCTTCCTTTCCGTCGACATGCACAAAATGTCCCGCTCGTTCAGCACCTCCGTCACGGAGCTCGAACGGGAGCTGGCGATGTTGATTATGGGGAAGGAGATTAATGGGAGAATTGATAGTCATAATAAGGTGTGTATATCTTCGGGTGATGTGTGATGTGGATAGGGGACTTATATGTGGTTGGTTTAAGATCCTGCGCGTAAAAGCCGCCGACCAACGCAGCACCATCTTCGAACACTCCCTCGCGATGGGGACGGACTACCAGACCCAGGTCCGCCACTTGATGCTAAGGATGAAGCTTGTGCGCGCCGATATGATCAGTACGTCCTCTTCTCCCTTTCCCCTTTCGCTCATCATACTCAAACTTTTTTTTTACGTGTTACAGTTAAAGCACCCAATGAGGGACGTCATGGCGGTGGAGGAGGAGGTGGAGGGGATGGGGGCAGACACCACCCAGGAGGGCATCATGGGAGCCGGAAAGGGCGACCGGCGAATTTAGAGTTTGATGCGGATGACGGGGAGGATATGATGGCTATCGACCATTAATGAGGGGGCCGGGATAAGGGGAAGTTTGCTGTTTTCGAGTGTACATATGTACATATGCAACCGTCGAGTGAGGCGGTCTTTTCTGCTCCTTTTGGAGACATATGTTGAGTGAGGCCGGTTCACGGGAAGAGCTCTCATGCTTAGTGAGCTCTAGATACCAATCAACAGTCATGATATGCATAAGGTGTTGCTCGCAATCGTTTTTCATGGTATGCATTCTTTGTGGATCATCAGACAAGCCTATTTTGGAATCATTCAGCACGGACCCAGCCCGCCGAACTAGCAAACTAAAACCTATACGTAGTATAACAGCCCTCCTCATGTACACGCTATATACAACCCCAACCCAACAGCATCCCCCCTACTTCTTAGCCGAATACCCCAACCCCAACTCGGGATACTGCCTGGGCACCTCCTCAAGCTCCTCGGTCAAGCCCGCCAAATCCAACGGCACAGCAGCCCCCATCCACACCGCGGCCTCGGTATGATCCCGCACCTCAAACCTCGTCAACGGATGCACGAGGATACTCAACCCGTGCCGATTGCGCAGAAACCAGTCGTAGACGGCATGGAATGATTCCCTGGGCACCCACGTCTCGAATGAGCCGATGGTGTGGGGGCCCACGGGGGCGGTGTTGAAGGTCCTGTAGACTCTGGCGGTGAAGCGGTGGGAGGCGTTGAGGCGCTGGATCTCGGCGTGGATGTGCTGTGCTGCCGCGAGGGAGTGCGGGTTGCGTTGGAAGAAGTAGGTGTGGAAATGGAACTCTTTGATCTCGTCATCATCGGCTGCGGGATGACGGGGGGTGGGGAGGAGTTCTGAGGCGGCCATTTTGGCGGTTGCTTGGACCGCGGGGGTGTGGGGGGCGTCGTCGTGGGTGGTGAGGAGCCTTGGGGTGAGTTTGGAGGTGGAGGGTGTGATGGCGGCTGAGGGGCGTTTGCAGATTGTGAGGAAGGGGAAGCAGCAGGTTCCGCAGGTGCAGCGCATGGGGGGGGATGGCTCTGGTGGAGGAGTGATGCGGACGGTTTGGCGGGGGCAGGGGCCTGCTTTTATCTATATTGGGGACTTGGGGGTGGCGGCGAGGGGGAACGTGAAATCGTGACAATGGTGTGTGCTCATGATGTTCTCTGTGAGAATCGCGTCGGCGCAATTGCTGACAGAATCCGTCGCGTCTCACAGGGCGTTCGTTACGGGCGCTATCCTACAGTACTTCATAGAACCATGTGGATCTGGAGTTTTCCTTTCCTGGACCAACGGCTGGCAAACCGATCTTAGGGTTAGGGTTAGGGTTAGGGTTACTGACTGGGGTCGGGGTTGAGTGCAGGTCGGTTTGCGGGTGTGGGTAGATGCAGCCTACTTCTATAACGTTGCCGATGGGGGTGGATGAAGGTCGGTGGGGAGACGAGCAACCCGACACAATCCGCAAGAAGGGAAGGCCGTCACGCGCAGTATTAGCACATGCATACGTCCGACCGACGAGAGAGCAAGACAAAAGGGGCCAATGCGCTATACACTTCACAATCACATCACAGAAAATGAGAGAATGACTCTGGGAGACAGAACCCGTTCAAACAAAGACAAAGACCCCACGCCCCGTATCCCGCTCGCTACAAGTACAATCCCTCGGGCGTGCCCTCGGTCTTGCGGTACAGCACCTTCTCCTTGGCCTTGCGCAAATCATCCGCGACTACGCGCATGCGTCGTTCGCGGAGGGCAAGGAGACCGGCTTCCGTGCAGATGGCCTGTGGATATCAGATAGTATGTGAGTCATGAATCGATAGAAGATGATACAGACGGGGGGGATGATTCCTACCTTGATATCAGCCCCACTCAAATCATCCTTCGCCATCACAAACTCCTCCAAATCCACATCATCCCCCAACGTCATCCGACTCGTATGAATCCCAAAGATCCTCCGCTTCGTCTTCACATCCGGCAACGGGAACTCAATCTTCCTATCGATCCTCCCAGGCCTAATCAACGCCGGGTCCAGGCTCTCAATCTTGTTCGTGGCCATGATGACTTTAACATCCCCGCGGGAGTCGAACCCGTCCAGTTGGTTGAGGAGTTCCAACATGGTGCGTTGGATCTCGCGCTCGCCGCCGGAGGTCGAGTCGTAGCGTTTGGTGCCGATGGCGTCGATTTCGTCGATAAAGACGATGGATGGGGCGTGTTCTTCGGCAACGCGGAAGAGCTCGCGGACGAGTTTGGGGCCGTCACCGAGGTACTTTTGGATTAGCTCCGAGCCAACGATGCGGAGGAAGGTGGCGGAGGTTTGGTTTGCTACGGCTTTGGCGAGGAGCGTTTTGCCTGAAAATGGAGGGAATATAGGGTCAGATTATGAAGATCGGCTGAGTACAGTCGAGTACATCGAATTCGAACATACCAGTGCCAGGACAACCGTACAAAATGACACCCTTCGGCGGCTTGATCCCCATCTCCTCATACAACTCCGGATGCGTCAACGGCAACTCCACCGCCTCCTTAATCTCCTGAATCTGCTGCTCCAAACCCCCCACATCCGCATAACTCTCCGTCGGCGCCTTCTCCACCTTCATCACACTGACCGCCGGATCCGCATCATCACTCAGCACCCCCACAACCGAAAGATTCTTATGATGCATCAAGATCGAGCAGCCCGGTTCAAGGATATCCTTATCGACAAACGACATGATCGAGACGTAGTATTCGGGACCCGTGGAGGCGGACACGATGGCGTGGTCGTCGTCGATGATTTCTTCGAGGCTGCCGACGTGCATGGGGCTGCCGCGGAGAGAATCAACTTTTGTGCGCTCTTCTTGGTTTTTCTCCTCTTGCGGTTTGAGACGCTCTTGGTTTTGCACGAATTCTTCTTGCATGAGAAGGTAGTCCTTTATGCGCTCCATTTTGAGGAGCTTCAGCTTGCAGCGGGTTGTTGGGAAGACTGGGGGAACACATCGTGAGAAATCCTGGAAGCATTGTCACATACGCCCCCAACTCCATCCGTCCTCAACGCCGATAGCTGATATTGTCTCCGCCCATCCTTGGACTCCACGTCCGATTTCGGAAATGTATATCAGACACCCGTTGCAATCCCCTTGTGCCCTGACATACCATTCGGCAATTTAGTAGCAGCATCAGGCCCCTTTCTCTTCTTCTTCCCTACGCGCGTCGGGATCGGCGGCTCCCACTTCTTCTTCTCCGGCTTCTTATCCTTATCTCCATCCTTGTTGCCGCCGGCACCATTGGCGTCGCCGCCGGGGAAACCGGGGAGGCCTGATTGGTTTTGGCCCTAATGGTGGGAGGGGGGTTGGGTTAGAGGCGGGGAATGGGAGGGGATCAAGGTGCTAGCCACGCGTGTACGGGTGTTGAATGCTAGAGGATAATGGGACAGGTGGGGGTGTACAGCGGAAGGAGACGGCTTACCATCTTGGGTTGTTTGATGAGCTCAGATAGAGTGGCTTTGTGGAGTGTTGTTGTTAGATGAAGTGCGGGCGGGGGGCTGGTTGGGAGATGCCAGCTGGTTAGGGGGGGGTTGGCGAGTTTGAAAGGCAGGCAACGTCTCTGCGAAGGGGACTCTGATAGACGCGCTTCCTGTTATGCGCGTTCCATACAGGGACTAACCTACCATCCATAACAATACGCTCCGCTCGGGACCGGCCCTTCGGCCACTGAGGGCTGGGTGTTAATAACCCTAACCCTAACCCTCGGGCACTTAACAATTAGATCTAGAGTATGTGTGCTTAGAGGGTAGCGTGGATAGCAAACACGGGTAGCGTAGTTAGCAACTACCCTTTTAAAGTAGAACTATACCGCTCCACCTGTATGTACTGTACAACGTCATACAATTTCAATATAACCCCTGCCCCATGTCATGTTCATACATGCAAATGAATCGCAGCTCCAACAAATCCACACGTCCCAACTTCCATATCTTCCGCACCGGATATATACCGCGCTCAGATCCCTCATTCCCACGTCCCATCCCCCACGGATTTACCGTCTACAGAAGCCGGTCCCCGTGCCTGCCCTTCAAGGACGGACTGCGGCGTGTGCGAGGTGCTCGTCAGGGCCGGGGATGGTTTGGCTGTGGGTGATGTGGGTGACGCTGCTACAGTTGACGCAGGCTGCGGCGGTGGTGGTGGTGGCGGCGTGCTGTGTGCGTGTTCCGTCGTGGGGTTTCCGTCCTCTGATGTTGTCGGGGGGTCTGGGTCTGTCTCATCCCTCACATCCCCCTCTCGCACACCCTCCTCCCCATCCGTTCCACCCCACTCGCGCTTCATCTTCACCTCTTTTGCACACCCACAATCATCCCCGTCCCCCGCCCCCTTTACCCCGTTCGTCCCTTGCTTCTCCCCCCCCTCCCCAACCCCCCAAAACCGCTCAATCTCCGTCCCATAATCCCCAAACAGCTCCTCCCCCTCCTGCACATCCCTCGTCGCCACACACACAATCTGGTTCACCTCCGCGCCCCTATCATATGCCAGATTCGCTCGGGCGGGGTCCTCATTCACATAGTGGAATGGGCAGAAATAGGCGGGGTCGTCGCCGTAGGGGATCCCAGCGTCGTTGGTTGCGTCGATGACTGTTAGGCGATAGCGGTGCTGTGGGATAGGAGGAGGGAGTGTGAGCGCAGGGTGGGGTGGGCGGAGCGTGGGGATGGGGGAGATTTACGTACGGCGTAGTGGTTGGGGAGGGGGAGATGTCCCTTGAGCATGTCGAATTCATCTTCGGTCCTCGGCACGCCAAAGTAGAAGCCGATCTCGGTGCGGGCGGGGATGAAGCGTTTGGCGAAGGCTCCGCGGCCTGCGTTTGGTATCTACCAAAAATAGAGCGAGTCACGACATGCTGACCGTGAGAAAGAAGCATATGCGGTGGCGAAAGGGCCTTACCGTTGACACCCGAACATCCAAAATATCATGCAAAGACGTGGGTATGCAGTCATCCTCCGCAAACTCAAAGCCCGGGTACCAATCCTCAAAGGTCTTGCGGTCGTCGGTGGCGGCCCCTGTTGTGCCGGTGGTAGGCTGGGCGTCGTCGCTGATGATGGGGATGGCGTGGCCATGCACCGGGGTGTCGTTAGGTGATGATGATGTTTCCGTTCTGGCTTTCTTGGAGACCGGTTTCGGCGTTGATGTGTTTTCCTTGTCTTCCTCCAACGGTCGTTTCGCTACCCCATTCGACCCTGCATCGGCCGGCTGAGGACTCGCCTCCCCACCACCACCCCCCGTCCTCGGGCCCATCTTGGCCACCCTCAATTCCGCCTTCCGGCGCGCATCATATTCCGCCCTCCGTTTACTGAACAGGTACGGCCAATGCACGGTAATCAAGTCATCCAGCCACTTCTTGTACAGCGCTAAGGAAGTTTCCACATTGCCCGGCTCGAATGCGAGCTTGAAGTGGACGTGCCGTTTGCCGTCGGGGATGAAGGAGATGAACATCTTGTCGCGGTTCTCTGTTAAAATCCCGCTCGCTGTGTTCTGTGGTGTCTAGAACAAATAAGAGAGTTGGAGCATCAGCCATCAACCATCGACCATCAACCATCAACCATCAACCATCAACCATCAACCATCAACCATCCATCATCATCAACCTCCCGCTCGCAAATAATCTCAAGTATTCTCCTGGCTATGCTCGGAACTCTCGCGATCGCTCGCCACATACCTTCCCACCAAACAACGGCGGCAGTCCCTTTTCTTCAGCAATCCGTTTATCCAACTCCAGGGCCTTTGGAATCAACTGTCCTCTCGGCACCGGGCCATTCCCCAGCTCCTTCAAGGCCAGAAACAGAATATAGGTCTGATTATACCACCTGGGCCTCTCGACCACCGAGTGGCGGCCGGTGACAAATCGATAACGAGGCTTTTGGACCTCTTTCCCTTCAGCGAGTCTTTTGCGGTTGCGAGTCATGCGGCCGGGGGGTTCGGGGGTTGAGTCGTAGTCTGCGAGGGAGATGCCGGAGGGGGTCGGTTGTTCGGGTTTTGGCGGTTGAAGTTGTGGTTGTGGTTGTGGAGCTGGGGGGTTGGCGGAGGAGGAGGAGGAGCAGGATGCGGTGGGTTTCTTTTTCTTGTGTGAACGTGCCATGTTTGCGGGGGTGTTGGTCGGAGTGGTGGGCGAGAGTGAGGAGACGAGCAGGCCAGCTGCTGGGAGACGATATGAGTTTCCAAAGACTGGGGGGGGGTTGAGGTGAGGTTTCTGTGGGAGCGTTTGGAGGTTGGAGGGTGGTTTTGGCAGCTCAGCCAGCAGGGTTGGGGGGGGGGGGGGGGGGTGCAAACTTCCAAAGAGGGGCGCCGGGTGTCCGTCCGAGAACTACGAATGAGTCACGCACCTCCTTAGACCTCCTTCGCGCGAGAGGGAGAGAGGGAGAGTGAGCGAGAGAGAGAGAGAGAAGGCTGGGAACCAACACCCTCATCTCGCTCACCCCACGCTCACTCCTCACTCACTCCTCACTCACTCCTCACTCACTCCTCACTCACTCACACCCCCTCACCCACGATCCAATGGCTCCCAAAGGTGGAGAGCAGGAAAACGTACGTCTACACCCCGCCCGCCCGCCCCTCCAAGTTTACTTAGAACACCCACCCCCACTGATGCTCTCAAAAACACTCACTAGGTCCTGCAAGCAGTGCTTATCGCAGACTCCTTCAACGAGCGTTTTCAGCCGCTCACTCACTCCCGGCCTAGGGTATGCAGACGGGGAGGGTTAGAGACGAGACCGACCCCTTGCGGACTTTATGTTGAGAGGACTTCGATTTGACTCACCAAACTCCCAATGTTCAGTGCCTTCTGCCACTCGTCAACGTGCCGCTTATCGAGTACACCCTTGAATGTCTGGCCATTTCTGGGGTTCAGGAGGTCTTTATTGTTTGCAAGGCAAAGTCTGAGGAGATCAAGAAGTACATTGGGTACGTGGACGAGGGGAGGGGAGCGAACGGAGCAAGCAGGAAATCGTTTGCACCCTGCACACCTCAATGAAACCAAGCTGACTGTTCCTTTCCCTTCGACTTGACAGTTCCTCACGATGGCACAACTCGACGCAACCACGGGTCCGCATCGTCGTCTCGCAGGAACTGCAAAGCATCGGTGACGCGCTTCGAGAGGTGGACGCGAAAGGGCTGATACATTCCGATTTCATTCTCGTCAATGGAGATACGGTGGCGAATGTGGATTTGACTCGCGCTTTGGAGGCACATCGGTATGGGCAGGAAATGATACGAGGATGAATCGCATCGAGTACACACAAGCGTTCGGGTTGGTTGCTGAGGAAGGGTGTGAATACGCTTTGCAGGGAGAGGAGAGAAAAGACGGACCGGAATGCTATCATCACCATGGTACGGGTGGGCAGGACGCCCTCGGGGGGTCCAGAACCGATGACACGGTACTGAACCAGAAACGTTCCCTCCCTTTGACAGGTTCTAAAGAACGCCTCAATAGATCATCGATCACGGTAAGCACCGCACCTTACATCATCCATCACCACCAACAAACAAACCCCTCGCTCACCACAGTCCCACCACCCACCCACCAGTGCGCGAGGCGAAGAATCCATCTTCATTATCGACAGCAACACCCAAGAATGCATCCACTGGGAAGCCTCCCCACCTTACCCCTCGAAACCCAAAATCGCCCTCGACGTCGAGCGGATAGGCAAGCGCACCGAGTTCTCCGTCCATTCCGATCTGATTGATTGTCAGATCGATATCTGTAGTGTCGATGTAGGTTGACCAGACCCTCCCCGAGGAGTTGCGTTTGTGTGACATCACAAGAATCCTTATCCGGATGTTGTTCTCTTCAGGTCCCGCCGCTGTTCACGGAAAACTTTGACTGGCAAGACCTCCGTGCCGATTTTCTGAAAGGCATCCTCGAGTCTGAACTCCTCGGGAAGACGGTCTACTGCCACCTTCTCGATGCCGAGTATGCAACGCGCGTCGTCACACCGAGGATGTATGATGCCGTTAGGTATGTGCCCACCCACCTTGCATCGACGTACGAGGATTCGTGAGTGGCGGCTGAATTGTCATTGTTCTGTTTCGTTCTTTTAGCAAGGATGTCCTATCGCGATGGGTGTACCCCATCGTCCCCGAAAACAACATGCTAGCCGGCGGGACGTACAAGTACTCCCGGCCGAGCATATACAAGGAACAGGACGTCAAACTCGACATGTATGTTTGCGGATTCTCTCATTTCACCCCCAATCATCACATTTCGCTGACGTCGTCGGCCTCCCTTGACCCCCCCACAGCTCCACCAACATTCACGAACGCACCGCCATCGGCCGCTCCACAACCTTCGGCGCCAACACCCTCGTCCGCAACTCCGTCATCGGCGCAAACTGCACTATCGGCGCAAACGTGACCATCGAGAACGCGTATATTTGGGATAACACTGTTGTGGGCGACGGGTGTAGGTTGGAGAGGTGCATCGTGGGGTATGATGTTACGTTGGGTGAGGGTTGCAGGGTTGAGATGGGGGGGATCGTTGAGGGGAAGGTAATGTGTGGGGGGTTGGTGGGGGATGGGACGTTGGGGTGAATGTGGTAATTGACTGTGTTTTCCTGCGTGTAGGTTGTGATTGAGGCTGGGACGGTTATCGAGGCGGATAAACGGGTTTTTGGGGACGAGGGTATGTTGAAATCACTTGACGTTGTCGAACGGTGTGGGGGAGTGTACTGACAAGGCCCTACGCATGGGACGATGATATAGACAACGGGATCGCGTATCTGGAAGAAGACGAAGAAGATGACGAGGATGTGGCGCGGAATATCCGGTTAGGTTGGATCGGTATGTCTTCTGAAGCCACGCCCCTCTGTAAGCCAGTGCACGCCCGTCCTCACCTAACTGTTATCCATCAGGAGCACCCACATCCCACGACCCCGCCGCCGACGACATCGACCTCTCCTACAACTCCGACGACTCCGACTCTGATTCCGACGACGATGTCGAGGAGACCGGCGGTAACGTGTTCCCAACCCATCTATTCCCCATACACCCCCCACATATACACCCCGTACCCCCCGACTCACTCCCTTCTCTCCCCTAATAGACTGGAAATCCGAAGCCCACGCAACCCTCTCCCGCGCCTTCACAGAATCCCACTCAATCGACATTGCAGCCCTGGAACTCAACACCCTGAAAATGGCCATGAACATCTCGTTTGCGGATCTGAGGAGTGTGGTTGTCCCCGCGATTCTGAGTCAAGTGGACTCCAAACAGATGCCCGGCAGTGCAAAGAAGGTGCTTGGAAGATGGGGGCGGCTGGTCAATAAGTTTTCGTTCTCGGGAGAGGATCAGGCGGAGTGTTTGGAGATTATTGAGGTAAAAAAAAATCAAAAATAGCTAAATCTCCACAAATATGTGGTTTTAGCAACCCCTTAGGAGAGAGAAACTCACCCGTTCTTTTTTTTTTGCCATGACCAGGACTTTGTCGCCGAAAACCCCGCTTACATCCCCCACACATCCAACCTCCTGCACATCTTCTACGAGCTCGAAGTGCTTAGCGAGGACGCCGTTTTGGCCTGGTGGGGAACGTTAGCAAAGAAGGACGGCCTCAGGGGACGGGTGAGGGATTCGGTAAGCGGGGCGGGCGTGGGATTTTGTGGGGGGGAATTACTTTCTTTTGGGCGGCCTGCGGGTTTTGGGTGGGCCCCCCCCTTTTGCATTGATGCAGCGGCTGAATCGTTTTTCTTTTGGCTTTTAGGCAAAGGCGTTTGTGACGTGGCTACAGGAGGCGGAGGAGGAGGAGAGTGAGGAGGAGGAGAGTGAGAGTGAGGAGGAAGAATAAAGAACCACCCATCGGGGGGTCAGTTACTGTAGTGGATTGCGGCGCACACCCCTCCCTCCCTCCGCACGTACAAACATATCATACATAGAGGCTGTTTTTCCTCATCACATCCACCCAATGCATATACGCTCCCCCTCATGGATATAGCAAGTGATGTAGGTGTAATTTAAAAGAGACATTTGGTTAGATAGCACGAAATTGACACGACATGGCCAGGATGGGCCTTGTGAGGCCTTGTCGGCGGCCTAACCCTAACCCTATCCCTAAACTTCCAAGTCAGCCAGCCAGCCAGGTGACAGATGTGAAGGTTAAGCCCTATTGGCGCTCAAGGAGAACAATATTCAGTGAGGGGCTGGGGACAGCTCCGCCCAGAATTGTGCCGGAACCAGGGAACCCCAGGACGCGAAGGATCAACTGAGAAAGGGGTTAGCGCCCAGACCGCGTTTGTTTGTCTTCCGTTTTGTTGTTGCAACGACGGATTTCGAACCACACCACCATCACGCCGTCAAAGTTCAGACATATGAGTCGGTGTCTATACCTGTGCGGTCGCAGCCCTTCTACTACCGCCTCGGCGGAAGTCTGGGGGCTTTCGCAGTCGCAAAGAAGAAACCAATGGACTTCTTCGTTCTCAGAGGTGCATTACTTTCGCGATGTCTCATACAAAAAGAAACACTGGCGTAACTTTTGCGTTGGATGCACGACAGCCGCAAAAGCCGACGTCGCCTCTCCGGGACACCAACCTGCAGCTGCTTGAGCGGGTGCTTACGGAAACGTCGCACTTGCTCAACCAGAACTGCCGGCTTGTAGGGAATCTCGACAACCAGTCCCGTCAGATATTCGGCTTCTTGCAGACGTTGCACCCAACCCCGGGTCAGCAGACAGCCAGGGTCAACTCAGGAGCCGTTTCGACGGTCCGCCCAGGCGGATTGACCGACGGCGGTGGCTTGACGGATATTTTCGAAACATCCGGGGGCTCGATATTTGCCAGTTATCCCTCCGGAGAGCGGGCACGAGAGCCTATCATCTCGTTCATTGAGGATGGTCCAGAGCCGTCGTCTGTAGGTGGTTCTTTGGACGACTATGTTCCTAGTGATTCAATCTTTCGGGATGAGCATGAATACGGTGAGCGAAGGCCGCGAAACGGCGGGATTTGTTGGTTCCGTGTCCCAGACCCGTTTCTCATGTGACGGTTCACCGACTTCCCCCACCGATCTCTTATTGTTCAGGCGAAGCGACTTTGAAATTTCAGTCTATTGCAAGGAAAAGGTCGCCATTGAACGACAATCCTCCATCTTTCCCTCCATCTTACGTTGAGGGTAATCCCAAGGATACAGCCCGCTCACCAAGCCCGTCCAAAAGCAGATCTGGAAGCTCTCTGGAGTCAACAGATTCAGCACATCCCAGCCACTCCCGTGTGGCGTCAGCGGCTAAGAACAGAGGATTGGGTAGTCCAGCGGCTGGGGCAAAGGTTGAGCCAGCGGAGACCAAACCGGTGAGGGAACCTGCCCCAGAGAGCGAACATCCTTGGCGGGTTACTTGGAAAACATCAGGTTTACATCCCGAGTCCATGGCAAAAGCATGGTGGGACTTTGCCATGTCGCGTAAGTGCCTCCATCGGCCTTTCACTCCCTGATCGGCGCTCACATGCCCTATTTTCCAGTCATTTATTGGATAGACCTCGTGGTCCTGCCGGTCTATCTCAGTTTCGAGAAAAGCAATCCCGGCCAGCGTCCGCAAGCAGGCTGGCTGGTGTTGCCCATCTTCTCCATCATGGACACTTTGATCAGCTGCATCACTTTGCGACCGCGTCGTGGCAGCAATGAGCTCTGTGGGCTAGGAGAATCGCTCCTGCTGTACATAATCAGCGTCACGTTCCTTGTCGATGTGGTCACAATGGTGCCCTGGAACTGGATCTTGAAAAGCGAATCGGCAGAGCTCCTGGGATTCATCAGGCTGTTGCGCGTCTCGTTCCACTTATTCCCGATAGTGAACCGCAACCGGATTTACGAGGCTCTCGGCGACCGGCTTCAAGAGTACGGCATTGGCGGGTCAAATGGTCGCATGATCTCTTGTTTTCTGTGGGTTCTCTATTACCTGCACATCAACACCTGTTCGACATTCTTCATCGGGAGACTGTCCAAGTATATCAAGGCATCGTGGGATTCCGTCTACTTCATCGTTGACCATCCTGTCTGGAATCAGTATACGTGGGGATTCCTGATGGCAGTAGCGAATTCATGGCCGTTCACTATACCCATCACGTAAGTCGAGGGTGTCTACCTGACTGAGTTTGGAGCCCACGAGGCGTCCTGCTTTCACTCGAACTAACGATCGATACCAACAGCCCACAACGTGCCGAAGAACTCTGGCTGCACTCCATATTCATGATCGTGGGTGCGCTCATGACCGGAACGTTATCCGGCTTCATCCAAAGTTCCCGTCTGGATCTCGATCCTGCGGGTCGTCTATACAAGGAGAAACTGGACCAGGCCAACGAATACATGGCCATCAAAAAGATCGACGAAAGCACGCGCTCTAGAGTGCGCGAGTACTATCGATTGAAGTTCCGAGAGAAGATATTTGATGAAGGGGCGATTATGCGGGAGATGAATCAGGAGTTGCGCAACGTAAGTGTTGTTGCTATCGTACCATCTCAGTCATAGCTTTTTGGGGGGGTGATTTTGACATCCCCGGGTTCTTCCGCAACCCTCCACGATAGCAATTCGCGGGCGGTACCGGCCGCGCCCTTCTCCAATCCGTTCCGTTCCTGAACCACCCGGATCAAGCGATCCAGAGCGCTCTGGCAATGAGTATGCGAGAGCATTTCTACGTGTCAGGGCATACCCTCTACCAACAGGGTACGCGAGGCCACAACATGTACTTCCTGCAAACCGGATCGGTCCTCGCTCGGGACGAGGACGGCGTTGCCATCCGGACATACACCAGTGGGGATTTCTTTGGAGGTATGCATAGCTGCCATATTTTGCAGATGGCGCCGTGATCTCAAACCCCAATCATGCCCCTCCGGGCCCTTTCGGTCTCTATTTAGAGAACGCACTGCTGACGGACTGCATCCGAGGCCATACCGCCCAAGTCCTCACCGCATGCCATGTGTACGAGCTCGACAGATCGCAGTACGAGAGTGTGTGCGAACGGTTCCCGGATCTTGTCAACCTCGCGTATGGTGGTTGAGCGGGGGAATGGGGGCTTCGACCATGGGGCACCCAAACCCCGCCCCGCCATCCCGCCTACGTGGCCAACGGTCCTTTGTTTTTGGGGGGAGTCAACCAGTTTTGGACGTGTTACACTTGTCAAAACCTATTTACAATTTTTTGGGGACACATTTTGTTGGCGCGCAATGGGATCTTTATCAGCGATCATGGTTTCTCCGCCCATCCAAGGCAGCCAATATCATGTTTCGGTTTTCTCTCTCATGCTTCTGCCTTGGCTATCTGCCATCTCCCCGTTGAGGGTGTGCTTCGAGCAGGCATTTGATGTGAGCGATTACAAGCAGGCAAAGAAAGTCAGCCTGCTCTGTGTGACATTGCGCATGTTTTGTTGAAATCACACTTTGCACAGTGCAGCTCCACATTTACAAGGAGCACAATCACAAGCTTCTCTGTATGGACGTTGTCCAATCGTGTCACCGATGCCAGTAAGGACGCAAAAAGCAGGTACAGGCCCCATACTCGTAAAAAGACGTTCTGAAATGCCTTCAGACTCTCCACCCAAATCATGCTCCTGCGGGTACGTTGTATTACAGCCTTCTCTCAAGATGGACAAAAGAAAAAAAAACAACCGACCACAGTGAAAGGGGCGGGTCTGTCGTTTTGCATAGTGGGGGGCCCGGGGGGACATCGATGAAGGTAGGTGGGTGCGTCCTATCGGCCCCTGCCCCCCGTCTTCATCAGCTTCATTTTGGATTCCAATCGCTTGTACTTCTCGCTCTGTTCAGAAACAGCGATTTCTATTCAGCCACAGCCAGACGGACGACAGACAGAAAGACCTGACTTGAGTTCCTACCTTAACCCGTGCATCCCCCGTCATTTGAACGTCCGATTTCGGAATGACCGTAAAAGCCGTGGAAACCTTCTGCGGTATCCTCGTCCTCTTGAACGCCGTCTTCTCGCTTTCTACCGGGACCTCCAGCTCCGATCTCGAGACTCGTTTTATCCGTGGTCCGGATGTGGGGTCGGATACTACTTTGTGGTCACGGTAACTTGCGCTCCGTCCCAAGATGGGTCGCATCCATTTGTCTTTTGGGGCGGAGGACATGGGCGGTGAGAAGTGGGTGGGTAAAGCTGGGCGAGGGATGAGGGACTCTTACCGATGAGCTGGGATGCGATTTTCTGGATGTCTGGTGTTGCTTTCCCGCATTTGGAATAGAAGTTGACGATGCGGCCAACATGGCTCTCACGTAAATGTATGGTAGCGATGTCCATCTGTGAATGGAAAAGAAGTGGGTGTGAGTTGGGGAGGTCTCGAAGCTGACGCTCCAAGATACCAATGCTTACATTTCGCAGTACGTCGAACATGGCTCGCTGGATGTCCAAAGCTGGCAGTGACGCATCAGGCAGTGGCTCAAGCCTAGGATCGCAAAGCACGTTCCGAGCGTCAATATCTCCGTCCTAATAAAGCCCGCCCCACGAAATTTGCCCCCCTCACCATAGTCGTACCCCCTCAAGAAGGTGGTTATCCAAGATCTGATCCTGCAGCTGGTCCCTCTGCAGGTACATGAGCGCCCCAGGCAGCTTCCCCAGCTTAGCCAGCGCAGGCTGCCGTCTCCTATTCGCCTCCTTATCCTCCATCGCAGCCGCCTTCATCTCCTCCAGCAACCGACTGAGGATCTCGTCCGTGTCAGCCTCATCCTGCACCACCTTCTTCTTCTTGTTCTTCTTCGACATGCGCTCGAAATCCTCTTCCACCTGCTGCCGGATCTTGGACTCGGGGCTGAGTTCCCGTTCAGGTGGGGCCGAGTCTTCCTCACCGTCCCCTCTGCTACGCCCCCGCTCATCCCCGGCATCGCTTCGTCGGCGGGCCCGCACCGCTTTTGCCTTTTTCTTTGGCCGCCGTTTCAATTCCTCTGGGATCTCGACATCTTCGGAGGGTTTGAGCTTTTTGAAGGACGGGAGTTGCACGGGCTCGTAGTCGTCGTCGTCTTCGTCGTCGGGGCCGGCGGGTGGGGGTGCGCGCTCGTCGCCCGAAAAAGCGATATCGTCGAGCTCACTGTCGGACCCGCCGAAGAGGTCCTCGTAGGTCGGTTGTGCTGCCATCGAAGTGTTCGGGCCTAATCTTGGCGAAGAAAGCTTGAGAGGCCGGAGCAAGGCGTCTCTATGTGATCTGGAGGAGGACTGAGACTCCGTTACGCTGTTCTTCGAAGTAAGGACTTCCTCAATGGGGACTGTTCAAGAAAAGTCCAACTGCATTTGGAGAACGTGAGAGGGGACAGCGTATTCACTTCAGACGACACACGAATGTGCGCGTCGCGCCCGATGTTGGGGTCAGATTCGAAGACTTCTCACAACGAACAACGCTCTACGCTTAAGGTCAAAGTGCTTTCCAACACTTCCGTGCATGCCCACTCCAGGGGCCCATGTCCATGTACTTGGTTGCCGGAACAGCGTGGAGACAGATCTGGGGAATCTGCCACGAAAAGCAAACGGCATAAGGAATAACATCATAAAGAGGGACGTTGATACCAACCATGATAGATATTTCATCCGCCAAGGGAATGGAAAAGGCAAGCAAAGATGGCACAACACTGCCCACGAATCTCTTCTACGGAAGCGGGCAAGGCGACAGATCCGCAGCCCTCTCGCAGTGCCTATTACATAATTTTGAGTGGAATCCATCGGCATCTACTTGTAGAACTCCAACTCCAAATCGCTCTTCTTGACATTCGCCCTGTACGCCTTCTCGATGTCTTTTGACAATACTACGTATCGGTTTGCCTGAGAAACGATATATATTAGTTTCTCGACTTCCGAAATTTTCAAATGTCGAACAGAAGCTCCGATAGTTACCCTGACGGCGAACATTCCGGCTTGTTGACAAATAGAGGCGATTTCGGCACCGCTGAGCTTGTCTGGTCTCGAAACAACTGAACGGGGAAAAGACAGCGTCAGAAGTCTGCTCCAAGGAATAAGTACTCATTCATTGAGTCTTACATTCTTCCAAATCCACCTCCTCCGACAAGTTCATCTTGCTGGTCAATGTGGTGAAGATCATTCGCTTCTGTCGCCTGTCTGGCGTTGGGAATTCGATTTTGCGATCCAATCGCCCGGGTCGTAACAGTGCGGGGTCCAGAGTGTCAGCACGATTTGTAGCCATGATCACCTGGCGATAAAGTCAAATGAGCCTCCAAACAGAGAGAGTCGAAACGAGCGGGGCCATTTTCCCACCTTGACATTCGATGTCTGATCGAACCCATCCATTTGGTTCAACAACTCCAAAAGAATACGCTGAACTTCTCGATCCGCACCCGTTTGTGCATCGAATCGCTTTGTCGCGATAGCATCAACTTCGTCGATGAAGATGATAGCCGGAGAGTTCTCACGCGCCATCCTGAAGACATCTCGGACCATGCGAGGCCCTTCTCCCAGGTACTTTTGCACGAACTCGGATCCATTCACTCGGATGAAGGACGCGGTGGTGTGATGCGCAACAGCTTTTACCAGCATCGTCTTTCCAGTACCAGGTGGCCCATACAGCAGCACTCCCCTTGGTGGGTCGATACCGATCTGGCGATATAGGTCAAAGTGCGTCAAGGGCAATTCGACGGCCTCCCTAATCTCCTGTTTCTGGATGTCCAATCCTCCAATATCCTGGTACGTGACGTCCGGCTTTTCCTGGTCGCTCAGCATGGAGATACTGCTGTCGGCCTCCGGTGGCAGAACGGCTACCAGAGCATTCGAGTGCCTGTGCAGAGCAACAGACGCGCTGGGCTTCAGCAACTCCCGGTCGAGTGTTGATAGGATGCGCACAACATAGTTTGAACCGGTTGTTGAGCCGACGATCCCGGTGTGCTGATCAATGGGTTCGAGGAATTGCCCAATGACGAGCGGAACAGACTGGATTCGTTTGACCTCCTCCTGTGCCCTAATCAACTCTCGTTTCAAGTTCTTTTGCTCGTCCTTGATATATTCTTCTTGCAGCGACAGAAACTCCAAATGCCGTTGCAGTTTCTTCAATTTTGTGTACAAGTCCTCTTCGCTCATGTCCTCCACCAGCTCAGCCTTGGCAGCAGCGTACACATTGTCCTGTAGGTGATTCAAGGCGGTCGTTATTAGTTTCTGAAGTCCCTGTAGCCATAGCTGCCCGTCCTTTGCACGCGTCTAAACGTCCAGCAATCACTCACCCCATCCAGAGGCACTTTGATGCCGATTTCTTCCATCTTGACGACAGCGCGGAGAAACGAGCCTGGAAGGGACTGGTTTCCGAGAACGAGTGTGAGGAGACGGACTGGTCTCTATAGCGGCTGAAGCGGGTAGCTGTCGAGGGAGAGGTTGCAGGCTGTGTTGGATCGTACTGTACTCTCTACGAAAGGGTTTGTTGCGTGAGAACCGGTGGATGGACCAAGCGACGCGAATTGGCTTCCGATGCGAGAATGATGAGCGCGCTGCAATGATGAGCCGTTTGCTCGAATTGATTTGACCAAGAAGGTCGGGGAACGTCTTGGCTCTTGACAGAACTGTGTTCCCCACTACTACCTTCTACTACTACTTACTCCGCTCGCCAGCAGACCCACCCACTCATATCGCATATAAAGAGTCCCACTCAAGCGCCCCCTCTGCTCCCTTCAGCTCCTCTCAACAGAATATCACCCAACAATGGCAGACGAAGAAATTGAAGCTCTCGAGCCCTCGCTCCGCAACGTCCTCGAACAGCAGTCTCTGCGCTGGGTCTTTGTCGGTGGGAAAGGTGGTGTGGGGAAGACAACTACAAGGTGCGCAGGTCTGGATACCGGGCCTAGGGTTGCAAGTCCCCGTTCTAAGATGTTGCTTCCAAAATAGTTGTTCTTTGGCTACACAATTGTCGAAAGTCCGCGAGTCCGTTCTCCTGATCTCCACCGATCCCGCACACAACTTGTCCGGTGGGTACTTTGCGCGAGACGCTATCGTTAAGGCATTGGATCGGGTCAGCGCGAAAGATGGGAAGGCTGACATGTGTCGTCGTGTTAGATGCTTTCGGTCAGAAGTTCTCAAAGAACCCCACGTTGGTCAACGGCTACACGAACCTCTACGCTATGGCAAGTAGCTCTCTAGTCTATGATTTGACGTAGCGTTTGCGATCGCTCATACCTCCCTATAGGAAATCGACCCCACTGGCAGCATTCAGGAAATGATCGAAAGCTGTGAGTACCTTTGGAGTGACTTCCGATGCAACGCTGGCATCTCACCTCCATGCCCTCCCTTCCAGCACAAGAGACGAATATGCAATCACATCTGCAAGACATGGCTTTCGCCATCCCGGGTGTCGATGAAGCTATGAGCTTTGCTGAAGTCATGAAGTACGTGTCACCACACAATGACCAGGAATGAGAGTCAGGATGGATCCGGTCCTGACGTTTCGCCCAAATGCAGGCTCGTGAAATCCATGGACTACTCCACCATCGTCTTCGACACGGCACCAACAGGCCACACCCTCCGATTCCTCTCCTTCCCCACCGTTCTCGACAAGGCCCTCGGAAAGCTCTCCCAGCTTGGAGGTACATTAGGCCCAATGCTGCAGTCAATGGGACCCATGATGGGCATGCCCGCAAACACCGAGGACGTTTTCGGGAAGCTGGAGAGCATGCGTGCTGTCATCCAGGAAGTCAACACCCAGTTCCAGGATCCCGTAAGTAATGGGGGTCTAACACGTTGCCGCGGGGAGTGTCGTACCTCGACTCACTCTCGTACTCCGTGTTCTGACAGGACAAGACAACTTTCATCTGCGTGTGCATCTCCGAGTTCTTGTCCCTATATGAGACCGAACGTATGATTCAAGAGCTTACAACATTCAACATCGACACCCACAACATCGTCGTCAACCAGCTGCTGTACCCTCCCAAAGGTATGTGCGGAGGTGTATGCTGGACATTAAGTGGCCTTGCCCTGGGCCCCCGACAGCTTATATACCGGTCGTCTAACGTTCGCTTCTCCACCGACTGACTGACCTGTCTGACCTTTCCCAGGCTCAACATGTGAGAACTGCGGCGTCCGTGCGAAAATGCAAGGGAAGTATCTGGAGCAGATCCACGAGCTGTACGAGGACTTCCACGTCGTCAAGATGCCGTTGTTGACAAAGGAGATCCGAGGCGTAGATAGCATCAAGGAGTTTTCGGAACTGCTTGTTCATCCGTATCAGCAACCTGACGCGTAAAGCGCCGCGTTTGGGAAATTGAACCCGCGTAGTCAATGAAAGCGTTGGGTGGTGTCCCCTGCCTCTCCCTCGCCTGGGAGGCAGCGTAGAATGAATAGAATACCGTAGTCCGTAACATCGCATACTGACAGAACATCATTCTATCTCCACCGACACATATTTTCAGTCACGCACGATGCCGAGACCCAGTTGCCATGTTATTCTTCGAGATTTGAAGACGACCATGATAAACCATGCATTATACAACCAAGAATAAACAGAATATACAGAGTCCATAGAAGATTAGGCGCGCCAACGCACGCACGAAAGCCTTCACTACGCTCAAACCCCTCACCCGTCAGAGTTCGATACACCACGAACGCCGCATGCAGAATCACAACTCCCCACCCGTCCTAACCCCATGCCCCGCCGTCTCCTTAACAAAAACCGTAACGGGCGTCCCATCCTTCAGCTTCGTCTGCACCGGCACAAGCGTGTACCTCCCCACCCTCGGCAGCAGCACAAACCACACCAGCCAGTAGGTTGCGCCCGCGACAAAGAACGCGACCGACACCGCGGGGGCGATCGCGTACCACAGGCTCTTGTAGACCGCTTCCTCGGGCTTGCTTGGCGCGATCCACGGCGCGATGACGAGGAAGAGGGAGATGAGGGTGAAGAAGAGGACGACGGGGAGGGACGCGCGGATGGAGGGGGACCAGGTCTTGGCCCATTGCGGGCGGAGGCGGTGCGGGAGGTACGCAGAGAGGAGGCCGAGGGCTACCGCGGCGTTGACGACGTTGAGGGGGTAGGAGGAGAGGTTGAGGACGAAGTCGTAGGCCTGGATGTGGGGGGAGTAAGCAGTTGGTCAATGGGGGGTGAACCTATGGGACGGTGGCTGATGGAAAGGGAGATGGGAAGTAACTTACATCACCGGCCGGCGGGGCCAACAAAATGACGAGGGTGACGATAACGTGCCACGTGAGACCGGCCAAGGGGGACTTGAACGGCCTGTTGGAAGCCAAGATCTTGCTGAAGGGCACGATCCCATCCCGTCCCAGCGCCTGGTTCAGCCGTCCCTGGGAGAAGATGACGGAAAACACGTTCGCGGTCGCCGACAGCGCGACAAAGACCGACAGCGCGCGGGCAGAGGACTCCCCAAACATGTTCTGGAAGAACAACGACGCTACGATCTGCGACCCGCCGAGGATCTGGTCCCGCGGCACCGCGGCGAAATAGGCGACCTGCACGAGCATGTAGAGAACCGTGATGACCCCCAACGCGAGCGGGCCGGCGATCTTGATGGTGCGCACGGGCGTGCGGATCTCGCCGAGGGCGTAGAAGATGTTGGAGTAGCCGACGTAGGACCAGACCGCGTTGTAGATGCAGGACACGATGCCGTAGAGGTCGCTGCGGGTGCCTTCGAAGGCGTTGGTGAAGTTGTCGGGGGGTGGGTTGGCGCGGGATTTACCGGCGAGGGCGGCGAACCCGGTGAAGGCGATTAGGACGAGGATGACGAGCTTGAACAATCCAACGACGCTGTAAAAGTGAACAAAAAAAGTTAGTTAGTTCATCAGAAGGGGCCGTCTCGTTCAATCCGCGAAAAGTATTCCCCGTGCAGAACGTACTTCTGGAACCTTAACCCCCACTTCAACATCGTTCCGTGAACAATAAGCGCCGCCACCAGGACTAATACTCCGATGCCTCGAGACCCCCACTCGTTCGACTGCCCTCCCGCACGCATAAGGTATCGTCCCGCCGTATACGCATTCCCCGCCGCCTGACCCAGCAGCAACGCCTGGGCCGCATACATAGACGCGACAAGAAATCTCGGCTTCTTGTAGATATGTTGCAGGTAGTTAAGCTCTCCCCCGTTGCGAGGGATGGCAGACGCAAACTCAGCGTAGACCAGGTAACCCGTCACGGCGATGACGGCGCCAATCGCCCAGTAGATGAGCGACATCCCCGTGCTCCCCGATTGAGCGAGGATCGTGCTGGTGGTCGCAAACACTCCCGTTCCCACGATCCTGTTCACGATCAAGAAGGTGGCGGAGATCACGCCGAGTTGACGGCCCTGTGGGAGCTCGGATGTGGCCCCATCGGCGGCGGCTTGGCCCTCGAGTGTGTTGGGGGTGAGAGGAGCGTTAGGGTCCTTTGTGTAGCCGTCTTGTTCGCCGATGGTTTTTGAGGAGTCGGGGCGGCTCAGGGGAACCGTTGCATTGTGGGTTGACATCGCTGAGGAAAAAAATGATGATACTACTCAAAAATGAAAAAATGGATGGTACTACTTCTGGGGATCGTCCTGCGAGTCCACAACAGAGAAAAGATAGTGAGGCCTATGGCGGTCTTGGTTGAGATGACCTTGATCTGGAGAAAACAAACGCAGGGCCTGAAAAGCGACGTCGGCTCTTATATGTCTTCCGTGAGGAAAGAGAGCGATTGTCGAAGTCCAGCAGCCATCATCACGCACATGCAGACACACAGACACCGTGGGAAAAAAACAACGGCACAGCAGCCTGGGAAAAGGCGCAACCGGGCGGGGATTTCACGTCGTGCATATGTCCAAGTCCAGTGTGTCGAAGCGCGGAGACAAGGTTGAGGGAAAGACGAAGGGAACAGGGGCAGTTACGACAAGCACGCCATTGGGAGCCAATTGTCATGGAATAAATACATGTGAGCTCTTGCACATGTATTACATATTGTTGTGCGGTCGACATCGATGGGAAAAAAAGACACTCCGGAGAACGCCAGAAAAGAGCATTTGCGGGAAAGGCCGAAATGACACCATCGCGCATTCGTCATTCACGGCGTGTTTACGGCGCCCGCCACGAAAAGGGAAGCTCCGCAACCGCGTTTCAACCACCACGAATCACGTGGGGTGCCGGTTGCGCAATTTCACATGCGTTACTCACTGCTATCTATCGTTCCGGACAGTGTGACATGGCCTCAAAAGTGGGTTTTAAGGTTTCCCACTGCCTATGACACAGAGAGATCGCCGTGTGCAATGGAGATTCTGCTGGCTTCGGAAAAGGCATGAATAATGCATCTCATCATACTACTCGGCGAGATGACCCACACCACAGCTTGGCAAGCGTTTCAACTTAGCATCGCATGCTGGGTTCGTTTCCCCCTAGGCATACAGTAGGTGAAAATGCAGCACGAGCGTACCTCATATGTCGACATTTTGCCGCAGGTTAAAGGTTAAGTGCTGCGGTGTTTGTGCTTCGCCCAGGACGTCTCTGTTATCCGGCAGCTGCCAATGCCGTGCGTTCTTCAAACACACTCCGTACTACAAGGAATGGGCATTCGGCTCTGTTCTCGAATTTGGTTGAACAGATTGACGGGTTGGCACCGTCACGTGACCAGCGCTGTCAGTGCTGTCATTTCGAGAAAGCTCCCTTCCACACCTCTCGAGTCTCAATTCACAACCACCTAACATCTTGAAGATCAACTTACTGCAGGTTCTTTGATACGTTCATACGTACAGCGACTCTAATGGTATTCACTGGTGCCCAAGTTGTGAGTTGCCGCTTTGTTTCCCCGTGAAGGTGCATCTTTGGTGGCTGGGGGACCTTAGACCTCACTTTTCGCAGACACCCTTGTCAAAAAGTCCACAGTATCCATGTTCGCTTCTTGAGTTACAAGATGCGCGAATTATACTAGACTGCGCGCTGGAGGTGGTGGTCAATACGGCTTCTAACGAGAGAACCCCGACGTGGGTTGTGCCGCCGTTCCTGGACTGCGATATTGAGAGTGTTGAGGCGGTCATTTTGACCAACTGCTACAATGCTTTGGCACTGCCGTTTCTTACGGAGTATACCAAGTTTGCGGGCGCCATTTATGCGACTGAGCCAACGGTGGAGTTTGCCAGGTGCGAAGACAATGTGTCGTCGAGACTAGAGAGTCCAGAAGAGCTGAATTGCCCCGCGTTACCGTTCTAGGCTACTCCTGGAAGAATTGGTGAACACGTTTGCAAGGTTCAGATATGGGAGCATCTTTGGTGCAGGCATAGTCATGCGTCTTATTCATGATGTTGCAGAGATCAACATCGAGGCGGGGAGGCATGTCCGGTTCGGTGGGGTTCGGACTCGATACCGCTGTATTCCTTGCACGACATCCAAAGCTGCTTGGCGAAGATTCGACTGCTACACTACGCCGAGATAAAGGTTCTTATGCCTTGAACCCTCTGAGTCTATTTCGCCGATGTTGATACATTGTCTTTGCAATGCAGGAGCTCAATGACCACGGCGATCATATTGTGCTCACGCCCCTGAGCTCCGGCTTCTGTCTGGGTTCGGCGAACTGGATCATCGAGACGCCCAATGGGAAGGTATTTTCCGTGCACGTAGGGCGGGTGACGGGGGCATGGACTGACAGGCGCATAGATATCATACATAGCCGCATCATCGAATAGCGAAATCGGTCATTCGGCCATGATCGACCTGAGGGCCTTCGCGGAAATGGATGCTGCCATAATCACCCAAGTTGGATCTCCGCGGCGGGATCCGTCGCTACTGAAGAACTCCATTAGCGATATGTTAAGGGTTGTTGGTAAGATCACATCTTCTCTACCGCACCTAATGCCTTCCGCTCGTTGACATGGAAGCTCATCATTTGCAGTGCGCGCGCTCGAAAACCGCGGCAACGTCTTGTTCCCGTGCTTTCCGTGCGGAACCATGTTTGACGTGATCGGGTTCGTCTCGGACTATATCAAGGCAGCTGGGTATTTGGATACACCGATGCATGTCGTGTCTCCTCTCGCAAAGAGAGCTTTACACATGGCGAACATTCAAGGAGAATGGTACGGTTTTGGAGAATTTCAACGCTGAAACCAGGGGAATAATCTGGATGTGCGTGCGCTTTCTAGGATGAGCGCAGATAAGCAGAGCAGTCTCTACCAAGCACGCCAGCCTCTTCGACATGGACAGTTGTTGGAGGAGAGGTCGCTCCATTACCATGAGACGCCCGAGACGGTGTTCAGCTTCCGGGGGCCTCATATTGTGTTTGCTGGATACGCCGGTCCTTTGAGTGGGGATGCCGAGATCTTTCTGAAGAAGTGGAGTCAAAATGCAAATAATCTACTAGTCCTAACAGGTGTGTACCGGTCATTTCCCGCCCATCATGAGCTCAGAATTCTCAACGGAGGTGTATGTAGAACCCTTAGCCAAGGGCTCCATACCGATGGAAGACGGTTTCAGCATGCAGATTTGCGAATGCCTGATCGAAACAAGACCGTCGAGGGACGACCTGATATCTAAACTCAACGCCAACAGGGTTTTCTACCTTAGGGGAGCAAAGAACCCAGGAAATCTGCCAATAAGTCCGTCTCCGACGATGCAGGCATTGCCGTTAGTGCCGCTGCAAATTGGAACTATTCCATTTACCAGGGATGTCGTCAAGGCCACTATTTTGGAGGAGGTATGATGTTACCTAGCGCGAAAGTTACCCTTCCCAGGACATCTCTTCTCATCCCAATCCTCAGGTTGCACGAGTCACCCTTTCGCAGGCGGATGCCGTGGTTATTGGAGGCAGCATCTCGACAAAAGAATCTGCCCTATGCACCATCCAGGCTTTGCCACACGCGACCGTTCCAGGGTACAACAACCGAGCCATTGCTGAGCAGATAGCTGCCGATTGTGCATCACAGGTACGCTCTTCATATAGTAAGTCTTTCGTGACCTGTTTCTAACCAACCTATTGCTACCAGCTGGGACCGGCGAGAATGCAGTTCTTCCCAACAGGAATCGTGCTCGACTGGGGGAATGGCGCTCACAAGATTGCACTCGAACAAGACGACATTCGTATTGAAGCTGCAGATGTACACGTGTTGGAGATTTTACGATCTACTGCTGGCAGCCGGATCAACTCCGCTCAGAACCACTGAGAGCGGCAGAATTTCGTTTTCGGTTTGAAAAAATTACGCCATCGTTGTGACAGATTATGTGGCGACGACGACCCCGGATGTACTTTCCCATCGATCGCTGCCTCCAGCCACGAAGCAGCCGAGTTGCCAAGGCCGTCATGGGGTATCGAGTCTAGGAGGCTTCCCGCGGTCCTCTACTCTCAAAAGTCGGCCATCTCCCTCTGCGTGATCATCAGATCCCTTACGGAACGGTTGGACTTGCCCGACCACGGCCGCAACTTCTTCACGCCTTCCGGATCGACCCCATCGATGTCCTCCTCCCTCGCTTCCTCTCTGAGCAGTTCTTTCTGGTGCTGATGCAGCAAGTCCGCGTGCTCTGCGAGCCCGAATGCAAAGGTTCGTGGATCTGTGCGTGCCCACAGGTATCAACACCAAGTGCGCAAGGAAAGGACAAACATTCGGCAGAACCGTCAAGCAACGACATACCTTCGGACAACCCGCTCGTAGCCAAGCCGCACCAATCCCTCACATACCCATCGAAATCGAGCGCCCGCGTCCATGTTATCAAGAAGTCGGGCTCAAGTTCGGCTTCCAATGCAGCCTCCAATGATCTTTCGGTCATCGGCGTTGGCGGTAGTATGCGGGAGGCTGTGACCGTCGCTTCGGCGTCCTCGTCACCAGTGAGAGGACGTGCCTGATGTGGGTCGGTTGCCCGAGGCGTAAGGGAGGACGGTCTCTCGGCTGCTTTTGTGGCTGTTGTTGAAGTCGTAGGGAATGTTCGACGACCTTCGTAATACCTGAGCAAATGAGATTTAGCCATGGGTCCCCTCGCATCAGTGTCTTTCTGCCTTATGTCGGCCGACCCCACTCACAGTTTTCGAAGCCAGTTCAGCTTCCGTTGTCTCCGCGAGCGCTCGACTTCCTGCCGTCGCCTCAGTTTCAGATGATGATATGGTATCGTCTTGGTTTTCTCTTGGGCTAAGTCACTGTCTTCTTCAAGTATCTGGATGCTGCAGAATCAGTCAAACAACGCCTCATCGCATTCCAGAAAATCACGCACAACATTTCATGTACCTTGTCTGAAACTGGTCGCCAGCCGTTGTTCTCGACCCTTCTGTACCATCCATCTAATAGCAAGAAAGTCGGGGCGATCAGACCGGAGCCGCGCGGAAGGTAAAGGTTGCGTTAAAACTCACTGAAAAGAGCCATCCCAGGTGCAGGTCCAATCTTATCGAAAAGCTTCACAGGTAAGGCTTGTTTACTCTCTGCGGACGTGTAGTCGCGCGGACTGAAGGCGTTCATGTCGATCAGGGCTTTGTGAACGTAGACTTTGTAGAAGATGGTTGGTGGGAAGGATTTCTGGTGGTGGAGACAGCCGTCAGAGGATAATTCTTCATTTGTTGTTGGGAGAGTCCATCCCTCCTTTCGGCATACATACTCCGCCCAGGCGAAACCGCACATGTGCACCCATGGATGCATCGATCAGCGCCGCTTCCTGGGGGTTGATGAACTTCAACAGACGTTTCGGGTCGCCCCGAAGCCTGAATTTGATCATGTCGCCGTAGATTTTGTATATCTTTCGATTCTGCAAGCTAATCTGAGACTTGGTAGGACCTCTGTGTGCAGACGGCTTTTGAACATACGTAATAACTTCGCCACAGCATTTGTATCTTCCTCGCCGCTGCGTCCCATGATGTATGCTGCCCGGCTTTCCGCATCTTCCACATCATTTGCTTCATCGCCACGCCCGTAGATTGGTCTTCTCCTCCCTCGACCTTTTTGGGTGTGCGATACAATGTACATGTGATGAGCTATGTTGGAGGAACATCCCAACCCCCGAAAGAGAGAGCTGCATTTCAATCAACCTTCCGCTTGTAGGCCAGATAGCTTTTCCGCACTACCCACATCCGCCATAGCGATTGTATGAACGTGGCAGCGTACTCTGGAAATGTCGGCGGGAGACTGAAGTGGTTCCTTCGTTCCAAGAATGTGCAATATCTGTAGTAGCGCCGCAGCATTTTTTCCTGTAACGACAGATTCAGATGTTTTGTTACCTGCCCAAACACCTGCCGTTTGACACGAGCTCCCTGTCATACCTGAATACTCAACGAATACGCATCCACCGCCGGCAACACCAACTGAAAAGCCGTCCCCAGCCCCGTCCCAACATCCGGCGGACTCAGCCGATGCGTCTGAACCGTCAGCTGCCCACATATCACCTGAATGTACTTCCTGCGTGTGCGCCAGCCGCGATACAGAGATTGGAGGATGAGGACTGCTGCCAGCCGAGCGAGCCGTTCGCGCACTTCCGGCTCATCTTCGACTGTGTAGGGGAGGCTGATGATGGGGCGCGGGGTGGATAGGGATTGGTTTGATGAGTGCGGGAGCTTTGGACGTGGGGGGGTGTCTGGGGGGATGGGGAGGGCTTGTCGCTGGAGCGCCAGCTACGATGCCAAAGGGACATATCATCAACAAACAACACCCAATACGAAGAAAATAGAAAGCGCTTTCAAAACTCACCCATCGTGCGGCTTTGCTTCGTCTTAGAAGCTTTTCTGATTTGTCATTGGGAAACTCGACGGTCTCGAGCAAGAGCAATGGGTCGAACCCCCACGTTTGCTCTGCCCCTGCGTTGGCAATATCTGCGTCCAAAAGTCCTGTGGACTCCCGAAGGGTGTAGTAACTCTGGTATGTCATTTTTGGGAATCGCTAATATTAGGATGCCAGGCGCATGGAAAGCTCAATGTGTGCTTGCAGAGCATTTCCTATCGGATCAGTCACTCCGGTGATATTTGACAACTCCGAACAGCGGGTCGCGCTGTCGAATTTTCTTCGGATCGCGCCGTGGGGAGCTCCGCGGTGGCTTCCCATGCCCGAAGCGCCAAGACCTCCATCCTTTGTTGACCTTGGCAGATAGTGCTGCAATAACGCTCTTTCATCCGAACCCAAGTATCGCCCACTGTCTCGAAGGAAAAGTGCACATATGATACTATGCCATGTTTCCGGGATAAAGCGCAACGTCGCATTCGCAAAAGAGCTGGGCTAACTTCTCAATCCTTACCTCTTCGATTTTTTCTTTCCTCTGCTCAATTCTTCACATCCGTTCGTCCTCCAATCCGCTCCCAGCCCACAGATCCATCACAATGTCCAAATCAACCCTCGACCTCAACAACCTCACCCCGTCCCAGAAATCTATCGCCCTCTCAAGCCTCCGCTCCCTCCTCACCTCCCAGCCTCCCTCCCCAGCAACAACCTACGACGACCCCACCCTCCTCCGCTTCCTCATCGCCCGGCAGATGAACGCACCAAAAGCGTTGCAGATGATCAATGAGTATGTGGACTGGCGGGAAAAGGAGGGGATTGATCAGTTAGCTGTGCCGGGGGTGAGGGGGGAGCCGGTGATGAACGGTGTGAGGGGGTTTGAGGGTGTGGGAGATGCGGATTGGGAGGTGGGGAACGTGCCGGAGGAGTGGAGGGGGTGGTATGGGTCGTTAGGTAGGTCGCAAAGGGAGTCGATGATGGGAGACGGCGAGAATCTAACAGCGGGACAACCAGGTGGCGGATGTTTCCACAAGACGGATAAGGAGGGCCAACCCGTCTTCATCGAGCGCACAGGCTATCACGACGTGAAATCCCTCGCCACCAAATGCCCCCAATCCCAGATGCTCGACTGGCACGTCCGCAACACCGAGATGCTGTTCAACGTCCTGATGCCGGAATGCAGCGCCAAGAGCGGGAGACTGATTGAGAAACATACCGTGATCTTCGATTGCGCGAATAGTGGAATGTGGCAGTTTAGTATGAAGGGGATGCAGTTGTTGAAGAGCGTGTCGGAGCTGGATTCGAAGGTGTATCCGGAACGACTGGGGAGATTGTTTATTGTTAATACGCCTGGTTAGTCGGTCCCCCCGGAACGATGGGTTTGCAACGAGCTGTAGATTGACCCTGTTACTCTGCAGGAATGTTCACCCGAACCTGGAGCATCGTGAAGCGATGGCTAGATAAACGCATCCTAGAGAAAATCTTCATCCTCGACTCCAACTACCAAGCAACGCTGCTCGAGTACATCGACGCTGCCAACCTCCCGGAATTCCTGGGTGGCACATGTAAATGCAGTCATATGCCTAATGGGTGTGTGCCTTCACCGTATCAGGAAAGCAGAAAAGCGTAGGGATATAGTACAGTCAGAGTGGACGTAGGTCGTAAGATATCATCCACAGTTTTTGGCCAGGGTCACCGTGGACTATGTAATATTTTAAATAGAGCTTGTACATGGGTGCGATTGAATGAGATGCGTCGGACATCTTGCCTCTGGCATTCTGATATGCAGAGTACGCATGAGCGCATGGTGCGACATGGCCAGACACGGGACTGCTGAACTTTGGGTTCACACACAGGTGGCAGTGTCCGACAGGGTGAGGGCGTAAACATAGACTTTTATTTATTTTCTGCGCGGCTCAAAACCAGGTATTATTTCCAAAACTATAGTCCGAATGACACGACTCCCTTTCGCAACGAGGCGTAACGTCTCCCTCCAAACTACAAATTTGCTAAACTTTCTCCTCGTTTTCCGACGACGTCTTCAACACGACAACCGGGGCACGAAGCGCGCCAGGCACTTTCGCGGTGGCGCTTTTCTCCGTTTGCGGAGCAGACGATTTGTACTGGCTCCGATTCTGACTGGCACTCCTGCCTGACCCTTGAATGGACGCCGAGTATGCCGTGACGATCTCCTTCGTGTGGACGAACGAGAACTGGATGAACGTGGTGATCTGCCAGGCCACCCACATGCAGCGGGAGCCGGTGTATAGCAGGGAGACGTAGAATGTGGGCCCGTTGATCTGGGCGATGCAGACGATGGCGCAGATTGTGTTTACGGAATAACGCAGCACTATGCTGGACTTTGCAATCTGAATGAGGATTGTGCGATTCCACTCCATCTTGCTCAGCAAGATGTATATAAATGTCCAGTCAGTCATGGTGTTGAGGACGAAGGTGACAATCGCATCAGCGAGGATGAGGCTGTTGAAAGCGTCTTCCAGCTTGTTATAATCCTCGTTCCCTCTTGCCAGGAAGTAGGAATTGGGAATCCATGCGGCTGCGAGGTGACTAAGACAGCTCAGGATAGTCGCGGCAAACAGAATCCGACCGAAGAGGTTTTCCGATGAAAGCATGGCCCTCAAGCGCAGGATAGTCATGAGTTCGAAAACGACATTGGCGGCCGATAACAGATACACCCATGTGTATGCGTACGGGGAAGGGTTTCCTACTACGGAAAATCCAACCATCGACGTGAAGTCGATTGCTACCGTTTGTCGAAAGTCGGTCTGTGCCATATCCGCTAGTTTCAATGAGGAGCAGGTGGCAACGATGGTGAGCGCACATGCAACTGCGCATGCAATGTAGACGGGCTTTTTGTACTGCTTCGTGTTGCTCAGCAAGGTGGGTACGGCGACGAAAAGGATTTGCGAAAGTCCAATCATCATCATTGGAACTCCTACGGCCGCCGTTGCTGTGTCTTTCAGCTGGCTTGGCAGAAAGACTTCCGGTGTAGGATATAAGTTCACACAGCGTGGGTATAATGCTGTCATTGAAGCCATCATTTACCTTTGAGCAAAATTGCTGCCTGGACGGCATTGAACCCATAAACGTTTGGGATGAAAAGTGATCCCGTCGAGTCCGCCCCGGCTACGGCCATAATCTCGCCTATACCGGCGCCGATTTCAGCCATCCTGCGTGTTTGAGAATGGATGAAGATGAGGTCGTCGTTGGATTACGGTGGCACTAGTCACTGGAAACCGAAGCGTTTCTTGCGCGAAGCGATGAATCAGGTTGATCTGGTATATGCAGTTGATGCTGATGTTCTCGGAAACCTGGCCAGCGCCTGCGTTCTTATACGCGCTGATCCCAAGCCCCGTTCTGGTGGTCCCCGTAACTGACACAAACATAAGCTTATTTTGGATTGGACGTTCGAGAACAACCCGATTGCTTTCCGGATCGGTGTGTGTTTGCGACAGCCTTGTTCTGGATCTAATGGACGAGGCGTGGCGGAGAGCGAGGGCAAACACCAATTGACAGGGCTGAGGACTGTCAGGCCCACAAGTTCCTGGGATCGACAATTAATTACCAAAGTAAACCGAGTTGGTCTCGAGATTTGGCTCGAGTTTACGATAGTTGCCAATTTACACAGCTGCGTACCGGAGACCAGGGTCTTGCTACAGAGAGGTCTACTCTCAATCCTGCTGAGGAAGTGGGTTGGGATCGAGGCAACCCGGGGACATCTGCGGAAATTTACTTAGGTTTTGGATGCTGAGGTCAGCCTCTTGGGATCTGTGCCACCACGGAGACAGTTCCCGCCAGAATCTATCCGCGGCACCGAGAAGTCCCAAGACAGCGGAATGCAACTCAATACGCCGGTAGCGCGAGGGTTTTCTCGGTTTGCTTTGTCTCTGCGAAAAAAAAACTCACACTTATTATTCTCAATCTCGATCCCCGTAAATTGTCATCAGTACCCGGGCGCGGCCTATTTTTGGAAGTTATACTTAGCAACTTTGAATTTAGCCATGGCGCCGGTTTAATTTTCCCCTCAAGCTCGAGGTCATGTGACCGGAACATGTCCGAAAGCGCGCGAGAGAGGCGGTTGTCCGAAAAGGTGGCAATTGGAACACCAGGCAACAGAGGCAACTCTCGACGGCCCCCACGACTCGCCAACCACTGAGCTCAACCCGCCAACACAAGCCTCATCAGTCTCACGCTCTCGACGTCCGTAGCTACTATCGACCTTTCCCACAGGGCTCTTCAGCTGCTGCAAAGTCGGAAAGGATACGAACAACGCACAAACGCGACTGGCAATAACGGAAAGCGGAAAGAACCGTTGATTATTCGACAACATGCTGACTGCGGAAGCGAATTCCAGTCGGGAAGACATGCTAGGTGCTTTCGGCCCACAGCTGGCTGCTACGCCAGAAGTCCTAGAGCGACTTCTCTCCTATTCCAAAATGTTCGACATTGCTGCGGAGGATCTCCACGCAAAGTGGGAAGCCTACACCCTAACACCCGCCGCTCTAAAGTCCGAGTCCGACCTGACCCTGCCTACCCTGGAGCATCTCGACGAGCTGCAATCGATCCTTCTCCGGAAGCAGCAAGTGGAGAAACAAGAAGCGGTCTTGGGTGCTGGAAGTGCAAACTTGCCGTTCCAGGTCAAAGACGTAGACCCGACTATGGACGGCAAGATGTATACAAATGATACCCTCCAGAGCCTATTCGCATCCGGGAATGACTCTGCATCCCAGTTTGGGGGAAACTTCAGGACACCTGCGAAAGTAAAACGGAAGGTGATCCCGAAAGATTCAGGGAGCGCTACGCGTTACAATCCGGGAAGAGCACAGCAAGGCTTTGGTGGCCTCACTCCAAAGACACCGGCATCAGCCAGACAGTCTGATCATCTCGGCCATGGGGAAGTCCCTCTCAGCGCCGGTCCGTTGTCATTTGCGACACTTGCGGGATCGCCCATCACGCCAACGGCCGCGCGACCCTCTGGCATCAGTGGGCCATCACCTAGCGCCATCAAATTCGCGGACCGATTGAATAAGGCAAAGATCGAAGAAACACTCAACCCGCATATCCCCATGGAGAGTGCCGGTGAAGACGAAACAGTGCCATGCGAGGTATCCCTCGTACCGGGACAGCAAACCGGCGGGTACAGATATATGTACGAGAAACTGATGGAGAAGGGCGACTATCTGGATGAACGAATCCACAACTTTGCGGAAATCATCGGCGAGGCTGTGCGAGACACGCTTCCCGAAAAGGACCGAGACGACTTCTGCATGCAACACCCAGGCGTGCCCAAGCAAGAGCCCATCTTCACCGTCGGCCGGATCTGCTCGGACACGGTGGCGGAGAACGCCAAGCTAAACGAACAATCTGTGGTACTGGAATCGTCGCGTGGGATCGGGTCAGGCTGTCGCGTCAAGATGAACGTCAGCGATGTGCCCGAATACTCGCTCTTCCCCGGTCAGATCATTGGCGTGCACGGCATGAACCCCAGCGGGCATTGCATCGATGCCTCAAGACTCCTGCTCCCACCGCTCCCTGCCAAACCGGCATCGACTCCGTCGCAGCTTGCCGCGTACTATCCACCCGGCTCCGCAGCCGCTAAACGACCGATCAACATCTTCATCGCCAACGGCCCGTACACCTTGGACGACAGTCTCAATTTTGAGCCCCTGGAAGAGCTCACAGCCCAGATCGAGAAGGAGAAGCCGGAGGTCGTCATCCTCCAAGGACCCTTCGTCGACGCCGAGCACCCGATGATAGCCGCCGGCGACATCGATGAAGAGCTCGACGATCTGTTCAAATCACGCGTCGCTCCCCGCATCGAGCGCATCTCGCAAGCACGCGGTCATCACGGAACCGTTCAAGTCATCCTCATCCCATCCACCCGAGATGCATGCTCGGAATGGGTATCCTTCCCACAACCAGCCCTCGCGGCGGCCCTGGACGAACGAGCGGCTCTGGAACGGAGAGCGGCATTGGGCATCCCGGCCCGGGTCCTCCTGTTCCCCAACCCGGTCCAGTTCACCATCAACGAAGTTGTGTTTGCGTGTTGCTCGACCGACGTGTTGTGGCAGATGGCGTCTGAGGAGGTCGCGCGCGTGTCCCGAACCGCGAAGCAGATGAATCACATCAAACAAGAGCCGAATAGCCGCCACCCACCATCGCAACAACAGCACCAACAGCGATCAGACCAACCCCCCATCGCCCCCCACAAACTCGCCCGCCTGTTCACCCACCTCCTCACCCAACGCACCTTCTACCCCCTCTTCCCCCCACCCCTCAACAACGCCTCGCTCGACCTCTCCCGCCACGCCGCGCTGGACCTGCAAGCCGTCCCCGACGTGCTCATCGTCGCCAGCAGGCTGCAGTACACCGCGCGCGTCGTCGACGGGTGCGTGTGTGTCAACCCGGGGTGGGCGAGCAAAGGCCGCACGGGCGGCACGTTTGCGAGGGTGTGTGTGTGGCCGTTGGATATGCAGCGCGTGGAAGAGGCGATGGAGGACGTGGTGGTGGCCCATGCGGTCGATGAGAGGTGTAGGGTGGAGATAAGGAGGATTTGACACGGCGTCGCTGGAGAGACGCTCCGAGGCCGTTACGTGTTCGAGAAGATAGATGTGCGACGTTCACATGGGGATGGGATGCGTCGATACCTATATCTCCCTTGCTCCTCTGTCTTTGTAAATAGGGTCTTGTGACATGAAATGGGTGACTGAAGCTTTGCTTAAAATACGTTGTGTGAAATAGTAGGACACCGATCGAAAATCTCATTTTCCAACACTCAAAAAAACAAAGAATAAAGTTAAGAAAAGGGGACAAGTCTATATAGGCAACAAAAAAAGGTACGCCATGGCTCCGTTCCCGAAGCGACCCAAAACAATATAATACATATAAAATACAGAGTTAATACGCCATGACCCCTCGTCATTCCGCTCGCCAACTATCGCATCAGACCCAGGTATCCATGACGCCGCCCTCCCTCAAAAAGCCCAGCAGCACCTCGACCCTCGCGCTGCCCAACACGCTCCTGACCAACTGTTGGGCGGTGACGACTTTATCGACGGGCAGCACGGCTTCTTTGAGGACTCTGTGGGCGACGTGGGACGGGAGGGTGTCTGAGTCTGTTAGGCTATATGCGGATGATTTTGCGGTGGTTGTGAGGGTGGTGGAGGTGGATGTGGAGGTGGATGTTGTGGTTGTGGTTGTTGTTGAGGAGGAGTTTGAGGAGGATGAGGTTGAGGAGAGGGTGGTTGCTACTGAGACTGTTTTGGTGGGGTGGTGTTTGCGTTTTGTGGGTGGGGGAGGGGATGTGAGGTGCGGGTGGTGGAGGACGGTGGCGGGGGATGTGGGCGGGGGTTGCGTGGAGAGTGGGTGGGATATGTGGTGGTGCTGGGGTTGGGGGTACTGCGATGACTTGGAGGAGTGGTGGGGAGGTGGTTGGGGGGAGTTGGGCGCGGTCGGGTACGTGTAAGTTGCCGAGTAGGTGGGGTAGTGGGCAGGGTCTCGTTGGGGATTACGTTGAGGTTGTTGCTGCTGCTGGGAAGCCATCGCCCGATGATGATGGCTGTGCGCAGAGAAAGAATGCTGCTGCGGCTGCTGTTGACGATGCAGTTCATGATGAGAACGCACAGACCGATGGTACCCCTCATGCATATTCGCACCCCCCGCCGCATCCCCCACAGTCCCCCTCGCCCGCGCACCCATACTCGGCACCAAGCCCGCAACCGCAAACGCCTCCATCCACGCCGCGCGGGTCTCGAAATCCGACACCGTAAACAAATACTTCTTCTTCGTCGCCGCGTTCGCAGCCGCCGCGTCCCGTGCGGCGACGGGGGACGCCAACATAGGCAGCTCCAACGTCGAGTCCAGTCGGTGCATCATAGGGAGGGTCGTGGAGCTGCCGTTACCGTTATGGCTGCGGGCTTTAAACCCCCCACCGGCTCGACCGCTCCCACTCCGCTCATTGCCACCCACCGCCCCGCTCCAAAACGTCAACTGGAAACTATGTCTCAAAAACGCGGGCTCAATCGTGATCTGCCTCGTCGCAGGTGTCATCCTGTACCGTCTCGCCGTCCCTCCCCTCTTATACATGAACACAATCTTCCGCCCCAGCCCGGTTCCTTTCACCGTGAACGTGGCCGTATTGGAGGTTGCGAATGTAAGTACCGCGGGCGTGAAGAGGAGGTCTTGGCCGTAGAGGTGGATCCGGAGCCGGGGGTCCGGGAAGGGGATGGAGATGGATATGGGCGGGGAGGTATGTTTTAAGGTGAGGCGCGAGGGGAAGGGTGGGATGGTCAGGTCGTCGTCCGGTGTCCCGTTAGTGTCCACTTCGTTCTCATCGGCGCGTTCAGCGGGTTCGTCGGCTGCGTCTTCCTCATTATACGGTTGCGGGTGATGGTGTGGGTCGGTTTCCACATACGCGTCCTCTGCTGCCGCATGATGCGAATGACTGTGGAAAACGGGCCTCCGCTTGCCCCCATACACCACCTCCCCCTTGCTCCCCCCACCCCCGCCAGCAACCTCGACCAAAACGCCCACCTTGCCCCCCGCATCCGCATCCACCTCCGCCATCTCCACCTTCTCCCTCCGCACACTGTCATACACCTCCGCAAGCGTCGTCGTACTGATCCCCGTCGAATACGGCAACGGCACCCCGTTGTACCCGCCCGCGGCGACCGCTTCGGCTCTGATGGTCGTCCGGAACCTGTCGATGAATTCACGAGAGGTGACGCGGGGTGGGGGCGCGGGGTGGGTGTCGTCTTCTACGACTGTGGTGGGGCTCGTTGCGGAGGAGGATGTTGGGTAGGTGTTGTGGAGATCCGCGTTGAGTTCCATGACGGCGAACACGAGGCGGAGGATGATGTTGGGATGCAGATCAGCCGTATGCCCGCGTCCGTCTTTATTGGCGTGGAACCACTGCCGAGCGAACGCGTCGAGCATGCGGTCGATCACCGCCGTATCGCCCGGTAACCTCATGGTCGACAAGAACAGCCGTAGTGACTCGTCTATCCGCTGGTTCTTGAAGGGGAAGGTGGAGAGGAACGCTTGCAGGATGTCCGCGTGTTCCAGGACGCCGAGGAACCGGCCCAGCTGTCGTTTGTTCAACCCGGGGGTGACGTGCAGGAAATGCGCGATGGCGTCCGGTGTGCACGGAAACGCTCGTTTGGCGAGTATATACGCAATAGCTTTGATCGGGTTCGCTCCAAACTTCTTCACAGTGGTTCGGACGGCCGGGGACGGTACACGTGCAGTATAATTCCACCGTTCATCCTTAAGCACCAGCTGCGCGTTATGGTTGGTCGTGTTCAACGGCATGATGTTCTTGATCTGGTATGTGGAGTTGAGCGGGTTGATGGGATCGTCCGAGAGTTGTTTGGCGATGACCAGCATGTCGGTGAAGAGGAATAGGTAGCGGTCTTTGACGGTGCTGGTGGTGATGACCTGCCAGGCGCGGCCTTGGTGGAGGAACTTGCGGGATGGTTCGAGGAGGGGGAGCGGGGGGATGCTTGAGGAGGATGTAGAGCAGGATTCCGATCGGGATATGTAGGTGGATGATTCTAGTAAGCCGTCAATTGGTACCATCATTGCCAGTACCGATCCCGAGGTACTATACGACACGTTGTCGAGTCTAGTCGGTTCTACCGGCCTGTCCCCAGCGACCCGCGGCGTCGGAGGCTCCGAAGCCGTGTCGAGTTGCGCGACAGCCGAGCGCTGGTGCGTATACAGCTGCGGCAACAACCTCTCCTGCCCCGAATCCAACGACGACCCAAACCTCGCAGCCGCTACATCACTACGAGCAACCTTTGTTTTCCGAATAGTCAGTAAATCCGGCGTCTTCGCTCGTGTCCTGCTCTCGTTCAACTCCGGGGTGGATGTTTTCCGCACGCCGACAATATCTGCCGTAACTGATCCTTTGCGCGCACCGACGATCTCTGGGGTCGACCCTTTACGCAGGGCGAGGATCTCCACAGCAGAGCCCTTTCTCGACCCACGCTCTGGTATTGAGCCTTTGCGCACGGGAAAGTCAGGTGCTAACGAACGTTTGCGGGCGTCTGCGCTCAGATTTCTTCCAGGTTCGGTATCCTCACGCGTCCAGTCGAAGGGTCCGGGGTGTGGGTGTGGGGATGCAAGGGGGCTACGGGGACTGCGGGGACTGCGGGGTGGGTACTGGTTGTGGGGTTGTTCGAACGAGGGGGGGCTGATATGTAACCGCGGGCGTGGCCTTGCTGGTCGTTGTCCGCTGTTACTTCTTTCGAGCCTTTCCTCGAACCTTCCTTCGGGGGAATTCCCGACGGACCCTTGCACGTGCGCCTGCTGCTGCCATTGCAGCGTCTGCATGTGATGTTGCTGCTGATGCTGATACTGTTGCTGCTGGTGCGACATGTGCGGATGCCCCATGGGATGAGGTTGTGGCAGAATTGGCATGGGTAAGGCTGGATCAACCGCCATGGGTATCGATGTTCCAAAAAGCGCAGCGGCGCTAAGTGCTTGAGCCCTTCCGTTGATGGCAGCGGGGTAATCCTCATCCCTGTTCCCTCGCCCTGGGACTGGCACTACCATCCCACCGCCTAACGACGAAGATGAGCTGTGAACGCTTAGATTGCCTTTGTGATCTAGCCGCGTGCGGATAGGTGTCCGCGACATCGCATCGTCGCTCCCAGTGGACGGGTCATCCCCAATCATGCGGTTATCCATCGCTTCCCGAAATGCTGTGTTGGCATGCGGTCTCCGCCTCGATTCGAAAGCCGATGCACTTCGTTGGATTGGTTCTGACCGAGTCGGCGCTGAATTTGAGGTCAAATCCTGCTCATCGTCCTCGTTGTCGCTCATAGCCGCGGCGGCCATAGCGAAAGCGGCATGCACAATAGCAGCCTCACCGAATTCGGTAGGCCGTCGCGCCGACCTCCAAACCGTTTTCCGGCGCTCACTTCGCTGGCGAGCCATCGACTCCAGATCGGTGATTCGCCCCGCATCATTTGAAGCCGCCGGCGGTGCACTGCCAATCAATTTTGCGCCCCTCCTATCCTCTTCCACCTTCCTCAGTTTCCGTTCGAAGGTGGTTTCGTTGAGTTCCTCTGCCTCCTTTTGCAGTTGCAGTTCCTCCTCCTTCCGCCGCAGCATAACTGATATCCGCTCCATTTGCGCCAACCCCTGGTAGCCTGCTGGATACAGTAAGGGCGCCGGTGGACTAAAGCTCGGCGTAAAGTCAGCAGCTGGTTGCGTGTGGATGTTGAAGTGTAAGGACGTCGTTGGCGGTGGATAGGAGAGGGCGAATTCGTGCGGCTGGGTGTGGTGGTAGCTTGAAGGTTGAGCAGGCAGCGGAATAGACGACGTAGGGCTCCACGGACCAGGAGAGACTAGTTCGTCCAGTGTGAGCTTCCCCTGGCTGCTGGGTATGGACAAGGAGGAAGGTACAGCGGCGGTTGCTGCCGCTGCGACTGCTGGAGCTCCTGCCTCTTTTCGTTCTGTGCCTCGTTTTCTGAGAAACCCTACAGCCGCCGCCCTGTTGTTCTGCGGCTGCGGCTGCGGCTGCGGCTGCGAGGCACCTGTTGCTGGGTTCGTTTGTTGGCTCATGCTGTGCCGAGGAACGTATGTATATGTGAGTGGGGAATGAGGCTTGCACGGCTGGGAGCGAGCGCAGTCAGCGGGAATGCCGAGGGAATGAATTGTCTTTTGCCCGCGTTGAGGTCTGGCGGGGAGTCTCAGTTCTGTGGGAGTGGTTTTGTCCAGGTTTGTATCATACAGTGCAGCGAGCGGGCGTCTATATATGTCTATAGTGCATGCAGCCACGCAGCTAGCCGGTAATGCCCGAGGTCAATGGGGGTTGGTTGTGTGTTTGGGAGAGGTGTTGTGGGGTTCAGCCGCCAGCCAGCCTGCCTCCTCCATCGTCCAGTTGCTTGCTGATGTTCGTTGTCCGTTGGAAGCGCATCCCTTTGCGCAGGGCAGAAGTCATTGGCAGAATAGGGCGATTGTGAATGACTCGTGCGGTGAGACACGCTGACACGCATCCCTCCCTCCCTGCTCGCTCCTCCCACCGGGCGTGCTTTCGCTCCCGAGTTCCTGGGCGCGCATTGGGACCCGCAACTTCAAAAGAACTACCTTGGGCCTCGGTTGCGGAGACGCCGCTGCCCAGACTCACGGGACAATGACACAATCCTCGTTGGGGGCTTTTCTGGGTTGTTGCTTTTCGTGAGGTTGCCTTCCTTGCTGCATCCCCGTCGGTTGATCCGAGTGACCGCTTTTGCCGACTCATCACAACTTCACTCGTCGCGCTGAGGCCGCTCTGGCTGCACATGCATCTCTGCGGTATATATGCATACGAGAAGGACGTAAGTATAGTATCTTCCCCGTCCCTTGTGTGCATATACTGTGCATCTCGACGCCCTGTGTGAACAATTGAACGATATCCTGAATCGTGAGCGATCATAAAATGCTTCCTTTTGCATATATGGATGTAATGCACATGCAGCCTGTGCCGACGACGGTGAGAGTAATGAATTTGAATGTATGAGAGTATCCGAAGGCATGTCCATCACAGCTGTCGATATCATGTATCCGGCGAAAGGATGGGTGGATGCCACTGGATGGGGAGCTCATCTTGAAAAACGCGTAAAAGATCTCAATAGATCTTTGCAGATGGCGCAGTCACCAACCATTTCCGCTGACATAAGCGTGACTCATACCCCTCGCATCGCCCGGGCTCGCTCCCCCTTTTCTTCAGGCCTTTTTTTCGCCTCAACTTTCCCCAATTCCGACAATCCAGTCGGCCGAAGGCACAGCGTAGTAGTAGAAAGTAGAAGGTCGTCTCACGTCTCTCTTCCGAAAACCACGTCGCTAGCCTGGAAAACCTCTCTCAAAGAAGTGTGAAGAGTCAGACCTGCGTCTCATCCTTTGCGAAAACTCCCCCACTGGGATAAAGAGGTGAAAATGACCCAGATTGAGCTCGCCCCCCCAACCCCGGCGGTTGCTGCTGATGATGTGACAACGACAACGACGGCGACTGTCACCGCAACAGCACAGCAGACCTTGGTTCCGCCGACCGCAGCTCCCCCACCCAACGCAAAAGAGCCTGTTACCGCCACTCTGCTGCTCAACGATGGCACCGCGTTTCAAGGATACTCTTTCGGAGCTGAGAAGCAGTCGGTCGCAGGAGAGTGTGTCTTCCAAACAGGTATGCTTTCCCTCCAGAAGGCAATGCTTGCTGCGACAAAAATGATGGGCTTTTGCGAGCTGCAGGAACGGTGTTCTCAACTCTGTATTCCTAGGGATGGTCGGTTATCCGGAATCCGTGACGGACCCTTCCTACCGAGGACAGATTCTTGTGTTGACCTTCCCACTCGTCGGAAACTACGGAGTCCCCTCGCGCACCGTTGTTGATGCTCATTTGAACAATTTGCAAAAGTACTTTGAATCCACCGAGATTCACGTCGCGGCGTTGATTGTCGCCCACTATTCATACGACTACTCTCACTACTTGGCACAATCCTCCCTTTCCGAATGGTTGAAGGAAAACAACGTGCCCGCTCTTTACGCCATCGACACTCGCGCGTTGACAAAGAAGATCCGCACAAAGGGTGCCCTGCTCGGCAAAGTCCTCTTCCCTAAAAGTCTCGTCGGCGAAGGCGAAAAGCCTGACGCCGAAGAAGCCGCGCGTTTTCCTTGGATCAAAGATTTCTCCGATCTTGCGTGGCACGACCCCAACACCCGTAACCTCGTCGCTGAGGTCTCGCGCAAGCAGCCTGTCGTTTACACTCCTCCTTCGGACCAAGCCAACATCGTCAGAAAGAAGAACGGAAAGATTCTCCGCGTGCTTGCCGTTGACGTCGGGCTGAAAAACAACCAGATCCGATGCTTTATCAAGCGAGGTGTGGAAGTCAAAGTCGTTCCCTGGGACTACGACTTTATCTCTGGCGACCGTGACTTTGACGGTATCTTCATCAGCAACGGGCCTGGTGATCCGGTCACGCTGAAGCCAACCATTGAGCGCCTGGCTCAGCAAATGAAGTTGGCCGATAAGCCCATGTTTGGTATCTGTCTCGGACACCAGTTGATCGCCCTGGCCAGCGGCGCGACCACCAAGAAAATGAAGTACGGAAACCGTGGACACAACATCCCTTGCACAAACAAGCAGACCGGTCGCTGCTACATCACATCTCAGAACCACGGTTACTGTGTCGATGTCGCGACACTAACCCCCGGATGGGTCGAATACTTTGTAAACGCCAACGACGGCTCGAACGAAGGAATCACCCACGAGACTCTACCCTACTTCAGCGTACAGTTCCACCCCGAATCCACTCCTGGTCCCTGGGACACGGAATACCTGTTCGACAGATTCATCAAGTCTGCCGAGGACTGCGCAAACGCCGGAAAGCTCCTCCCCTTGCCTGCCGAACCCAAGCCCCCGGCAGCTATCAGACAACGACCGCGAAAGGTCCTGATTCTCGGCTCAGGCGGTTTGTCGATCGGACAAGCCGGTGAATTCGACTACTCCGGTTCCCAGGCCATCAAGGCGCTGAAGGAAGAGGGCATCTACACGATTTTGATCAACCCCAACATCGCCACCATTCAGACCTCGCAAGGTCTTGCGGATAAGGTTTATTTCTTGCCTGTGACCCCAGACTTTGTCCGCAAGGTCATCAAGCACGAGAAGCCTGACGGTATATACTGCACGTTCGGTGGACAGACAGCGCTGAACGTTGGTGTGAAGCTGAAGGATGAGTTTGAGGAGCTTGGAGTTACTGTTCTTGGTACGCCTATCAGCACCATTGAGGTTACTGAAGACCGTGACCTGTTCGCCCAAACTATGGCGGAGATTGGGGAGAAGTGCGCCAAGAGTGAAAGTGCCAATACCATCGAGGAAGCCATGGCTGCCGGAACGCGCATCGGGTTCCCTCTGATCATCCGTGCAGCGTACGCACTCGGCGGTCTAGGCTCCGGCTTCGCAGACAACGAGCAAGAACTGCTCGCCCTCTGCACAAAAGCCTTCGCCACCTCCCCCCAAGTGCTCGTAGAGCGCTCCATGAAAGGATGGAAGGAGATCGAGTACGAGGTTGTCCGTGACGCGAGCGACAACTGCATCACGGTCTGCAACATGGAGAACTTTGATCCGCTCGGAATCCACACCGGAGACTCCATCGTCGTTGCGCCCTCCCAGACGCTGTCCGACGAGGATTACATGATGCTCAGGCGGACGGCCGTCAATGTCATTCGTCATTTGGGTGTCATTGGGGAATGTAACATCCAGTACGCGCTCAACCCGGTGTCGAAGGAGTACTGCATCATCGAGGTGAACGCGCGTTTGTCGAGGAGTTCCGCGCTCGCTAGTAAGGCTACGGGTTACCCACTGGCGTTCGTCGCTGCTAAACTTGGGCTCGGGATCCCGCTTACGGAAGTCAAGAACAGCGTCACGAAGAAGACCATTGCGTGCTTTGAGCCGTCATTGGACTATGTTGTGGTCAAGATCCCGCGATGGGATTTGAAGAAGTTCAACCGTGTCAGCACGAAAGTCGGAAGCGCCATGAAGAGTGTGGGCGAGGTCATGGCCATCGGCCGGAACTTTGAAGAGACGATCCAGAAAGCTATCCGGTCCGTTGACTATGCACTGGCCGGTTTCGCCGAGAACGATATTGTGCACGCCGATCTGGACGAGGAATTGCGGCACCCGTCTGACCAGCGCTTGTTTGCCGTCGCGAAGGCTCTGCACAGTGGGTATAGCGTTGACCAGATCTGGAAGCTTACCAACATCGACAAGTGGTTCTTGAACAAGCTGAAGGGGATTGTCGACCTCGACAAGCATATGGCCACTTTGACACCCAGCACCGTGACGCCGTCCCTGATCAAGTTCGCCAAGCAGACGGGGTTCTCTGACCGTCAGATCGCCGATGCGATCGGCACCACAGAGTTGGGGGTGCGAAAGATCAGGACGGACTGGGGCATCACCCCGTTCGTCAAGCAGATCGACACGGTCGCCGCCGAGTTCCCTTGCTACACGAACTACCTGTACATGACGTACAACGCCGCCGAGCACGATGTGAGTTTCGAAGACAAGGGCGTCATGGTCCTCGGATCCGGAGTCTACCGCATCGGGAGCAGTGTCGAATTTGACTGGTGCGCCGTGCGTTGTATCCGCACCCTCCGCGAGTACGGGATCAAGACCATCATGGTCAACTACAACCCCGAGACGGTGTCCACGGACTACGACGAGGCCGACAGGCTCTACTTTGAGACCCTGACCCTCGAGCGTGTGCTGGATATCTACCAGATCGAGACCGCCAACGGAGTCGTCGTCTCCATGGGCGGGCAGTCTCCCAACAACATCGCCTTACCTTTACACCGCATGAACGTCAACATCCTCGGAACCAGCCCGGAGATGATCGACAGCGCAGAGAACCGGTACAAGTTCTCTCGGCTCTTGGACAAGATCGGCGTCGACCAGCCGCTGTGGAAGGAACTGACTTCCATCGACGAAGCGACGCAGTTCTGTGAGAAGGTCGGATTCCCTGTGCTTGTCAGGCCGTCGTACGTCCTCTCGGGGGCGGCGATGAACGTCGTGTACTCCCTGAACGATCTGAGGAGCTACCTCGACCTCGCCGTGCAAGTCTCGCGCGACTACCCCGTCGTCATCTCCAAGTTCATTGAAGAGGCCAAGGAGATCGAGATGGACGCTGTTGCGCATAACGGGAAGCTTATCATGCACGTCATATCCGAGCACGTTGAGAACGCCGGTGTGCACTCTGGTGATGCCACACTGGTCTTGCCGCCCCAGGATCTGGACCCGGAAACGGTCCGCAAGATTGTGGACGCAACGCGCAAGATCGGACAAGCTTTGAACGTCACGGGACCGTACAACATCCAGTTCATTGCAAAGAACAACGAGATCAAGGTTATTGAGTGTAATGTCCGTGCGTCGCGGTCGTTCCCGTTCTGCTCAAAAGTGCTCGGCGTCGACTTGATTGAGCTCGCTACCAAGGCGATGACGGGACAGACTTATGAAGCGTACCCACCCGTCGAGACCCGCAGCGATTATGTGGCTATCAAGGTGCCCCAGTTCAGTTTCTCGCGGTTGGCGGGCGCTGACCCCATCTTGGGTGTCGAGATGGCGTCTACTGGCGAAGTCGCTTGTTTCGGACGTGACAAGTACGAGGCGTACATGAAGGCTCTGCTGGCCACCGGGTTCACCGTCCCCAAGAAGAACGTCCTGATCTCTATTGGGAGTTTCAAGGAGAAGTTGGAGTTCTTGCCGTCAGTGCAGAAACTGCATCAGTTGGGATACAACCTCTTTGCGACCACCGGTACCGCCGATTTCATCCAGGAGCACGGGATTCCCGTGCAGTACCTCGAAGCGCTGGACGACTCCACCGCACACCTCCCGCAACAGAAGCTGGAATACAGTTTAACCCAGCACCTGGCCAACAACCTCATCGACCTGTACATCAACCTCCCGTCCAAGAACCGCTTCCGTCGTCCCGCCAGCTACATGAGTCGCGGGTACCGGTCCCGCCGTATGGCCGTCGACTTTGCGGTGCCGCTCATCACGAACGTTAAATGCGCAAAACTCTTCATCGAAGCCCTTGGCAGGTGGAGCGGGATCGACGAGTTCCAGGTCAGCGAGATCGACTACCAGACCAGTTTCCGCACCGTTCGTCTCCCCGGTTTGATCAACGTCAGGAGCCTGCTGGATGTCGAAGGGGCGGGCGACCTGAGCTCCATCACCAAGGACGCCGTCAGCGGCGGGTTCACCATGGTCTGCGGTGTCGGCGAGCAGAGCAGCGTGAAGAAGGGTACACGCGCGCACTGCGATTACGCCGTCTCCACCATCGCCACCTCCGCCAACGTCAACAAGATCCAGCTGGGGACCAACACCTCCATGAGTCTGTACATTGGGCTCGGGAAAGGCCGGTTGGAGAAACTGACCGATTTGGCGGCCCATCTGCATAACTGGCCCCGTGATAGCCCGATTGTTGCGTGTGCTAAGGAAACGGATCTTGCGTCTGTGCTCTTCCTTGCTAACTTGCACAGCCGGCCTATCCATATCACCAACCTCCGCACTGCCGCCGATATCGCGCTGATCGTCCTCTCGAAGGAGAAGGGGGTGGAGGTCACCTGCGATGTTTGTGTTGAGACTTTGTTCTTGGACCCGAAGGAGACAGGCGTTGAGCAGGCGGATGTGAATGCGTTGTGGGAGAATCTGGAGCATGTGGATGTGTTCTCTGTTCTTGGCAGGGAGACGACCAATGCGCTGCCGCGGTTGCTTTCGGCGGTTGCGGATGGACGGCTCACCGTGGATGATATCACGGCGAAGTTGTATGAGAATCCGAGCAGAATCTTTGGTGTGCCGTCGCAGAAGGATACTTACGTCGAGGTGAGTTTGTCTGATGCATTCTTCCTAGGGTGAGGGTAGGATACTAATAGTAGAATGCAGGTTGAGATCCAAAGGAAGTTAGAGGTCGGCACCGGCGGTTTCGTCAGCCGCGTCGTGCTGCGCGGCGAGACCGTCTACCTCGATGGGACAACGATCGAGGGACCCGCCGGAAAGGATATCACCGGATCCGTTCGCATTGCTGCTGCTCCCATTGTGCAGCGTGACAGCCGGAAGATGTCGGTCATGATGGACCTGTTGCCCCGCAAGGAGACGGCGGCACTCCCTGTCCCCAAGAGCCCCAGCCGCGTGCGGTCGTCGGACGGGGAGAGCAAGAGGTCGTCGACTGAAGGATTGGATTCGGACGCTGCATTGGACAAAACACCCAACAGGGATTTGTTTGATGCAGGAAAGGGAAAGAAGAGTGTTGGCGCAGACCTCAACCCAAGCAGCCAATACATCTCGGACTACCTGTCGAGCTCCGCCTCCGCAGCCGTCGCCAAGTCGCCTTTCTTCCGCAAACACATCCTGTCCGTCAAGCAGTTCACCCGCCACGATCTCCACATGCTCTTTGGAGTCGCGCAGGAGATGCGCACCCTCGTGGAGCGATTCGGAACCGTCAATTTGCTCGCCGGCAAGGTGATGTGTTCGGCGTTCTGGGAGCCCAGCACGCGCACCAGCTGCTCCTTCACGGCTGCGTTCCAGAGGCTCGGCGGATCCGTCGTCAGCATGAACGAGGAAAACAGCTCGGTCAAGAAGGGAGAGTCGTTGGGTGACACTGTGCGGACGCTCAGCTGCTACGGAGACGTTATTGTCATGCGCCACCCTGCCCCCGGAAGTGCGCAATTGGCGTCCACGTACGCGACCGTGCCCATCCTCAATGCGGGAGATGGCGTCGGCGAGCACCCCACCCAGGCCTTCTTGGACACGTTCACGATCCGTGAAGAGCTGGGAACCGTCAACGGCCTGACGGTGACGATGGTGGGAGACTTGAAGAACGGCCGCACGGTGCACAGTCTGGTCCGTCTGCTCGCTCTCTACGACGTCAAGCTCAACTTTGTCTCCCCACCCACCCTCCGCATGCCCGAGGAGATCAAGGCGGAGGCCTCGAAAGCCAACCTCGTGTACAACGAGTACAACTCGATCGAGGAAGTCATCGCCACCACCGACGTCCTGTACGTGACGCGCATCCAAAAGGAGCGATTCGACTCGGTCGCCGAATACGACGCCGTCGCGAACGCATACGTGATCACCAACAAGACTCTGCAGAGCGCGAAACGCAACATGATTGTCATGCACCCGCTCCCACGCGTCGCTGAGATCCACCCCGAGGTCGATTTCGACCAAAGGGCTGCGTACTTTAGGCAGATGCGGTATGGCCTGTTTGTGAGGATGGCGCTGTTGGCGCTGGTCTGTGGGAGGAGCAACAACTAGAGAGATGGGGGCGCGGGGGAGGGAACGTTGGGACGGTATACACAACACAGAGAGAGACGCAGGTCGGCGTTTTTTTTTTAGGTTCCCCAAGCTAGAATTTTGTAGGAAAGGACTGATATTCTGACGACTTGTGAGGCTACACTGCTGCCGCCTATGTATTATTTTTTTATTCATCTCACTGCATCGGGTTCAATACATTTCTTTTTTGCACTGAGCTCTTTCTTTCTGCGTGGGGGTTCTTTCGTTGCCACTGTGTGGAGTGTTGGGTGTTGAGATGGCATGTGCGAAGAGAAGACGCGGCGCGCGGAACAACCCTCTGCGCTCTCACCCAACCCACCCACATTCCACTCCATTCCGCTATAAGCAACACAACAATGGCCGCCCCAACGTCCGTCACCGCTCCAGCAACGGCCCTCGAGCCATACAAGCTCCACACGGACGCCGACTTCCCACCGCTGAAGAATGATCTTATCTTGCGGGTTATCCGTGGCGAGGACGTCGAGCGGGTGCCGGTGTGGATCATGCGGCAAGCTGGCCGCTACCTGCCAGGTGGGTTTGCCAAAACAAGGGGTGCCCGGGAACGAGAGCGCATCTGTTCGGGGGTCACCTAAGCAACTGGGCGGCATATTGTTAACCGCCTCTCACTCGCCAGAGTTCCGCGAAGAGCGAGCGAAACATGATTTCTTCACCGTCTGCCGCACGCCCGCCCTCGCGTGCCTCGTCACCCTGCAGCCCATCGACCGGTACGCCGGGCTGCTGGACGCCAGCATCATCTTCAGCGACATCCTCGTCATCCCGCAGGCGCTCGGGCTCGAGGTCCAGATGCTCCCCGGCAAAGGGCCGCATTTCCCCGAGCCGCTGGTCGACCCGTCCCATCTCGGCCGATTGAAGACGGATGTGGATGTCGAGCGGGAGCTGCGATATGTTATGGAGGCGATCACGTTGACGAGGAAGGGGTTGGAGGGGCGGTGTCCGTTGTTTGGGTTCGTGGGCGCGCCGTGGACGTTGATGGCGTATATGATTGAGGGTGGGGGGAGTAAGAACTTGAGTAAGGCGAAGACGTGGTTGGGACGGTGGCCGGAGGAGAGTAAGGAGCTGCTGCAGAGGGTGACGGATGTGGTTGTGGATCATCTGGTTGCGCAGGCTAAGGCGGGTGCTCAGGTGAGTTGCCGTCTGACTGAACGATTTGGGAAGGCTGCGGACGGCCTCTCTCTCTCTCTCCCTAGGCATCCCCGTTCACTCCATCGTTTCCCCTTCCCCCCTTTGTGATGTCCAGCTCCTCCAAGTCTTCGAATCCTGGGCCGGCGAACTCTCCCCGGACTATTTCGCAACCTTCGCGCTCCCCTACCTCCGCCAAATCCCCACCCGCGTCCGCGCCGCCCTGCACACCCTCTCCCCGACCCTCTCCCAAATCCCCATCGTGGTCTTCGCCCGCGGCGCCCACTATGCCCTCGAATCCCTCTCCGCCCCGGGGATCCACTACGACGTCATCTCGCTGGACTGGACCATGGACCCCGTCGCTGCACGGAACCGGGTCGGGGAGACCATCACGCTGCAGGGGAACGCGGACCCGTGTCTGCTGTACGCGCCCAAGGAGACGATCAAGAAGGAGACGAGGCTGATGCTGGAGAAGTTTGGGACGAGGAGGCGGTATATTGCGAATCTGGGACACGGGATGTTGCCGGATCATGACCCCGAGCATTTGAGGGCTTATTTGGAGGCTATCGTACGTTGGGACTACCACCCCTCTCTCTGTCTTGTTCATTTTTTCTGTTATATCCGCCCGTGAAACTCATCACTATTGTCGTTCCTTTCCAACAGCGCGACGTGTCTTCCGAACTCAATGCGTGAGGCCCCCATGCCTCGCTTCCCAACACGTAGGATTCTAAATAGTCTCCCCATGTACAAGAGTATTCGAAAAACCCAACGTGGATAGATCGTAGTTAGTGCCCCCTCTATCTTATGCATGGTCCACAATCCCCTCGCTCTGCCCAGTCATATCATCCATAATCCTGTCCGCAAGATCCCTTACCTAGAAATAGAAGAAGAAAAAAAAACAATCATCGCATCAAGCCCTTTGCCCCATGATCCCTAGTCCCTCAACCCATCACGAATGTAAAAAAAAAAAAACGAATGCAGTGGTGCCCTGATACATACATGCTCCGGCCTAGCCAAAATCCCTCGAATCCTCCTCCTCTCCCTAGCCAACTGCTCATTCAACCCCTGCACCAACCTCATCCGTTCCCTCGCGGCCTCCTCCATGCTCGCCCTCCACCCCCTCTGCAGCATCCTGCTGCGCCTCACCGAGTCGGCGATGAGGGAGCGGTACGTCGGGGAGTCGGGCGGCGGCGGGGGGGAGCGCAGGACCTCGGTGCGGTGGATGGGGAGGGTGCGGCGTTCGGATTTGCCGACGTAGCGGGAGATGATCGAGGTCGTCGCGTTGGCGTCGAAGAGGACCCGGCGGGTGACGGGCAGGGTGTTGGGGTGGGCTGAGGGCTTAACGAGGGGGTGAGAAAACGGGTTGTCTGCATAGGATAGGTTATGAAGGTTACCAGTGATGTGAGAGCGCCTTTGGGGTTGTCTTGCGCGGTGTCGGCGCCGCTCATCAGATCCAGGAAGTTTTGCTCTACACGACCCAACACGGGGTTCAGTTGCCTCACATCCCCTCGAACCCCCTTTCCGTCCCCCTCCATTTTGCCTCGAGGCATACCACCCACCCTGATCCTTCCGGCCCTCCTTGTTCACGGTCGACTTGTTCAACCGGGCCGACCGCACCCCTTGCGTCCACCCGCTCGCAAACGTCGGCCGCATGCCCACGATCCATTCCGACAGTACGTCGGCGATGGAGACGGCGAAGGCGGGGTCGAAGTTGGGGAGGGAGTCCGGGAAGCAGTCGGTGAAGGCGAGGGTGGTGGATTGGCTTATTAGATTTGTGTAGAGCTATGCCAAGAAATGGATGATAAGGGGGTTTTTTCGACATTCAGCGCGGGGGAGAGGTGGGAAGGAGGGAGGTAGGGAACTTACGAAGCTGAGCTCGTCACGGTCTCTAGAGGCGGTTTGCAAGAGGATCTGGACATAGTTCTGCGCGATCCGGCCGAACAGCTGGTCTTTCAGACTCTCCGTCTCCTTCTCCCAGATCTGTGTCTCCTTCAGCTTGGCTTCCTTCGCCTCAGCATCATCATCACCCGCAGGAGAAAGCTCGCTGCACCTCATCGACGACGCATCCCTCTCCAACCCATTCGGCTTCGCCGTTTCCGGCGCGCCACCACCCCGAAACCGGTCCAACCAAATCCACCAGAAGTAATCACACAGAATATGTTCCGTCTGCTCCAACGCGATTTTGGCCCGGAAGCGCGGGCGGTTGACTGTTGGCGCGAGGTTGTGGCCTTGGGAGATGGCGCGGGTGAGGGTTTTGCGGGGGGAGATGCCGTGGGGTAGGAGGTGGGAGGCGTTGGGGAGGCCGGGGAAGGATGCTTGCTGTTTTGTGGGGTGTGAAGACGTTTTTTTAGACTTTTGGGAAGGGGTGGTTTTATGTGTGAGCGATCTTTTGGGGGGTTTACCTCGACGGTTCGGACGAGCCGAGCTGGGGGGTGCACGTATTCTTTGACGTTCTTGTTTTCTGTGGGCTGGTCTGGTACCTCAGTCAAGAACACTTTTGCGGAAATCAAGTATCAGCTAATACTCCAACATCCAAGCCCATTTGGGTCGCTATCGGTGCCGAAAGGGCATACCTGAATCGAATATGCGATTGCCTGCAGCTATGCTCATCGGGCCTCGTTCTTCTTCATGCAACTGCAGCTTGACGTCGATCGCAAAGTCCGACAGGCGGAGATCGGTCGCGATCTTTTGGATGCGGGTGTTCAACTCGTCCAATTGCCATCTGCTTACGCCTACGAACGATATGTGGGAAGTCACTTTCCAACGCTCGCCGCTCGGCCACTTTGTTCCCTCACACCCGTACATAAAAGATGCGAGTTCTTACGTTTTATGCCAGTGACTCGCGCACATGTCCCCTCCGCCCCATCACCATCTACAGATTGAACACTGCCCATTTCAGCGTCAGAAAACAGACGAGGATAAAAAACGTGGCAAGCGCGCAATCTAACCTTGATCAAAGATAGGAACATCGACCCTCGGCCACACATCCTTGGGAAGCATTGCGCCCGTGTCGCCGTGGTGGGCGGTGATGAGTGCCGCTGTATCGCTTGGTGGGCGATGTATGGCCGCAGTGCTTTCGTCTTTCCACTCTAGGGTGTGGTTGTCGCGGACTTCGTAGAAGCCCACGTCTGGGGACGAACCCCCCAAACGGAAATCCTCAGCTTGGGGTTCATTTTCGGCCCTGTCCAGTTCTGGCGCTTCCATGATATTTCTCTCCATCTACTACAGCGTCCCTTCGGAATAATATGTTCTAGCTATTAGTGGTCCGAATTGGAGGTCAGAGGCAGGCGGGAAGCCCTCCTCCGCCTATGGAAGGTGGAAGACCTTAAGCTCCGGGTGAGGAAGCAACTCTAAGGGATACATGCTTTCTCTCCTCCTCAGGGCCTTTTTCGAGTTTGGGAAGAAAACAAGGTTTTACGCCTAACGTTGTGTCGTAGTGTCTCGTGGAAGGAAGCGGGGCGGGCAACGAGTGGGAATGTTCTGCGTGGTGACCTCACGCGCCCCTCGACTAACTAGTACTAAGTAGTAACTAGTCCTCCCTTTTCGCCCCGTCACCCCCTCGTCATACACTAGCCCTTCGCTGAACTTACTCGGCGTCGCTGCATTATCGTGGCCTAGACGGATAAAGCCAGTCCTCGCCTTTTCTCCTTCTCAGCTTCCCTGATCTGCATACACCCCAGCCCCCCCCCCCCCCCCCCCCCCCCTGCTTACTCACTTTTTGCGCCTGCTATTCCCAATCCACGATGGGCCACTACATCACACTCGCAACTTGCGTCCTCGTAAGTATATAACCCCTCCCAGAGAGAGCTGCGTCGAAAGTCTTCTTAGTCTAAACCCCTTTGAACTCCATCCAGAACCAATGGGCCTTGGACTTTCAGGGGAACTACGAGAGGATACTCGAAAGTATCAGGCTGGCGAAAGAGGCCGGCGCTAGATATCGTCTGGGGCCGGAACTAGAGATTACGTATGTAAGGGAATGCGAGAGAGCCATGAGCTTTGGTTCGGATGGCGACCGTCAGATCCATTAGCGAGCGGAGCGAGCAGCGTATCGTTCAACCATCCATTGCCTATCCAAACCAACCAACCAACTTTCGCTTCGCTCCATAAACTTCCCGCTGACTTATTATCACCTCTTGATCTGCTGCACAGAGGATATGGATGCAACGACCACTTTTACGAGGGCGACACGTACCTCCACTCTTGGGAAGTCCTGGCGAAGCTTTTGGAAGACGATGTCTGCCAAGACATGCTTATCGACGTTGGAATGTGAGCCGTCCATTCTCTTCCAACGACCATTTGAAGTATTGGTTTGACACCCCCATCCCATCCCAGGCCCGTCGCCCACAAAAACGTGAAATACAACTGCCGCGTCATCTTCTTCAACAAAAAGATTCTTCTCATCCGGCCCAAAATGTTCCTGGCCAACGACGGCAACTACCGCGAAATGCGTTGGTTCGCCTCATGGAAGAAGTATCGCCAAGTCGAGGATTTCTACCTGCCCCGCCTCATCCAGAAAATCACGGGACAGCACACCATCCCCTTTGGCGACGCCGTAGTCGCCACGCGCGACACCGTCCTCGGCACCGAGCTCTGCGAGGAGTTGTTCACCCCGGACAGCCCCCACATCCACCAGGCTCTAGACGGGATCGAGATCTTCACAAACAGCAGTGGAAGCCACCACGAGTTCCAGAAGCTCGACACCCGCATCGATTTGATCCGTGGCGCGACGCGCAAGTCGGGCGGGATCTACCTGTATGCCAACCAGCAAGGGTGTGACGGTGAACGGGTCTACTATGATGGAGGTGGTTTGATCCTCATGAACGGCGAGATCTTGGCGCAGGGGACACAGTTCTCCCTCAAGGACATTGTATGTTTCCAACGTCTTCTACTATGGGTCTGACTGAGTAACACACATGGCAGCTCACATTCTATACCCCGCGTCGACTCAAGGAAGTGGTGACCGCAACAATGGACATCGAGGAAGTCCGATCGAAACGTGGAGACCAACCCAGCCGCATGAGTCAGGCTTCCATGGCGCCCGCCTACCCGCGCGTCTACGCAGACCTGGCTTTGACGCAGGATATCTTCCTGGATGGTCAAATCATACGGCCCACTGACGCTCGACCACCGTTTTATCACACCCCTGAGGAGGAGATCCGGTAAACTGCGATAGTCGTGAGTTTTTTCACCCCTTCTCATGTCTCTGAGGTCGTTGACTCGCCTTCTCGACCTCGTAGATACGGCCCAGCATGCTGGCTCTGGGACTACCTCCGCCGCTCCAAATCCGGCGGCTTCTTCCTCCCGCTCAGCGGCGGGCTCGACAGCTGCTGTACGGCCATCATCGTCTATTCCATGTGCGATCTGGTTTGCAAGGCTGCCAAGAATGGAGGTGAGAATCGGCCATTGTCGACTGGAGTGTGGCAAGGTGAATCCTCTGACTCCCATCGCATTCGCATTGAGCAGAGAAACAAGTGATAGCCGACGCCCGCAGAATCGCCGGCGAGCCACCGGAATCCACCTATATTCCGGAAACACCACAGGAGTTCAGCGGGTAATTTATGCCCGTAGCACATCTCTACATCCTCACGGAAAGCTGACAACCCCCCTGTCTACTCTCGCATACATACAACAGGAGGATCTTCCATACCTGCTACATGGGCACATCCAACTCCAGCGCCGAGACCCGCGCGCGTGCCAAACATCTCGCTGAATGGATCGGCAGGTAAACATCATATCCCCCCACTCTCACGTCTCACAATGGCAATTGCCCCGACTTACACGCCATGGGGATTATGTGTTCAGTTACCATCTAGACATCAACATGGACTCGATCGTGTCCGGCTTCCTGGCCGTGTTCCAGCTTGCGACGGGGAAGGTCCCGCAGTACAAAGTCCAGGGGGGCACGGAGACGGAGAATCTGGCTTTGCAGAACATTCAGGTTCGATATTTAATCGCTTCCTGAAAGCAGTTGTTGGGCAGGAAAGTATCGTTTGGGAGGGCTGATGGGGGGGTTTTCCCATGGACAGGCGAGATCTAGGATGGTGCTTGCGTACATGTTTGCCCAACTGCTGCTGTGGATCCGGGGCCGGTTTGGCGCGCTGTTGGTGCTTGGGAGCTCTAATGTCGATGAAACGTACGTAGACACACCCTTTTCTTACCTGTGAAGGATGCCCGCGCCGCCGGAGCATGCATGGGCTGATCCTGATTATCACCCTCCCGTGTCGAAATAAAACAACAGGCTTCGAGGATACTTTACAAAATACGACTGCTCAAGCGCCGACGTCAATCCCATCGGCGGGATCAGCAAGATCGATCTGCGCAAGTTTGTCAAGTACTCGAAGACGGAGCTTGGGTTGGATATCTTGCAAGAGTATGTGCGCGGACCCACACCCCCCACCACCACCACCCGCCGCCGTGGCTAAAACATGGTTGAATTATTTCCTCACCAGATTCCTAGACGCCAACCCCACCGCGGAACTCGAACCCACCACCGCCAGCTACGTACAAGGCGACGAGGTCGACATGAAGATGACGTACGAGGAGCTCTCCATCTACGGCACGCTCCGGAAAGTCGGCAAGAGCGGCCCGTTTGGCATGTTCTCCAAGCTGTTGCATCAGTGGGGTCATATCCTGTCGCCCAAGGAGGTAAAAAACAAAAATCATGCCTGTCATTCATTCCCATCAGACTGATTCTCCATTGATGATGATTAGATTGCGGAGAAAGTAAAGACCTTCTTCTTCTACTACTCCATCAACCGGCACAAAACCACCATCCTCCCACCGTCGTACCACATGTCGCACTACTCCCCGGACGACAACCGGTTCGATCTCCGCCCGTTTTTGTACAACTCGGCGTGGACGTGGCAGTTCAGGAGGATCGACGAGGGCGCCGAGGCGGTTACGAGGATGGCGGGGGAGAATCCGGTGGAGGGGAGGGTCGGGGGTGCTGCTGCGAAGACAGGGTGATTGAACGGAACCGCTGAGGTCGGGTGGACATTTGGACGCCGTAGGAGTTTTTTTCTTTTCATTTTTTCATATATGTTGCGATTTTATGTACATAAACATACACAGTAGAATGCCCGAATCAGCGTGCAGTGTGCCCCGATGTGTGTGTGGCATGGCAGCTCCTGTATCTTCCCCCGTCAAAATTGCTGGTGTCGCTCAGAATCCCCGTTCAGCTTCCTACGTCCGCTAGTTCGCGGCGCTGATATATTGCACTGCGAATGAAGAGGGGAACGACATATGAGCCGCTTTCACATCCGGCCCCAATGCATACGATCGGCGTGGGACCCCTACCGTTATTCCCCCGGATGAAACAATCCCCGTATCTGTTCTTCAGCTGCCCGTTCACATACTCCTCGGTATCCTCCAACGCTATGTTCTGCAAGATCGTTTGTGTGAGTAGACCAAGTCCTTCCTCTCTCCACAGGAATCGAAACTGTACACTGTCGTACCATGTATCCGTCAAGACATGCCAACCGGCCTACATAGGGCGACAGAAACAAGGGGGGTAAGCAAGATTGGAACCGCCGCGCCGCACAACGTCGAAAAAGGGATATACAGACCACGGTAATTGACGCCGGAGTTAAGCTTGACGATGACGGGCTGGCCAATGACGTTGTTGAGGAAGTCCGTGGGGGATTTCAGCTTTGCGGATGGCTGGGGGTGGTTCATTGTTGGGGAGGGCCGTGCGGCTGGTGCGTGAATGGGATGGTTGAAATGTCGCAGCGGGCAGGAAGAGTCTTGCCTGACACGGGCAAACGCGGGGACGACCTGAACCGACATGAACCTGACATGAACCATTCACGGCATCGACTCGATTTGGACCGTTGCTTCTGAATTGCATTCCCACGTTTCACTCACCCCACAACAGCAACACACACACACACCCCCGCGACGAACTCATCCCCGCAGCAATGTCGCCCCTCATCCGCGCCGTCGCCCGCTCCTCCAGGCCGCTGGCCGTTGTTACCCGCACCCGGGCGTTTTCGGCGGCTGTCGTGACACGGCAAGGTTCGTTTTGGGGCGGTGGGGGGCTGGGCCGTTCGCGTAGCGGTTGTTAGCGGCGTGGAGGGGATGGAGAGGCCGGCTTGGGGAGCGCCGGGGGGTGCAGGGGTGGGGAGGATTTGGATGTTGGAGTGTGTGGGGAATGGGGATGCGGTTTGGATGGGTTGGTTGTGCGCTGAGTAGGGGCGGAGTGAACGGCTAGATGGTAGGAGGGTTGCCGTGCACCTTAGGTGGGCTGGACAGCAGGAGGGAAAACTATTATGGAGAAAGACTGGCCCTGCTATCCGACTCAATATGGTCATTTCCTGCGACCTCGACCGCAGTCCCAATGCGGGAACAAGGAAGACCCCCATATGCTAACCAAAAGCCGTTCATGCCCCCCACATAGCCACTCCCACCACCCAATCCACCCACGAAGACTCTCTCGTCGGGTTCCGGGAAGAAGGCCAGATCCCCACCAACCACGAGCTGATGACCGGCAACGAGCGCTACGAGTACCTCGCTCGTTTGGCGGGCAAGGAGCCGTGGGAGGAAATGCAGCCAATCTACCTTACTGCTCGTGGGACGACGGCGAACCCGATTGTGATTAAGGGTGCGGATCCGGAGAGATATATTGCGTGTACTGGTAGGTTTCTTGGAATGTTGTACGGCCATGTAGAAGCAATGAGCCCGCGATCTTGAAAACCCATATTACAGGCTTCCCAGCGGACTCCCATGAAGCGATATGGTTGACCATTCGTGACCATGGCAAGAAGAAGGCGGACAGGTGCCCGCACTGCGGGAATGTGTTCAAATACGACCAGGAACATAGCCACGGTCACCATTAGGAACTTTTTCTGATTGACTCTGACGAAATTACAAATACTTTATGCAAACCATGTTTCTGCGAAGTGTGCTCAATCGAAACGGCCTTGATTGTGTGAATGCGCAAGTGGACATCGGCTCTGCGAAACATCTCATCGTCGGGCGCCCGACCTGCGGTACAATGGATTCCGTCTGATGATGTGGCTCGCTCTACAGTGCCATCCGTGCAGGGACCTTTGAGGAAGTTCTAACTGCAATTAGTGAACAGGACAAGAGGGGATGCCCAGCCGGCCAAGCGAAGTTCTCCTCAAGGCGCCCAGGTCCAGATATATCTCTGCCAAAGTACACTAACTGATGCAACATGGTGGATGATGTATTTTGATGGTGACAGATGAAACACAGTCGGCTAATACAAATACACACTCTTCGTAGGAATTGCTAGCTGGCTAGGCTCTCATATCACAAGGACTTATAGATAGGAAAGTATTGCCCTACATTCGCACTAAGCCTGCGCATTCTCGAACCATCCATCAATCGCCTCAAAGAGTGACCGGCCTGTGTGTTCCCAATTCAGCCACGCCTTGGTTTTATGTGCCGTCGTCTTGTTGGAGAAGCTCATAACCATTCCCACAAATCCAAGGGGCCTCCATCGCTTGTTCTTTCGAGATGCCCCTAGTCTCATAACCGAGCGCGGACCCCAATCCTCCCTGCGATCTTCTTCACCGGCGTGCCCTCCTCCGCAACGGGGGTGAAGGAACGAACCCACAGGCGCAAGAGTCTCATCAAGAGCAAGCACGTACACCCTCGCGGCGTCCTCGAGATCCACCGACGGCCACAGCTGCGACCCATCGTTAATGTACAGTACGGCCACGTATCCGTTCCTCCTGGCCGCCCTCGCGTTGCGCATCGATGAAATCGTGAACGCGGCCCCACAATGTGCGAGACGGGCGGGCAGGCGGATGACGAAGAGCACGCACGCCCTTGGACACATACGAGAGCCGCGACCGCTTCAGCGTCGCCGCGGGGGAAGCCGGGATTAGCCGCTTTGGGACACGTCTCGTCCTCGCCGGCGGTGCCGAGCGTGCCGGAGGTCATCAAAAACGTGCGGTAGGGCGTCGCACATGGTCGTGATCGTGGCTCGGTCGTTCGCACAGGCTTCCAAGCCCTTGCCCTGTAGTACCAGACCCCAGATCGAACGATGCGTGTATGACGGCGTCTGCTTCGGAAGCTGCCCTTTGCGAGGAGGGGGAGATCCGTGTCGGTGCCGCGAACGACCGTGGCACCGAGCTTGCGGGCTTTTTCTGCCAAAGTGTCGGAACGGGCGAGTGCTGAGACCGTGTGCCCCGGCTGCTACGAGTTGGGGGATGAGGGCGCTGCCTAGCATGCCCGTTGCGCCTGTGATGAAGACCTTCATGGTAATGAACTTGTGGATGGGGCGAAGTGGGTGAAGTGGAATGCTCTGTGGTTGATGTTACAGGGAAGCAGAAGATGATACTGGAAGCGAAATCTCATGGGACCTTGGATGTTCTGGCTCCCTTTTATAGGCATCGCCGAAGCTGTGGGGGCTGCGGGCTCCTGATTGCTTTTCTTTTCTAGCCCAAAGGACGGAGAGTCCATGCTCAACCTTCACATCCAGGTCACTGGGGCCCTTCCCCCAAGGGAGTCCGGAGTTGACGGTTGATATGGACTGCAGTGTGCACAATCGCTCATTCGTTCTGCCCCATGGTGTCTATCTACATTCAAACCCACAACATTTACAGTGTGTTCAAAAATGCCGCACAGAATCAAACTGGTGCTATGCAGAAAGCTGATTCTATAGAGGATGAATGTTTCGAGAAAGCACGGAAGTTCTGCACCTATGTGCGATGCCCGTAAGCGGGTGCCTTCCAGTGATATGCTGACATCGTTCATGGTATAAAAGGTGGCTCGTAAAGGAAAGCATGTTGACATTCGCCGCTACACCGAGTCGCTTGCTCTCTCGACTTGCCCCCCATCCTCCGGAAAGACCTTCTTTGCAACCTCCGCGTCTCCCTCTTCCAAGTTTTCGCGCGAGGCACGCGAGCTAAGACTCGACGCTGATCGGATGATGCAAAGGCTCCTCCCCCTTGCACCCATGGTCACCGATTTTGGGAAATCGGACGCTAGACCACTGCCAGTAGCCGGCATGCGAGTTGCAGTTTCGCCCGATACTGTGTACACTTGTTTCAAGGTGGTTCCGAATTGTAAATTAGTCACTGCCCGCAGCAGGATGGTTGCGTTGGTAACTTGCGAATCAAAGAGTACGGGGTATCCCAAATAGATCAGGATCTAATGTTTGAGCAGAAAGGATATTATTTGACGGTTTGCGTGGTGTTGCAACATGAAAAAAGCCGTACAAAGGTACCTTAAGGAGCACATCTAGCACCACCGTCGTCCAGATGAGTCCATAATGCATCCACAATCGCCGCCAAAACTCCGCCCCAGCCGATTTTCTCACAACATTCGATGAGACAGTGCCGTTAGTGCGCACTGCAGCGCGCGCAGTCGAGAAGCGCCCCGCAGCACTCTCCGCCTTTTCCACTCTCAGGATCAAAAGCAGGTCGGATATCGTGGCCAGCACCTCCGTCGCAATCACCAGCGCTACGTTCAATGGCTTGAACACCTCCTTATTGATCGCCGACGCGTTCACCCCTTGGTGTTTCTCGATGCTCGATGGGAACCCCATATAGATGGGTATCAGGACGATGGCGGTCAATGGGTACAGCGCGAGGCAGTAGTAGGAAAGCGTCTGCGGGCGCCATTTTTGCTGCGAGACGCTGGCGAGCGCGATGAATGTGCGTATGATTGTGTTGTGGTTGACGCATCCGAGTCCGAGCTGGCTGGGTAAGCATATTAGTTATCTTTTGCATGTCGCAAGCGGCCGGAAACCAGCGACGGGCCGGTCCGTCGCGGAGAAACCAACAGAAAGGCAAGCTCGTACCTGAACTCCCCAAAATATTATCATCAATACAAAATTCTGCGCGGCAAGTAAGCGTTAGAATTATTGACTCGACACAGACCGTCAACGGCATGAAACCTCGTGTGCCCCGTGGCGAGCGCCACCGGTTGAACTGAGATGGACGTACCTGCAAGATGTACAGTTCCCCTGTTTGGTTGAGCCCCAAACTGATAACTCCGGCAACAACGACGAACGAGCAGACAAGAATCAGAAACTTTTGCCGATCTCGGTCCTTGATCACTTTTACGGACACTCCATGCTGCATGAAGTTTTGTATCGCTAGAGTGATGACCATTCCGCACACGATGGACCCGCCTTCCAGCGGGATCACATTCTTGACCGGCATCGACATGCTTGCAGGCGGTATAGTGGCTTATAGATCTTGCGCCTACGGGTTGACAATGCAGAAATGTTTGAAAAGTGGAATACGTGTGCCTTATTTTTGTGTTGCGGTCAACTGCCGAACACAAGGTCGCTGACCCTGAAATTTGGCTGCATTTACGCTTAACTACGTAGATGAAGCACAGACAAGGACCAACTCATCAAAACACGCTTTCCGCAAATCGAATTGACCGGCGAGAGCATACCTGATTCTCACTTTCTACATGGGTACCTCCATTTTAGTTCAGGCAATCCCCCGGCCTGGATGAAGTCAGGGACTCAATTTACTGAGTGACAGGATCTTTGACAGGATGGTGAGCTTGTAAAGTGATGACTCAGCACAACGCGGTCGAAACGCCCCAGTTGGTGCCGCCTGCTCCGTCCCTTGGCGTGAAGTTCACCCGCATGTCCCTGGGGCTTCTGAAGTTCAAGTTGGGCCATGTGTTCTCTGCATGGAGTTCCAAGAAGTCTGATCTGAACATACGCAGAGTCGCCCCCAGGGAGACACACGATGATGGCCGGCCCAAAGGCACGTTCGTCAATTGACTGCCGACTACCTTGGCGGGTGGGGGTTGCGGGAGCAGCAGCCGAAATACCTGACATATTGGATTGCTCATCTGGCGATTTTGGCTGCAAATAGCTCTCATAGTAGCGACTGTTCTAAAAGCCGAGTATATAAATGACGACGAGCGGGATCGTTTCCCCCTGCTCAGAAATTTGTCACTCACACATCGAACATATCGCACAACAAAAGCCTTCCATAATGCTTGCTGAACATCCCAAACTCGCTACTGTCGGAAACGGCAAACGTCCTACTGAGGAGAACAATCCATTCGCCGGCGGTACAGACAACTGGGTATGTTCACTATGATCTTCCAGGGTAGACGAACATCGACTAATGATCAATGTCTATATCTAGACTGTGCCAGAAAGTGTAAAGAAACACCCATATTTCGTTGAAGTCGAGGGTTCCATGGTCGATGCCCTATACAAATTGGACCAGAAGATGCGAGATAACAACGATCACCGTCTCATCACACACAAAAAGCCACATAGTATGTTCGGCGTCCAAGTCGAGGTATAGACAAATCTGTGTCTTCTTGAGTCCGTGTTCACTTCACGTAATTAACCCTTGCGACCTCATCAGACCGGTCAAATTGGGCTCTATTCCTGGCGGGGCAGACCGGTACGTTTGAGTTTCTCGACTTGTATCGTTCAAAGGCAGCTCCCTAATCCCAAATCTGTTTCATCAGATTGTCGCAATTCAACCCGGCAACTACTGGAATATGAGTCTCACGCACAAGGCCCACGGGACAAAAGACGTGACCGAGCCGTTTGACTTCATGGGTCTTACCATCGGCCAAGTCGGCCAATCTGGTGCCCTAGTCGTCGAGGACCCCGAAAACCGGGTGTTTGTGATCCGCAATGGCGGTTTCTGTGCCTTCGGAAGCCGCGGTCGATTCCATATCCTCGCCGTCGTCGACACTCTCGCTCTGGGCGACGCATGTGCCATCAAAGAATCCGATGGAAAGAGGATTCTCGGGTGGAAGCGGGAAGTGAAGCGGCAGAACATCACGGTTTGCACGTTCCTGAACATTCCGGCGAATAATGTTGCGATCGTGCAGCAAGGGAATAACATGCTGGAACTGGAAGCGGGTCAGCATGTGATCACGGACCCGAAAACGACATTTCGTGGATTCTACTCTTTGGGGGAGCGTCAGGTGCAACTCAAGACCGCTCCTGCTTACACAGTAAGTCTCGCCTTCTGATGCACTCCAGTGGATCATTTATTGCATTTCTAACATGAGTTCCTGTCGTTTCAAAGGTTGAAGGAGTTCCCGTGGTTCTGAACGTCAATCTACGGTTCCGTGTGGCCCAACCTCTCCTCCTCACTAAGAACTACGATGACGCGTTCTTGGCCCTCGCAAATCCAGCACAAACGGCTGTTAACGCAGGTAAGAGCTGCTTCTTCGATTTCTCACTTGGGAGTATCCATTCTGAACCTGTCCCTCCTCGTCACAGTCGTGAGCAGACTCAGCTATACGCAATTTATGAGAGCTAAGCGCATCGGCGGGGACGTGCCCGATACCGACGTGATCCCATGGCTCGATTCCTTCAAGAACGAGTGTCTCCATGAGCTGATTTCGCAAGCCGCATCCAACGGTGTGGCGGTAGAGTCCTTCGACGTGCTCGACCGCGAGCTTTCCGGGGCGCTAGGAAAAGACCTCGAGCACCAAGCCGAGATCGTGCTCAAGAACCAAATGGACGCCACCCAAGTCGAATTGCAAAACTCGATCAAGATCCAAAAGCAATCCGGATTACTCGAAGTGGCACGCGTGCAGGCGGAGCAGACCAAGACAGATTCCGACGCGCAGTACTACGCTGCGACTCGTGTCACGGACGCGCAGATCTACGATCAACTGAAGAAGGCGAAGGCGGCTGCCGAATCTTCTCAGGTCCAGGCGGAACAGGAGGCGAAAAACATCGTTACGATTGCTGAGGCCAAGGTCATCGAGATCGGCGCACTGTCGAGAGCCTATGGAGATGTCGCTCAAGATCACGCGAAGAGGATCCAGCTGGAGACGTTGGAGGTCGAGAAGCGTAAGGCGCTTCCCGCGAAAACCGTATACTTCGCCGGAAGTGACTCTTCCATAGCCAGCACCGTCGCGCAGGGGTTCGGTTTCCAGAGTGGAGCGAATTTGGACAAATGAGGAAGGGACATCACCTCACCACCTCATGCGCCCAGGGAGTCACGGCACCTCATGTACATAGTCGCGTAGTTGACCTCATAGCTTGATTCCGTCCCCTTCCCGTTCCTTTTCCGCAATGAGAAGCCTGATACTAGCACTGCAACAAGTTTTGTCATCCCAATAGTAATATCAGTCAGCGATCATCTAATAGAGAGATTTCAATAGCGGACTCGTTTGAAGACTCGTTTTTGATGCTGCTGATGGCAACGCGTTCGGTGCGAGCACTGTCAGTACGCAAGCAATGCGCGGTCATTTTCAAGCGTGTTCAACGAACGAGCTTGACGCGTGGCTCAAGAACGCTCGACGCCTTTGCCATGTGGGCGACTCCAATGAAAGTGAAAGGTTCATCAGTCTTCGACAGCAACGGCGACGGAGCCCGGGTACCGCCACCCCGGAGGCCGGTAGGAGAGAAAGGCGCTCGCTTCTCCGAGAATTCTCCCAAGTGGTCGCATATTACGGGGCGCTGGTTTTATGGCATTTGGCTGTCAAAACCAAAGCGCGAGTTTGCGGAAGTCCCGTGGGAAACATTCCTGTTACAAGCGAGGCCGCGAGGAAACCGAGAACAGCTTCCAAAGCGGAGAGCAGAACAAACCTTCCAAGTCTCCTCGACGACGATGGATCTGAGACTCCCCACCGAAAGTATCTCTTCTGCGCGTGTTGGCGGCAGCTCACCATCATTGCCATTTGGTGACAGTTTGGTGGCGAGCCAGAGATTTCAGGCGCCTCCACTCGTGGGACATCGCTCAATGGGATTCCGCACAGTCGCAGATCCATTGATAGAATTTCCTTTTAATCCTCAATGAGACCGAACTGAAGATAAATGCCACATTCATAAGATATATTGAAACGTGTCAGTAGACTCTTACGCCAAGGCGGGCATCTATAGCTCGTCCTTCGCGCGCTTGCTCTCTCCCTCCAACAACGGCAACTTCCCATACTTGAAGAATCTACCCTGTGCCGCCGAAACCTCCTTCAAGAAGGTGTTGATCCCATCCTTGTCAAACGGTCCCGTCATAATCCGATAAGCCTTCTTATTGTCGTTCACGACCACAAGCCCAGGCAACGAATCGGAAACCTGCAGATCTTGCATGATGACGCGTCCGCGCTCGGCGGTGTTGAACCATACGTATCGGAAACCGGGGTGCTGTTTCGCGGCGGCTTGGAGCAGGTCGAGGTTTTCCTTGTGGGCTTTCACGCTTTCTTCAAAGTCGGGTTCGAGGATGAAGAATGCGAGGACGGTGAAGCCGGGCTTGGAAACGATGTTGTCAAGATCGGCCTGTGCTTTGACTTCGACGACTTCTGAGATGTTCATTTCCGGATCCGTTGGTTGGTCAGCGTGTCCCGAAACACCCTTCCACGGTCCATCGTATAGTGCCACGGTTATACGCACCTGCTGCTTCCGTCTTGGCCGCTGGCTTCTTCGAGCTCTCTTGCGAGCTTTCCTTTTTGGCAGCTTGTGGGGCGTAAAGATCCAGGAATTCAACCAGAGACGCGTGCTTCATAGGTCCTAAAGGCGCCAGGAATGAGGCGAGAGGCTTGGCGGAAGACTGCTGTCTGTTGAGGACATACCAGTGTATCGAACAGGAGTGTCTCCAGCTTTGGGAAACACGACCACGGAGGGAAAGTCGGTAATGTTAAGCTTGGTGAGTGTATCCTGTTCCGTGGACTTGACTTCCCCAAAGACCATGCGATTGTGGTATTCGGCTGACAGGGCTTTGAAAAGTGGTGGCGTGGAAGCCTTCTTCGATGCCAATACCACACGTGGGAGCTCCGTCTGTTGATTGTCAACAGATCCGCGTGGAATCAGTATGTGCTCATCTGAACCTCGGATATGAGGCCGATACCGTACCGGTTTGTGAACGAAATCATCGTAAGTTACAGCCCGCTTCCCACCTCCACCAATCTGCAGGACATTGTTCGAAATCTTGGCGACGATGGCATCAACCAGACCCTTGGCCGTTCGGGGCCCGTTGTAGTCTATGTGAAGCGATAAGGATGGCCTTCGAGAAATCCCATTTGATCAGAGGCAAACTCACCTTGAGGGAGGCCCTTCTTTCCCCCGGGAAACAGCTTAATCGTTGGGAAGCCTACGATTCATCAGGGAAGATAGACTTTGTTCGTCACACACTGTCTAGCACGCGCAGCGTATAATTCGGGATATCACCTTGCACTCCAAACTGGCCGCATAAAGGCTTATTCTGGTCAGTGTCACAGTCAACAGCGACCACCTTAGCGAGACCCTTCAGCTTCTCCGCAGCCTTCTTGTATTCCGGTGCAAGGTTCTTGCCTGAATTAAAAAAAAAAAGGAGGATTAGCTCCCGAGTGCCCTGCACGCTCGTTTGAAGACCAAGATCATGCTCACAGTGTCCACACCAAGGCGCGTAAAACTCAGCCAGAACCGCATGCTATACGTTTTCGAAAGTGTCAGAACAGCGGAAATGCTCGAAACTGTAACAAACGAAAAATAAGGACGCAGACATACTTGGGTGTCCAAAACTTCTTCTTTGAAGTTCTTGGGAGTAATCTGGATAACGGGGCTCTTGGACGAGTAGAGACTGACAGCACCTGGCAAGATACTTGCGAAAACGGCCGCCTTCAACAGGACGGCGATAAGACTCTTCATTTTGGCAACAGGGCGGTATAGACCGTGTAAGTTAAGAGGGACGGTTGTCCAAGGTGATGTTGAGGTCGAAGGCAAAGCAGAAGGCAAAGAGCCGTGACTTCCGTGACGTGGACAGCTTGCAAAAAGTTGCAAAAGGCTTGCCGCTAACCCTAACTCAGAGCGAAGTTTGGCCCCTCAACTCACCCGCAACTCCTTTTCTTGCAGCCGGCCACAGAAGCTCTCTCATAGCGTCCGTCGGCACAACTCACAATATGTCGTCCTCGTTCTCAAATTGGCAGGTTTGTGGGGCTTCTTTGAAGTGTGTATTTCATGGCCCTGTCTCTCGGGCGTCCTCTCATTTCATTGCAGTCCTTTGAAGATGAGGAAGATGAGGACGAAGAGGAAACCCTGGAAAAGCAGGTACTTTGAATGTGATCGGGTGGGATTCCATCACCACCCTTTTGATAATGGACCCCTTCACAGGATACAGGGGCCCAAAAAGACAATGTCATCTTCGCGGTGGACGTATGTGTTTGTGCAGTGCTCAGACAACCGCGTGGGAAAGTTGCTGACCTCGGTTTCCCAGTGTACGAGACCGATGCACGAGCCCGATGAAAACGGAGTGAGCCACTTTCAAGGCGCGCTCATTTGTGCCGCAAAGTTCTTGCAGAATAAGATCATCCAAGCGGAGTCGGATAGGCTGGGAATTGTATTCTTCGGAACGGTGAGACAACGACACCGATGGGAAAAGTGAAAGGACGGCGAATGCCAAGCTTCTGCTCGTTGCCCTATACAGGAGGAATCGCAAAACGAGCAAGGATTTGAGCACATCTATGTTCAGTACGACCTGGATACGCCAGATGTCGATCGGATTTTGGAGCTCGAGAAGATACAGAAGGGTGAGGAGCGTGGATGCCTCTGCTGAGCATTCGCTTTGTGCTGAAGCGAGTGTTCCGCAGGAGGAGCCAAATCCCTTGGCAGCAACGACGATTACTCCCTGGCAGAAGTCTTTTGGACCTGCTCGAACATGTTCTCTGCCAAGTAATGTGATTGTCATCCTTTCCCTCGAATTGAATGATCCGTGGTTGACCCTCATGTGCAGAGGAGACAAGAATAGCATCAAGCGAATCTTTCTGATAACTTCAAACGATGATCCACATCGAGGCAACTCTGTATTGCAACGGAACGCTCGCGTCCGCGCGCAGGTAGGGTTCCATGTCAGTTGGGAAGACGTTCCAAAGTTGACACTGAACCCTTGCGAATCAGGATCTACAAGATATCGGCATTACCATCACATTGTTTCCCGTCGAGCGGGATGAGAAACATCCTTTCAATTATGAGGCATTCTACCAGGTTCGATCCTCCCCATTGGGGGTCCGGGGGCAAGATTCCGGATGTCAAAATTGCTGACCTGGTGCGATTGTGGCGTCTAGGATTTACCCGGAATATCTGGGAATGAAGAAGACGAGTATGCCGCGCCGGTGGCGGCATCACGGGGTTACGAAGAGCTTCAAAAGAAAATCAGGAGAAGGGAAGTGAAGAAGAGGACGGCATATCGAATCCCTTTCCATTTGTCTGAGGGAGTTAGCATTGGCATCAAGGGGTCTGTAGCTTGGTCTTACTTCGAGAATCCGCCTCCCGCCGGGCTACTTACAGAAATGAGGATAGGTATAACCTGGTGATGGAGGCCAAAAAGGGCAACTACACGTATCTGGAACGCAAAACAAACGTCGAGGCTCGGACGGAGACCAGCTGGCAATGTTCGGTAAGATTCTGACCTCTCGCATATGTATATGACGTACCGCAAATCTCACCCCTTCGCTGGAATAGGCCACGCAAGAGTTCCTCCTACCTGCTGACATGAAGTCCTCATGGGTGTATGGTGGTGAGCACATTGTGTTCACCAAGGATGAGGTGGCAACGATTAAGTATATGTTTGAGCCTGGTAAGATCTGGCGTTGCATTTAGAAAGGATTCCGAAGGTCTATCCACTGAATCGTCCTGCGATCGCAAAAGGTCTGGTCTTACTGGGGTTCAAAGACAGGGCCGCCTTAAAGGACAAGTACAACATCCGCCCAGCTACATTCATCCAACCCGATGAAGGGGTAAGAACTCGTTTGGAGGCGGAGTGACTTCCAAACGGATACCGCTTAATGGCCTTTCGTCCAAAGGAATACACCGGCAGCTCTTCGGTCTTCGCACATCTTCTTCACCGATTGGCCGCACGCAACAAAATTGCTATTGGCCGTCTCACCGCCCGAAGAAACACAGGGCCTAGGATTGTGGCGCTGCTTCCCGAGGTACCTTCCCCCGAAAAAATCGTCATGCGCGGCATTGGTGCTAACACATCCTTGTGATAGGTGGGATACATCAAGCGCAATGGAGACGAGGTCCCTTCAGGCTTTCACGTCATCTACATGCCTTTCAACGATGATATCCGTCATGTGCCACGCTCGAATGCGCGTGTTGGTATGTCCCGGTTCAAAAAAAAAGGCGTTGCGCGGGGATGCGGACCGTTGACTTTGCCTTCACTTTCCAGAAACGGAAAACCGCAAGCTGGTTGTCCCAATCCTCGAGCGATTGAAGATCGGCAACTTCGTACGTAAAATGATCGCACTTTCTGGGTCGACGGTCTGGTTCTGACCATTTCAACACATCATTCTAGAAAACATCGGACTACGAGAACCCAGTTCTGCAAAAACATTACGCGAACTTGCAAGCGCTCGCTTTGATGAAGGATTATGCGGAGGAGATTGACGGTGAGGGGCGACCCTACTGATTCGCGGTTGTGATAGGAGACTGACACAAATTGCTGGATTTGTGCCTAGATAAAACGCTGCCGAAGACGGAAGTAATACATCAACGTGTGGGCGCCGATATGGAGACGCTCAAAATGGTACCGCATTTGCCCGGGGACGATCATTTCTGACCTGTTGGGTTACGAGCTGGCGGCTACTAAATCGTACGCACGTAGATTCTCCTACAAGATCTCCCGGACATGCCTGCGACGACCACGAAGAAGCGCTCAGCACCAGCGAGCCGTGCGGCCGATGGCGCGGCACCCAAAAGGGCGCGGGGTGATGCAGATCTTAGTGAAGCGACATTTCGCGCAAAGGCACAGGAGGGGAAGGTAAGGTTATTTGCCCTGGGGTCCGAGCATAAAGACTCTTCACATCTGGGAGCACTGACTAAACTTTCTGCACCCTCCAGCTGACGAGCTATACAGTCGCCCAACTAACAGAGTTCTTACAAAGCAGGGACGTGAAACCCGCGAAAAAGAAAGCGGACCTCATTGCGCAGATTGAACAGAGTCTAGGCGTATGATCGGCGTGGTATGCATAGCTAGTCAAGCTATGCGTTTATGAGGCCTGGAAACCCTATAGTCTACGTAATGCTATATACATATGCTTGGAGGTGAATGTACATATGCACTGCTCAAGAATTGTCCATGCTGCTATTGGGACAGAAATAGGTCAAATCTGTAATCACCATCAAAAGCTTCAAAACATGACGAATCGGTCTCGATTAATTGTTCGTGTCGCTCACATCAAGATGAATAGGATCGGATCAACACGTAACCCCGCTTCAAGTAACTGACGACACAATTGATCCAGTGCGTGCGTTTCCGGCTGAGATGATTTTTATCGCTCTTCCGTCTCCAGTGACCGCTCAGTGCCCGCAATCCCGTCTTGCTGCAGTGCCCGCAATCCCGTCTTGCTGCTTACTCGTCTTCCGCTGTATCGCGTCTATATGCTCCTTCCAATCCCCACTCTCTATCCTCTTGAAGTACTGCGGGTCCAGGGGTCTATTCCACCGGTAGTAGTAAACCTGTATTTCTTCTCCTTCCTTCTCCTGAGGGGTCTCTAGTGATGATAGCTTTGCGGCTGCTGCTAATGGTACCGGTGGCGACGTTAATGTGACTTTTCCCTCTGCACGGATGTACATGTTGGAGTTTGACGAGGGTCCGTGGTAACTCTCAAGCTCGTCCAGTCGCATCAGGATGGATGTATAGTGTTCTGTGAAAGGGATTATTAGTGTTAGCTCTTGTTCTATTCTCTGCCGAGTGATCTCTCGCGACCAAACGCGCACCTTCAGCAAAGTACATCACTTCACCCCGCACCTCCGCCGCCTCCGCCTCCTCCCCTCCCCCCGCCTCGACGATGACCGGATACCAGTCGTTGAGGGAATACATATCGTGTCGTTTGAGGATCGCGCCTCGCACATGGGTGACTTTGTCGGCTAACGAGAAGAGGGCGTGATTGGGGAGGCCGGTGAGGAGGGTGCCGTACACAAAAAGCGGATGGAGTGCGGTTGGGGAGGGCATTGGGGTAGAGATTAGCGATCCTGCGGCTTGGGTTCTTTGAGGAGTGTGGTTCGTTGATGCTGATGCGAGTGATGAGAGGATGGGACTTCAATACCGTGGAATCCTGGGAAAAGTTTTGGGTGAAAGGTTTTGGCGGAGGTGCCGTCAATTTGCGTAGCGGCACGCTGTCCAAAAGCGCATTTCGCCAACAAAGCCTACGGTGCGAAGAACCTTACAGTGGGCTGCCAGATATCAGGTTACGACGGGTTGTTGAGCCTCCCTGTGCAACCCAGAAGTCACCGGCCAGCTGTCAGTCCTGCCCTGGGCTAGCGGTCGTGCTGAAAGCATTTGCATGGGGGTCGGCAACTTGAGCCGGTGGCTATGCTCGGAATGATGTGTCCTTGGGGCGTCGTAACCTGATATCTGGCAGCCTACTGTATGTCCCTCCAATGGACGGAAGACGCTTTCGTCTTTTTTTCCTTCCGAGAACCCGAAACCGCAGATGAACTGACTCCGACCGAACAGCCGTGGGGACGGGTTGTACCGCGGTGGGGATGAGTGTGTACGGGAAGTGGAGTTTAAGGAAGAGGTGGAGGTGTCGATGTTGAGTGAACGGAGGGTGTTTGCGCCGTATGGGATGGAAGGGGGTGGGGTGGGACGGGATTAATACGTTGGTGGGAAAGGATGGGAGAACGGTGAATTTTGGGGGCAAGAATGCGACCACGGTTAGGAAGGGGGATCAGGTGAGAATCGAGACCCGGGGGGGTAGTGGGTGGGGGAGGAAGGTTGAGGATGTCAAGGCGTAGGACATACGTATTCCATTCTCATTTCGCAAGTGAACCAAATCCTTTCACTTAGATATTTTCTCTATCATCACCCGGTTCTGTACATCTGTAGCCCACTCGCTGTCTCTTTACAACCAAAAAGGCAGTAATCTCTAATGCGTATGTTACAAACGGCTCCCAACTGTATTGGCACATGGGGACATGTACATTCTTCTATATCGGAATCTCACTTCCGGGCCGTCTCGTAGTTCTCCAGGAACCATTTCACGGTGGCATCCAGTGCTGTAAAACAAAAACGAGGCCGAGAATCAATAAATTTGAACCATCAACCAAGAGCATCCACCAGCACGTAGAGAACGGAAGATTCAGAGTAACATACCCTCCTCAAAGGGCGTAAACTCAAACCCCGGCAACAACTCGGCCAACTTCTTGTTACTCGCCGTCTTCCTGTACTGTCCATCCGCCTTTGTCTTATCCCAGCGTACATTGCCCGTAAACCCCATGCTCTTTGTGAGATGGGTGACGATATCGCGGATGCTGATTTCCGCGGACTCGGGCACGGAGAGGATGATGGGCACAATGGAGTCGTATTCGCGGAGGGTCCATATGAACAGTTTGGCGAGGTCGTGGGAATAAATGAATTGCCGGAGGGGGAGGCCTGTGCCGGAGACTATTAGATCTTGGCCGCTTTCTACGATAAACAAAGTGAGAGACATCAGAGTGATGATCTGCGGTTCGATAAGGGATTCGGCGGGATAAGGGATTCCCGCATACATACGCTTAGCAAGATAGCATTTATGCAACAACCCGGGAATCACATGCGAATCCTCCAAATCAAAATTATCATTCGGTCCAAAGATATTCGTCGGGATGACACTCGTGAACTGACACCCGTACTGCTGGTTGTACGCGCGGTTCTGCACGTCGATGAGCCGCTTGGCGTACGCGTAGCCGTAGTTTGAGTCGTGCGGCGGGCCGGAGTGGATCATCGTCTCGTCGATTGGGTACGTGGTTTTGTCGGGGAAGATGCAGGTGGAGAGGCAGGAGACTACTTTTTTTACCTTTGTGAATCATCAACAAACATCAACCACGTGAAAACAAACCGGCCATCAACCCATCAACCAGCATCAAAATGTAGAGGGTGGTTGAACGATACCCTGGTCGCTCCGCTCGCGACGAGGATTTTGGGCTGTGGTGGGCAAACTCGCGTCGCCCGCTAAGAGATCTGACGCTCGCTGATGCTCGCTAAGAGCGGTGATTTGGGGTGTTGCGCCTTTGGCGCAAGGAACTCGCGGTCTCGCAGACCAAACCAACCCCACACCTCTCTTCGCTCGTTGCAGTAGGATACCCACGCTCGCTTGGCTCGCGAATCGCATGGCTTGCATTTGCGCCGCGGGACCGCTCACAGTCGCTTGCGTTTAAACACCGTCGCTCGCGCTTACTCACCCCGTACGTATGAGCCGCATGCAGTACATTATCGTTGATAAGCAAGTTCAATCTCAGAAAATCGCTTTGGTATTTCATGTTTCTGAACAATCCCCCAACCATAGCCGCGAGATGGATGACATGGGTAGGATGGATGCGTTCAAAGAGGGCTAATGTTGCCGTCCGATCGCTGTGGAATGGGGAGCATGATTAATTATAAGGAAGGGCAACCATTTGGAAAGGGAATATTGGATGTCTCTGCACACCTCAGATCGGCGTCCTTGCTGGTCGCATAGACCCATTTTTCATTCGGCAGAGCACCAAATCGGGGATCCTGGCATGTTTTGATGACGTGCTTGATTGCGGAACCGACGAGGCCGGTGCCGCCGGTGACCAGGATGACTGATTCTGGGTTAGCAAGCATTTTGAAAGACTTGGAAGTGTTGGCTGAGCGTGGACAAGTGCTCTCTGTTTGACGAGGATGTAATACGGTAGTTGCAGAAAAACGATAGGTGGAAAACAGATGAAGCCCAACGCGTCCGGTTGTCACTTTCGAGGGGGAAGACGCGCTCGGCAAAAGAAAATACAATAAATAGATCCTAAAATAAATCCACCCTTGCCCATCCCTCGTCCCCCCTCTGTACGACTGAGGACAGGCACGAAATCGAAGGGGAAGACCGTGGGAACCAGCTTCGATATCGTCCACCCAATTCTTTTGACGAATAGCAGGGAGGACGACAATTGCAGATGGCGTTCGTATCGGAGCGACTGGAGGCTCAGCTTCGCGCACTCAACGGAGTCTTCCACTTGGACGCAGACCACGATGATCTAAGCGACGCATTCCGCACTTTGTTCGGGTCAGCCGGCGCGGAAGTGGCGGCGAGCGTCGAGTATGCAGTGGACAGCACCAGAGGAGTGGAGGAGACGCAGGAGGCATGGCCTGAACCCATCCGACTGCTCTGGCATGCGTTGCTTTCGCAACCGCTCGTTCCCACGGTCGGACGACACGCAGACGCTGGCGACCAAGGGGAAGACGGTCTGCCAACATTACAGCAAATCGAACGGCTGTTCTCTCAAGTGCACAAGGGTGTCTATGGAAGAGAGTTACGGAGAGATTCAGGAGGAAAATCAGGACTGACGGGCGAGTCTGCTGTCCTTCCCCAGGGACATTATCCGCTTGCAGAGTTGGCGTTCCTCTCCAAGATAGCGGCGGTACTGCAGGCGACGTTGTTGCAGCGTCTGCTGGTGTCATCCACGAGATGGCCGCCAGACATCGCGTACTGGCAAGATCAGCAAATGTCCACCAGCAAAACCATCTACTACATTCTGTCGATGCTTCCTCAACAGATCTCTCGCTATTTGCATCTCCTGTATGAATACACTCGCGCAACCACCCATTCGTCAATCCGTCCCCAGTTCCTCTTGTTCTCCGATCGTCTGAATGCAAAGCTTCGTCGAAACTTTTTCGAAAGGGCCGCCCTTCTTCCAACGACGCTCACAACAACGGCTTTCTTGGGACTACCTGGTCGATTGCTAGCACTGACGCGTCGACCACTGTTGCTGGATCTCGCAAGGAGAGAGATCAGGTTCAAGGCAGAAAAGCTGGAGAGGATCCGGGAGACCCAAGCCGCATGTCTGGGTTTGCTGGCCGAGGAGGATTTCAGCAACGAGCAGCGTCTTAACATCTTGACCAAATCGCTGGCCGGCGGCCTTAGCCGAGAGCAGGCCATGTTGGAAGCCGCGGAGCGCATTCAAGCTGAGTTGTCTCGGTCGCTCCTCCTCATGGAAGCTATTGTATATCGGATGCATGCCATGGCAGACAATCTGTCGTCGGATGGGGAGTTAGCTTTGGCCGATGTCTCCGATCTACGAGGTACGTATACTTCATTTACTTCAATGATAGCCCAATCTCCATGGCCGACCTTCATTCTCACGCCCCGATCTCACCTCCCTCCCAGCCCGCGTCGCAGACATATCAACCATACCCATCCCTCAACTCTACCGCCGCACAACCGCTGTCATATCTGCTATCCAAACACTCGACTCCGTCTTCGACCGTCTTCGCCGAACTTACGGTCGCCCCTCCCACGCAACCCGTTACTGGCTCCCCACCGTCGTCATTTCAGTGGCCGCGTACGTCGGTGGAAAGACACTAGCCGTCAGGTGGGACGACGTGGTGGCGTGGGCTACGGATGCGAGGGAGACTGCGAAGAGCTTTTGCGTAGAGTGGATCGCGAAGCCTTTGGATAATATATATAAGACGGTTAGGCATAAGGAAGCGAGGCTTGCTATTAGCTCGGGGGATTCGTTGAATGCGGATTTGCAGGTGAGTTGTGGATGAGATTGTCGCTTGGCGTATTCCACAATGGTTGAGAGGGTGCACGGCGTTTGGGACCTGATCGGCGTAATGCGGTTCATTAGTCCCTCGAGAAAATGGTGGTGGAGTACGCTCGAGACCATGGCATATTAGACCCTTCTGAGATTCAGCGGGTAGCCGATCAAGCACAGAAAGGCGATCTCTCTGTTGTTCTGCAGGCGTATGCCGAGGAGATAAAATCCCCGATCAAGAATGCGATTTCAGGTATCTATTCCCGGCTGCACATACGGAAAGGGTCTCTACTCAGAATAGTTCCTAATCGCCCGTGCGCTTCTGCCTCCTTCTCCCAGGCGACCTAATCCGCGCCCTCCTAATTCAAGTCCAAAAAGCCAAAGTAGACGGCGAGCTGGCGATCGACGCCCTCGACAAACTGCTCCGCTCCAACGAACTCAATTTCGCGTTCCTGGCAGTCACTCCCTCGTTGTTTTTGACCTGGCTCCTGTTTTCGAAATTGGGAACGCTGCTGGGCGCGGGGAAGGAGAAGAAAAGGAGGAAGACTTATGAGTATATCCGGGCTAGCTTGAGGTTCGGCCTCTTGCGTTCGATGTTTTATTGTCACGGACTCTAACTGACACTGTGATTTCGACGAATAACCAGAAACGTCGACAGACTCCTCGCCCAAAGCATTCCCCCCATCTCCTTCCCTCCCGACTCCACACACCACACGCCCACAACGCCCGTCCCCTACAAATCCCACGGCCTCCTCCTATGCGAGCTCTACCTGCTCCGCAAATACGCACCCCGCGTCACGCGCCGCGAAGGGTTCCGACAGCGGTTTGTGGAGGATTTGCGGGATTTGGAGAGCGGTGGCAGTTTTACTCTGGTTGAAAGAAGAGAGGATGGGGATGGGGATGAGGGTGGGCAGGAGGAGGAGGGCAGGAGGAGGGAGGTGCAGACGAATGTTGCGGGGAAGATGTTGATTGTGCAGAGAATGTGGAGGACTTATCCTTTTGTTAGGGGGGAGTGAGTGGATATGAAGCCGATGCTGTTGTGCAGTGGGGTTAGGGTTATAGCTGTGCAGGTTAGGGTTAAGAGTAGAAAAGACCAGTGGGAAGACGACGGCTTCGCACAGTGGTACCCCCATTTCCTATACCTTTTTCTATACACAATCCACAATTCACCATTCTATATATGATCTGACCATCGACGGCTACTTGCGATCGCGCGCACAACAGATGCGTGTAGTGGGCATGAGTGAGTTTATAGGTGGTATACTGCACGGTGCACGTATGTGTATATGACCTCGACTTTTGCTGTGGTATCGCAATGGAATCGAAACCCATCAAGCTTCTCGGGAATGGCCTAGAAAGCGTCAAATCAAAACAAACGTCACAACACAACTGGCGAAATGCAGATCATGATATATTGTCCAGGAGTTTGTCCCCTCAACCCATCTTCACGGTAGGAAGCACTTGTGAGCCTAGTTATTTAATGCTCATTGACAAACTCGCTCGAGGTCTGCGAACCGCGACGCCATTTCTTGCGGGATAGGGTTGGGTCGTAAAGCTGTGATGGAGATGAAACCGGGAATTGCATATCAGTGATTTCAACCCGGAACGAATAGGAATGCGAGGCTGCATGCTTGTCATATATCTCGGATGCAACATAGCCCGGTCTCCTCGTCACCGAGAACAGTCGTCAGACAGTGGTGCAAATGCGTACCTTGCTAGTCTCGTTCTCGCCAACAGTCAAGTACGGATGGGGGTTTGTCCTTCATACAAATGGACGCATTCCCCAAGTCAGCATACATCCAAGCTCCCGAACAATGTCAAAGCGGCCTCCAAAAACATACCTGCGAGCCCAGACAACTACGCCAAAGAGAAACATCCGAGCGTCGTCAGTTGGACGATCTCAAATTGACGCGACAGGAAAAAATGCACGACCTACCACTCGGGTCCTTTGCTTTATGCACAAGGAAGAAGCCGACGCCGACCGCGGCGCCCACCATGATGCCCGCTAGGGGATATACCTGAGAGAGAGGAACACTGGTTAGCACTTGTTTGGGGCGAGTGGTGAGGGTGTGCGATGCTTACACCAACGGGAACGGAAACCATCTTGGGAGTGTGCCCGATGTTTGAGTTGAGAGGGGAGAGATGTGGTGTGGGTGAGGACGATTGCGGCGCTTTGCTGGTAGTTTTGTAAGTTTGGTATGTTCTGTTTTCAGAATCAATAGTGTGCTTTGCGTCTGTCTGGCGTTTTATATACACCTTCCCATCATCAATCCGGCTGCACTCTTTATCACCAAGTGGTCATATGACGTGACATCGTATTGCCCTGGCCATTATTTGCCGCATTCGAGCGGGAGAACAATTCCCCGGTCCATTTTTGGCACAATACAGGAATAGCGAAGAAGGTAAGATGCACACATCTTTTTCACAGAGAGTCCGCGTATGGGGCGGAGTCGGCGGGTAAAAAATCGACAGCGCGCGTCACTCTCTCTCGGGCTCACCTTTTTCGACCTCAACTTGCTCCGTATGTGCAGATGGCAAAGAAATCGGATGGTGGGCTACTGCTGGAATCAGTAACATGATATCCCAACGTTCGGACGACGACGAGGAGGGTGGTACCATGGCATACCAGATCATTCTCAGGCGCCGTTTCGGTTCTTACAATCGTACCGCTTGCCGAAGCGTTGTTCGAAGAGCGTCTCTGCAACAAAGGCCTTCAACTCACTGCCAACCAGGCGGTCTCACATTGCGTACGCAATCATGGACTTGGGAATCCTGCTCAAAAGCGTGCTTCACTTATCCCACAAAGTGGGCGCGTAAGAAGAGTTCAAACGACAACATTGGGGCAAGGCGTTTTGATCTCAAGAAGTAACGGGCAATTGACCCCCGCTAGGTACGGGTGGTCTCCATGAAATCGTAAGTCTATTTCCCACTCTTCTGCTACATGTTGGCCGCTGGTCACAACTTGGTCAACCTGGTCACTCATCACTTGCCGCATCGCAGGGACGGAATGATATCCACCGATGGACACGGAGGGATTGTGTGCCTCACGAGGCTCACCTGAGAAGGTCGGAGACACCCATGAAAGCCACGCAAGGCCAAGGCTGCTCAGCAAGACGCCCTCAGGGCAACCTATCTGGACTCATGAATGAATTGCGATGGTGTCGAGTTCGGGCGGTTATGCTGTCTGCGTAGATCTCTAGACCGATCAAGTCCGGCCAGAAGGCCAAGACGCGATGTCGACTTCGGCCGTCAGAAGCAGAGAGTTTCCCGAGCAGATGTCGATCGGCGGCGTAGTTACTGTGCTGTGGCTACCACGATCTTGGTTCTCGGAACTCCCGTAATTAATTTGAACCCATAATTTACACTTGGCGCCAGTATGATATGAGTACTTATGACTAGGGGTAAGGTCTCTTTCCCCTCGGAGAGCGAGTTTGTTGCCGTCACGCTTGGCAGGAAAGACGCACCACTTCCTTCCGCTCCCGCTCGCCAACTCGACGCTCGCACATACACAGGACTTGAACTATCCTGCCCTTCCTGACTGGCCTCTCACTTGGTGGGCAGACCTCCCGAAATACATAACGACGGCGGCGACGACGACCAACGACAGGCGACCGGACGTCACGAGGGACAGCATTCCCCACTTCCAGAGCACCTCTCATACGCGAACAGCATACTAGCAAGTCTTGTCCGCCGAGTGTCTCGCGGCTCACCAAATACATAGTAGACTATTCCCGCAACCATGGCGTTTCCAATGCCATACCAGAACATCCCGAAGGTAAATATATTTGGGAGCTTCTCCATGCCCACACTCTTCCCGCTCTCCCCAATGTAACAGAACTGTGGCATAGCGCTATGGAGGCATTCTTCCGATATTTGAGAAACGCCAACTGGTTCAAAACTTGTTTCTTACCTCTTCTTTGGCCTTTCTCTTCCCCCGACACAAAGGATGTGAGGGACACCACCAAGGCCAAACTCCCTCCTGCACTGCTGCCGTCCCGAAGGGCTACAGAGGACAGCCTGTCAGGAAGCGAGAGCTCGCCTGGCCGGAAGAGCTCCGCAGCCTCAAAGTTGCCACCCAATATAAGCAGAGAGGAGACGGATAGCTCGTGGCACGAGGACGCACCTTTCTTGCCATTCCTGGACGAAGTTCGCGCAGCCGGAGAACGCGGCCGCTCCCACTCGTCTTCATCTTCCGAGGAGGATTTGACGCTTCAGAGGTCACGCTCCAGGAGCGATCGGATTCGAGGACTGCGGCGTCTGAAAGAAATCGTGAACGCATCGGTCGAGTCTCTAGCGTTGACGGGAGATGACTCGGCAGAATACGATCCCCTGTCCCGGTTACCCTTTGCGTCTTTGAGGGACAATGCCGAATTTCACCGTCTGTATCCCGACATTGATGAACGGGATAGGCTCGTCAATGACTTTGCCTGCGCCTGGAACAAGGATGGGTTGCTCATCCAGGGAAGGATGTACATATCGCAGGATCACGTATGCTTCAAAGGATGGACCAGCAGCTCCGTGTTCTCGCTGCCTTTCCTTCAAATATCGCGCATCGAGAAGAGGACCATTGCTCTCGTTTTCTCCAACTCGATCGAGATTGAGATGCCTGATGGCAAATACTTTTTCGCGAGCTTTTTCAACCGCGATCAAACATTCAGAGTGCTTCAGCAACTCTGGGAGGCAAACATGACGGTATGCCTCAGAACTTACGTCCTTGTGAGATCCTTCCATGATACTAATCATTGTCTATCCCAATTCATTAGCCCTGTTCTTGTGACGGAATCGGCACATGCGCAACATGTTTCAAGAGAGCGACCATCACTAACCGGCCCAGAAGAGGAGACAGTCCTTCGATGACCAGCCTGGATCTGCGCCGAGGCCCGGTGTCCGGCGACTTGGTCTCAGACGGCTCATCGAACTACTCAAACTCGTTGAACACCATGGTGGACCAAAGGCTGCAGCCTGAGGGAGAAGACAATGTTGATGAAATGGCGATCCCCACGCCTCCCAAAACGCCAAACCCTGGCGCTCGGTCAGACGCGAAGAGGTCACCTCATCCTGCCGAATGCGGGTGTGGGGCGGATCGTGACAAGTTGAGGAAGTTGCTGGATGTGGTGTATCCTGTTCCTATTGAGGAGGTTTGGCGGGAATACTACACCACTGGCAATAGTCAGGACGGTGGGTGGTATGCATCGTTCTTGGCTGATAAACGCAAAGCTCGAGGTAGGCCGCTTGATGTCACAGTGTCCCGTTTTCTCGTCTCGAATCAAAAAATAACACACCATGCTACTCGCAGAAATCGCCGTTGGACCCTGGGCAGCACAAGGCGTAACCTCCACCGTAAAACCCATCCCATCATCATCCGCATCCGACCCCACCTTCACCCCCGCCCTCCCCACCATCCAAACCGGCGCCCATCGCACCCTCGAATACGTCCTCCCCCTCTCCGGCCCCATCGGCCCCAAACAAACCCGCTGCCAAGTCACCGAAGAAGTCATCGGCGCGTCCACCTCCAACGACTTTGTCTGCGTCTCCAGTAAAGCCGTCACGCCCGACGTCCCCTCTGGAACCTCCTTCCATGTCATCACCCGCGTCTGCCTGCTCCACGTACCCCCCGCGCAGACACGTATGATCGTCACCACCGATATCGTGTTTACGAAATCGTGCTGGATCAAAGCGGCGATTGAGCGGGCGACGCCTGAGATGCAGCAACGTTTTTTTAATGACGTGCACGCTTCCTTATCCGAGAAGTTCGCCAAGAAGCAAACGACACCTCCGGAATCGACCACAACCAGGGAGTTGCAGAACACTGCCCGCGCACGCCCCACCAACCCCCGCCGCAACACACAAAAAGACCGCAGCGCGACAACCCCCACACCGGACACGCTCAAAACCACCATCCCAACCCCCAGCAAACCCGTCAATCTCGCGATAGGCACCCGCTGGCTCCAAGCCGCACCCATCCCTATCGTCCTGCTTATGCTCCTGTTCGCGTTCGTGGCGCTGTTCTCGCTGACTATCCAGAGCATTGCGCTGTATAAGGTAATTGGCGTGCTGGAACGTGTTGAGGAGAGGATGACGGAGAGGATGATGAGGGGGGCTTTGTAGTGGCGTGATTAAGTCGCGACTACTGTCATCAACCCGGTATCGATTATCAGCAAAATAGTTAACGGCGTACATGCGTATATAGCGTGGGTGGTTAGTTTAGATATTGGGGAGCGCCTGCTGCCCTTCTAGTTTTCATTTCTTTTCTGCGCGCTTCGTGTATCATATACAAAGGCGTTCGTTTTTTTTGGTGGGGCTTTTGCAAGTTCAATACTTTTTCCTCGATTTAGATTGATGTGCTTTTCTGTTGCTGACTTCCTGTGTTTGAATGCAAATGGCGTTGCAATGATGATGTGAGGCACTTCTGTTGAGACGCCCGAGTAAGATGGAGTAAGGTTCCTATAAGAGATGTCTCCACCAGAGCTTTTGCTCAACATCATGTATTTCATAGTTCATCTGAAGCTGGTAGATGAAGTGTCGTCGGTATTGAGGACAAACTTCTGGAGTACCATTCATCCACGATGAAGATTGCTTGAGACCCATTCATCTTTGAAGGATGGTTTGTATGTGAAAAAGCGTACCAATCCTCAACAACATAGGACCGGCTCACTGCTCTCCACCAAGTACACAGCGAAGCGTGACGTTGGGGGGTTGTTTTTACATAGAACACTAGCGCACTCCAGCAATGGTATGGAACAAAATCTCATACTGCTGACTTGCGACTCTGTGCATGTGTGCCATTCTCCATCGACTCTACGTCTCGCACCTGCAGACGGCAAAGCGGAATGGTCGTGCGGTCAGAACATGTCGTTCATCAACTTCCAAATCACGTACAATGTCTCGGAGTGAGTCAGCAAAAAAAGGTTTGTCGTCACAAGCCGAAGCTCGATCCGGTAATACATGCTAAATACCATCATTCGCACCAGCAGTAAAGCACCGCTAGATACGCATACGTACCATCTGGAGATCGAAGGGTGGCAACCAACTACGATGTCGACCTCGGAGGCGAAGCGTTCGGTGTAGACCATGTGAAGTCGAAACTGAAGACTTGTGCACGGTGTAGACCTCGCGTGATGCTTTCCGAGTGCAACAATCTGTCGCCAAATCGACAATGACGATATATCACTTCGCAACCTTTGAGGGAGAAAGCGAGAGAGAGAAACATTGTCAGCACAGAACGTAGAGGAACAGACGTCAGCCCTCGAACAGATTTGTGGGTTCAGAAATTTGGGTATAGCTAATTAACAGTCAACTGCCTCTAGTAATGAGGCATCCTCCTGACGTGCAAAAGTCTTATTTGGATTCATCCGCACCGGGAATCTATTCGATCGATGCTTGTACATCGTGCGAAAACTCACCATTGAAGAGTACGGGCAGATGAGTGCACCGCTTGGGGATCACCGACAGGTAGAACGCAAGCCAAAAGCCGCCGTCAAACCGGTGTCCTTGTCGGGAGAAGTCGTATGCATCGGATGTCCAAGTTACTGGAAGATTGGGGTGGGGATGTCTGAAGAAAATCCCAAAGGGCCCTTTATATAGCTTTCCAGAAGTGGCTTGGACGTGGCGCGATCACGTGATAGTAATTAACCTACAACACTTGGGCTCTGACTTGGGCTATAACAATGTGTTGACGAATTCCTCCCCGTACAGAAGAACTACCGAGCGATATGCCTTCAAACTCGCCATAAAGGATTTCCAGCGTCTGTATAGTACAGTACATGTCTGCGTAGATGTAGCACTGAGAGCATTGCTTTTTTGCATTGCAATACCCTCTTCCAGTTGGGTAAAAGGCATCGTAGGTGACATCAGAAAGGATGCAATTCACGCGTCGGCGCGGAATCCATGTCGACTTTCTATGTGGGACTTGGACGTTGAGAGTTGGAGCTTGGCGAACTTGGCGAGAAGCAAACCGCAAGGAGGCGGTTTCCCACAAAAGTGTTGCTTATCTCTCAGCTCCCCGCACTCTCCGATACTAGACCCTCTGATAATCGCCTTTCTCTGAGGAAATTTGGTCTTCGTGCAAGTTCGTTATTGGCCAGTGGCTTGCCAAACGTCTGCTTGGACCACAATGGACAATCAGCCGTCTCCATCTCCGACATCGAACGCAACAGCTCCTATTATACCTGGCAGGCCGACGTTCGTAGGTTACCCGAATCCATACGGCTCAAAAGTTGATACAAGCATCGAAGGAACATGGTAAGCCTAGACAAGATCATTTGCGTGTTTTCCCCACGCTTATTCCGATTCCTGCAGGATCTGGTTCTTGATTGCGTGCGCGGTGTCGTTGCTCTCCGTCGGACTCTACGAGCTGGTCAGACAGCGTCATGGTCTCAGGAGAGTTCTTTATACACGTACAGAAACAAATAGGTTGGAAGCACCTGACCAAATGGAGCTTGGAGGAAGCAAAATCCTCACACGCATTCGATCCCAGGTTGGAGAGCCCACATATCCCGACGGAGTGGTTTGGCTGGTTCAAGCCAGTCTGGAATATTCCAGAGAGCTACATCGCCGAAAATGTTGGACTGGACGCTGTCATGTATGCCCATACCTGTCCTTCAACTGCTTCACCGAACGCCATTCATTTGCTATCCATTCTCTTAGGTTCCTCCGCTTCATGCGCATGTGCTTCACAATTATAGCGATCCTTACTTGTGTCCTCATTCCCATCCTCATACCGGTGAACTATTACGCCGATCGGTCAGTTCCCCCACCTCCGAATCCTAGCGGTAACTCGACAGCGCAAGGAATCAATAAAGCGTCGCTCGATCGGTACTCCCTCGCGAACATACCTGAGGGGTCTCCGTCTCTATGGGCGCATGTGGTGTGCGCTTACATGGTGTCCTTTGTTGCATATCATATCATGTTCATCTCGTACAGAGAATACGCAAAACTAGCTACAGGTAGAATCATCTGAGCTTTGCGGAGGCATATTTTTTGATGCTAACATGATCCTTACTACAGAATATATCTACGCGGGTAGCGGGTGGGGGAATAAACGTCCGCCGGCATGGCGAAAGGGAGAGCTCTTGCAATTGCGCAGTGTGATGCTGCGTAACTTACCTCCGGAGCTCCAGACAGAGGAAAGCCTGAAAACATATTTGGAAGGTCTCGAGATTGGATCGATCGAAAAGGTAGTGATCGACAGAGACCCAAGCAACATCGTTTCCAAGCTGTACAAGCAGCGCGAGCGCGCTCTGAAACAGTTGGAGCGTGCTTACGTCGAGTGGCTCAAGGCCATACACTTGGAGCGTCAAAAGCGACTCGGAAAGCGTCAGCGAGTATTTTTCACCCCCGGCACGCTGTTGCGAGTGCAAGCCGCGCCACTCAACTTGCAGGAGATCGGCTTGGACGAATTCGGTATGATCCGTTTAAGGCCGAAGAGCCGAAAGAGGAGAAGAGAAAAAGTGTGCAAAAAAAAAGGGGACACGTCGTCGTTCGGCGCCGAAAATGACAGGATCGAATATTATAGCAAGAAGTTGACAGCTTTGACAATCAAACTCAAATATCTGAGACAAGTGGGATCGACATCGCACCCGATCGTTGCCGAAACGGCGACTGTAACGACAACGAATGCAGCAGGTTTCGTGACCTTTGGCACCCAGCGTTCCGCACAAATAGCAGCCCAAGTGTTACTGCATGACTCCGACAGCTACTTCCCTATGTCTGTGACCCTAGCACCTCCTCCACAAGATGTAGTCTGGGAAAACCTTTCAATCTCTGCATGGCGGCGCTTCGTCCAGTCATGGGCGATCACTGGCCTATGTTTTGTCCTAACGTTTTTCTGGATCATACCGACCGCCGCTGTCGCTTCGCTAACGAGTATAGACTCACTGGCGCGTCTGCCGGCGTTCAAAGATTTCTTCGGAGGCCTGGACAAGAACTCGCCGCAGGTCTACCTTATCGTAACCAAGATCGGGCCAGCCTTGGTTGTCAATTTAGTCAACTTGGTTGTGCCCATCATCTTCGAATGTGAGTTCTTTTCTCTGACTTCAAGTCCCGTCCGAGTCGTATACTGACGGCAATCCATTTTAGTCCTCTCCTACCGACAAGGAATATATGCCCACTCGCAGGTCGAGATCGCCACCATGTCCAAATACTTCTTCTTCCTCCTTTTCAACATATTCTTCGTCTTCTCCGTTGCGCAAACCATCATTCAAGTGGCCGCGGAGTTCCTGCGTAATCCGATCAGTATTGTGAACTTGACTGTTAGCCTGCTGCCCTCAGCGGCTTCCTTCTATATTACTTACGTGAGTGTCTCGGCCGAGTGTTCCTAGGGAACGAGCTCCCCATTGCTGCACAACTTACTAATCGGGTGCGGTCCCCCCCAGATCATCCTGAACCTGATGATGTTTCCTCTTGAGTTACTTCGTCCCGGTGTGATGCTACTGCAGTTCATTGGAAGATGGGTCTGCCAGACCCCGCGTGATTTCCATGGGCTGAGCATCCTGTCCAGCTCCCTCAACTATGGTAACGACGCATCAGCCATTCAATGTTCTGTCATGTTGAGAGAGATTCTGACTTTGCTACATTTTCAGGAATGCTTTATCCTATCCACGTCCTGATCTTCGTCATCGTTATATGCTATTCCACAATCGCACCGATCATCCTTGTACCGGGCTCGCTTTATTTCGCGTTGGGCTGGTTCGTTTTCCGGAATCAATTGTTGTTTGTGTATGTGAAGGAATGGGAAAGCTACGGATATCGTAAGTTCATCGGATGCTCACACATCGTAAATCGTCTTCAAAGGCACTCATCCCGCTTTACGCATCAGATTGGGTTCTCGCCTTCCATAGGTGTACGGTGGGACTGGGCATCTACCAAGTTCTCATCGTCGGACTGCTGGCCTTGAAAAATTCTCCAACGGCGTCAGCGCTTTGCGCACCTCTAGTCGGCTTCACTATTGTCTTCCACATCTATTGTCGCAAGATCTTTGGAAAAAGGAGTCACTTGATCCCCTTGGATCGGTTCAGCAAAACCTACTCCGTCGGAAGCGATCCCGGTTCTCACTTACACCCGACGAATGGCAGAGATGGTGAGTACGAACTCACGCCCATCGACTCGCGGCCCTCAAATGAGATATCGCACCGAAAGGGGTCATTGGCGACAAACGCCTCCTCATTCGCATCTCTGGAGCGGCGTGTGAATGACGACCAATCCGACGTGTCAGACCAGGAACTGGAGATTGTCACATCGGCGGAACAGCATGCGGCGGATCGGTACCCGACGAGTTATCGGAATCCGGTCTTTTCCAAACCACTACCGAGGCCGTGGTTGCCTGTGAGTATGGCGGCGTGGTGGGGATTGCCTCCGCAAGTGGGTCCGCGACCGGAATCGGCAAGCAGCAAGGCTGCCAGGAAGAGTGGATCGTTCCCATCGACGAGGGGTTCGGTGGAACGGGGAATGGTGGCGCAAACAGCAGGTACGCTCTAGAGTCAAGGTCTGACATGTTTCGAAGATCACCTAACGCCTAATCCACCGTGTAATCATGTGTAGATGATACATCACTGCCACCAGATGTGGAGCGAAACATTCCATCGGTCGAAGAAGCCGAAGACGTTCCTTTGGAAGCAGTCCCACTGCCGCACATTCAGATCGACTACCACCATCACACGGCAACACCAGTGCCGGACGATGAGACGGGGCATATGAAACCATCCGCCTCCGACGCGAGTTTGAACATGGTCCCAAGTGCGAGCATGGAGAGTTCGATGAATTTGATACAACGCTGAGGTATCATTCAGCATTGTGGAGCGTATAATGTAGATAGACATACTGTACATACAGATTTTGGATTCCCAACTTGCAGCTTATTATAATTTTGTACAGCACCTAATATGTGGATTGAAATGCTGAAATGTTATGGTGTGCGGCAGTATGGCTTGCAAACCTTTGCAGGGTCTAAATAATCTGTAAAGTTTCGCCGACCGCAGTTCATATAGTAGCTTGCGATATTTTAATGGTAATCCTGTGGGCTGAGGGCCTCTTCTGGTATCTACTGTAGCTCGAATAAAGTCAGAAAGGCTCAGAACAGGACCATATCGACGGATGTTGACGTGTTTTTTGCCCATCTTGAGTTCGAACCCGCACATGCCACCGAAGAAGACATCAGCGACACCAACACTGACGTCCTTCCCATATGAGGTAAGTAATGCGGCTACATAGGGGTTCCCAGGCCTAGCCGCGCATCCATGAAAGCTTCTCCGTTCAGAGTTCGCTTTAAATTGTGGGTCTTTCCTATTCTCGCAGCTCGCCGATCTTACTTGGGACGCGGAACATAATGAGAACACACAGAAGAAGTACTGTTATTGTGGGAAGGATAAGGCGAGATCGTCCGTTCCTGGCGAGACCTATGAACCCATGTTGAGGTGTGGGACTTGTAGGCAGTTGTTCCATTCTGGTGAGAGAGGGATAGCCGGAACTGGGTTTTCGGGCGTCTGTGCGAAGCCCCGGAACTGAAAGGCTGATTTTCAACGGATGCGCCAAAAGATTGCGTAGGATGCCTTTCGAACAAGCTTCTGCAAGGAGACACCTTTTACACGTTCAAATGCTCGGTTTGCGGAAAAGGGCGGCAGGAGTATGAGCGACCGGCTATGAGTTGGTAAGGTGATCATTGTTCTCGAAGATGTCTTCAAGGGAGCCATACTGATAGAGAGCCAGGCTGAATATCACGCATTTTGCGGTGTATACACTCTTACGGCAAAATCCAGCGAAGGAGTTTGTCCGGTGGAAGGAAGAGATATGCCTGTTCATTGACACGCACTGGGAGTATCTGAAACCTGGGAAGCCTCGTACGTAGGGCTTCGTAGCATTTGATCCCTCAAGGAATGCACCTCACCCCAGTGGGTTCGACTTGTAGGTTCCCCAACGTGGCACAACACGGTCGCAAGTATATTGTCCACCTCGCATGGGAAGGACAAGGTCTTCAAATCGGGAACGGAGAAGTTTGGACAGCCAGGTGCGTTCCTGACGTACTTCGGGCACCATCTGTGGCATGCATTGAGTCACGGCGTGTAGGATACTGGGGCCTGAATGTATTGAAACCTCCGGAAAGTGGTACTGCCAAGTCTGGGGTGAAACCCAGGGTAAGCGGTTGCAAAAGATGCCAAGGGCATGTACGGGGTTCTGATGGTGATGCATGTCTCAGGAACTCAAGAACACTCCGAAGGAGAAGGATTCTACGCCCACCAGAGTGTCGCAACCTCATGTTAGGAAGAAAAGGGACCGAAAGCCGATCGATGATGGAGCTGTTCGCACGGGACGGTTGAAGGCGGAGCCTTTCGACGAGAGTAAATGCACTCGCTCAGGCATTGCAGGTCCGTCGCTCAAGGTACATCGAACGTCATTACGTTATGGTCAATGCTGCAGTGGCTCACTTATGTGCAACAGCGCAAACTTTCACTCGAGGACGTATCGGATGCGTCGCTCACGAAGAAAGTAAAGAGCGAGCCCCTCGATGTACGCACTGTCTGATGCCAAACTCTGTTTCTCTCTCCGATGTGACGTTCTTCCGCTCTTGTAGAATGAAAATGGTTCTGTCCCCGCGACCGCAAACACTAGTGGAAAGCATCTGCCCGCATCTAAGCCTATCCTCGCACCCAGGCAAAGAAATGACCGGCATAAACCAGTGTCAGAAGACGAAACAGACATTTTTGGGGACGATGACTCGGACCTCTCCTCGCTGTCGTCCATCGAAGACAGCGATGATGGTCGGGGCAACCCCTCACATCATGCTTCGGCTGAGAAGCAATCTAGAATTAGGTTTGGGGGTCTTGGCAAAGGAAAGGGAATAAGCCGCGTGGAGGCAGAGGGGTATGCAAACTCGTCAGACGTACGTCGGAGATCATACCCCTCTGTACTGTCGGCTGACGATGATGAGGAAGACGAGGAGCCGGAGGATTTCACCGATGATTTGGACGAAGAAGACCAGGATGACACAGATTCGGATACAGATACGGATGAAGAGCTTGCCTCGGAAACGAGGCCATTGGCCCCAGAAGCGAATCATAAAGCACGCGATACCTCTTTTCCATCTGCGAAGCCGAAGGTAAGTGGTGGCTTGTGGGCCTCATTCCATTTTCCAGTTTGACTGTACTGACGACATTCATATTTTGCTAGTATCATACCTTTGTAACTCCCGAACAAGAATACAATCTCCTCCAATTGCTTTCCGATGCCGCAAACCCTCTCCCACCAGCGGCCGCGCGTCTTCGGCGAAAGATCCAACTCCGGCGACACAAACGCACGGTTGGCGCCCGGTTGTTTGATTTTGATTCCGTCGTATCGCGATCCCTGCGGGACCCGCACCATCGCAGGAAAGACTCAGAGCCAACGCACAATGCTCCATCTTCTGTCAGATTGACACCGTTAATCTACCGGGAGCCGGACGGCATACCATCGTTGGTTACCCTAGCCGACGGGCGCATCGCGAAACTCATTATTCGTGGTATGGACTCCAAGCTCGCTTTACAGCGATTCCGTGCGGTCCGCCATGTCTCTCATACGAAATATGAGCACTCGTTCCTGTCCCGCATTGAAGGCCAGCTCACTCCGAAGGTGACGGTGTCGCCATACTCGGGAAAGCCTCTTCCATCCTATGTCTGGCGTAGCTACCCCGACGGTCCTGCTGCCGCCACAGCTCCGCCTCAGCAACGCATGTTGGAGATAATCTCCGGCAAGTCGCGGCCCATCGATTACAAACATCTCGACTCCGCCCATCTCAGTGCGGTGAATGACCTGCTTTCGAGGGTGTTCTGGCCTGGCATCGACGTCGCTGAAGCGCTCACATACCCGGAATACACGCTGGTCGCGTTGTACGGGCGTGTGGCTATAGGAGTAGCCGTCATGACTCCTGAGGGATATCTCAGTTACCTCGCTGTTAAAAGTGGATGGAACGGTGCCGGCATAGCAAGGTTTATGCTCTTCTATCTGATTCAAGCCGTATCAGGAAAGGACATTACACTCCACGTTTCCGCAAACAACAAGGCGATGGTAAGTCTGCCGCACGTTGTTTATGACTTTGTTTGCGGATGTTAACAAAGCCCGCTCACTTCACTTTTCTTAATCCAGTTGCTGTATCAACGCATGGGTTTCAAGCCGGAGGAGTTCATAGTTGGGTTTTACGACAAGTACCTACCACCGGAAAGTACCGCCTGCAAGAATGCTTTTTTTGTCCGCCTAAGGAGATGAAGCCCGTTCGACCTGGTCGGTCGCGCTTCCTTTGGTTCCCATACATCATCCGTCATATACCCATTTCACTGGTTGACTTATTTATTATGCATATGCAATCTTTAATTCCTATTGTATCGGAGAGGAAACCTGTACGTAGTCCTTTAGCTTCATTCTGTGCATTGGAAATATCGGTCTGGAAGACCCAGCGGAGGAGTCGGAGCCAACGACTGGCCAACGAACGCGCTGTCATATTTCTCAGAAAGAGGCCGTTTTTTTCGAGAAAGAGGACGAAATCAAGCAGAGAGAGTTCCCAGCTGAGAACGACAACAACATGGGCAAACGTCTCAAAGCAGCGCTTGTCCACCAGCGCTATATGCAAGAAGTTTATGCGAAAACAAAGCAGAAGCAGGAGAACGCACAAGCAGCGGTTGGAGGTAGCAAAGGCCGGAATCCGAAAAAACCGCGGGTAGAACAACGACCCGAGGCCCTAGTGAAGGCAGGAGTCGCAACGGGAGCAGAAAAGGCTGCCAAGAAGAAACGACCGTCCGTATTTCCGTTTGAAGAGTGGGACTCGATACTTTTTGTTGGAGAAGGTTGGTTGAGCGGAGACTATTATCGAAACCTGCACATTTTTGGACATACGGGACTCATATGTTCATCTTGTGTTGGACAGGAAACTTCAGCTTCGCACATGCAGTCGCTGAAAAGCTTCATGGAGCATGCACGATTCTTGCCACGTCGTTCGACGATGAAGCAACCGTTGCCGAGAAGTACCCCGACGCTGCAGAACACATCCAGGCGATCGTTGAGCTGGGCGGTAAAGTAATGCACGGCGTGGACGCAACGGAATTAGATACCTGGAAGCATGCGAAAAAATTATCGTTTGCCAAAATCGTTTTCAACTTCCCCCATGTCGGTACGTCTCGTCTTCCATTTGAATGGAAGAGCCCTACGTTCCTTTCGGGGTGATCTGATTTGGTTCATAGGCGCCGGAATCAAAGACAAACACCGTAACATCCTTGCAAATCAAACCCTCCTCTTCAACTTCTTCCATTCCGCTCTTCCCAAACTCGCACCATCAGGAGAAATCCTTGTCACCTTGAAGTGCGGCGATCCATATGATCTCTGGGACGTCAAAGCGCAAGCCAGAAAGACCGGGCAGCTGAACAGTTCGCGGTCATTTGCATTCGATGCGGACCTTTACCCGGAATACTCGCATAGGAGGACATTGGGATTCGTGGAGGGCGTCTCGGTTGGATCGAACGAGGAGATTCTAAAAGCAGGCGTTCCAAGAATGTATGGGTTCGTTCGGAAACCTGAGAAAGATGAAGAAGACGGAACAAGTGTGGCGGGCAAGGGAAAAGCTAAAAGGATTAAAGGTAAAGATGGGAAGGGTAAGAGAAAGCGCACAGAGAAGGATAGTGATAGCGATGAGTAAACCAGCGCTCGAGATTCCGGTCCCAATGTTCTTATATTAGATAGATAGATTTTGTAGATATGTGCATGCAACTTGATATGGTTCTCGCGCGTTGCGCACAGAACCAGATGATTAAGTGTTGTTTGCCGCCCAAAATGCAGTTGTTCTCGACTTGATTGCTCATTTGAATGCTACACCTGCCGGTGCTCCCGCACAGGTCGCCGGTGGCGATAAGTAATTGCTGCTTGTCAAGGCCATTAATGCGGAAGCGAAAGTGAGCAGCTGTGCTCGCCACGGCTGCGCATTTGGTCGTCGTGAATCCTCGAACGAACAGAGTGCAAGGTCACAGCATATGGGTCTTGACGCATGGACCGCTCGCCTTTCCTTCCACCAGGCCCGGGAAGACACGCACAGCAATGACGGAGCATTTCCCAATTCAAGCCCTAACGCGGGCTTTCGTCGCGCGTATCCCAGGGAGGCCGTCCGCACGCTCATCCTCGGGCATATTTCACAGTTTGCTTCTTCTGCTTCTTGCCGGATGCTGCCGGCGTCGGTTGAAACCCGGATCCTCCACCCCGGCCCAGCATTGGGGCGACCTTAGAGCCCAAGCGGATTAATCTACTATTATGAAAGTGCTTGGTAGCAAAGCTTCATCGTCCCTGTACCTTTTGCCAAATCTTGTAAACCGCGAAGAGAGGTATGATCAAGTATGTCCACCAAAATTCTAGTATAAGACTGATCAGTCCAAAGGCCAATGCATCGACTTCTTGGCGTTGTTGACTACTCACTCTCAGAGATGATTGCAGTGCTCACCAGCACGAACCATCCCACATAGATCACATCAAACATGTACGGCACCACAAGGCCGGACTCATCGTTCAAATCCTGTCCTGCGTGCTTCACAGCTCCCGTCTCGTCGACGCTCGGTTCAGCAGCCGACTTTAGCGATCCGTATAGATAGTAGAAGATGCCATTGACGAGAAGAAACCCGATAGCGACGGCGATGCTGAAAGAACTCCAGCGGAATGCTATCCGGTATAACGAGTAAAGTGCGACAACGATAAGGTGGATCTGCAGCGTGCTTTTCAGCCGTGCCGCGTTGGTGACCAATAGTTTTTTGGCGGAGGAGTTGGCCTGCGGTGGGATTTGAGGTCAACTTCGTTTCTGAACGGGAGGATGGCAAATGCCGAAGCAGTGACACAAACGGGCATACCATCTTCGCTATATGTGAACAAGGGTGGAGGATGCAGCTGGTAAAGTCTGCGGACTCGGAGCGGAGTTATAACTAGTTCTGCGAAGACGGGTGGGCTTCACAGGCTGTGCACTTTTGGGAGTTTCGGAGTGCAATGTGGACAGAGGAGGGAGCCGGAAGAGCTGGGAAGCATGGAAAGCGACCCCAAAGTGACCGCAACAAGTCGTCAGGTCGCAATTGCCCGTCATTTCACCATTTCTGTTCAGTCCGAGTCTGCTCCGCCTCTGGCCCCGCACATTAGCTCATAGTATCCAGCTTACTTCGTTGCAAACAACCGATACTCCGTTGGACGTCTCATTTGTAGCGTAGCACCCTACAGTCCTACACATTGTTGAACGCGACGGCCGGTCAAGATGTTGTGCAGATTGGGAGCACCGGAGGCCAGAAAGGTGGCAAGCATAGGGGTAGGAGTGCGACCGCTTTCACGAGCGTTGCGTCCGCAGGGTATATCAAGAGGCGGACTGCCACCCTCGAAACGGCGAGCGTTTGTCTCCCTCCCGCAAGCAACGCCAAGGGAGCGCACGCTTCTCTTCCACGGTACACAGTACGGAAGACGACGAGGATACACCAGCGCCAGTGGGCAGATGTCGGAAGAAGTGCTTACTCCAATTGCCAGTTTCCGGTCGCTCGTAGAATCCCTGCCTGTTTTTCGCTGCGATGCTAGCAAAGTGCACATTTTGGATGAACCTGCCGATTTCTACAGGGAACTGGAGGTGGGTGGTTACTGCAAGATACCCTGTTGAGGAGATTGGTTCGATTGATTTGTTTCCTTCAGAAAGGGATTCTGTCCGCGAAAACTCGGATAGTCCTTGCTTCTCTATATTTGGGAGAAGGGGAGAAGCGGGTAGCCGAAGCTCTCCACAAAGCTCTTGCGAATAACCCAGATTTGGAAGTGACGCTCCTTCTCGATTACTTTCGGGGGACCCGAGGATCAACAAACAGCGTTTCTTTGTTGGCCCCGCTTGTCGAAGCCTTTCGTGGGCGAGTCGCCTTTCGCCTATACCACACGCCCGCACTTGGGACATTGTTGCAAAAAATCGTGCCGCCACGGTTCAATGAGGGGTTCGGACTGCAGCATATGAAGATTTACATATTTGATGACGATGTGATGCTGAGCGGGTGAGCACCCACCCTTTCGGACGGTTGCACCGGACATGCCGCATGCTGAACCACCTCCCCACAGCGCAAATCTGAACACAGACTACTTTGTCAATCGACAAGATAGATACGTGATCTTTCGAGATACCCGTCAGCTTACGGATTATTATGCAGACCTGGTCGACGTTGTTGGCAGCTTTTCCTTCAAAGTATCGCCCGATACGGTCGGTCCACCACAACTTCACCCTCCATTCGCTCGCTCAGATGGCCGTTTGGACCGCCCCGCATTGAAAGAGAATGCATCTCGATTGTTGCGGGCATTCTGCGAGAGGTGGCATGCCGCAACCGCCGCTTTGCGGAAAGACGTTCTGGAGGCGGTTCAGGCCGAAACAGCACGGGCAAGAAACACCCTGGACACCCTGGTGTTACCTTTGATACAGGTTGGCCCGTTGGGCATTCGACAGGAAGAGGATACGTTGAACAAGCTATTGGCGGCATTGGGGAGTCGAGACCCGGGAAAAACCGCACCAGGGACGGACTTGTCTACCAAGTGGACGGTACACCTCAGCTCAGGGTATTTGAACTTTCCAAAGTTCATGGTGGAACTGCTGGCCAACTCTGCAGCAGTTTTCAGGATCCTCACTTCTGCGCCAGAGGTGAGCGAGAGACGATAGTACTTACATTCTTACAGGTCATTCAGAGACTGACTGCATGTGATTACGAAGGCAAACGGCTTCTTTGGCTCTAAAGGGGTCTCCCGACACCTCCCGGCAGCATATACGTACCTGGAAAAGAAGCTTCTACAATCCGTCACGGAGGTTGGACGGCGCGACACGGAGTTCCTGATCAACGAGTGGAAGAAACCTGGATGGACATTCCATGGGAAAGGGTTATGGTGCACGCCACCGAAGGAGTCTGATCCAGTATTGACGGTGATCGGGTCTTCGAATTTTGGTTATCGGTCGGCGTACCGGGATGTAGAGGCACAGGCGGTGTTGATCACGGCGAATAAGGAGTTGAGGGGCAGAATGAAAAAGGTTCGTGGTGACAAGTTAGTAGTGAGACGAGCTTGGAGGAAAACTCATTGCAATTCTCTCTTTCAGAATTTGGACGCCTTGTGGGCTCATTCTGATACCGTTACTCGTGATGATTTGAACAAGCCCGAGAGAGTGGTTCACCCTGGAGTGGCTATTACCACGCGCGTTATCAGGACGATGCTGTGAAAGGCCTTCGACAGCCCTTTTTAAAGCTAGGGCACTCCCTAACGGACACGGCGTATCCATTGCTTAAGAACGGGACTTACGGCGGTAGTCCTTATCCATTTTTGGACCCTAAGCTTATGCGTGTTATCTCTAAAGCGTTGTTTATTTCAATATATATGGAGAACATATTTGACGGAAACTACATGTGGCAGGTGATGGAAGGAACGATTCGTTCGGCATCCGCCTGCCATACCAGACGCAGAATATCCAAGGATCGAGCACAAATCAGCGGCCAAAACTAAAGAACACAACGCCAAGGAAACCTTCCTCTATAGGACTAACCGCTCCTTCGCCTGCACCCCGTCCTCCTCTGCGTCCGCGTCGTCCCCTGCGGCCAACGTGTTCTCCGACCTCGGCCTCGTTTCCGAACTCCTCCCCAGCTGACTCGGGCGTCTCGGCCCATAATCGTATCTTCCACTGCTTGTCCCTTTCGAAATGGACGACGCCCGCCCCTTCCCGGGCGCCGCGCCGTCCGACGGTCCAGTGGAGGCGACAGAGGTGTCGAAGGTGTCGTGCAACTCTTCCTGGAACGCTCCGCTGCGCCGGCGTAGCGTGTCGCGGATGTTGTTCACTTCGGCTCGGAGGAGATCTACTTCCTCGGACGTGGTTGGGAGGTCTTGTAGCGAGCGCTCGAGGTCGGCGAGGATTTGAGTTTCCAAGATCATGTCGACGGCAATATTGTCGCCGCTGGAAAGAGAAGCAGGATAAGTATGACACGAGGGGTAGCTCATGCATATGAGAACTCTGCGCCGCTCTCAATGGTAGCTGGACTAAAAGCGTTAGATCGCAGGATAAGTACTCACAAGAACTTTCGTAATTTCCGCATCTTCCTCTTCTTGCTCTCCTTATTCTCCTCCGGATTCTGCGCACCGCTCACAGATCCTCGTGGTGTCTTGTCGTAGGCACCTTCTGCCGCATCGCCAGCATCTCCAACCCTCTCCTCAGGCAAGGTGATCTGGGTCAACGCATCTAGAATATCCACGGCATTCTTCGCGTTCGTTACCAAGAAGGACAACCCGACGATACTCCTCCGCACATGGTCTACCTCCTTCTGCTGAGCCCCGGATGGCAGCGTCGATATGATGGCCTCGACTGGGGGCAGGTGGCCCAATACGCGTTCAAGTTTGGATGCCTTCTTCTGGAAAGATTTCTTCTCATCGAGCGTCAAGGGGCGGTTGATGACCGGGGGCGTGTTGGTTACCGTCGCCTTGGCGGTTTGGATATCCGTGACGCCGATACGCTGGCCCATCAGGTTAGAGATTTTGTCGAGGCGACGCTTGTGTGCCTGCTTGGACTCCGGGTCGTCATCCTCGGACTCGGAAGCGTCTTTGTCCATACGTAGCATGGTCGATGAATGCGATGCGGACACCTGCGTCGAGCCGATCCCTCCTGAAGCGGCATTATCTAGTGTGCCCGAGAGAGCTTGCGTCGAGGGACCAATACCGGTGGCCTTCTCCTTCTCCTGCCTACCATGAACGACCTTCTTCGAGATGGTCTTTTCGTCCAGCGATTCGCCCAACATGCTGGCAATCTTCTTGGTTCTCTTTTGCAGGATCCGGCGTTCCTCTGGATCCAGCTCGTTTACGGTCTCGCCAGGCGCCAGACTTTCCGCCGCAACATGTACCTCCAACGGATCGCCCGCCTCCCAACTCGAGCTGGTCGGGTTGGTGGTTGCGGCCGCCGTGGACGAGTCCCGTACCAACTGCTGCACCCGTTTCTGCTGGCTGGGTAAACGATCTCCGAAGAACTCTTCCAGCTTCTCCTTCTTCTTCCGTCGTTGGCTCTGGCTCCTCGGGTCGCTCTCATCGACATCGCCATCGTCGCCGTCGGCAAGGTCTGCGTCGGAAAAGGCAGCTCCGACTAGATCCTCCAGCGACTCCCGCGTGATCCCCTGCACGGATCGCAAATAGGATGCGGAAGCGTACGCGATCTGCTGCTGCACCAGCTCCACGGACGGCCGCTCGCCGAAGAACTTGGCAAGCCTCTTTTCCTTATTCATGCGCGTCTGCTTGCTACTCCATTTGTTGCGATTCATCTCGTTGAAGTACCCCTCAACAGAGCGGGAGAAATGCGGGAAGTAGTTCACGAGGACGCGATTGAGCATTTGCTCGCGAAATTTGATGGTTGTCGCAGCGGCTTGTGGAGTCGCTGTTTTCCCCGGTGCGCTTTGGTTTTGCGAAGCGGTTTTTTCGAGAAGGGGAAGAACGAGCTTCAGGAGCTCGGGGCTTCCCTGGAAATGGTTCGCGAATGGGCCGGCAATCTTCCCTAGCTGATATGTGTCGCCATCTGGGAGGAAGTCCTGTCTAGATGAGAACGGGCCCGACAAATTTGAAATATTTCGAAGCATGGAGAGACGTACCAGATTGCCTGGCGGCCATATAAATCTGATGCCTCGAATTTTCTTCGAATCGGACAAACGAGTGATTTTTCAACATCGAATACACCTGTTCCTGCGCTTCATCGAACACCGTGCGATCAACATTCCCAGCATTCACTCCAATGATGGTCTGCAGATCCCTGCATATCTCGGGTGAGAAGTTCACTTGCAAAGGCGACCCAGGCGCGATGTAGTTCAAGTAGATGTATCGTGCGAAAGTAGGGCGTATTGACGCCTGCGAAGATTGGAAAACCTCCACATCAATCCAGAAGAGAAGGTTTTCGATCGTGTACTCCTCCAAACAAAACTCGGAAAGGTACTTCAAAGCCATTTTGTTGCGAAGGTACAATTGAATGCGGTCGTCCAGCGATGGCGGGGCCTCTCCTGGCTGGCGGCTCAGTGTATGGGCCGTGGCTGTGGACGCTTTACGAGCTGGTAGCGGGCTGTACGCATCTTCCGTTGCCAAGGTGGCTACTTCCGTTTGTGCGTTCACGGACTCTCCCGAGGTCGAGAGGGCTTTGTCGGTCAACTGAAGGGAACTTGACTCATCTCTCGGCGTCAAGTTGCGATAGACACTCTCGCCTATGAAAGTTGGATTGGTTTGCTGCGAAAAATATGGCTCGCAGCTTCCGTTTGCCCTTACCTTCGAAAGAATTGATAACGGACACCTTGTCCATGTACTCCAGAACGTCCCCCACCGTATCCGAAAAGCGCAAAGCAAGCTGGCCTGCGTTGTACATTTGGCCAATTTGCAACGGATCCGGTCGTCGTGAGTCGACGGTTCTGCTAGGTCCGCCGTCTTCCTGATAGAAATATCTGTACGCATAGTCGGCCTCAATCATCCTTGCCAAGCCCTCCACAGTCTCAGCCCTACTTATAATGATATCAAAGTTGATCGAGCTTCCAACGATGGTAACATGAATCTTGGCAAACAGCTGAATGTGCTCCGAGATCCGTTTCTGTTGCTTCGTCAAGACCCGTGCGATGCGGATGCGACGTTCATTTTCGCTTTCGGCTACCGCCTCCAAGGGTGTGCTTCGAGGTTGTGACTGCTGGAATATCGAAGTTCGACGGGATTGATCCCTTGACGTCCGAGACACTCTGTCCTCCTGCTCTTTTTGACACTCCCAAGGGAAAGTGTTGTCAGAGCCTGATTGCTGGCTGCCACTGCTGGACAGACGACCGCGCTCCTGCTGTTGCTGGGAGGCGGCAGCTTCAGAGCCTCGGCGTTCAGAAGGGGATTTCGGGGAATCAGAATTGAGGTCGTTACCAGGCGAACGGCTGCGGCCGAACTTCTGGCTGAAAGAGAGAGAACGGAGGCGGCCGGTCCTAGGCGCCTCATCGGCGCCCTGTTGCCCAGACATAACCGCTTTTCTGTCGGCCGCTCTTACGAAAGGTGGCAGAAAGTGGGAGAGTATGGGAAAAGATACTGACACTGGCTTCTTATCGGGCCTGGATCTGGATGGTGTAGGATAATCGGAGAGAGTATGCTTGCGAAATGTAGAAATGCGACATACAACACTGAATGCAAATATGGCCCAAGAATTTCAATATAAACACAATGGATTTACGGCAGGGGGGTCTTACTACTACTGGTCATCAATCCGATCGGACTGGCTGTCTGTTTGTCCCGTCAGAATCGGACCCAGAAGTCGGAGAGACGCTGTTAAAAGGCGTGAGCCAATCAGCGTGCGTGCTTACGTTATAGAACAGACTCCTGTCCGCTTCTGATGATGTCCACGATGTGAGGAGTCGTGCCGTCGCCCTAAAGATTTTTTCCCACGGAGAACCCATTGCAGGAGGTGCGAGGATTCCCACGGGCACAACAGACGCAGAACACACATCGCTTCTCTTTCGCTCTTTCCAAAGTCAACCCCTAGGGCCTCGCGTCGGTAAGTGTCGTTGCGCGAAGTATATCGGTCGCATAATCGACTGTGCTACGATCTCTACGACCTTGGCGTGTCGACCTCTCCTCGACGCAACTACTAACTTCTACTCACATCCCAGCAGTGACTCCCCTCTCTAAGTCGATATGGCGCAAACCATTGGCCCCGAGGGCTTGTCTCCAGAGGTCTTGAGCCAACTGGCAACGGTTTTGTTGCAGCTGTCTAGCGCAGACAATGCCGTTCGTACTGCCGCCGAAGCCCAGTTGAACCAGCAGCTCACCGCTCAATGTGCCCTACTTTTGTCTGCTCTGGCCAACCTTACCAAGCATCACCAGGACCAGCACGTGAGTCTGCCTTTCAGGGACTCTTCCCATTGTCCCATTGAATAAATCCTGAAACCATGTCAATGCAGCTCCGTTCGTTTGCGGCGGTCCTCTTGCGTCGCTTGGCTTTGAAAACTGCAGCCGGTGCTCCTGACGATGCTTCGTACTATGTTTGGATCGGTGAGCCGACCAGGCAATACATCCAGACGGAGCTTCTATCAGCGTTGCGCGATGAGCAGGCTTCTAGCACTCGACGAAAGGTTGCGGACACCATTGCGGAGCTGGGCAAGCACATGCTTGCTAAAGGAAGTACGATCTATTCCAGGTTTTGCCCTTTCCATAAACCTGGATTCTGCTCACACTCAGTCAAATCAGGTACCTGGAATGAACTCCTACACGCCATCTTCGAATGTGGCAGATCTCCCGCTGCCGACCACAGAGTGAGCGCTTTCCAGATTGTCGCCCAGGTACCGGGCCTCATCTCCGACACGGACAGCAATGCGATGAAAAGGTTCCTTGGAAGTGGACTGCAAGACGCCGCCACAGAGGTAGGCTTCCCTTGTGAGCAAGAAGATTGAGAGCGCGAGATTGAATTTCTGTTTTCATCTAGGTGAAATTGGAGAGTTTGCACGCCAGCGTCGCATATCTTCTGGAACTGGATGGCCCGCAGACAAACCCTTTCAGAGACTTTGTGCCAGAGATCTTGAATGTATGTTTCGCATTGTTTTGAACAATCATCTCGAGAATGAAACACGTTTACGAACGCAATAATGCAGGTTTTACCGGCTCTGAGCGGCGAAGAACAAGACGTGGAAACTGCTCTTGGATACTTGATCGAGCTGGCGGACATACATCCGAAACTACTCCGCCCATTGGTTCCGCAAATAGTCCAATACAGCACTGGCTTGATGACAAATGATGGTCTCGAACTTTCGACCCGTCAATCAGCTTTGGAGCTGCTCATGACTCTGTCGGAGGCTGCGCCTGCAATGATGAGGAAGAACCCGCAGTTCTGTCAAACCCTGGTCCCCATTCTCCTGGATTGGATGTCCCACTTGGAGGAGAACGAGAAGTGGTTTGATTCTGAGGACGAGGAAGATGAGGACGATGATGGAGATGACATTATCGCGGGAGAAGCTTTGGATCGTTTGGCCCGTGCTCTTGGGGGCAAAACTGTATTGCCGGTCACTTTCACCCTGATTCCTTCAATGCTGGCCAATGAGGATTGGCGAAAGAGACACGCCGCTATGATGACAATCTCCGCCATCGCCGAAGGATGCGCGAAGATCATGGAGGCTGAGCTGGCCACGGTTCTGCAGCTGCTCACACCTCACCTCCGCGACCCTCACGCACGAGTGCAGTGGGCAACCTGCAATGCACTTGGACAAATGAGCTCGGACTTTGCTGTAAGGAAACCTAAGTTGCACGCATACCTTTCTGCGATCCGTCATATCTTACATCCACACAACAGCCAACCATGCAAACCAAGTATGCCGATGTGGTTCTGACGAACTTGATACCCATTTTGGACTTCAAGGACTGCCCCAGGTGGGTGTTTGTCACGCCATGCATTTGTTTCGGGGGTTGACATTGACCTGTTCAATTGCAGAGTACAAGCTCACGCTGCGGCCGCGTTGGTGAACTTCTGCCAAGAAGTTGAGAAAGACGTTATTGCCCCATACTTGCAACCCATCTTCGAAAAGTTGTTGATTTTGTTGAACACTGGCAAGATCTACGTCCAGGAGCAAGCCATCACATCTATCGCAACCGTGGCTGACAGTGCGGGCGATCATTTTGTCAACTACTATCCGGCGATCATGCCTCTACTTCTCAATGTCTTGCGACAAGCTACCTCGAAAGAGTTCCGGCTTCTCCGCGGAAAAGCTATCGAATGTGCATCTCTTATCGCTTTGGCCGTCGGAAAGGAAGTCTTCGCAGCTGATGCTGCTCAGTTCATCGAGCTTCTGCGTATCACACAGGAGTCTATCACGGACGCGGATGACCCTCAGAGCTCGTACCTCCTCGCGGCCTGGGCCCGTCTGTGCAAGGTCATGGAAGCGGACTTTGTGCCTTATCTCGACTTTGTCCTACCGCCACTCCTCAAGAGCGCACAACTGAAGCCCGATTTCGCATTGATTGACGCCGATGAGGACGAGGAGGCTCTGAGAGAAAAGTACGACGAAGACTGGGAGATGCTCGTTGTCGATGGCCAGCGCCTTTGCATCCGCACCACGGTGTTGGAAGAGAAATGCACAGCCGTGGAAATGTTGATCTGCTACGCCAGGGAACTCGGCGCTGGTTTCGCGCCCCATGTCGAGAAGGTCATGTCCATAGTAGTGCCTCTCCTGAAGTTCTACTTCCATGAAGGCGTCCGTCACGCTGCTGCGGGCGTCATTCCCTTGCTGTTCACTTCGATCATCAAGGCACAAGTCTGTAAGTCGTCAATACGCCCGTCAATGATGCCAGGTCTCCCTGCTGGTAGCTGATCTTGCCTCTCTCGTATAGCTCCAGCGCACTTCAATGTTCCAGCCGTCTGGAATATGGTGCTCACCAGTATTATCGAATGCATTCAAGACGAAGTTGACAGCTCCTTCCTTGCTCAGCTCTACACAACAACGCAGGAGGTAGAGTGGGGGCTCAGCATGCATGAGTTGTCCTCGCGAACTTTACTCATGCCATCCACCGTTGCTTGTAAATGTTTTTAGACTTTGGAGATTCTTGGCCCCAACAGTACTGGCGACGACCTCCGATCCGCATTCGTTGTGGCAACAACGGGTCAGTTGAAGGGGTACTTCGAAAGGACCTCTGAAAGGAATGGTACGTCTAGTTTTGTCACGCTGTGGAGTCGGGGCGCGGGATGCAAATCGAGGAGCCTAAAAGAGGTCGACGGATTGTGTGGGTAACCATGCAGCTCTCCCTGATTGATGCGGCGTTTTACATTACACTTGAACTGATGCCCCATTGTTTGAGTGGAACATCGGTGATTCCTGGGAAAAGCCCAACTAACGGTTGTCTTCCCTACGATAGAATACCGTCAAGATGCCGATCACGACGCTGAAGACGAGGAAGCCCTGCAGAACGAGGAAGAGACGGATGATGCCTTCCTGGCGGAGCTAGCGTCTGCTTTGCAGCAGTTTTTCATACAGCATCGGGAGGCGTTCCTCCCTCAGTTTGACCAATTGGCACCCTATGTGCACACCTTCCTGGTGAGTGTAGAATTACGTTAAGGGATCGCTTACGTGAGTCTAACTGTTGCATATTTTTCAGACAAGCAACCAGACCGCAATGCGCCAATGGGCCCTCCTCGTCTACGATGATGTGATTGAGTACGCCAGCCCCGCATCTGCACGGTATCAAGCTCAATTCTGGGAGCAACTCGCCAAATGCGTGGTCGACCCCGCTCCGGAAATCAGGCAAGCAGCCGCCTACGGTGTCGGTATCGCCGCGCAAGTAGGAGGCCCGGCATATGTTCAGGGTGTTGCCGCTGCTATTCCCAGCCTGTTTGCAGTCATCAACGCGCCCGGTTCACGCGATGAGGGCAATGTCATTCCCACAGAGAATGCGATTTCCGCTGTGGGCAAGATTTGCCACCACATGGGACAGTCTGGTGCTTTTGACGTCAACCAGGTTTTGAGCGCGTGGGTCGCTGCTCTGCCTATCACGGAGGACACAGATGAGGGACCTGCCACTTACTCGTACCTTCTGGAGCTGCTGCAACAGTACGTCAAAATACCGTTCGTTTCATTTGTACCGCATCATGATGTCTTGAGTCCTCATGCACTTCATCCATTGCAGAAATCACCCCTCCATCCTCGGCCCCAACAACGCTAACCTCCCCAAAGTCGGGCTCATCCTTGCCGAAGCCCTTGCAGTAAACGACATGCTGGGCGACAAGCCCGAACTCACCGTCAGCGTTGTCGGCACCCTCCGCCAGCTCATGAGCAACTCTGACGCGTCCGTTCGCGAGCAAATCTGGAACAATCTCACACCGGAGAAGCGGAAAGTCCTGGTCAACAAGGGCTACGTATGACGCCCAAAGAAGTGACGCGACACCACATTTTACTCCCTGCCATCTCATAGCGACTCATCCTCGATCAACCACACCCTCATCCCTTCTTCCCGTTCTCGGCCTTGTTCCTTGTAGCCTATGTTGATCTCATCTAATCGTCCGGTTTCGCTTACGCATCGCCGTATATGTAGACTTGTCCGATCGAACTGTTTTGTATAAGTAGCATCGGTCCGTAGTTTCTTTTTCTTGATTATGGAACCCATCTCAACTTTTGTCTTCTTATGAAAGGCAGTGAGCATGCTCATGCACTTCTCAATCACTTTGAGGGTATGAAATAAACAGCTCATACGCCGCCAGAACGAGAGATGTACGAGATGCGCAAGGACACACCGAGAACCCAAATGCGCTCCTCCCACTAGCCCGCCGAGTCATCCTGCGGCAGATACCTATATGAGTTCGAGCTAGCCCTAAGACCCCGCAACAGCGCCGGGCTAAGCGACATGGACTCGCGTCGGTCGCTATCCCTTACGCGATCGCGCTGCTGTGCGATGACGAGATTGTTTTCGGATCGCGAGGAGAGTGCGTTAGCGGCTTGCATGCGCTGGGTGGTAGCTGCGGCGGCGGCGGTGGCAGAGAGACTATTATCTATGGTGGAACCTGGAGCGTGCGAAGACCGGCGCCGTTTGCGTTTCTTTTTAGCGCTGTTAGAGCGGGAGACGGGGCTTGTTGGTTCGTCGTCCATTCTGTGAGATATACGAGGTGGAATCTCAAATGTAAGTCTCTGAGCCATTTGGCATCGTCCCGCATCGAAGATCGTACCTGGTTGGGCTTGGACAGGGCGTAACATCTAGCACCGACGTGTTAAGCTCGGCGTCCTCTGCTTCACCCGCCTGACGCTTCTCGATTTGCCCACATGGCACTACTGGGGGTGGAGTCTCAGTCCGCAACGGCGGTATCATCGCGACCTCGGGATGTATCCTCACAGCCAGCTTCTCCGGGTGCGTTCCAGGCGCAGTCGTCGATGTGATCTTGCCTGCTGTGTCTTCCCTCGGCTTTGTAGGCTCGTTTGGGATGAGGGATGCCGTGGAGACTTGTCTTGACGGCGGTGGTGGTTGCTGCTTTACAGCTGGCTTCCTTTTCCGGAACGAGATCATGGCGAAAAGGTTGGACAGAATCCAGCCGAGCGCGAAGGCAATGACTGTGATGAGAGCTTGAACCCCTATTTGGCGAGGGATCTGTGGACAGCTTGCGGTTTGAGAGGACACTCGGTGATTCAATACAGTATGACCGCCTGAGACTCTACCTGCTTTTCTAATACGGTGATCAAACGATCGACTTCAGCGATCTTGTCGCCCGCGTCCCGCTTCTGAGATTCGATCTCCGAGAACATATGTGACCAGGACGTAGTATACTCTGCATGCTGTTAATCCAATCCATGAACAAAGCTTTAGAAAGGACTTACGCGGTGAATCATGGAGAGTAACTAGCCACTCACCAATTCATTGAAGATCCCATACAACGTGCGATTGAAGTGCGTAAACAGACTATCGAATCTCTCCCGCTCTCTCACCGCCGAGTGCCCGAAAATCTCATTGAGTGCTTTGCTTTGTTCCTCCAGGAATGCGTATGACAACGTGGCGTTGCGTTCCAAGACGGCGAGTCGTTTCATAATGGTCTTGAAGATGCTTTCTTGTGTGCCGCCCCCGGCGCTTCCGCCAGGGCTGGGGATGCCGCTATGTCCGCCATTGTTGATACTGCCTTGAGCACTCGCGCCGGAATACATATTCGCGTTTCCGTTCGGAATGGCAGGTAAACTCTGAGATGTGGTCGGTGCGCTGTCCTTTGGTTCGGTCAAAGAGGATAGACGATCTTCCACACTGCGCGTCACTGATGCTTCCGATGGCGTGCTTTTGGTCACCGCCTCCATCGCGGTATTTGTTGCACTACTCCGCTTAGCCCAGCCTGAGGCGTCATTTGCCGCCTCCCCTTGCTCTCTGGACCCCATAATGGCATAAAACCTCTCCGGAACAATGATTTTCAGATCAGCATTCGATGATTCCACCGCCGCTCGGCCTGCGGCCTCGTTGAACGGCGTCGCTGACAAAGGAAGTTCCATTGGTGCGCCACTGGGCTTTGGCGGAATGGATGTAGAACGACCCCAGTCAAATACTCGAGGCGGTTGTAACGCTGGAGAATGTGCGCGAGATCGCTGCTCGCTTTGCGCGAGAGTGGGAAAGCGGAGTAGTGAATTCATTGTAGTTTGCTGGTCTTCCAAAGCTGCGGCTACTGCGGCAGCAATGCGAGGTGGAGTCAGGAGGGGCGGTTTGGGCACTTCGAGGGTAGCAGCGCTTTCCGCGACGATCGCCGTTTCGCTCTCGGCGGCGGAGGACGCCTTTTTGTCCTCCTCCGCTTTGACTTCCTCCATCATGGTTGTCCCGTATACTCTAAGCATACTCAACGGACAATAGTACTCATGACCGTATTCAGATAAAAAGGTGATGCGAAGGTATCGAGCCCAGATTCGTGGGTTCTCTACAGTGAAGTACTAGCAGGGAGATTGCGTAAGTAAGTGCCTTGCCAGCTTATGTAGGAGAAGCCACAATTATGCATCAGATTCATGTGTTTGTACCTGGAAATCCCGGACATCTTTCGCGCGGAAAACGCCCAACGCGGTCCATTCGTTGTTCTTTGGAGGATACCTGTCGCTCACATCCAACCTAAAGTCCTTGAACATGGAACTGAAGAACTCAAAGTTGGCGAGCATGACGGTATCCACCAAGATATCTTCGCACAGCTCCACCGTAACAAATCGGTCAGCCGTGCATTTGTTCAGCATGTAAGCATCTTTGTTTTTATGCAAAATGGATGTTGCAGAGCTGGCCTCAGGATTCTGTGCAAGGATAAGAGCGCCGCAATCGAAGGAGGCGAAATTGAAGCGCCCTGACGTAGGTTTCCGTATTATCGACGTGGGTGGAGGGACATCCGGAGTGGCAGAGGGAATAGTGGTTGAAGACGCGGATTCCTCGAAAGAGGTTGCCTGCTCACCGGGCCCTGTGTTAGCCGTTGACCTAGCAATCTCTGTCGATGTGGAAGTGGCAGAGGCTGCTGAAGAAGTCTTCAGGGTTGGTAAGGCGGAGGGCGCCTGAGATGCAACGGATGTTTCGATGATGTCGGCTTTCGCCTCTGGATCTGCTGACGACTCGAATTGCTCACGTTCACTTTGGGATCGTATCTCTTTTCCCGTCACTTCTGCAGAATCCGTAGACACGAACATCACTTCGATCGCTGGTGTGGGCAGTGGTGCGAACGTTGACGCCAACGGTTCGTCCCGTTTCACATGTAGCTCGGCGCTTGAAGGTGGAGGCACCCATATTGGCGTGGGCAGTATGTAGCCATGCAAAGTCGATTCGGAAGTTGATGAGGACTGCAAGATTTCACTGTCTCCATCAGTGTTGCACTCTTCACAGGCTGAGGATCCGACTATGGAGCGCCCAGAACTCAGGTTCGACCAGAGGGTGGGATTCGGCGGAGCGTCGAAAATAGGTAGCTCGGGGGTTGAGTCAAGTCTCGTAGTTTCAGAGACCAAGACACTTTTTATCCCCTCGGTTGGTGATCCCACCACCTTTCCAAGATCGTCGTCCGTTCGCGGTGTCTCGATGACTTGCGGAGAGACAGACACCCCAAGAATGGCAGTCTCCTGCGCCGCTGGCCTCACATTCGAGCTGAGAGAAGGTACTGCTCCCTGTGCACAAGCGTCTGGTTGCTGCTCCAGGCAGGTATCACGCTCCCGTATCGGAGGGCACACTTCCTCGAAGGCTGTGTCGGAGCTGGCGGCCAGAGTTCTTGACGGCGCACCCACATAGAGCAAGCATAGAAGGTGTAAGTTTGGCGGCACCGACAAAAGCTTTCCCAGTGAGAAGACCGGCAGATGGTCATTAGCAGGCTTTCGACGTGCCATTGGAGATGTAGCACTGTGTGCGTGTGTCAAGATCTGTCCCGGGATCACTGCTGTCGCATAGCCATTCGGAAGCACACTCCACAATCAGCCAAATTCGACAGCGCGCCGGAAACGAAGCGTTCCGCTCACGAATGACGGTTTTCAGCAGGCTTTTAAAGTTCCACCCATCCCTGCGATACATATACAATCCCGAAACCCCACTAAATATTCTGTGCCTTACTGGCTTGCGCTAAGGCGCATAGGTGCTACGGTGCATGAGGCTCAATAAGCAAGCGTCAAAATAAACGGCAGCCAACCGGAGGGCACGCCCCACTCAACATGTCCTTCGCGCCTGCCTAATGCGGCGTCTTCGAAAAGAAGCGCTTAATATGATACATAAAAGAGAAAAACTACTTGATTCTAACCACCGGTTCTTCTTCGTTTTTATTTTTTCATTTGGGGCGCTGGTTTGGGGCGCTGAGCATGGGCGCGAATACGGGTTGGGCTGTTACGGTCTCTACGAACTCGGTCCATGAAGCTTTCCTCTGGGAGATACAAGTCATTCTCCTCCCAGGTTTCTCAAGGCCCATCAACTTCACGCACTAAACAGTGACATCCTATCCACTTCGTTGTGCCTCACCCATGCCAGTTGTAGTTCTTGAAAGTTAAGCATTCTGGACAAAATGCAGATACCATCAGTAGGCTGCCACGTCCAGCCCTGGGAACGTTCCGTCCACATCCCCTCCGTATTTGGGATTTCTCGTAAGCTACGATGCAAATCCCCACCCTGTACCCTACTTTCTCACCCTCCCCACTCATGAAGCCCTTGATACCATCTCACTCACATACAGCGGGAATATGCCATGAACTCGCATGGGAAGCCGCCTACCAACGCAAGGCCACTTCTACCGCGGAAGACGCCCGCATCACCGTCCCGGGAGCCCGCGCACAGCCGGTGGGGCCACCACACAAGCTCGCGGCTGCTGAGGCTGCTCGGAACCGCCCGCCACCCACCCACAACGATGATAATCCTGTCCTTGAACCAAAGCCGCCCCCAGTTAGACGCCAACAACGGCCCGATTCAGGCCGCACGGCGCGGAAGTTGTATCGCCCGGCAAAAGAAAAGGCGGAGGAGAGGGAGCGGAGACCGCCGGCGGGGCTGGCGGGGCCGATGAGGGCGGTCAATCCTGGGACAAGGGTGGGTGGATGGGTTGGGCTGCTTGCTGGGGAGGCGGGCCCGGCTCAGCATATTGCTAGGACGGTGGACGACGAGCTCGTACTTCCCAAACTTGTTGGTCGAAACAACGCCCAGGTGCAAGGCGCTCCTTATGATTATGACCGCCGGCAGCAGCAACAGCAGGCGAATGATGGGAATGCGATCCATCCGCCCCCGCGCCCTACAACCTCGAGATCCCGTACTCTCACCCGGGCCAGAATCAACGATCCCAACGGCCTCGTCCGCTCCGGCACCGCGCAGTTAAGCGACCTGAAAAATATTTACATATCGCAACAGACCTCTTGGCGGAAGTACGGCGGTGATACGCACCAAGGCCGCTCTAGCAACCGCCAGCCGGAACCCCAATGGACCGAGACGACCCACAGGAGTATGCCGTCGTATACGTACAGCGGGAACACGCCGTCGTTGTTCAGCATTGATCCGAATGCGAGCGTTTCGGTCCTGAATGCGGCGCTCCCGAGGGCTGTGGTGCCCGAAACTCCGAGTCAGAACTATTCTTCAGGTGCGGGTGCACATTATCAAACTCAGCCCCAATACGCATTAACCAACGGGACCGGTAACGCACTATACATCGCCAACCAACATACCCACAACCGACCTCACGCTCTGCTCACCTCCGAATCGCCCAACCTCGCCCTCCAGCAAATGGACACCCGCAAGCTCCTAGAAGAGCCCTACAGCCCCAATCTGATGCGGACGAGTTACCAGGACGCTTATGGTATCTTTGGCGGGCTTGAGGAGTCGATTGGACAGGGCGGTGAGGCGGGGGGAAACAAGGCTTGGAGAAGAGATGCGAGTAAGAGTGAGAAGTTCATGGCGGCCATCCCGACTTGGGCATTGGCTGCGCCAAAGCATCTGTTGTTGAGTGCTGGGTCTGGTGAGTTTTGGTGTGTCTCGTAAAAGCATGTTTTGCAGGAACTGACTGCTTCATCTGTTTCCCATTGGGATGAAGACCACCTGGCGGCATACGCCACGGGAATCTCGCCAAAATCCCATTTTACTACCCGTCTTCATGAATAGATCAAAACCTGCATGGGATTATCGACAGCATAGGTTAGGCAGCGATGTAGGGCGCATTTGGAATAGAAGATTTTAGCACTGGAAAGGAGACTAGGGCTTGATGAATTTGAATACACATAATGAGAGAGAATGTGCAGACATGGGAAAACTGGGGAGATTGCAATCATCCCTTACCGGTCAAACCTGCGCATTAACCTCGTTGCACTTGGGGCACATTTCTCTGCACAGCCTGGGTCGAATCAACCACTGCAGGAGCTCATTCCACCGCCGAGCGGCACGTTGTCGGACTGCGTGAGCTCCTGCTAGGTCGAACCTTGAAGAAAACTTGTTTACTGCAAGGTCTCGACGCAGCCCTCCCGATCCATTTCCGGATGAACCGAGAAGAACTTGATTCATTGTGATGTACTTATCATTCATTGACGAGAAAACCTCATATATATACTATGGTTTACCCAAGAAACCCCCGCAATCCCACTCTTACAAAGATAACTGCTCATACGCCAAAGACTGATGGGCAGCTCCGTCAAAGTCATTCGTATCTGGACGACTTGGAGAGGGATGCACACTTTGCTAAGATCTAGAGTAAATGGACGAATGGTGACTGCTCCTGCCACAAATACTTTCGTGTACAAGAAGTTTCCTCTACTTACCCATACTCTACTTACCCATACTCTACTTACCCATAGGACGCCTGTATGCTTTTCTCCGCTGCCAGCCCACTTTCAGCCCCTTCCTTCTCACCCGCTCTGTCCCCGTCGTATTGCACACTTCGTAATGTCGCGCTCTGATTCCAAATATGAAATCATCGAATGCCTCATCGGCCAAACCTAACGCCAGGATGAGGGGGATGGGTCCAGGCCTGTATGCGCGTCGCTTTGACTGTAGAGTAAGGTTTTTTCACTGTTGTGGAAAGTAAAGGAAGAATAAGCAAAACTTGGCGTCTCGCAAGCTGCAAGCTATCTTGCTCTCTAACTTACAACTTCAAATCGTTCATCCTGTGCCCTTTCAAGTTCCAACGTTTCAGCATTACAAACACTAACTGTCTCGTCGACGACGGTAGCGCAAATACGCAAATCCTGCGTGTTTCGTTGTTCGCTCAACGACAGAACTAAGTGGGTGGATTGGAGAGGAAAAGGCAAATAACATACCTTCCACTTCAACGCGTCCTTCTCGTGGGCATATGCTTGCGTTACGATCATCTTGACAGGTCGGCCTCCGCGTAGATGGCCTCCAAGAAAAGGAGGTGCGTCTGCGTTTGGACCTTGCCGCCGCGGCGACCTATTCGAGTGCGGCTGAGGTTGGGGTCGGTTCGGTACCACATCCTTTCTTCCCGCCTAAACACCACTCTTCCCTCCTCATTAAGATCCCCGAAACCCTCACCGCCCCTTCACGCGGCGTCGATGTTGTCGTTGTCGTTGTCATCGTTGTGGTCGCGGAAAACGCACTAGCAATTGGATGTTGATGCCGATGTCCCACTGAAATCTCATCGTTTCTCCCGCCGAAAGTCCACCCTCCTCCTCCTCGTTCGCCCCGACATCCTCACTTTCTCCGTCGTCTTTCCCAGCACCATCCCCTTTGACCTCTTGTTGACCTGGAACACACGATTGCTGAATTGGAAAATGAATCCTACCGCTTGCTCCGCGTGTCCAGGCTCAACGTAACGGACTGGGGCAGACCAGGCGCAACGTAAACGTATCCTTGGAGGACCAATGCATGAGGCCTCTGCAAAGCCTTCGCACAGCGTCGGATTCATTGCAAGTGATCCATTGAATGCCGGTCAGATCCATGGCGGCGGCCATGGTCATCCCTTTGTAGTCAATCGGTACATGTTAAACGGAAAGTCGGCTATGTCGCAAGATAATCAACATCTTCGCCATTGGGCACGCGATGACGAATCGACAATATTTTCCAAACGAAATTTGGGGGGCGGCTATGGCTGTTATATAGTCCTTGGAGTGGTGTGTTATGTGTTATGACGGTATGTTTGTATGTTGATGGCGTGTTTATGGTTGCATTGCAGAAAGCAACTTTGAGCAGTTTTCCGCCGGGTTAAGAAGTCTCTCGGGACTCTTGTATATACCGCCCCGCGCCATGGTTTCAGTCCCTGGTATTCGTAGCTTTCAACAATAGTGGGAAAAAGGATTCCCCCACTCCCAAGTGCATTTACCCACTTGGCAGAAGACCATCGTACTTCTTATCCACACACCATAGGCCTCCGCTACTGCATCGGGCAGCAAGATAATATCCCAGGTAGTGTGTGCAAATCAACGAGGTCAACTGCTCGTTCCGAGGTGTTGAGACATTCACCATCTCGTCCAAAGCCGTACCCTTCTGGTAAGAAGGTGGCGTGCTTCGGCGCCGTCATACCGTCTGTCTTTATCAAACGGAAAAGTGAGGCTACAGAAACCTCACGACATGACCGCCATCTTGGCCAAGGCCCTTTGATCATGACCACCGGTTGCCTTCGCGTCCGTAGCTCCCTGGTGCTTTAGCCTCGCGTATGGAAGGGCGATGCCGACCGCTGCCAACCTTGGATTCGTCGCTATTCAGGAAGCAAGAAGAGGCCAGTGGAGAGGTTCGGGGCGGGCCTTCGATGTGAAACCGACCTGGGGGCCATCTCGACGAGGAGGACCGCCATCATATAGACCGCGGGATTCTTTTAACTCATTCGACCGCCACGTGACTCTGAATAAACTTAAAGGTCAAGCCTCTCTTCGGTGCGCTTGCGGCCAATTTGCGGCCGCCTGCATGATCCCGCAGGCCGTCGCGGTATTGCAGGTTCCGAGAGGCAAGGCCGGCAGGACAGGCTTAGCGTACAGCTACGGACATACTCATATTCGATAGATACCCACTGAGGAAGTAGTAGTTAGTCTCTACGGCGAGCGTCTGGAACTTCGGGTAGAAAAGCAGTTCTGTGTCAGAGAAGAGGCCCCGTATCGAGTTGTCACATTTCGAACGACCTGCAATCCTCCCGCTCTTCAATTCTTTCGACCGCTGTGCGCTCGAGGTAGTGGAAAGGAAGCCGTTAGTACATACGTGGAGGAGAGCACGTCATGGACCTCGACGCGAGGTCACTCGAACGTGTCCCGAACTCAGGGTCCGCAGAGTACGCCCGGCCAGCAGCCCACAAACGGTCGGGGAAATGGGTAAGTTGGAAGATTCCAACAAGCAGGGGTGGGTAGGGGTTTCGACGAAGTCGGCTCAAAGCGCTTATCTCTCGTAGATACCGAAGGACCCCTGGGCAAAAGCCGCGGTTATCTGGGCCACCGTGCAGCTGTTAATCATCGTCCTTCTTGAAGCCATTGTGCTGAAGAAGCACGCGGACAATAACGATCAGTTGAAGCTTGCGCTGGGGCAAGACAAAAACGCTATCGCCAACGCAAGTGCACTCACCATCTACCATGCTCTCTTCATGGTGGCGCAAGTGTTCCAATGGGTTCTTGCGGCAGATGCGGTAAGCCGTCAGATGTAGAAAGATTTATCGACGAGAGGACACAAACTGATGTTGACGGTTTCAGGTGCATACATATTCGATGATCGAAATGGTGTCGACAACTCTGTTCAATTGCGCCCTGTTTGCGTACGCTGGGATGCAGTATAAGCAGGCTAAGGATATTGCCGACGGTATATCACGCTCACCGAACTTTGAGGCCACCACGGGACTTCTGAATGCCCATCCCGCCTCGACTATGGAGATTATCATCGTGTGTGCCATGGGCTTTTTTGTCGTGGGATGGATCGTTCTCTCGCAACGCCTGTACAGAGTCTTCGGCTGGAGCATCTTCAAGGAGCTGGGAGCGGACATCTCCGTGCGAAGTGAGTGGATGCGTGCATTTACTGCGAAAGCGCTGTGCTGTCAAGAAGCCAATACTGATCGATGTCGCTGATCCAGACCGTCTCAAGCTGTATCACATCTACCTGATGCTGTTGAAGCTGGATGTCTTCTTTTTCATTGGATTCGACGTGCAGTACCTCATTCTGGTTATCCTGAGTGGCAATAGCGGCGGATCCCCCAACGAGAAGTGGATACATGGCTTTGGCGCCATACCGTTCACACTTGTTCTGCTAGTGATTGCGTACATGGCAGTGCGTCGGGAGAGCAAGATCCTGATGACAGCGACGCTGTTGGGACTGTCGGGAGGGATTGGATACCTTATATCGAAATTGGTGGACGTGCTGAGAAAAGGCGATCAACCAAAGTATTCAGGAAGCAAGAATTCTTTGACATTCTTCGGTATGTACAGCGTGTACAGGATGCCGGCTTCCTTACCCCGCTGGCGTGAGGTTTGAACTCACGCGACTCATGCTCATACAGAGGCGATAACGCTTGGCATGTGCGTGGCAACGTTCATATTCGCGCTGCTTACCTTCCGGAACTTTGGGAAGGGTTTGAAAGAGCAGTGTAAGTAGTCGTCTGTGGAGGGCGAACGCGGGAAAGGTTTCATGTTGAACGGGATACTCACATGGCAACAATGTTGTAGTGAGCAAGTCGAGACGAGGGGACTTGGAGATGGACAACATGCAACGAGGACGGCAAGGACGGCAGAAGGATACGCCTCGATACACCCTCGAGTAAGCTCTGTGTTTGGCACACTGCCAAACTTTGTTGTCTCCCATATCAACCCGACCCGAGACGCTTTTGTGAGAAAAGGGCCGGATCGCCCTCGGGACCCACCTACTCCCGAAATGTCTACATCAAGCACAGCTGACACTCGCGATTGGAACACGGACTTCCCTACGGCCGTCATCACACACCCGCCTCTAATCCCACATTTACACATAGAACAATCTGTATTTTCAGTCTATCCCTGGTGGATTATCCTTCCCGCTCCTTTTTGTTTCGCAGACTTTCTCTGTGTTTTGTATAGCGGCGTAGCACGTGTTCCCGGCCTATTGTACCGGCCATTGACTGAGGCAGGGTTTGGATTCTGGGTTTTGCAAATGCGGCATGAGCCTCATCGGGCCAGAAGGACAAGACGGATGGACGCGTGAGTTATGGGCTCCGCGTCCGAAGTCCGAAATGACGTTTCTCGATCAGGCTCGATCGGGAAAAGCGTTCAACGTTGCGTTCAACTCTTTGAGGCACCTCAGGGTGGATTTTCCGCCGGTCGCTAATCGCAAACCAGCGCAGGCGGCAAACTCTGAGTGACAAGCCCGCCCCCTGAGTGCCGATATCTCCAAAGTCAATCCCATCGTCTGAAGTGTGCCAAAATGCCCGTCGTCTCTACGCTGTTGGCGACGGCCGTAGCTGCCCTTGGGCTCCAAACCGCGGTCGGAATTCCTTCCGTTGCACTCAAATCGGACATAGTATATGACCTCTCAGGGTACGTTATCAGTCAGTTCGCGATGCGGTTTGTCATGCATGCTCACACTGCGATTTTCAGGGCCATCACGTTCGGCATATGTACACTGGTGTCACTCTACTACCCAAACGTAAGGGCATTCGGTCTCAAACGCCTGCTCGAAAACCCCAAACTACTCTCTACATTCCCCAGCCCCCTCAACTTCCATCCCCGCCAACTAATCGCCAGCGGTTTGGTGTTCATCTGGGCCGGCCGGCTCGGTTCACACCTATTCATCCGCGCGCTCAAATCCGGCGGCGACCCGCGTTTCGAGCAAATCAAGAAGGATCCCATAAAGTTTTCCTTCGCCTTCCTCGGCCAAGCATTATGGGTGACTCTCACGGCCCTGCCCGTGTATGCCATCAACGCCGTGCCAGCCGCGTTGCAGCCGGCGTTGGGATGGAAGGATTTCCTCGGCTTGGGGATCTGGGCGTTTGGGTTTGCGTATGAGGTGATTGCGGATCGGCAGAAGACGGCGCATTCGCAGCGGGTGAAGGAGAAGAAGGCGGAGGATGAGCCGTTTTTGAGGACGGGGTTGTGGGCGAAGTCCAGGTTCCCGAAGTACGTGTGCGAGATTGTGGAGTATGCGATGTGTGTGATTCTACTTACCAACGTGATCCTGTATGGTAGCTATTTTGGGGAGGTTACCCTTTGGAGTGGCCTTTACGTAACGTCCCTGGGACTCTTGACCTCGGCCAACCTCCCATCGCACGTTTACCCTCCCTGGATCGCTTTGGCCGCTGCCTCCGGACCTATCTTTGAGTACCTCCTTCTCACCAAGGTATGGTTCCTGATCCTTCTCCACCCAAATGTCGCGAAGATGTACAACTTCTCACGTCGGGACCCTTTGATAGGCGTCTGGGATCCCGCCCATTGAGAAGCACCACGACAAAAAGCACGGAAAGAACCCTGAGTATCAGAAGTACAAACGGTATGGATCTATCCCCCTCGTTATGAGCAGTAGTGCGTGGATTCAATTTCCTCATCGCTATATTTTTAGAGAAACGCCCCAGTTCTTCCCGAAGTTCTTCTGAGACCATCAGCTCTAATGGTGTCGTGCATCAAATGCACATTATTTCTGGCACCTCCCTCATTACCTCAGGATTGCTAGTCCTCTCCCATTCGCGAACTCTCTCGTACCCACCTCGTAGCAGCAGAACTTCTGGCTGGGAAAGAGATGTTGTGTATCCCCTTGTACTGTACATAATGAATTCTACCGCAAACATCATATCACATTTTCCTCTGGTTGACCGTGTGACTGCCTTCCTTATTTTTGGACGTTCGAAGTGATAAGTGCACACGGAAGCAGGTGCGCGAGCCTTTCCTACTTTTTCCAGTTTCCGCAAACCCCAAGACACCGCCACAATGCCAACGATAGAAGAACTCTCAGACAACATTGAGCATCAATATGCGCAACACCAGGCCGCAGGGCCCCAGGCCAAGCACCAGGATGCTGACAAGTTTATCGACGACCTCATGAAGACACCCTTGTTCATGAAGACCATGCCGACCGAAAAGGACCTGGAGGAGAACGAGACGTTGGCAGCTATACACTCGCTTATTTACGACGGGACGCCTGAAGGTTCGTTTTGCCTGAGTGGGCTTTTGGTATTGGGTTGAGCTCACATAAGTGTTTTCGGGTATAGAAATTGCAATGAATTTCAAGAACCAAGGAAACGAGAGTTTCAAGGCGGGCAAGCGGGAGTACAAACATGCTATCAATTACTACACAAAGGGACTGGAGCAGAAGGCCGACAATGCGGAACTGAATGCGACGCTTTACTCTAATCGTGCGGCTGTGAATTTGGAGCTGGGTATGTGCATTAGGGAATTGTCGAGAAAGCTTCAGGGGTTGTGGAGCAACCTGCTGACTCTCCAGTGATTTCTTTTGGGTAGGCAATTATCGAAAGGTCCTGAACGACTGTGCGGAAGCGATAACATTGCGTCCGGAAACTATCAAGGCATATTATCGGTCGGCAAAGGCTCTCATTGCGCTCGACAAGCTTGCCGAGGCGATAGATTGTTGTGACATCGGTTTGAAGGTTAGTCGATTAGCTGGTCAGTCGGATACTCCTATGTCGTGGCTCACCGTGGGCCCTCACTCCTATAGATAGATCCCAATAATGCGGCGTTGAGTGTAGAGAGGAAGAAGGCCGTAGATAGGAAGATGCTGCAGGAAGAGACTGATAGGAAGAGGAAGGAGCGAGAGGAGAGAATCAAACGAGAGGAAGGGGAAGTCCAGCAAGCTATTCTGGTACGTTACACCCCCAGTGCTTTTGTATTTATGCATGCCGGTCATTGACAATGCAACTTACGCCATACAACAGTCCAAAGGTATTAAGCCGATAAGAAGCAACAAGCCCAGCAAGGACACGGAGCAGCCCGCGATTGTCAACTCCCTACACTCCGACCACAAGATCAAATACGATGCCCAAACCAACATCCTCACCTTCCCCGTCGTGTTCCTCTACCCGGAACACTCGCAATCAGATCTCATCGCTGCGTTCAACGAGGACGACCTGTTCCAAGCCCATCTGGAGATGATGTTTGGCGACGAAAGTCCATCGTGGGATACGGGGAAGACATATAAGCCGGACGATCTCGAAATCTACTTTGAGGGATTCCCAAACAATGGACCGGCAAAGTTGTTGCGGGTTGGAAAGCGGATGACGTTGGGTGATGTGCTGACGCATCCAGAGTTCCGAGTGGTAGACGGCGTGTGCACATTCGCGGTGGTACCGAAGACATCGCCTTACAAGAAGATCTTGAAGGCGAAGTATAAGCAACGATCATAGGACGTAGAGCTAGACTAGAATCGGGGTAGGGCAAGCATTCCGTAGAACGTGCAGCGATTCCCCCTCCACATTGCGACTCATTTTCGAGCACCCTAGGCGTTTTCGTGTCCAAGAGACACTTGCAATCAATCAAATTCCCCACCGGCAGACAGGCTCCAGAAGACATGGCCCTGCAGTAATCTCAATAAGGGATGGTGGTATTTTATTCTATTTCCTCAGCAATCGACAAGATGTCTAATCCTTCTTTTGGGCGGCCTCGAGCTTTTCCTTCCAGTATTCACCAACGACGGGGATATTTTGGAAAATGTCGGTCCTTGCGAGTGGCTGTTAAGTTAGAATCAACGGATGGGTGGTAAGTGAGTTGCACATTCGGTTGCACATTCGGTAGCTGAGCAGATGGGTTTGCTCAAAAGTCCCCACGTCCCTCCGAATCATGGCCCCGACGGCCGCGGCTGCCATTCCTTCCAACCGGCTCCCCTTAGAGCCCTCCGTAATTGTCCGGGAATTGTGAATATTTTCCGACATACCGTAGGTTCAAGGAAGTAAAGAGCCGCAATTCCACCGAACGCTCCCCAAGCAGCAAGAGTAGGTGTGCTACGAAGTGAAGGACACCATGTGGGGTATGGTTAGTTATTGCTTTGTAGTTCCCATCCAGCGGCCAGGACTATATGCCGCCTAGATTCCACCCAAGGCCGTTTCGGTATTGACAGAGCCCCAAGAGCGTTAAAAACTGTACTTACTAGTGGACAACCTTCTTGAATTGCACAAAGGGCCTGGCTTTGCGGAGCCATGGAGCGACGGTAATCCACTGTTGAGCCAACATTTTGTGTGTTTCTTGCAGCGAACTGACAGATTTTGTAATGCCGGGAATGCTCGGGTGCGGATGCTTGGGTTGTGTTGTTCGTTCATGCGCTGACATTTAAATGATAAACACGTGCATTGCATTGGAATTACGCGCATATCAAGCATCGGCTCAGCGCTCACATACGTCCGCGCAGTTGCGCCGCGACAACCTCGACAACTCCGCCGACGCTTTTTCCACAGCTCCTTTTTTCAACATTGCTTTTGCCAATGGCAAAACCACACACACCCAACTGACCTGAGACTTTGTGGGATAACTAAAACAGGTATGAGGAGCAACTCCAGCTGGTCTGTTGGAGAAAGTAATTACTTACCGCGAACTTTTACCAAGCAGAACTCCTCAACCATGCCAACCCTCAAACAACGTGCTACTAGGAAAACCTTTGGACCTCTGGATTCTACGTAACGGCTCTTCCCATTCTCAATGCACAAAGGTATGGAAAAGCTGGCCTTCTAATCTCAGAATGAGGTCACACAAAGTGACTTGAGGATTGCAGATGCAGACCAGGACGCAAACTGCCGAGTTGCTGTGTAAGGCTGAGGATGACCGGAAAGACTATGTGTACTGTGATATCTGGAATACAGCAGCAGATAAGCCCTGCTCCAAAGCTCGAGTGCAACGCCGTCGTGTTGAAGCAAAGGGCATTCACCGCCAATTCACGCTGTTGAGCACGGATATGCGCTCCTGGCTTGGAAGTTCCAACGGTAGTTTCTGTTTGCAGGCTCCCACGGGTGACCTTCCCAATACCGTCAAGCTGTATGGATGCAAAACATGCATGAAGGCAGTGAGAGCAGAGAGACAGCACAGGGTAGCCAGTGCCAGGCCTTCTGCCAGTGACAATGAGGACGGCACTCTTCCCCCCAGCGGCGACAGCACTCCGCCCCCCAGCAGCGACGCTGCCAACCTGCCCCTGCCCACTGTGCGCACTCAGTCTCACGTTGATATTCGCCTCCCAAAGCGACTCATGCGCCCGCTTCAGTCGAAGTTTCAAGGTGTTGCCCCTCCTGATGCCGAAGCTCGCCGCAGCCGGTCCCGCACAACATCTGGTGTCCTCGAGGGTTCATCAGCAAAGCCGTGGGACAAACTGGAGATGTTGTTTTTCCTCAGACTCACGGATGAGGTTGAAGATGAAGATGAGGGGGATGACAGGATTGACGAACCAACAACGCCGGGGCCTGAGGGGAGGACCTACGCAGCAAAGCTGCAGATGCTCATGGAGAACCCACTTGTGCACAAGCATGGGCAGCTTCTTTTCCCTATTGGAAACATGGAACGGTTTATTGATCATATGAATACCACATGCGTTGGGCTGTTTGACATGAAGATGACCATGGTCGTTGGGGACGTGCCTCTGAAGCGCAGCTCAAAGTGGAGTGAGAAACACCATGATAGGATCCGCCGCAGAGTGTTCATCGCGATCCTGCTCGATCTCAGCACACGACACCTTCGTGCAAACTACCTTCAGTGCTGGATGTCCACCCAGCTCCAGCTTTCCAACGTCAGCACCGATCAGCAGACAAAGATCGCCAGGGTTGGCCTCTCCCTTGTCCCGCAACACAACACTGTCCGAGCGCAGGCTGCCATTGCCGCTCACGAAGGGGATGTGTCCGCGCGACTTGCGCTTCCCAACACATCCGCTGTGGTTCTTGTTGATGATTTCAATTGGCATCAGGGGAGAGGCACGCCAAATGAGCGGGGAAAGCGATCAATCACCCGGACAACAGCAAATGTTGGAGTGCGTACTTGGGATGTCTCGGAGATGCCTCGCCTACCCTCTGGGCTGGGGCCGTTGCGCCCCAATTTTCACACAATCGGGTTTGCAGAGGATCAACATGTTCCTTTGCAGTATTGTCAGCTGTTGGATCGGACACTGACATCCTACATTGTCAAACGTGGGAACGGAGGGGAAATACGCCAGATGTATGACACCCGGCGCTTGGATCGGGTGTGCTCCATCAAAAACTTTGTGGCGTTGGCAAGCGAAGACAACCCGATAAAGTCTGATGAGGATATGGTGAAGCTTTATCAGGAGACAATCATCCTGAAACTTCGGCCATATATCGATGAATCGCCAATCGTTGTATCCGGAGACTTCTACGTCTGGATGGGAACCCATAAGTTCCTCACGGGCTCTGCGGAGGGGCAGCAACACTCCGGAAAATTCTTGGATTGGCCTGGATCGTTTCACATTGCCTTGAACATGCAGGAAGCAGCATACAAGCACTGGTTCCCCCTTCTTAAGATCCTTTACAAAGCGGCATTTCCGGGTCTCGTTTGTCCACAGGTCAATCTGCGTCCCATTCAACGTGTTCTCCTGCTGTCTCTCGCACTTCAGGCATGGCAGCTTGCTCACACGCCGACGTCGACAGCCCCGATGGCGCATGACTACAGTTGGGGCGGGAATGTTATCCGTACCTTCTTCAAGGAGCATCTACCGCTCATGCTCGACGCACCAGTGATTATCACATCCCTCAACTACGATCACTTTGAGGAATTCCTTGTTTGCCGCCTCCTGTTCTTCATACAAATGGGGAAGCAGAACTACGTGACAATCATCCTTTGCATTCTTGGGCGCATGGGCTTCTACCGTGCGCACAACATCCCGCTTTACAAATGGATCCAAAACAACTTCCGGTATCTCAGCGAGGAGGCCATCGAACTCTGGCATTCAGTCATCCGTCCCCTTATTCATCCGACGATGCAGCAGAATCAAGCCGAGCAGCGAGTCATGTTCAAAGCTGCCCTCCAAGAAGCCGATGCTCAGGAAGCGGCAGTACTGAATCTTCGCCAAGGCAAGCTACAGGGAGCAAACGCTGGGACGTTGTTGTTCCAATTCCGCAAAGACCAGGAGTGCAACCTCCAGGCTGCGGCGGATAAGCTTCTCAGCATTCTTGACCAGATAATCGTCTACAACAGAGACCATGGCGGCCCAGCCTATGAGAGGGAATCAAGGACAGCTGGCAAGAATCCGGTGACCACGCGGTTGTATCGTTTCACCACAGAGCCTGACGGCCTGCTGCTAGGTGAGGCAGTCATCCCACTCACCCAGCGACGCCCAAATGCACAAGGCCACACCGTAGTCAAGGTTGGAAAGCATGTTGACATTACTCGATATGCATTCCCATGCGACAACGCTGGTCATAACACCCCCTGCCAGCCCCTTTCCTGCGGTTGTTGCTGTCACCGCAGCAGTGTTCGAGCGATGTTCAAGCAGAGCAAGTGCCCAAACTGCTTTTGCTATCACGAAGGAAATCATGCAGGCCGTTGTCGCATATCGTAACAGCAAGGTGCAAGAGTGGAGTCAGGCTGGCGTTGCGGGAGAGGAAAGCGATGAGGAGCCCTCTGTCTTTGACGTTGATGAAGCAAGTTAAAGTAGGCATTTATCTGTTTTTAAGAGAAAATATAAAAAATGTAATGGAACAGTTTTGAAGAGCGGCCTCTGGCGCACATATCCTACTACAATACTTGGGGTGGCCGTTGCGTGTGTGCAGAGGCCGTGGGGTTGCGACAAGAGATGTCTGTTTATTCTGCGCGGAAGACCGAACGACACGCTTGCCGAAGACGTATGTGAGCGCTGAGAGCATCGGCATTGATTCGGCAAGATCTTCAATGCTCAAACATCGGAATGTCCAGATGTGGCCAACACCCGTGTTGTAGTGAGAGCGACGTTTTGCCTCGATCAACGGCCGCGACCTCTCTGGAAGAAGCAGAGAAGCAGCCGTTCCCTTGGACCATCTGCCGCCATTCATCTCTTCAACTGCCCGGAAGTCTGGGGACACAAGACGCAATTCAGTACCAGCCAATCAATGAGAGGAACCCACTGCGGAACGAAAGGTTGAAAGGCCCAGGGACAGGATGCACTGATGCACCCTTCCGGGCCAAACCCGCTGGCTGGATGGTTCGCTTCACACATAGGACGCGCCGCCATACACAAAGACACTGCCTCATTATTCATACCCTCAACGAGCACACGCATGAAAAGATTTGAGGCAAGGAGCACGTTGTCACTTTGGGGTTCGCAAATTGATGATCGATATTGGACACCCATACTGCGTTCTTTCCAGCGGCGGGGATTGTGCCCGAGCTCTCCCATGTTTCCATGTCATAGAGCGATGACACCCATTTGCATAGGCACACCGCGGAACGCAGATAATCTTAAGTCAAACACAGCCGTTTGCGGACGGCGGCTGTGACTCGCCAGTGACCCTGAACCTTTCAAGCAGAAATTTCCTATGGTGTTGGTGGCGCTTGTGGCGTCCCTTGGGGCGACAGTGCGTAGCGACTACCGTACAGCCTACAACTTGACCGGTTTCGAAGTTCCACTGGCGCGAAGTACCTGTGAAACCGTACAGTACTGTACTACATAGAACGCTTCACGCGTGCGCGTCCAGCGGACTTTCTGGCCGATTTGCGCCATGGCAGAGACCGCTTTCGGGCCATTCTTTTGTCCAATTCGCGCCTCTTTCGAGCGCTTTGAGCTTTTTGAGACGCTAGGGTACCCGGCCGGCGACATCTTTTACGTAGGAGTGGGCGGCCGTTTGCACAGCCCAAGTGCGGCCGACTCAATCACAAGTTGTTGACCGTCTCGTGACCTTTACTGCATGGACAGCAAACATGCGCTTCGCTGAACGTTGGTTCCTTTTGGACGACGGATGCTGCGTACAGCACAGAATCTGGCCCGGTCCATTTTTCTTCGCGGTTTTGCTAGCAGCCAGCCAGTAGAGGCATAGAGCGGTACCAGCAGCGGCAACAGCATGGGATTTCCGATGGACGCGCTACCAGGATAGAAGGATAGGGTTCGACCGGCGAATATAAAAGGGAGGCCCTTCTCCGGGACTCCCAGGTTCTCACCATCACATCAGCAACAGTCTTATTTCGCAGCAATCGCATTCTCTTTCGTACTCCGCACATCACAGTACCCTCGTTCTCTGAAGATGTACGCCTCCCTCGCCCTCCTGGCCCCTCTCTTGGCCACTCTCGTCGCTGCCGCGCCAGCTGCTCCGGCTACTGCTGCTGCCTCTGCCCCTGCCACGCCTAGCTGCGTAGCCGACTGGACTATTTACCAGAACAAGGACCTGAAGGTGTGATTTTGAGTTTCTTGCCACCCAGCCTGTCGTGCATCCTTCAAATCTTCCTGTTCGAATACTGACCTTCCCTGCCATTTGGAACCCTACAGGACCTCGGAGACCTCAAGTCCCACCCCGCTTATAAGAAGAAGTTCAACAGCGCCTGCGAATGTGGCAACGCAGTGAACGCAGTTACATCGCCCGAGGCCGCCTTCTTTGTCTGGAACACCTCCACCAAGGAGTGCTTCCCCAAGGGGATGACTCCTTTCGACCAAGAAAATGAACAGATCCTCAGCCTCGGCTGGCAGACCAGCGCTAACTCTATCCCAGCTCAACGAGGTCTTCTGGGCACCGATGCTCAGGTATGCTAATCACCACGTCGGCGTGACCTACGGACATATCGCGTAAACTCACACATTGGTACACCCATCAGCTCGCCAAGGTCTGTAAGCCCAAGTTCCGTGTGCCTGGAGACTGGAGCAACACATTCACCGCTTGCAGCGAAATCTGCAAGAACAACTATGGGATTGAGGGCTGCGACTTTGCCATCACCGTGGCGGGCCACGCCGGTAAGTCATTGCTCGCGAATTGCCTGTTTTACTGAGTCTGCTTTGTATTGACTGTTCGTTTTCTTGCCGCATCGTAGGCCAAACCTGGTGCGACCTCTGCAGCTACGGCACCAACCAAGGGCAGGTGCTCGGAGCTCGCACCAAATGGTAGAGCTTTTCATCTGCCCGCACTTTAAGTTGTTTGCATAGCCATGGTCATTTGAAAAGATGTCCTCATAGTATATCCGTCGGACTGTTACAATTGTATGAAGAATGGACTCGTGAAGTATCGGAATTGAATGTATTATCGTTTGTACCTGTGATCGCGCAACATGGAGGTCTATGGCTCGACGAGTTCAGTTCGGAAGGCTCCCGAGTCCTACCTGGCCAATCTGAACTTGTTACGAAGCCTAACTATATTACGAGCGGTCTCTAACATATGTTCAAAGCAGAGGTCTCTCTCCACTGACCCAGGGGCCAGAAGGCGGAAATTGACATGATATGGTTTTCGTGTTTTTCGTTTCTCCAATGTATAAGATTTCAGTTGTATTTACAGGAAACTTAGTATCCATCACGGCGGTTGGCGTTGCGTCGGCATGTACAGGATGGACTGATCCCGTCCACAAATACATGTCGGAGCTGTTCCAACGACCTTCTACGGTATACCCCTCTATATGTCTAGTCAATCGCGCGGACTTGGGCTACGAGGTGCGATTACTCCGTCTTCGTTGTCCGGAGTGTTAAGGTTCAGCCGTCGGCGTTTGTTGCAGGTGCAGCATCGCCCGCTACTTGGAACGTTGTGATCTGCGGAAGGTACGCGCTTGCACCCAACTCCAGCACCCAGCAGTCCCCAAACACATTGCCGCCGTCATATCCGCCAATCACCCACAATCGAGAGTCACAGAGGACGGCGGTGTGGTAGCCTCTCCCTGCTGGTCTGTCCTTCCCGCAGACAGAACGCGTTTCCCAGCTCATGGTCACCAGGTTGAGTAGGAGGATGGTGTTGTTGTAATGCGATCCATCGTGGCCGCCGAGCACGAACAAGTAAGATCCGATCTGGGTCGCAGTATGCGATAGTCGTGGTGGAGATGCTGCCAAGGTCGGCGTTGACCACGTGAGGGTCTGCAAGTTGAGCATGTGGATGGAGGAGAAGCATTCATGCCCGTCTGAACCGCCGTACAGGACGAGATGCGGGGTATTTCGAATAAGGTTCGTGGTATGGTATCCGCGACTTTCCGGTTGTGTGCCTGATGTTGTCAGCTGGGTCCATGTCAGTACGGGAGCCGGGCCGACAGTCAATATCGACGTGTTCAGCTTGTACAGATCGGCCAAGGCTCGGATGCCGTCTCCGCCGGCGTAGATGTACACGTCTGAACCGTACACAAACGCTGAATGTGCACGGCGCGGAGAAGGGACAGGTCCGGTGGTCTGAGGGGCATACCACACCAGAGTGACGGTATCGAGATAGTGCAGGGTATTGAAATAGTTCGGACCGTCTCCGCCCGCGAAAACGACCAAGAACCGATTTTGAACTAATGAGGCAGAATGTGCTCTGCATGGCGCGGGTATGCTGCCCTGAGTCCTCATCTTCGTCCACCAAAGAGTTTCCGTGTCCAAAATGTGGAGATCTGCATAGCAAGTATCCGCATCGCACCCTCCAAACACGTACAGCTTGGAGCCTACGACAGTCGTGGTGTGCGCTCGAAGAGGTGGAGGTTTCCCACTTCCTTTTGGGCGGATTTCGGCCCAGTGCATAGCCGCGGCAGGTTCCGACACTGCCTCTTTCTTCTGTGCCTGTTGGCCGCTCTGGCCTTGGATATGCTCCTGAGCTGCTTGCCCCGTGTTCTGTGAGGAGTTGTAGCTAGCCGTTGCTTTCAGCGAGGTGTTCCGATCCCGAGAGTTAGGCGTGGGAGGCGCTTGCTGAGCTTGGGCAAGCCGTGCGACCGACGAGCCCCGCGCTGAAGCGGAGGGTGAAGAGACAGCAGAGCCAGCTCCTTGGACATCCGCGAAGGCGGCAGTCGGCGGTATGGTCATCGGCGAGAAGGTGGTCCGTGTCGGAGAGAGTTTTGCGAGTTCTCACTTATACTGCAGCCTGGGAAGCTTCACAGCGCAGACACAAGTATGAGGTGCCCAGCGAGGTCAAGACGTTTGCGGTGCTATATATATGCGTCTCAAGCTGTCTATGTTGTAATCCTCCTCGTTGACGGTAGCTCAACTGTAATGGTTATGGCGGTTCCCGAATGGTTGGCGAAGGAGGTTCTGAGGAAGTCTGAGGAGGTTCTTATCGCTCGCGTTGTGGACATTTTGACGAATCCTTCGTTTCCCGAGAGCATACCACCCACTTTTTCCTCTGCTAACCGTTATACCATGTCCAACCAGCGAAACGTGGTGCTGGAAACCTCGGCAGGGACCTTCACCGTCGAGCTATACTGGAACCACGCTCCACGGACTTGTGAGAACTTTTACCAATTGGTGAGTTGCGACAGCTTTTATATACTGGGAAGTCTAAAGGCTAATCCCCAGATTTCCAGGCAAAACGGGGATATTACAACAATGTCAAGGTATGTTATAAATGGGAGTCGTGGAGCGCTGTCCATGTGCGCTAACGATCGGTCTCTTTCATAAAGTTTCATAGAATCATACCGGTAAGTGGAAGTCTGGCCGCTCGAGCGCATCTTCGTTGAGTCGTTAACTGACTGCTGTGATGTTACAGGACTTCATGATACAAGGAGGTGGGGCATGGAAAAGGAGTGCATTTCGCTTTTGAAATGTATTGAGATGCATCCTCTTGCAGGCGATCCAACTGGAACTGGGCGAGGAGGGACGAGCATATATGGGTATGCTTCCGACACTTTCCGTTCGGCATCATATTCGGAAACATCAGAGTAACAGCATCAACAGGGACAAATTCCCAGACGAGATACATCCGCAACTGAAGCACACTGGAGCAGGCATTCTGTCGATGGCCAACAGGTTCGAGTACTTCTGGCGACGTGGTCTCGAGTTGTCGTCGACTTAAGCAAATTGGATTTCAAACAGCGGACCAAACACGAATGGATCACAGTTCTTCATTACGCTGGCGCCAACGCCGTGGCTTGATAACAAACATACGATTTTTGGGAGAATCAGTGAAGGAATGACGGTCATCAAAAGGATAGGACTGGTATGCAAATGGGGTCTGGCGACACGACTGTTGCAGTTGATACTCACAGGGCTCTTCTCTCAGGTCCCAACGGACGCCGCTGATCGCCCGAAAGATGACATCGTGATTTTGCGGACTCAAACTAGGGCATCCTGTGATGGGACCGAGACCGATTCCGCCCCATAGCAAACGAGGGCTGTAGAGCCAGGCCGGACGATGTACAGCTCAGTTCGCTTGGGGATGGATATCAGCTGCATCACGGCGTATATAGTCCTGGCGTAAAGCAAGCTGGTCATATATGTAGCCTAGAAGTAGGTGGCACAGATCTTTCGCTTTGGGCGAGATATTTATCAGACTCCCTTGCCTGTGCACGTTGTGTCGTTGGACGTTGGAGATCAAGGGGTCGTCGCTCATAAAGAAGAAGGGATTGAGCTGCAGGTTGCTTCTTTTTACCACGGCGGGCCATTCGGATAACGCCTGTCCGCGGATCTCCTTTCGCTATGCTCATAGCAAACGGAGATCTAATATCAAGGCTCCCATATCACCACCGATTCCTGTCTCCACGCACAAAACCACGCCTTGTGGTGCAGAACCTCCTCCAGAATACCAGCAAGCACTATCCCCTCCAGCTCCCCCAGTCGATGATTGTTTCCGCAAACTGAATGTGTTGCAGTGTGCTCAGCATGCAAAAGCCCCCTCGCCGTCTCCATCCTTCGTCAACTTCTGCGCATGTTTCGAAATTGATGCTGTGCGAAATGAACAAATGCAGAGGATCTTTCAATCGGTATATTCGTATCCAGCGTTTATGTTCTCGTGAGCCAGTCGGTCAAGGGTCGCTCTCTAACGTAGCCTCAGGGATGCAAGGTAGGAAAGGGGACAATCTAGATGCTGGCACGGCCGGTGAAAGGCTGACGGAGAAGCTCGGGCTTCTTGAGCTCCTCCTCCATGTATGCGACGTATCGCTTCACGTAGTTCTCCTCCTCCTTGGATTGGTACTGAATTGGTGCCGGGGGTTGCATTTTGCGGTATTGGACGAAACCGGTGATGAGGACGACGTAGGCGAGCATACCGTAACCGGCCATCTGAAGAAGAGTCGGTGAGAAACACAGTGAACATGAACGACACTCAAAGACACTCAAAGACCCAGCGTTGATTTGCGATAGTTCTTTGGCAGCGGATTGGCAGCCTCAGCACTCGAAGTTTCGGGGTCATGCATGCACGAACCTTGTAACGGGGAATCTGCTTTCCAAAGACCGTGTAGGCCTCATAGGGGTTTCCTCCAGCCATCTTGTCGGCGTTTCGTTATGCGAGTGTCGATGGGAGTGGGTGGGTGTTGCGACGGTTTACGCTGTGGGAAATCTCAAGCGTTTGAGCTTGACCGTCGTGCAATTGCGTTGCCCTCGGCCGATTCCGGGGGTCACGTGACTCGCCAACTTTCTAAGCTCATCGTCAACTCTCCTGCAGCTGGAGATTTGACAAAAGCGTTCTCGCAAACGGCAAACGACCCTTCAAAATGGACCAACCAGGCGCACAACAACCTCGTGTGGACGTCACTTACGTCTGTGGTGGTAATGTCTTGCATGCTTTGAGTCCGTCAGGACACCTGATCTCTGCGTGACCATCCCTGAAGTTGACAATGTCTGACAAGCGTTCTTTTCCAGAATGTGGGGCGGATAACACAATCAAACCCCGCGAACCGATACGGTGTAAGGACTGTGGTTACAGGATCATGTATAAGAAGCGGACGAAGAGGAGTAAGTTCGACTGATATAGGAAGCCTATGCGGCTTGCCCAAGTGGACGAACTGTAACCAACTCTTCTCCACTTGCAGTGGTGCAATTCGAAGCTCGTTGAGCATCGAGGTCTCGCATTAGTCGAAGTCGAGGGAAGGAGAATCCACTGGGGAGGAGTGCCGAAGATCTGCTAAAAAGACCGGAATGGAGAAGGGCTGAAACGCAGCCAATGGGCTCCCCACATATCCAGCGTACTGAGTGTTTGTACATACCAAGGGAGACGACAAATTTTGAGAGTAAGACTCTAGTCAATAATGATATTTATTCGTTGAGGGAAAACGACGTCTGAAAAGAATAAAAGGGATGCCGGTTGTATGTGGTAAGAGGGGAGAGGTATTTGTCATAGATGTTACGAAAACAAAATCTTTCGACTTTCGTTCGAGAAAGTAGTGTCCGCGAGTGGGCACGTAAGGATAGCAAACGAAGATAAACACATAAGGTAACAAAAACGGGAGAAACCAAGATTTTCTGCCAATGGTTGTCTACATCAGCATGCTTCCGAGGCCAGCGTACTGCATGGCCTTGACCGGTGGGTGCTAGAAAGGCAAGAACGGTCAGAATCCGATACAGCGGGACAATTGCAAAACGCGCAAGAACTTACCTCTACAGCACTGTATTGATTGTATTTGAGCTTCAAGTCGGGTGTGATATGGATATATGCTCCTTTGTTCCCAACACTGTCGCAGTAGTTCGGTGCGCTGAAAATGGTGATACCTGCGTTGCAAATGATTACGTTAGTCTGCTGCACCTCGATAGTGTATGACAAGACGAGCAATAATCTTACATCTGCCGTTGTGATCAACTTGATAGCCATCCTGTTTCACTTCGTGACTTCGGATGATCATGTCAAGGTTGTTAAGCTTACAGAAAGCTTCTGTCACGTCCGGTCCGAACTGTATTCCCACGCCACGCTTGGATGGCGAACGCCCAGGCTCGTTTTGCGGGTCTGACCATAGAAGTTCGCACATGAGACCTTCCGATCCGGGTTGCTTGAAACGATCGATCTTGCGAATTTCATCCATCGTCACGTCGTCTCTACTGAAGAGTCCTCCGTGAATCACAAAGATCTTCTCATTGATAAGGTTTCCGATGGGAATCGCGTTGAAGATCTCGCTAAATAGCTTGAACGTGGCGTCGCTGTACTTTGCTTTCACTTCTCCCTCGAACCCGTAAGTCCTGTTCATATCGTTTGTCTCGTGGTTTCCTCTGCTCAGGAAGACGCTGTTTGGGTACAACAGCTTGAAGGCAAACAACGTCGTGACACACTCCACACTGAACGACCCGCGATCCACAAAGTCGCCGTTCCACAAATATGCGTTCGTCTCGGATGGGAGGCCGTTCACGTCCAGAACATGGAGGAGGTCGTAGAACTGGCCGTGGATGTCTCCGCACACGGTAATCTTTCCCTCCTCCGGAATCGTCACGTCGATAATGGGCGGTTGTGCTTCGAAGTACTCTTTAACGGCGAACAGGATTTTGTACAGGTATTTGCGATGCAACTTCTTTTGCTTCCTCATGTGCTCTAACATGTCCTTGACGAACTCCAACGTGACGCCGGTTTCAGGGAGATGTGGTCCATCGTACGAAGAATCAACGACCATAGAATCAACGTCGCCGATCATGTCCTTTATGGATCGCTTAACCTCGTCAAACGCGATCGCTGCTTCGAATGTGATCCGCTTCAGCTCCTTTTCACAGTCCGCTAACTTCTTCCGGGCATCGGCGTCCTTCGGTGCTACCTTGCACACTGCACGGAAATCCTTCACAGCTTCCTTCAGCTTGCCCAAGGCCATGTTCCCCGTCGCCCTCCGGTAATATCCCTTCACATAGGTGGGGTCCAGCTCGATAGCTTTATCGGCGTCCCTGATCGCGGCCGCGTAGAATTCCGAGCGAATGTACGCTGTAAGGATGACCCACGCGTTAGCCGTACGTGATCAAGATTTCTAAACCATTGCCCCGCTGCATCGTACCAAAGCCACGGTTGGCATAATATGCTGCTACATTCGGATTGTGCGAGATTGCCTCCGTGTACTTCTCTATAGCTTGTTCATAGTTCTTCGCCGCGAAGAGCTTGTTTGCCGCGTCTTTCGCCTGAGGGGACACGGGTATACATCTTATGATAAGACAAGGGGGGTCCGTGGGTTCCATTCACCCAACGTCAAGCAGGCTTTGACCGACTCACCGCTTCTGCCTTGGCCTTGTCAGCATCGGTCACATTCAGAGGGGCAACGTCGACGGGATCTCCGGAAGCCATGGTTGAAGCGACGGGCGACAAGCAACGAGTCCAGTCAACGAGTAAGCTCGACAATAAGGATGCACTACAAACAAGGGAAGAAGTTTCAGAGACAGACTGCTGTGCCGAGTTTGTGAGGCAATACGTCGGAGGAGGAATTGGCAGGCTTTGGAGTTTGGGAGCAGGTTTGGGAGGCCAGCGTTCGAACACGTGATGATCCAGTCAGATTAATCGGTTTTATATGATTCGTGGGCGGTTTGCATGTGCAAGATGTACATTTATGGTCATACTGTATAATACATGTGGTGATTCGTGAAGGCGGAAGCAAAGCGGAATACCCGTAAGCGACAGCGAGAAGGAAGGAGCGTCAGCAACGGAACGGATCGAGAGGGCGTTTTGATGAACTTAGTAGGCGCTTGCTTGGCCATTCTTGCGAGGGTCGCTAGCAGCGGCATACGTGCCGTTGGGAAAGAGCGTCACGATTTGAACGTTTGATGTTCTTGCGCCGTTTGCAGAGAAGGTTACGTTGTGCCCTCTGTCGCGGAGAGCTTGCGCGAGAGTCTTACTATAGTCGAAATCCAAGTTGGCCTAAGATGAACAAAAGGAAATGACAATCAGTATGCTGGCCAGGAAATGACCTTGACTTCTGCAAGTATTCACTTACGATGTTGGGAATGAGCTGGTGGTGAGCACGAGGATCCGCGACAGTTTTGAAAACATCCGCTCCGAAATCGTATGTATCGAGGATAGCTTGCGCGGTAGCTGTGATGATCCGCGAGCCGCCACTGGCTCCGACGACCGTCTCCAGTTTACCGTCGCGCAAAATGATGGTCGGAACCATGCTGGACAACGGGCGCTTGCCCGGCCGGATAAGGTTGTTTGGCGAGGGCGGAAACCCGAACGCATTCGGTACACCGGGGGTGGCGAAATCATCCATCTCGTTGTTAAAGATGATGCCGGTCACATTATCGCGGACTTGCGATCCGAAGATCAGATTGACGGTCGAGGTCAGTCCGACGGCTAGACCGTGCCGGTCAATTGCGCTGATGTGAGCCGTTCCTGGGGTCTCTTCCCCGTCATACTTCGGTCGGTAGTATCCCGGCTCGAACGTCCTTGTGTCCGAAATGTTGGCACGGATGTTGGCCGCCGTCTCCTTATCGATGAACTCTTTCACGCGCGCCTCAATGTCCTTAACGAATTGAGGATCGCCTAGCTCCGTTCTCTGCGCATAACCGAACTTGAAGGCCTCAATGAGACGGTGAAGGTTCAGGCCTGTGAGACCGTCCTTTGCGAAATTGTATCGTTCTACGATATTCAGAACGCTCAGCAGAATGGCCCCGGACGACGGGGGCGGCGGCGTGATGATCTCAAGTCCTTGGTACCATCCTTTGAGGGGCTTGCGGAGTTTTGCAGAGTAGTTGGCCAGATCGCGAGTGGTAATAATCCCTCCGTTTTGTTGCACGGCCTTTGCGATGGCTTTAGCAATGTCACCCTATCATAGCAACGTTTCAGCACCTCAGAGAAGAACATGCCGTCTTGCTTCCATGCCTACCTTGTAGTACGCTGACGCGCCCTTCTTCGCGATTGTCTCCAAGGTCTTGGCAAGCACCGGATTCTTGAACTCCTCTCCTTCCTTCAAAAGCGCACCTTTGGGTGCGTAAATGGCGGCGAAGTTTGTGTTGTTGAGAATCCAGGGGGAGACGGAGAGGCGGTAGGCCAACTCGGTTGTTACGGGGAATCCATCACGGGCCAGCTTGATCGATGGGTCGAACAAACGAGCCCAAGGGAGCGTCCCGTAACGCTTGTGTGCCAACTCGAAGCCCCTGATCTCCCCAGGGACACCCACGCCCAAACCGCCGATCTGAGAGAGTTTAGGGTTGGGAACGAACAGCGTTTCATTCGCAGACGCCGGTGCCGTCTCCCGGAAGTCGATGATTTCTGCATGTCCCTTCGGCGTACGAACGATCATAAACCCACCACCCCCAATGCCGGAGGAGAATGCATTTACCACTCCCGTGCACAGAGCAGATGCGATGGTTGCATCGACGGCGCTGCCATTCGCCTTTAGAATCTCAACTCCGACGTTGGAGCAGATTCCAGACTCGGTGGCCACCGCACCATGGCTCCCATACGCCGGACCGTACTTCGTGACTGGAGCCGAACTAACTTCATTGCGCCTGAAAAGCAAAGGAAGAGGCGTTGCTTGGACAGGTTGCGCGGAAATCAAGGCTACGGTCGCTATTATGAATAGGCTCCAGGCCCTGTAGTTCCCATCATTGGCGCCCCGCGTCTCGGTCATGATACTCTATTCGGATCTGTGGAGCAGAAAGTGGTGTTAGAGAGCGGTAATTCGAGATGACGAGGCTTTAGCATGATGCAAGTAACGTACCTGATGAATGCTGCTGTGGAGGTGCCTTTGACTCTGCCCTTGCCTCTGCGAAGAACTGAGGGACCTTTCCAAATCTGGATTTGACACCGCCGGGGTACGGCCTTTATATCCTCCGCCGATCACATTCCTGGGGGAAGTAGAAAACCGTGGGGTCCTGCTGCCACTGTGAGGTGTGCTGAGAAGAGCGTGTCAAGGCGTTCGTCGGCTAGCCATACGAATTGCGCCATCAAGTCCCACGCGTCCTAGTGGCACAACAACCACAACTGAGGGCTCCGACTGGAGAAAAACCCTTCCTTCCGCTCGGGATCTTATTCTACCGCGAACCCTGAACATGAACATTACAAATGCTCGCAAAGATTCCAAGTTCATCGATATCATCAATAGCAGCATGAGCCTGCGGCGATGCTTGTGCTGCAGGGACGCGGAAACATTGGCCAAATCTGTCCTGATTGACAGTATTCGACTCGCTGTCGTTTTGAAACGCATGCTGTCACCACCACAAAACAACTCCGACTCCTCCGAGCTCCGTGTACGGCAGAAGCAAGTGCATGTGCTTCATGTGGTGCATGACAAAATTGGAGCTTCCCGTGGAGACATTGGAGAAAGTTCAGGAGGCCGTAGCAGTCGAAGACAATTTGCGTTGTAACTTCCAGCAATCAGTACATAGGGATAATCAAGGCACGTCTCTGCCATTACAGTGTGGGTTGGGCCAGGTGTTGGCGTGGGCTGGTGATCTCCTTCCCGGTTCTGTGCCCATGCAGCCTTGTCAACAAACTGGTGGATCCGCGCCCCGGGCCGCATAGCGAGAGGGTCATTTGGGAGAGCCAGAGCAAAAATGTCGTCTATAATACATAGGTGAGTGTGCTGTGTCAATGCATGCGGGAACACGGTCCGGTCGCCTTACCTGGAGACAGCTTCTGCCCCTTTTTGCGCCACTTGAATTCCAGGTAAGGGGCATACATTCCCCACATGTCTCGCTGACCTTGATCCATTTTTGCTTTGGCCAGCGCGGCAAAGTATGGATGATATGGCGGACACCCGCTCGCATATGGGTATCCCTCATGGAAGGCCGATATCTCGCGAAAACGTGTTCGTTGACACTCCTTCACGAATGCCTGATTGTAGCGTTCTTTCACAAACTGTTATGAATGGGCGGAGCCGACGGAAATAGAGGCGACTTGTGGTGCAGGTTGTTGACAGGTAATGGTATTCAGACCAAAACAAGAACTAGAACAAGACTAGGAAGAACTGGTGTTGATCTGCTGGGGGATCAGGAAGTGGGGAGCTCAGGGGAGGCGGCTATTTATGCTTTTCTGGGAAGGCTGGGGAAGCGTGGGGAAGCAGAAGGGTACGGAATGGGAGGGAAGCCAAGAGAAGCGCCAAGGGTGGGGGAAGCATAGAAACAGAAGACTGGGGATGGGGTGGCTACGCTGAGGCTGTGGGCGGGTACGTGGGGAAGTATGGAGAAGGGTTTGTAAGCGCCGAGTGTTGGGAGGTGTGGCTACGTGCGGCTGCGTGGAGAAATGAAGGCAGTGGCAGGTGTGGGGTAGCGCGGCTGCGTGCGGCTGCAAGGTTTGGCAGATGTCAGGTTTTGACAGGGAATTGACATTGACTGACTGTTGGGATGCTGTCATGAGGTAAGCGCATGGTATGGACGCGTCGTCCATAACATCACCCCCTCCTTTAGCCACGGCGTCCGGATGTTGTTTTGATGTTGGCAGGCTTTGGTCGGGGTTTGTCGGGGTACTTTTGGTGGAACTGGGCAACAAGCTCTTGACAGCGGGCAAGGTGTTCCACTGGCTCCCATGTGTTCTCCGAGCTTGGCCAACCCTGCCACTTGATGAGGTACTGAAGGTGCGTGCGTCGAATACGGGAGTCAAGAATGTCTTCCACAATCCATTCCTCCTTTCCTTTGACTTCTTCTGGTGGGGTGGGTTCTGGCTCAGTTCGCTCCGGAATGGTGAAACGTGGTTCAAGAAGGGAGACATGGAAGACGTTGTGAATTTTGTAGGATGGGGGAAGCTTGAGGCGATATGTGACCGAGTTGATCTTCTCCGTGATTGTGAAGGGGCCAATCTTACGGTGATCAAGTTTCTGGGAAGGTCGGAGAGTCTTGAGATTCCGCTGTAAGAGCCAGACACTGTCCCCGGGTTTCATGTCTGGGCCAGGTGCCCTCTTAGCATCGGCAAAGCGCTTCATGCGTCCTTGGGCCTCCTTGAGCTCAGTGGCAAGCTGTTCATGGATTTCCTTGAGATGGTTGGCACGAGCTTCGGCTGCAGGATTAAGGGATTCGGTTGTGGTGGCGGAAGCCAGACTGAATCGAGGATGGAACCCATAGTTGGCATAGAAGGGGGTTGTCTGGGTGGCGGAGTGGATGGTGTTATTGTAAGAGAACTCAGCAGAAGACAAGAGTTCCTTCCAGTTATCTTGTTGATAGTTGCAAAAGCAGCGAAGGTATTGCTCAAGAATCTGATTGGTCCGCTCGGTTTGTCCATCGCTCTGGGGATGGAACGCCGATGAGAGGTTGACCTTGGTTCCCAGGAGAGCGAAGAGGACGTTTCCAGAAGTGGGAGTTGAACTGTGGGCCACGGTCAGATACAATATCGTCGGGGAGTCCATGGAGCCGGATGACATGGTGCCAGATCAGATCTGCAGTTGACTCAGCGGTGGCAGTTTTCCTGCACGGTACAAAGTGCGCCATCTTGGTGAACCGGCAGATGACAACGAGCACAGAATCAACCCCATCACTGGCGGGTAGATCCGTGATGAAGTCCATAGAAATTGACCCCCAGGGGCGGTCAGGGACCTGCAGGGGTTGGAGGAGTCCGTAGGGCTTGTGTCTGCTGGTCTTGGCGTGAGCACATACGTTGCAGGACCTGATGTAGGACTTGACAAAACGCCACTGGCTAGGCCACCAGTAGTTGCGTGAGATGAGCTCCAGGGTCTTTGACATGCCGTAGTGTCCTGCCAAATGCGTGTCATGCATGTCCCGGCAGATCTCAGCACGGAGCTTGTTGGTGGGGACGTAGACAAGGTTGTCGTACAGCAGAACCCCATTTTCCTCGGAGAATTGCTTTATCCGTTCTTGGTCTTCTTGAGATTGCTGGGCAATGGGGGCCCTAAGCTGTCGCCGGATGGTTCGCGCAAACACATCGGATGCCAGGGCAGCTTTGATTTGGTCAAGGAGCGAGGAGTCCAGTGGGGTCAGATAAGTGGCGGCCAGGCGGAGATGGTCAGGGGTGAGGATCGTGGTTTCCTGGGAGCGGAATGCTTCTTCCCCCTCCCTTAGCTCGTATTCAGAGCAACGAGAGAGGGCGTCAGCTTGGTGTTGCTGGGTACCAGGGCGGTATGTGATGACAAAGTCGAAATCAGCAAAGAAGATTGACCAGCGGGATTGGCGGCAGTTGAGGGTACGGGTAGTCATGAAGTACTGGAGGTTCTTGTGGTCACAGTAAACGATGACCTTGTGGCGGGCGCCAATGAGGTGGTGTCGCCATTGAGCAAATGAGTCTTGGATAGCCAGGAGTTCCTTGTCGTAGATCTCATAGTTGATTTCCTCAGGAGTAAATTTGCGGGAGTGAAAGGCCACGGGGTGGAGTTGATCTGTGTCATCGGGTTGAAGGAGGACGGCGCCAAGGGCAAAGGCGGAGGCATCGGATTCAACAATGAAGGGCATGTCAGGGTCGGGGTGAGTCAGGATAGGTGCGGAGGTGAAGGCTTTCTTGAGGGTTTCAAAAGCTAGGTGTGCAGCGTGGGTCCATTTGAATGGCAAGTCTTTGCGAGTGAGCGTGGTCAGGGGTGCAACGATCGCAGAGTACCCTTTGATGAATCGCCGGTAGAAGTTGGCAAAACCAAGGAAGCGCTGGATGCCTTTGACATTTGTCGGGGGTTCCCATTCAGTAATGGCAGCCGTCTTCTTTGGGTCCATGGAAATGCCTTGCTGGGAGATGATAAACCCCAGGAACTCAACAGAGTCACGGTTGAATTCGCATTTTTCCGGTTTCGCGTACAGCCCGTGCTGGCGGAGTCGTGAGAGCACCTCTCGGACGTGGTTGGGGTGGTCTTCTGGGTTTTTTGAGAAGATCAGAATGTCGTCAAGGTAGACCACAACAAAAACGTCAAGAATGTCACGGAATATGTCGTTCATGAGGTGTTGGAATACTCCAGGGGCATTGGTGAGCCCAAACGGCATGACATTATACTCGAATAGGCCGTAGTGACATCGGAACGCTGTCTTCCATTCATCCCCTGGCCGGATCCGAAGAAGGTTGTAGGCTCCCCGGAGGTCAATCTTGGTGAGCCGGCGTGCCCCTCGAAGACGATCCATGATGCTGTTAATCAAGGGCAAGGGATAGCGATTCTTGATGGTGATATTGTTGAGTCCACGATAGTCGACGCACAGACGGAGGGAACCGTCCTTTTTCTTGACAAAGAGGACTGGGGCACCGGCGGGAGACTTGGAGTGCTTGATGAACCCCTTAGCTAGGTTCTCTTCAAGGTAGTCACAGAGTGCCTGCATTTCAGGCTCGCTGAGACTATAGATCGGGCCGAACGGTGGCTGTTTGCCCTCTTCTAAGTCGATGGGACAGTCGTAGGGTCGGTGCTCTGGGAGGGTATCCGCGTTCTTCTTGGCGAAGACGTCCGCAAAATCTTGGTATTCTTCAGGAATGATGGCCTTCGGATCTTTTGGAGGAGTGGTCGCCAGGGCTTGGGAATCTGACTTGGTCGGATTGGCGTAGGCAATGAATGCCTGGTCATGCCTTGCCGCCACACGGAAAGCTGGGGCGCTGATAAACGATACGTGGATCGGTGTGGGTGCTGGGTCCAGTGTGTTGGGTGTCTGGGCTAGGGAGACTGAAATCTCGTCTTGATGGATACGGATCAGAGGTTCAGGGGTTCTTGAGGGCTTCGGGCTAGGTTCTGTTGGCAGGGCATCCCAGGAGGCGTATTGTCCAAAACCGCAATGGCAGCGGACGCAAAGAGTGCGAGTCTTCCAGTGTAGCTCCACATCATGGAGCTCAAACCAGGGAAGCCCCAGGATGATTGGCGCATGCGGGGAACATGTCACATGGAATACCACCTCCTCAAAATGGTCGTTGACCCACATGCCCAAAGGTTGGGTGTGATGGGTAATGGAGCCCGCATGGCTGGGACGTCCGTCAACCAGTTCAAGCGCAATGGGGTCCTCCTTCTTGACAAGTGGGATGCGGTGCTTGCGGGCATAACTTTCGTCGATGAAGCACGACATCGCACCGGTGTCAAGTAGTGCTGAAAGCTGAACTGGAGCTCGCTGGGCCGATATCTGCAGGGTAACAGGGTACTCGAATGGTGAGGATGGGCCCAAAATCCGCATGGGTGAGGGTATCTCAGATCGGAGATTGACATTGTTGGTGGTCAGGAGAAGGGTGTTGCTGGAGATGCCAGGATCGGAGCAAGGTTTTGTGGCTTCTCCCTTGGCAGTACTTGCGTGGTGAGAAGGCCCAGGACAGGTGTTGCCCAGCTGCTCGGCCTTTACTGCAGCTGGACTTGGGCAAAATCCTGGATGGGTGCAGGTTCCTTAACCGCGACATTCGCCGTGCGTATCTTGTTTGGGCAGAGTTTGGCTATGTGGCCAGGTTTACCACAATAGAGGCAAAGTTTGTTTGTGATGCGGTGTTGGCGCTCTAGCGGTGTGAGGGGTCCTCGCGGACGAGCAGCGTCAATGACCATAGGGTCGTCTGGGCGGTTGTCGGGGCTCATGAGGGTGGGGCTAGTGGTAACTGGCACATATGGCTGTCGGTTCCTGCTTCGCTCTAGACGGCGCTCAAACAATCGGTTGTCACATTGGATGGCCTGTTCCATCACGGTGTCGATTGAGGCGGTAGGGGGCATCGTGAGCATTAAGTCCTTGACGTCTTCTTTGAGGCCGCGACGGAAGGTGGCAATCAATGCCTGGTCATTCCACGACACATCGCATTGCAGCTGTCGGAATTCAGCTACATACTCTGTTGCTGCACGGGTTTGTCGAAGGTTCTGGAGCTTGTTTTCGGACGTGCGGATCCTGTCGCTGTCTCCAAAGACTGCTTGCATTTGCTGGATGAAATCATCCAGGTTCGTAAGGGAATGATGGTCTTGTTCGACAAGGGGCGCCAGCCAGGCCTGGGCGGTGCCAGTGAGGTAGGTGCCAATAGTTCGTATCTTGGTCTGATTGTTGGGGTAGCGCCTGGGTTGGAGGGCGAACATGAGCCGGATCTGGTTGAGGAACCCACGGAACTTGCTTCGGGTGCCATCAAATTTGTCTGGGAGACTGATTTTGGGTTCGGGGGCGTGAGTGGCAGGGGCAGTGGTCTGGGTTTGCGCTAGTTCGGCTTGTAGGGTGGTATTCTGCGCTCGAAGTTCGTCAATCGCATTGCACATGGCTTGCCAGGCTTCGGCCGTGAGGGGAAGGGCGTCGGACATGGTGATTTGGCGTGGAGGCACAGCGGCTGGGGGTTGTTGAGCAGATCAAACTGTTATGAATGGGCGGAGCCGACGGAAATAGAGGCGACTTGTGGTGCAGGTTGTTGACAGGTAATGGTATTCAGACCAAAACAAGAACTAGAACAAGACTAGGAAGAACTGGTGTTCATCTGCTGGGGGATCAGGAAGTGGGGAGCTCAGGGGAGGCGGCTATTTATGCTTTTCTGGGAAGGCTGAGGAAGCGTGGGGAAGCAGAAGGGTACGGAATGAGAGGGAAGCCAAGAGAAGCGCCAAGGGTGGGGGAAGCATAGAAACAGAAGACTGGGGATGGGGTGGCTACGCTGAGGCTGTGGGCGGGTACGTGGGGAAGTATGGAGAAGGGTTTGTAAGCGCCGAGTGTTGGGAGGTGTGGCTACGTGCGGCTGCGTGGAGAAATGAAGGCAGTGGCAGGTGTGGGGTAGCGCGGCTGCGTGCGGCTGCGAGGTTTGGCAGATGTCAGGTTTTGACAGGGAATTGACATTGACTGACTGTTGGGATGCTGTCATGAGGTAAGCGCATGGTATGCACGCGTCGTCCATAACACAAACGCGACAACATCCTCCCTGGAGGTAAAGTACATGCGGCGTTTGGGGGGGCATGAAGCGGTTTCTATAATATCCCTGATTAGCGGCCGAGGACAGACACACGGAGCATGAGGACAATGGCATGTAACTTACGTCCAAGTGTGCGAAAATGGGTCTCGATTCGCTGACAAACATTATCAGCCTTAGCCGACCCGTCACTAAGCATCGCACACAGCATCGGAGATGTCCCTGTTGCTGTTGCACACTCCGTAGTGTGATCAAAGGTAAACAATCCAAATTCGATACTGGAATCGGCGTAAGTGAGGAGATGTTTCGCGGTGCTCAGTAATGCGTCAAGGGCATGGGCTGGTGTTGGAGTTGGAGTTGGTGACAACCGAATCCCTTCGATCGCCTCCTTCTCTCCCGCTCCGAGCTGGTCATATAGATGTTTTCGTCGGGCGTTTACCCACCGGATACAGCTTGTGTCGGGGTGCGCAATTGCTGTGGCATATTCCTCCGCGGATTCGACGTTGAGATTGAAGCGTGAGATGGTTCCGACTCCATCTTGCTTCAGAAGTGTATTAAAATGACTGAATCCGTGTACCGCTGTCGCCCGCTTTGTCCGTTTCCCCTCCCATTCAGATTCGTTTCGTTGCTTAGTCTGTAAAACAAGAGACCAGCGTGAGGATGTGCGTGGGGATGTGCAAGTGGGAATGTTCTGCAAGTGCGGGAGTCCTGGAGTCCCGGCACGACCTGCCAGCTACCTCTCCTCTCCTCCACCATCACTCTCCTCCCGTGTGCCACAGTCTCACTTTCATATCAGACAGAGGGATGCCTGCAGCAACAAGGTGGTAGTTCCGCATCCCATCCTTGCGTCTCCCGTTTCCGTCCAACCATCCCGTTACCGTGCGACCATCCATCCTGTTTCCCTTCCATCTCCGGTTTGTCGCAAAGCCTCCTCAGTGATCACCCACCATATCTCATCTCCGGTTCGAACACGAACACTGCACATGTACTGTACATCTATCGGTATCTGCATAAGCGGAAGAAGGAGAGTTGAGTGCCCTATGTTGCAGGACTCGAGCCATGATTCGTTTTTTGGATGATGAGTATTTGTGGGAAATGAATGCTGGGGTAGTAGTACCCCCTACGTACCAGCCGTACCAAATGGCAAACCACGGCGCTGAGAGCGTGGAGCTGTAAGGCCGAGCGTGAAGGCTGTAAGGCCGAGCGTGGGCGTAAGGCCGAGTGTGGGCGTAAGGCCGAGTGTGGGGGTGAGGCCGAGTGTGGGCGTAAGGCCGAGTGTGGGCGTAAGAGTACCCTAACCCTAATGTTACCCTAACCCTAATGGCGCCTCAATTTGACCGCGACTCTGTTGAACCTAACCCCAACCCTAACCCTAACTTTAACCCTCACCCGAACCCTAACCCTAACCGTGCCCTCACGTGCCCATATATTAGTTGCATAACCCTACTCTTTGTCGTCGGACTCTTTGTTGTCCTACTCTTTGTCGTCAGACTCCGTCGATAGTTACATTTTCTAGAACTACGTTGAATATGTACATTGAGGTTCCCATCACGTGTATGGAACAAGCGTGTACTGTACGGCCTCCGACGTTGACGCTTTCACGTTTGTCGACGCTTTCGCGTTCCTGAACTGTATACAATACGGGACACGCGTGTTTGAATAACTCATCCGTAACAGATGCATACTTATCTGTATGCATGCATACGCACCCGTTTATGCATGCATATGGTCCATCACGTATTGCAGATCCATAATGCACATCTGTATGCATGCATGCGCATGCATAAACAGAAATATACTGATGCCCATGCCCCATTCCCCATTCCGTGCATTCCCCGTTCCCCAACACAATCACGAAACAAGGAAAATGCTGGTCAAAAGTTCGCGTACGTCGATGACTCAATGACTCGCTTATTGACGTGCCTTCTGCAGCATTTATTGATCCGCAATTAGGCATCCGCAATCTGGCTCATCTGCTGAAACATCGATATCACAATCACGTCCTTGCCCGCCATTATTTTCTGCCACTGCCGCACCTTCCTACCCTTCCTACCCTTCTTCCGCCGTCACCGGGTCTGTCCCTCATCCGGCACATCGGCAGCAGCTACCCACAAACCAACCCTCCCCACAAACCATATTGTGCTGCTGTCATGGATACCATGGAACCAATTTCAATGATTCCAATTCCTGATGGTATGTGCCGAAAGACATTACTAGTATTAGAAACTGTCAAATTCCGGGGACAGTAAGCCAATTATTGACGTGCCTTCTGCAGGATTCGTCAACGCAATTATGCGAGGAGTCCGCTCAGCACTTGCTTCGGTTTTCTGCGTCTCCGGTGCATCAAAGCAAGGCAGCACCGCTGAATCGCCTGAATGCACCGCTGAATCGCCGGAATCGCCTGAGCCGCCCGTCATGCTTGGCAACAAGCAATTCAAACGCAAAGCGGAATCGCCTGAACCGCCCGTCATGCTTGGCAACAAGCAATTCAAACGACCCCATTTGGGTTTGGGCAAAACTAGACCCCATTTGGGTTTGGGCAATTACGATACTGGTAGCCCAGTTCCGCAACGTACCCGACTCTACTGTCAATCTACTCCTACTTCGACGGCCGGCCAGAAGCTTACCCGTGCCGACTCGAAACAGCTCCTGCAGGAACAACAGGACAACTTTAGAGCCATGTTCGACAACTTTCTATCATCGCTTGGTGATACCATCGGTCCGCTCGTGAGGGATATCATTCAGGATGAACTACGTTCGCAATTGGGCAGGACTCCGGTGGACCTCACCGACATGACAGCCAGCACTTCAGCCACTTCAGCGGCACGACCAAATGCAACCAAACCCGCCAGGAGAGTACCGAAGGGGCTCAATCAGTTAGTCAAAGAGTTCCTCAACGGCTTTATACCTGGGTATTCAAGTCTCACACCCGCCAACGTGACCAAGTATGGCGCTGGAAACACCAGGGCCAGGCAGCTGTTGACCGACCTCACCGATCCTCATCGAACGAGGCCACAGTTTGCGGCAGTAGAGGACGCCATCTTGAGCTTCATGGAATATGAGCCCCAGATACACCAGCATAGTCTCGCCAAAGTGACGGAGGAACTCCTCTCGGTCATCCGCAACCGAATCACCAATATGAAAGCTGGGCGAATCAAGGTGAATTCTTAGTCAAGGAGACGATGTTGATGACGAGTAGGCCTCATCTACAAACAGGTATGTAGTAAGACAGACGACTCCGTTCTCAGCTTTTATTCACTGGTGTGGTTCATCTAGGCAATTGGTGCAGGAATCGTATATATTCCGTTGTGAAAACTTCTATCCCCACTACTACCACAAGGTTGGCGGTCCATGGAATCTACGTCAAGTGGCTCGGAGGCGTCGATGTCAAACAACTCAACGTCGACAAGATAAGGCATTCCACGTTATTGACCGGATGCCTTTTTAGATGTAAATGAACATGTACATAGCGCTTGTGGGTCTTTACAATGTTTTGTTTTTTCATGCATATGGGAACGTTTATGCATCAATATATGCGTAAATATACGTAAGTTCGTTCTAAGTGCGCAGTTTGCATTATGCATGCATAAGCGCATGCATAAATTGGAACGCGTAGCCGCGGGCTGATTAAACAGAAGCAGGAGAGTTTCAATTATACCCACAACAATGCTTTCACTTCCCATGCCACATATGTACACATTCCTTTCAACGTCCGCGTCTCTAGCCTCTCTATCCATATCAACGTACGCCTTCCGCTATGCATATACGGGGAAGCAATGTGAATTGGAAGGTATGGTTGGCACAGTCTTTGACAGTGTCACTTGCAATGGCACCCACGTGTCGCTTGCAATGGCACCCACTCGTTTGCTTAGTGCCCACTCTTTCTCATTCGTCTCATTCTGTATACCTTTCGCAGCCAGCAGCCATGGTCAGATATACCATCACGCGACCTGTGGGTCGGTTGAAAAATTTCATTCAACGGCCCAATGGGACAGCGGACGAGGACTGGGACAGTACCGTCAGGACCGTAGTAGAGGTGTTTCAAAGCCGTGCCAAGTTTGTGTCTGACACGGTCTTCTGTGCCTGGCATTTACTTGGCATCTATCTGAGGAGTGAGGCGGATACCTTCCTGGACCTTCTCAATGACAATCCCTCAGTCATGCCACCAAATACCGATCATCGTTATCGGAAGGGGCTCACATCAATGTGCGTTGATGCCTGTCGCATCATTGCAATGGATGGCAACCGGCATATGGAGGATCAAAATCTTTGGAACACCTACATCCAAAAGCTCAAGCCCACCATGATGAGTGGGTATCAATTTCCTGAGGACGCCCTGCTCCCAAACCCACCTGTCCCAGGTGCCACCTTCATCTTTTGCAACAAGGTCTTGCGTGTTCGCGGAGCTGAGGTTGGGGATCGCTGGACAGATCATTTATCACAAATTACACTGGTCGCATACACCCTGGCAGCGAATTTCAAGACTCATATCAGTGAGAATCTAAACAGGTTCATGCTGAGGGTACTCGAAGGGCAAATCAATCTTGTGAATGGTGTAGAATTGCTGTCAGAAGAAGAAAAGAAGTCTTTCTGTAAATCCGTTGTTTGGACGCATCTGGGCTCACATATGTGTATGAATATGTGCAAGTGTACTGATAACCTCTGAACGTCAACAGTCGAACGTCTGACACGATGGTTGGAACCCCACAGATCAAGGGCAATAGTCCAAACACACGCTTCACTCCAACGGGCACCGCGCGTACCTTCCTGTTTGGCGGGATGCAGCTGTTATGGACGACGCGCCCATACCATTAAGCTTACCTACTGACAGCCGCCAATGTCAACCGCCAAATGTCAAACGCCAATGTCAATGTCAATGTCAGTGTCAATGTCAGTGTCAATGTCAGTGTCAATGTCAATGTCGATGCCACTTCCCCTCTCTCCTCTCATTTCGCCAATCCTCTTGCAATATCGCCACTCCTCCTCTCTCCTCTCATTTTGCCAATCCCCCCTTGGCTTCTCCACACCCCCCACTGCTTCCCCATAGCCAGCAGCTGTAGCAATGCTCTCTACGCTCGCCACGCACGCTCTAGGAGCATAGCGGGCGCCCCCCAGTCCCCTCTTGTTGTTGTTGTTCTCTGATCTGCTGGGTTGCCTATCTATAAATAGCCGGCCTCTCTTCGTCCCTTCCCTTCCTCCCCAGCAGATCAACACCAGTTCTTCTCATCTCCTGTTCTAGTCCTTGTTTCTTGTTTTGCCAATACAATCTCTTGTCGCCTATCACTCTCGCCTTGTCTTCTCTACTTCGCTTCCGCCTCAGTCGTCGAGATCATAACAGTTTGATCTGCTCCAACACTGCGAAGTTCAAAACCTGTCCAGCCCTGCATCCGACAAACCTTTTTCGCCATGTCCCAACCCGAATCCGTACCTTTCACCGCCAAGCAATGGAACGATATGTGCCAAGCCTTCGCCGCCTTGCAAAGCCAAAACGCCAACTTGCAGGCCAACCTAGCGCAAGCCCAAGCCGACGCACAAGCTGCCCAGAGCATCGCCGCCCAGGTTCAAGCCGATACGTACACCCGTCCTCAAGTCGCCAATCCTGCTCTGGAGCCAAGAATTAGCTCGCCCGAGAAGTTTGATGGTACCCGCAGCAAATTCCGTGGGTGGTTGAACAACATCCGGTTGATGTTTGCTCTCCAGCCCGACCGCTACCCCAGCGACATCACCAAGATCCAAACTATTGGCACCTACCTCACCGGCACTGCGCAAGCCTGGATGGCGCCCCTAGTCAAACGCCAAGATCACAGCCTTCAGGACTTCAATAGTTTTATCAGTCAGATGCAATCGGTCTTCGGAGACAGCGACAGGGTCCGCACCTCTGAAAACAAGCTCCAGAACCTTCGCCAAACCCGTGCAGCAACCGAGTACGTCGCTGAGTTCCGCCAGCTACAATGCGATGTCGCCTGGAACGACCAGGCCCTGATTGCTACCTTCCGCCGTGGCCTCAAAGAAGACGTCAAAGACCTGATGCTCACAATGCCCCCTGCGGCCACCATTGATGTGGTGATGGAGCAGGCTATCCAGTGCGATAACCGGCTGTTTGAGCGCCGCCTGGAGCGAAACAGAAGCCGCCAGACCTTCCCGGTTCCCCACACCTCGTTTACTACTACCACCACTGTCGACCACAGCGAGCCTATGCAGATTGACGCCGCTCGTCCCCGCGGCCCTCTGAGCCCTCAGGAACGCCAACGCCGCATTTCCAACAACCTCTGCCTTTACTGCGGTGGCGCGGGGCACATTGCAAAAGTCTGCCCCGTCAAGAACAAGACCACCACCCGTGCCGCCAACGTCGACATCAAAGAACCCTCCACCGAACAGGGTTTTCCCAAAGTCCAGCCGCAGTAAAGCCCCAGCGACTGGACAACACACACCGCCCCGGGCCTCCTAACCTCGCAGCTCCTGCAACGGGAGAGGCCACCCCCCTGGTTCCCGACTCCGTTATAGCCAACACAACCCTCCTAGCCGCTGCCCATGTCGAAAACTCCGAAATTAACCCCCGCGCCATGCTTGCGCTGGGTCCCGTCGAACCCTTCAACTACCCCGTTATCATCATGGTATCATCCAGCCGCGCCCCGATACCTACCTCAGCCATGATCGACAACGGTGCCCTGTCCTGCTTCATCGACACAGACTTTGCCCGCAAACACCGCATCGCCCTAGTCCCGCATCAGCGTCCACTGACGATCGAACTCGTTGACGGTCAACCCAGCTCTGCTGGGCCAATCACCCATCACACCCAACCAGTAGGCATGTGGGTCGACGACCACTTCGAAGAACTCGTCTTCCATGTCACCAAATCACCCCATGCTCCAATCCTCCTTGGTCTCCCCTGGCTCCGCCTCCACGACATTAACCTTGACTTCAAGAACCTTTCGGTCGGTTTCCGTTGCGACTGTCAGTACCATGAATTCGCGAATTGGGACAACTTTCCAGCACCCCCGAGCCCAGCACCCGCCAGAACCCCCGAGCCCTTGATCCGCATCCCCCAGGATGAAGTCCCCGTCGACGAAACATGGTCGATTCCAGTACCCAAGGTATCTCGCTCCAGCACCCCAGAACCGGCTCCCTCGCCGCTCTGAGTCTCGTTCATCTCCGCCCCAGCCTTCCGGGTCGCAGCAAGGCATAACCAGGTCTTTGTCGCCTACGCCAACCCTGCGAAACCCGATCTCCCGGCCTCGCCTAGCCCCAGTAACCCCCCGACACCCGAGAAAGACATCAAAGACTTCCTGCCCCCCGAGTATCAAGACTTCGCCGACGTTTTCGAAAAGAGAAATGCTGACACTCTCCCCGATCACCGGCCCTACGACTGTCCAATCGATCTGGAAGAAGGCAAGCAGCCACCTTTCGGCCCGATCTACAGCCTCAGCGAACCAGAAATGAAGGCACTCTGCGAATACCTCGAAGAAAACCTCGCCAAAGGATTCATCAAACCCTCAAAGTCCCCTGCCGGTGCGCCAGTCTTATTCGTGAAGAAAAAGGACGGTTCTCTCCGCCTCTGCGTGGATTATCGAGGCCTGAACCGCATCACGGTGAAGAATCGCTACCCCCTGCCCCTGATCAACGGTATCATGGATCGTTTGCGCGGCGCCCGCCGGCTCACCAAGATCGACCTCCGCGGCGCTTATAACCTCTTACGCATGCGCCCGGGCGATGAATGGAAGACCGCCTTCCGCTGCCGCTACTGCCTATTCGAATACAATGTCATGCCCTTTGGACTCAGCAATGCTCCTGGCGTCTTCCAGTACCTGATGAACGACATCTTCTGCGACATTCTCGATGTGTTTGTTGTCGTCTACCTCGACGATATCCTGATATTCTCCAAGAACCCCGAAGATCACCCCAAACATGTCCGCGAAGTCTTGTCCCGCCTCCGACAGCATGGGTTGTACGCCAAACCAGAGAAGTGCGAATTCAACCGCGAATCCGTTGAGTTCCTAGGCTTCATCATCTCCGAGAAAGGCATCCAGATGGACCCAAGAAGATCGCTGCCATCACGGATTGGGAGCCTCCCAAGACTGTCAAAGGCGTCCAGCGGTTCCTCGGCTTTGCCAACTTCTATCGCCGATTCATCCAAGGTTATTCCAAGATCGCTACCCCGCTCACAGCCCTGACCCGGAAAGACATCCCGTACGCCTGGACACCCGCCGCAAACACCGCCTTCGAGAACCTGAAGAAAGCATTCACCACGGCCCCCATCCTTGCTCACCCTGACCCAGAGAAGCCCTTCGTCGTCGAAACTGACGCCTCCGACTTCGCTCTTGGCGCAGTTCTCCTCCAACCTGACCAGGACAATCAGCTCCACCCCGTGGCCTTCCACTCTCGCAAATTCACGGCCGAAGAGATCAACTACGAGATCTACGACAAGGAACTTCTGGCCATCCAAGACTCCTTTGCCCAGTGGCGACACCATCTCATTGGCGCCCGTCACAAGATCACCGTTTACTCCGACCATAAAAACCTTCAGTACTTCATGACCACCCGCACCCTGAACCGCCGCCAAGCCCGCTGGTCAATATTCTTCTCGGATTTTGACTTTGTCATTACCTATCGCCCCGGTTCCCAGCAGCACCAAGCCGATGCCCTCTCCCGACGCTCCGAACATGAGCTAAAAAAGGGGGAAGAAGCGTTCCGCTCCCAGGCAACCACAATTTTGACTCCCGAACGCATTCGACTCGCCGCGGCCTACCTCACACCCATGGATACCACGCTGCTTGACAAGACCAAGGCCGTTCAGGCCTCTGATCCCCTTGCTAAGACCATTCGCGAAACGCTCAAGATACCCCTCGCCCAACGAACCGAGGAAACCCAAGATCGTATCAAGCGGTTCTCAGATGAAGATGGGATCCTGCTGCACAATAACCTGGTCTATGTCCCCACCAACGAGCTCCGAGCTGAAGTCTGCCACGACATGCACGATACACCCCTAGCCGGCCACTTTGGGATGTTCAAGACGCTCGAACTCGCCTCCCGCAACTACTGGTGGCCCAGCCAGTGGCGCTTCGTCAAGGCCTACGTCAAGTCCTGCGATACCTGTAGCCAAGCGAAATCCAGTCGACACAAACCATATGGCCTACTCCAGCCCAACAGTATCCCTACCCGCCCTTGGGGATCTTGGTCCCTGGACTTTATCACCGGTCTGCCTCCCGTGGACGGGTATGACTCCATCCTGAACGTCAACTGTCGCCTCACCAAGATGGCCCACTTCATCGCCTGCAGCGAGTCGGAATCCGCCGAGTCCACCGCCGACCTGGTCTTCCACAACATCATCCGTCTCCACGGCCTCCCCGACGACATCATCTCTGACCGAGGACCCCAGTTTAAGTCCCGGTTCTGGCGTCGACTTCTCGAACTCCTTGGGGCAAAAGCCAACCTCTCCTCGGCCTTCCACCCCCAGAGCGATGGCCAGACGGAACGCACCAACCAGATCCTGGAGCAGTATCTCCGATGCTTTTGCAACCACCAACAGGACAACTGGAAACAGCTTCTGTTGTCCGCCGAGTTCGCCTACAACAACACCCACCAGTCCGCCTCCCAGACCACCCCCTTCTACGCCAACAAGGGTCTCCACCCCCGCTTCAGTTTCGCGGCCTCTGCTACCTCCGAATCCGTCAACCCCGCCGCTGAAGCCCGCGCTAAACAAATCAGGGAAGTCCATGAACAGCTCGCCCTCGAGCTCAAGGAAGCCCAAGATCAAATGAAGCGCTACGCCGACGCTAAACAAATTCCTGGACCGGACTTCAAGCCTGGCGACCACGTCTGGCTCCTCCGCAAAAACCTCCAGACAACCCGGCCCTCTCAGAAACTCGACCATCGCAAGATTGGGCCATTCCCCATCGTTGAGAAAATCAATCCCGTCGCCTACCGGCTCAAGCTCCCGCCTACGTACAAAATCCACGATGTCTTCCATGTCTCGCTCCTCGAACCCCGCTTCACCATCCCCGAACGACACGAACCCGAACCCGCGGCCCCAGAGACCGTTGAGGGTCAAGAAGAGTGGGTTGTCGAAGCCATCCTTGACTCTCGCATCCATTGTCGTCGCCTTCAGTACTTGGTCAAATGGCAGGGCTGGCCTGACTCCGAGAACACCTGGGAGCCCGTGGAACACCTCACCCATACCGACGCACTCCTCCAGGACTTCTACAGCGCGTACCCCAACAAGCCTTCCTCTGTCCCCGTAGCACCTCCTCTGCGGCCACACCAAACTCGACGCCGCCGCCGCCGCCGCTAAAGAGAGGGGTGATGTTATGGACGACGCGCCCATACTATAAGCTTACCTACTGACAGCCGCCAATGTCAACCGCCAAATGTCAAACGCCAATGTCAATGTCAATGTCAGTGTCAATGTCAGTGTCAATGTCAGTGTCAATGTCAATGTCGATGCCACTTCCCCTCTCTCCTCTCATTTCGCCAATCCTCTTGCAATATCGCCACTCCTCCTCTCTCCTCTCATTTTGCCAATCCCCCCTTGGCTTCTCCACACCCCCCACTGCTTCCCCATAGCCAGCAGCTGTAGCAATGCTCTCTACGCTCGCCACGCACGCTCTAGGAGCATAGCAGGCGCCCCCCAGTCCCCTCTTGTTGTTGTTGTTCTCTGATCTGCTGGGTTGCCTATCTATAAATAGCCGGCCTCTCTTCGTCCCTTCCCTTCCTCCCCAGCAGATCAACACCAGTTCTTCTCATCTCCTGTTCTAGTCCTTGTTTCTTGTTTTGCCAATACATTCTCTTGTCGCCTATCACTCTCGCCTTGTCTTCTCTACTTCGCTTCCGCCTCAGTCGTCGAGATCATAACAGCAGCAGCAACTACCGCTCGCTTCTTGAGATGCCATTCGGGACATTCTCTTGGAACACCGCCGCCTGCTCATTCACGCCATGCGACCTTTTGTCACACCTGGAGGATGGAGCGCTGCTGCCGTTAGTGCCAACTCACGGGCACACCCACGATATGATTGGTCGAATGTTTTGAGAAATCTCAAGGATGCCGAAGGTCAGGTCATGAAGAGGATGACCTTTTACTTCCAGTACCTTTCACGCCAAGCACAGGAGTTGAAGCTTCGGAAAGCCGTTCACATATGCCCCCACAGGACCAGCAACGCGATAGGGTATTGGGATTTTGACTACAAGTCCCTATTGGCGGTGTGTGTGGACCTGAAGGAGAACCACGACATTGCATATACACTGCGGTTTGAAGGGCAAGAAGTTGAGGTTAGGAATTCTGAAAGAATTCAGCAAGGGCGGACGGCGGAAGAGAGGAAGAGTCTCTTTGGATCCATGTTCTTGCTCCACAAGCGAGTTCACTCAGTTCGCCGGGTTGTGACACCTGAAGAAGAGGGGACATCGGAATCCGAAGGGGAAGGGATGTCGGAACCTGAAGGTGGAGAAATGGAATGGTGCTTTCGAAACCGGGGGATTGACATCAAGATCAACCACTTCACACTTGGCACCAATGGATATGGGGCGTATCTCAAGATAGAGTTGTCGAGTGCAGAACGTTGCCGCATCCCTGACCCTAGCGAATGGCGAAAGCTCCCCCGTGGACAAGTTGTCCACAACCCTGACGCGGCAAACGGGCAGCTGCATATTATCTGAAAAGACCCGATCGTTCGCTGGGACACCGTTTTCAACATTGGCAACAATCAGATGCGCACGACCGTCGGTGTAGACCCGGGTCCAAAATCTCAGGCAGTAGCCGTCTATGAAGATATCGCCACACACGCTGATAACGCTTGGATCGCTCAGCAGACACCTGTGGAAACACGCGCTCAACGCAAACAAGCGATCTCCATTGTACGTGGCCGACACTATCGCGTGAAAAACAAGACCACCTGGTTTGAACAGCGGCACAGGACAAGAATCCGTGCAAACCCTCGGGTCGGTGAACAGATCCAACGTTTACGTGGGAGGGAAAGGCAACTCCACGGCACGGGGCTCAAGGAGGCCTTGGACTACTACAATCTAGTTTACTCTGGACGTGACAATGTTGAGGCGTAAGTACAGCCAGCGTGCATGCACATCCTTTTCTCACCTGTTCTCACGTTCACATCTTTTTCTTACATCACAGTGGTTGGGGAATGAATCCAGTCTTTCAAGGGAAAGGGTATCAGCGTGATGACCTGTTTCGACGCATCCATCAACAGCGCGCATTGACCGATGATGCGCTTTACCTGTTGAACCGAATCACTCATGAGCGATGGGCGTCAACACTCCGAATTGGCGCTCTCCCAGAGGCTCGTGGCAACCGCAGCCGTGCCCTCCGTCGCAAAGGGCGACTCCGTCGACGTAAGCACTTTGAATTCTTCCGAAACAGCACTCACACCCCCATACCAGGCCGTGAGCGCCAGCCTGTAGACGCTACTGCAAGCACACTCATGCACCAACCCGTGTTTGCCTTTGGTGCGGGAGACTTTGCCCAGAGGGGCGGCTGGAGGAGGCCTCATGGACCCGTCCCTGTGCAAGCACTTCAGCGTGAACTTGCAGTACTTGGTGGGACGGTCCTAATCTGGCCAGAACGAGGCTCAACAAATACCTGTTTCATTGGCATGGAAGGTTACGAGGAGCTCCCGTTCCAGATGCCCGATGGGAACATGCACACAACGTCTCCACCTGCAACTCGTTACGACAAATGTGGAGAACACCGCAAGGTGTGGTTTCGGCGGCAGAGGGACAGTGGTTGACACACCTTACGCAAATATTGCTATCTTGGGGATGTCCGAGGAGTGAAACAACACATCCGCACTTCATTGTGCCCAGAGAGGAAACGAATGAGAGGGCCAAACTGGCGTCTTCACACCTGCCCTGAGCTCACCTGTCCCCCAATCTATGCCACACGCCCCCATCAACGCCCAATTGGTGACCGAGATATACAAGCTGGCGCCAATTTCCGCTTCCTTCAGCATCAATATTCCCGACATCAAGGTCATCGACCCCCGTGGAATGTGGGGCCGTGGGAGCGGAATCCGGCTCCCTTGTGGTAGATATGTACGTAGAAAGGAGAGGGGATAATTAGCTTAGGCCCAAAGCCAACACCCCTTTCCCTTCCCTTCCCTTCCCGATGGCACTCTAAACCGAGTTGCATCTTGAATACGCGGCCCATCCCCCTGTGTAGGTCGCGCCATTACCTAAGCGAAACTCCGCGAAATGGCAATGAAACATCGAACGCCAGAACCAACCAGAAAAACCTTAACCATGTTTTCGTCCGCTGCGGCTACCACGTTTTTTCTTGTAGCGGCCACGCTGCCGCATTGTCCCGCCTAAGTTTGGCCCAGGTCGGAGCAACCTGAGTCGTGAAGACGTGCCAAATCGCGACCTCTAGGAATCATGGCGCGCTCGAACTTCATCGGTCTGAGAGAAAGACCCGCCCTGTTGATTCGGCCTCCTCCTTCTTTCTCTTTGCAAATCAATATTGCTTTCATAGAAGCCACTTGGTTCCAACAGCACTCCGCTTTCTCGAGTCGCCGACACTTATTGATTTAGTCTACCTGTGCTGATCAACGACGGCATCCGCACAACCATGCTCACCGCGACATCATCCGCCAATCCGTCTCGGTGCACGTCTCCAGGCCTACCACCTCAAACAGCTAGTCCAGTTATCCCGGGGACCGCATCACCAACGACACCTGGCATAACATCCCACCGCCGCCCTGTAAGCCGCTTCAGAGAACGAGATGTGGACGGGATCAGCCAATGCGATTCGGTCTTCACCGATGCGTCGGCTATGACTAGTGCGACGGATGCATCGGCTAGTTCGACGAACTCGTATTGGTCGAGGAACTTTAAGTTTAGGAGGCATGGGGGTGGGTCTATCAGGAGGTGAGCATCTCCCGTTCGTATTCAGATGGTTTGCTGAGTCTTGGTCGAGAATCTTATCTAACCATTGGATTTTTCGATGCAGTGCGACAAGCACACGAAGCACCCAAGAACGTCTAACAACCCTAATCAAAAAGCTAGTACGCACCCTCGGCGTCCACAAAGGCTCAAACACTTCTGAAAGATACACCGAAGGAACATCACTATCCGACTACGAGGCCGCCCGCATTCCCGGCGCCAGCCCCCAACTTCGTTTAGATGATTTCTCCACCCGGCTGGGATCCACCGCTCAGCGGTACGGGGGTGCTGGGGTGTCGAACAGCCAGCATTTGGCGTTCAGCTTGGACCGGGATGGAGAGAGGAATAGTGTTGATGGACATCGGAATGTGCATGCGAGGCCGGCGGGCCCTCGACAGTTGCAGAGTGAAGATGCTGCGGCGATCTGGTCGAGTGTGATGAAGTGAGTGTCACATTAGAGTCCACTCCGCGCTCGAAGTTCGAGACTCGGCACTAAAAAGACTTTCCGGCTTGCAGGACGGCCCACGCAGCACAAGGCAGCGCCCAGAAAGCGGCGTTCCGACAAGTCCTGAAGGAGAGAGACGAAGCGCGTAACGAATGCCGCCGCCTGAAGTCCGTCAACAAAGGTTCCAAGCGTTCGACCCACACACCACCCGCCCAGAGTCCACCGGCGCTAGCTACTGACGGGCGGGAGAGAGTTCCGCCCGTCATGTCGCCCGCAGCTCTGTCGAACCGTGTGAAAGTGATTCATGCGAGGGTGAAGAATGTGGTGAAGGAGCTGGATGAGTGCTTGGATGGGAAGGGAGTGGAGCTGATTGCGCCGATTGAGACGTCAGTGACGGAGGATGGGGATTCAAAAGGTGCCAAGGAACCTAGTCTGAGGAATGTAAGAGATCAGCTGAGAGTCTTGATGACGGAAGTGGAGGTGAGTTTCGGAGACCTCGGCCGTCGGAAACACCAGCTTTTCCACTCCGAGTCGCGGGAAATGCTAACAGTTGAAGGGATCATGCAGAATCTGAAATCAGCGGTAAGCCCCAAAAACAAAGCCCTGCTCGCAAAGACACCCTCCTCCGAGAATGTAGAAGTAGTCACAGCGGAGAAACCCGCAACAGAAGCCCAAGGTGACCCTCATCATCTCGTTTCTGAAGACCCGCATCCATCTCGCTCACGCCAGTCGTCCGCTCACACCCTGGCCAACGGCGAAACCCAACCGACGACCCGACTACCCACCCCGGCAGCCAAAGAGAACGAGCTGAGGAAGAAATTGGCGGTGGAGGCTGTGGATCAGCAGGAGAAGAGAATGAGGAGGCAGAAGAGCGTTAGTGTTACGAAGGATGAGGGTTCCTCTGCCCCTGTTCCAGAAGGCGAGGGGATCGAATCGGACGACGATAGGCAGCGAGCGACGAGTGATGGGCCCGAGGGCTCAGCGCACCCACAAATCGTCTTGGAAGCTACACCCGTCGCCGAGTTGTTACATGTCCCGGTCGCCGCCGAGAATTTGTCCTCGCCCGAATCTCCAACGTTCGCCGATGATCTGAGAGGCAAAATCAACGAGGTCTTTGGAGAGAACAACGTCAGTGAGTTCAAACCCGATGCTCACGCCGTTAAGACGGTTACGTTGCCGTGTCCTCCTCCACGCCAAAGATCGAACGAGAAGAAAGAGGAGGTTGTGGAGGACATCACGGGGAATGGAGACATTGCATGCTGAGATTACGGTTTGGGCCAAATCTTCTGCATCCGTTGTAGAAAGACAATTGAACAATGTTTTCCAACCGGGAAAGTGCCGCTCTGAAGAATTCCGCAAATATTGAGCGGGACACTTCTGCATATAATTATTAATTGCATGGCTTCATGTATACACAAAATATTCTTTTTTGGAGATGTTGGTATATGGACTGTCGGGGATGGAAAGACTTCAAGACAAAAGCGCTTGTGGATCATTTCCAAAAGTGTAGAGACATCATGAGAGTGGCTACCACAAGCTGTGGGTCGTCGGACATATGATACATGCAGGGACGCTCACATATCCACTTTCAGACCACTGCGCAGCGGCTACCACCAGTCCCATTACACTTGAGGAAAAGTGCATTAAACTGGAAGGCCATGTCCTCCCACCGTACGCCTTGCCCTCGCCCGTTACGCCTTGCCCTCGCCCGTTGATTAGCCGCCTTGAGACGGACGTAGGATCGATAAGGAAACCGACAACTGATCTCAAAGCTTCGACCCATCTTGCAATATTTTTCGCGTGGCATCCCAGAGTCGCGTCAAGACTTCGCCCGCAGGAGCTGCCTCCGCCAGCGCGGCGGACTGCCCAGCCCATGCCTGCATTCGATGTATATCACCGATTTTCTGCCCAAGTGCTTTCATTGGGGCCGTCAAACCCCTTTGCACTGGATACGGCGCGGGCGAAGGGGCATCAGGTGCGGACGCGGCGCGGACAAAATCAGTTGCGATACTTCGCCCGGCGCGTCCACTGAAAGCTCGAGTCACTCTGGTATTCTCTGGCGCCGTCTTGCCTATCGCATCGGTATAGACTTGAGGCGTCTTTGCTTCAGGAGTACGGAGGAATCCGGTTCCAATTTGGACTGCGCTTGCTCCGAGCAGCAATGCAGCAGCGATCTGCCGAGGATCTGCGATTCCCCCAGCAGCGACAACCGGAATACGAACGGCGTCGACGATACTTGGGACGAGCGAGATCAGACCCACCGCACGCGACTCTGCGTCTCCTGGGTGGAAGCTTCCGCGATGGCCACCTGCTTCGAAGCCTTGGGCTAATATGACATCTGCACCTGCTGCCTCCGCCAGCTTGGCTTCCTCCACCGTGGTGACGGTGGCAAACCAAGAGATGCCTTCTTTCTTCATTAGCTGAACGAAATCCGCCGAATAAAGCCCCATGATGGACGAGATGGCAGCCGGTTTCGCCCGTAACATAGCTTCGCACTGTTCCTTGAAGTTGGGTAGTGTGGTGTTGCCGGCTTCCGCGGGTACAGGAGGGCCCCAAGACTCAAGAAAGGTACGGACCTTGGCTTCCTCCTCGGGATTTCTTTTCACAGGTGCAGCCGGAATCCAGTTGTTCAGCTGGAACTTTCCGTCGCTACTTTGTCGAAACTCTTTGACCCACGCGTCGATCTGGGATGAAGTCATCATAAGCACGCCGGCGGCGCCCATCCCTCCGTCGTTGGCCACTGCTATAGAGAGTGAAGCCGGGCAAGCACCCGCCATCGGGGCAAGTAAGATCGGTCGCTTCAGACCGAAACGCTCACAGAATTCCTTAGCTCGTAGCATTGTTGTTGGGTGATGCAAGGTGCGAGATTGTGGAGACACGATAACAGAAGCATTCTCTGTTAAGCCCAGAAAGTATCTACGATCTAAATCCAAAGGCAACGTTCGTACAGTACTGTACTGTGCCTAATACAGCAGTATGCAGTCGTTGTACTGCCCATACAAGACGTTGTGGAGATGTGGCCGCTGTCATTCAATTCACTTCCCTCTCTGCGAACGAAAGTGGGTGACAAATTGACAGCTTCCCTTGCTGCGCCACCCAGATGGGGCCTCCGAATCGTCATCCCAATTAAATCGAGCCATCCCGATGACCTGCTCCGTTGATGTCCGTGATGACGTAGACGGGAGACAGGCAGATTCTAAGTGGCGTCATCACGCCGTCGCCCGGGCTTAGCCCTTGCACCCCAAGTTCCAACACCCAACAGTCCATGACGGCTGAAGCCCGTTTCTTGGGTCAATTCAGCAACCGTTCACACGGACTCGGGCGTCAGAAAGATGGGAATTGATACCGACGACCGCAAGCAGTCCGGGGTATTCATTGACCTTGTCGAAAAAAGAGACAGCGTCTCCCATCATGTCCTCTGTCCGAGGCTTTTCCTGGGTCCAGGGCTTCATCAATAGGTAACTTTTTGGCAGCCTGCCAGTGGGGGAGGAGAAAAGCAGAAGATGATGAGGGACAGATGATTGAAAGTGTATGGATGGATGATGCATGCCATGTTGGAGCTGGCGGTAAGAAACGTCATAGTTTCGTTGGGTGTCACGCCGTAAGTGAGTTCGTGAATGGTCTGCATGGATAATGATAAGAAGTCCCTTCTGGTCCCCAGACTCCCCCACGCCCGCCTCAACTGAGATTATTCAAAGAGAGCTCAGCAGCAGAGCATTTTCTCGCTGCCTTCAATTTCAAACTTTTGCGAGACACCGAGAGGAGCCCCCATCTCGCCGAACAAAAAGGACATCAGGACCCTGACATTCCCCCCGTCCCACGCCTATTGTCCACGCTCCCGTCCCCGTCATCCCGGCACAGAGTAGCATCGTCTCCTGTCCATACAAGCGAAACAGGTTAGTGTCTACGTATTCTGGTTTTGACATGGTGCCCTCGTGAGAACGTGGGAACAGGATCGGAATGGGCACTGGACTGCTGGTTAATCTCTGCTAACGCCGATTGCCTTGTCACTTCCCATATAGCATTCCGGAACCTTCGCCGCTAACCTTAGGAAGACTCACGCGCCGCGTGGCTTCTCAGCACCGTTTGTCTTTCACCGTCCTCCAACCCGAATTTCGTAAAGCCCTTTTGGCTTGCATCCGGGTCTCAACCCCGTTTCCACTCCCCCACTCGTCAACCTGGGAGCCTCACAGTCCTCTTCAGTGCCGCCTGCCGCTGCCGGTGCAGGTTCAACCTCCCCGTCGTCCAACCGGAACCACCACAAACGATCTTCGCGGAGTAGCAGCAGCAAGAAACGCGCAAGTCAGTCCCGTTCCCAGGACCTCGCGCCGGAAGAGCCGGAATCGCACGCGAGTTCCACCCTCGGGCCTGCAGCAGCACAAGAGGCTACGGCAACTCGTGCTCCTGCAGTAGTAGAAACCCCTGCACAGGCGCCGGCGCCAAACGTGGAAGTCCCGGTCAAGTCGGTCGTGAAACAGTCTTCTGCCGCAACCGCAGAACAATCAGGTTCTTCAGCCATGTCCGCTCCAGCCGCATATTACAATCCGCTCGCCGGCCAACAGGCTGCTGCTGCTTCGCGCAGCAAAGGTGTTCGTTGGGATGAGCCTAAAGTGTTGGAGCAGCAGAAGGAGTCGGCTGCGAGGCATATGACTTCTTCAGCTCGTCCTCGGTACAGTCGGCTCGCAACACCAGAAGATTGGAAGCGTCCTCCTGTCGCGGCCTATCCTTACATGAATCGTTACCGTTTGATCAAAAAGATGGGAGAGTAAGTACATATACTTCTTATGTCGTGAGGATTCTGGGAACATATCTAATATTCACGTTTGAACCAATAGGGGAGCCTTCAGTGTTGTGTACAAAGCTGTAGACACAAAGACTAAATTGATCGTTGGCCTAAAGCTCGTTACGAAATCTCAACTCAATGAAGCCCAGCGCACCAATATCCTCAGGGAAGCGTCCCTGCTTCGCCGAATCGATCACCCGAACGTAATCCAACTTGTCGACTTCCATGAGACTCCGATTCATTACGCATTATCCCTCGAACTGATGGAAGGTGGCGAGATTTTCCATCAATTGGTTGATCAGGTCTGCTTTAGCGAGAACGTCTGTCGTCACATCATCTGGCAGGTCGCGGACGCACTGAGATACTTGCACGAGGAGCTCGGAGTTGTGCACAGAGATATCAAGCTCGAAAATCTCTTGTACGACCCCATCCCTCCGGAGAAGCTTGCTCACCGAGCCCGAGGCAACAAGGAGGACGGTGAAGAGGATGATTACATCCCTGGGGTTGGAGGAGCCGGCATCGGGGTTGTCAAGATTGCAGACTTTGGACTCTCGAAGGTCGTATTCGATGCCACTACCAAAACTCCATGTGGTACCGTCGGTTATACCGCACCCGAAATCCTCAAAGACCAGCGCTACTCCAAGGGTGTGGACATGTGGGCCCTCGGTTGCGTGCTGTACACCATTCTTTCCGGCTTCCCTCCATTCTTCGACGATGACCCACGTGGGTTGACCGAAAAGGTCGCCAACGGACAATTCGCTTTCCTCAGCCCGTGGTGGGATGACATCAGTCCCGAATCCAAGGATTTGATTTGCCATCTGCTGCAAGTCAACCCAAACAAGCGATACACAATCAATCAATTTTTGGCTCACCCTTGGATGAGAGCTCATGACCCACGTGCCGCTCCTGCCCCCGAAGTCGTCGTGGAAGAAGAGGAAGAACTATCCCCCGGCGGACCAACCATTGCTAGATACGGTAACTGGCGCGATCTGGAGCTTCCCGATGCGCTGAAGACACCGTTGGACGAATACTACACGGGAACCGAAGAGATGGACGTCGCACAAGGCGGCCAATCCGCTGATGTTACGGGTCGGAAGGTATCCCCACCCGTCACGGCTGCCATCGGACAGGGCCCAGCTCCCGGAGCTCCCCCCGGATTCGCTGCATCAGGGGCAGAGACGCCCAACACAACTTATCGTCGCCTCCGAACTCCTCACCCCGTCCCCGAAGGTATCACCAAAGAGATGCTTGCGGCGCCGTTCCAAGTATATCAGTCCATCGCCGAGGGAGAGGTGCGCCCGGAACACATCGGTATGGTCCGTGGCGGAGTTGTGCCCAACCACCGCAAAGGAAGCCCGCTCCGCCACGAAGTCACTCGAGCATCTGCCGCACCGGTCAATCAGAAAGCGCCTGCGCAACGGCGACAGGGGCAAGGTTTCGAGCTGGACCTTGCGCACTCGCGGTTGTTCGCAAAGAGAAGACACGAGCCTGCTGGATCTCGATCTCCAGTGGACCACGCCAAGCCCTTACCTGTTCAAGGTTGATGCGGATGATCGTACATTTGGGACTAAGCCTTCGAAGCGCGCACTAAGCATTCGAGCTTCCCCGCCGTTCCGGCTCGGCTTCTGCCTCTAATTATCTCGAAGGGAGTTTCACTTTCCATCCCTTTCCGCACACAAATTCCCTCCGGTCCTCATTCCCGTTGGTTTCCTAGTGTGTTTAGTTTGTCCCCGAGTCTCCCTTGTAGTCGCATATTTGTGAAAGGCGAACCCTCCTGATGTAGGGTTCTTTCCTTACACCTTGGAACCCAGAGACACTCTCTGTTCCCCTTCCTTTTTCTTGTATATAGATAAATTGGCCTCCTCAATACCGAACGATTCATTATCATATGTGAAGGCGATAAAACCATCTGGGAAAATGTGGAAGGCTGCACTGAAGGTTCGCTAACCGACTGAGCAGCCACATTTCCGAAGCCATTTTCACTTCTACATGCTTCAAACACTGCCATTTGTGCGTATGTAATTGTTCACTCAAACGACACTCCATCAGTTCACGGATCCGTCAGTAGTTTCAGTAGAAGCTCGCTGACCGGAAATGTGAGAACATCTCGAGCATCTGGGGTGCGTTGGCGGATCGATGCCCGTCGTTTGTCCGCCTCAGGTCAAGAGGTATGTACTGTACATGGTTAAGGTTGGAGGTACATAAAACCCATGTAGGTTGAATCACGCTTTGTTAAGTTGTCACGACCGTGGGACATAGCCCTGAGCCCTCTTCCAGAAATCAGGGGCCCCCAGATTGATTATCTTCCAACCGCCCGGCTTGTGTTCAGTGTGAAGCTTCCCTGAACCTTATGTCCCACTCGCAGTCACTTCTCGAAACCTGTATCCACGGCCTGCTCACCGATCGCCGAAGAACCGGCTGGAAGCGGTCCACAAAGGAAGCGATTGACGGCATCGCATCAGCATTCGACAGCGTGGCAAGATCGGGCGGAATTACACCAGGTGCTTTGGCTAAACTCGTACACTAATACACTAATACACTAATAAACACCACTTGCCGATGAGATGGGGATAAACAACGCCTCCTTCCGGAAGAGCCACATGCTCATGCTTAATCCGGGGTCGCTCGATGTGCATAAATGCCGGCAATGCCTGCCCCCCCCCCCCCTCCTGTCGAGAAAACATCGAAATCCTCTCGAAATCCTCTTGCTCTGCGTCAACTCTAAGCAGTAGAAGCCGACTTCTACAATGTCGGCCAACATGGAGGAAGGAAACATGAGACGCAAATCTCTAGATGAAGCTGCAAAGCACGTTGTCCGGAGCATCCGGATCCCGCTAGCTGTCGCCTTGCTAGGTAAAATCAGTCAATTGGCTCAGTTTGTTGTTGTTGGCTTGTCTATATCTTCCATGCGAACGCCTTGGCCGATTGAGCTGACACTCTTGGACGGCATCAGCGTTTACTATCGTTGTCGCTGGTGCAATCAGTATCCCTCTCGGTGTTCTTTCGTTTAAGGGAGCTGATCAGTCTATTGACGATGGTAATATGCAGAGACCGCGGTACTCTAAGCGTTACCAAGTCGCATCGGTAGTAACGCTTACTCTTCCCCGCCTTTTATTGCGTAGTGACGCATGTTCTGCGGACTCGTCTAGTGGGCGAATTTGAAAGTTCCGGTAAACACCAAATCTGAAATCTTGCACTTGATCAAATGCGGACTACAAACAAATCTTCATTCAGTACGAAATCTGCTATCAAAATGCCTGAGCGCCGCGGACGGTAGGAATATCGGCTGCTTAGCAGTCTGCCGAGTGATGCTTATTCCCCTGTCGCCTCATTAGACACGAGGAGTAGCTTCGTTGTCAACAAGTATATGCGTGGCTACCTTACGAATAACAACCTCCCTCTGGACACTTATGAACAAGAGTAAGAATGCATCGCTATCGAGCGTTGTCCAATCGAGTCAAATAACCGATTGGGCATTGCAGATTCCTGACGTCGTTTATACAACGCGCCGAGAGATATCAGAGTACCATGGTAAATACGACACTTCTTCCGGCATGATTTGTGAATAGGTCGACCCAACTGAACATGCTCTTCCTTCGCAGGGGATAGCCGTCGCCATGGGCAATCCAGGCAACCTTCCCGAGCAGTACTTTGGTAGGCATCTGCTCGATTGCTCAGTAGCAGTATACTCCCACCCCCTCTATCCACACTGACGGGGGCTCGGATAACTACACAGTCTCCAGTGCCGGAGGTTTCGGTAAACGATGCCACTGGACCGGCAACGCAACGGGATTCGAGTGTTTAACCGGCCTCTGGCTCGTGAACAATTCGATGCCATACGATCCTAAGATCAATATGATGGCGTTTGGGCCTCCCGGGGCGCCTCCTGTTTGGGAGCTTCAGGCCGCTGAGAAGCCCAAAGTCGTCCCCGTCAACGGTGTGTGGGCTCCCGGGATGTTCATCACCCTCGGCGGAAAGCTGCTGGGGGGCAAGCAATGTGCGCATTATACTTGGTAAGAGATTACGGTCGTTATGGTCAATTGAACCTTCGCAGCGCGAATGTGAACATTCCTTCTGTCCACCTCCAGGGCGAGAAACCCCCCACCCGCCTCGGGTTTCGGTTCGGATTGGGATATCGAATACAGCTCTGTGTATAGCATTGACGTGATTTCTGAGTATCTCGCGGTTAGTGAACAGTTGACTTCCGAAAGGTTGATATGTGCTCAAGGACGGCTGCTTCACAGGGGATGATAGCAACCCCGAACACGAGGATGGCTTTGATGTAGGTTTGGATGTCATCTGATGCTCATGAGGCGGCATCGCATCTTACCTTTGAATTCCTTTTCTCGCGGCCATTCAGTGAAAGCAATGGTGATATGTACGTGTTGTCCAGGTTGTCAGAGACGCTTTTGAGACCCATTCACTCAATGCTGCAATGTTTCGCCGACATTTAGAATGGCCACAAACAAAGCAGGTGCTCAGTACAACGAAAAGAAAGACGGCTCTGCTAAACTGGACACATGTACAGACCCCGTTCTGAAGGTGAAACATATCCGCGTTGTCAATTCGTAACGTCGTCGTGGGCTCACGACGATGTCTCCCAATAGGCAGCAGGAAAGGAAATCCTGAGCCGGTACAAAACATACACAGATACCCCCGCCACTCTGTCTGAGGTATTCAAAAGTGAGCAGAACGGAAACGTTTTCCTGGATTTCGTGCGCCTGCAGGACGAGACCAAGCTCGACATGATTGCTGTCCTGGCCGTTCCGGAGGACGACCTGCTGGCGGTTATGAAGAAAAGCCGGAAGACTGCAGCTATTACGGTGTCTGTCATCGCCTCGTTGATGATACTCCTCGCCGGTGTGGCTAGCTACCTCTTCACCTTGCCGTTGAAGCGGCTTACCAATGTTATGGTTGCGGTAGGTTCAAGGAGGAGCTGCTCATCGGTGCGGAATGCGGCGATCTCGTCGTCGCTTTATTCAATTTTTTTTTGCCTTCTCAAATAGGCGACGTCATTCGACTTCTCGAGTGTCCGCGACAAGGAACAGGCGGCTAAGCGCTCCTTCATTCGTGAGATTTCGACTATGGAGAATGTGTATGTGAAGTGCCTAGGTTGCGCGGTGGGAGGATTACTGTTCTACTTTCCTGATATATCCCTTTTTCTTTCAAACCAGCTTTGCCACGATGCTCTTGAAGTTCGCCAAGGCGATCGAATCGAACAAATCCTTGATGGGTACCAAGAATGTCACGAGCGTAAAGAGTGCCAGCGCCAACGACAGTCAACAAACACCGAGTGGCACTCGTCATTAAAATCTTGAGAGAAGCAAGGGAAATCCATTGTCACTGTTGGCAGGTCCTCCCTGCTCGTACTTCATGTGGGGGGCAGGGCTTTTATACCGTTCAACGTGTGTGTTTTATCAAAATCGAAGAATCTTTGCATCGCGCTGTCAAATCCTGTTAGTGGCTTCACACTCTATTCTTTCGCACTCTATTTATTCTTTCAACATCACAGGATCAATTTGAGCGAGCGCAGTGTATGGAGAGTATGGGTACACTTTGCGCATCTTAATTCCAAAAATGACCGGTGAAGAAAGCGCAATCCAGTTCGGATTGTGTTCAAGACGTGCGGCTCAAGTGGCCGGGAGTAGTATCTACAAGCCTCTGATGGCCATGATAGCGGCCTACCATCTCTGCCTTTGATGAAACTCAGCTCTCCTTTTTCTTTGACTTGAAGAGGCATTTGTTTCCGACGAACGCATGCAGCATGAAATCCTTCAGAAATGTGAAGCTCTCTGAAAATCGAACTTCGGTCGGAGTCGACAGTCGCGCTGTCGAATTCCGTCTGTGCTTCGTCCTCCACAGGTTCGTTCCCGTGGGCCGTGGCACTGGGTCCGGAGCCCTACACTGGGATGTCCCCAGAAAGACTTTTCCCTTGCGACCCCACCGTCTTTAACTCAAAAAGTGGACGGAAAGCTTGCGCTATTGCAGTTATCTGAGAAGACTCGGACTTGGCAGGCATATGCAGACACATATGCTATTCTTCGACTCGCGTAAATCCCTTGGCCACGGTCGCCAAAAATGGATATCGGAAGTAGTACATTTGCCACTAATCTTGGTGGGCGGCAGCAAGGATCTAAAGAACGACTCCGGCACGGTTGCAAAGCGGCACAAAATCGAGCTTTGCCTGATTCCAGCCTTTTCATCTTGATTCGATAGGTTGTTTTACCGAGCCCATAGAGTCGTTTACCCTTCCTTCATGGAACAAAACTGACAGGGTCAACGCCGCTGTCAAAGGGGTGTGGTCTGAGAGCGCCCGATTGCGTCACAGGAATTAATCCGCTTTTGCAAGCAGAATCTTACGCGGAAAGCTCAACCCCTTCGCTCAAAGCATTGCTTCAGTCGGACGGATCAGAGTGGGAAAGTCCCGCTATCGTCGGCGTCGCCCCCAGAAGTTCATGTCTGTCAACGCTTGGCGAGCGCCGTTCCTCTCGTTGGCTTGCCGCGCCATCACTCTTGCAGCAAAACCTCCGACGTTTTTACATCACACACGAAGTTATATCAACCCGCCTTCCATCCCTCCTACCAAAATGAGGTAAGACTCGATGGATGGGGGTTTGGTGAATCGTCCATTGAGTATCAGTAATGTTGTACTCACACCTTTCCCTCCCCAGCGCAACATCTTCAACTCCTGGCGTGAAGGACCACCACCTGCCAAACGGGAAGTTTACAAACCCTTGGCCTAGTTTTGTGGAACATGGTCTACTGGAGTTTGCAAAGGTGTGTGCGAGGAGAGGGGAGAGAGGATGAGGACGTGAGGAAGGGAGTGCGGATGGAGGGAGGGTGGTGGCGCGAGCGAAGCGAGCGGGGTTGGCTCGGTCGGGGAGGCCGCCAAGCCAAACGTCTTCTGGTTTGCGATGGGAGCGCGAGCGGAGCGAGTTCCCATTGCCCCAAATATGCAATGTTTCCCCTAACTGGCAGTTCATAGCGAGCGCCGATGAGCGTCAGATCTTGGCGAACGAAGCTAGCTTAGCACACGCAACCCAACCTCCTCGTCGCGAGCGGAGCGAGCAGGGTATCGCTTCATCCATGGATCACATTCATCCACTCATCGCTCCCCAACATAGGCCCTCCCAGAATGGGACCGCAAACGCTCAAAAGTCCCATCTTCCACCGACCTCACCGTAAAAGTCCTCGGCAAAGCCAACATGTCCTGGCCCCGCATCAAATCCCCCGACCCATCCCTCATCCAAGCCACTTGGCTCGGGCACGCCACATTTTTAATCCAAATGGAAGGCGTCAACATCCTTTGCGACCCCGTGTTCAGCCATCGGTGCTCGCCGTTCTCGTTTATGGGCCCTGCGAGGTTCACGCCGCCGGCATGTACGATTCCGGAACTCTTGGAGGAGGTTAAGGTGGATGTGGTGATTATTTCGCATAATCATTACGATCATTTGGATGTGGAGACTATCAAGGCCCTGGGGCCGGAGGTTCATTATTTTGTGCCGCTGAGGAACAAGGTGCGGTGTCATATGTCGCAGTGCATCATCCATCACCTTGCGAGCTTCGATGCTGACCCTCTCTTATCCTCACAGGCCTGGTTCGACAGCTACTCCTACCCGCACGTCACCGAACTCGACTGGTGGAACGAACAAACACTGACATTACCAGGCGACAGGCAGCTCAAAATCGCATGCACACCCTGCCAACACTTCTCCGGTCGAGGCGTTCTGGACCGCATGGCGACGCTGTGGGCGAGTTGGGTCATCATTGGGCAGAAACATGGGAAGCGGTTCTATTTCGCCGGGTAAGACGTCCCACCTTTCTCCAACAAATGACCTCACGTCTTTGAAACGCTAATCCCTATTCGACTCCCCAGAGACACCGGCTATCGCAGCGTCTCCAAAGCCGGCACCACAACAACCACCTGCCCCGCCTTCCCCCAAATCGGCACAACCTACGGCCCCTTCGACCTCTCCTGCATCCCTATCGGCGCCTACTCCCCCCGTCACATCATGTCGCCCGTCCACTGCGCTCCCGAAGATTCCGTCGAACTGCACAAGGATGTGAAATCGAAAAAGAGTGTGGGGATGCATTGGGGCACGTTTGTATTGACGGATGAGCCGGTGAATGAGCCGCCGGTGAGGTTGAGGAAGGCGGCGGAGGGGGCGGGGTTGGGGGTGGGGGAGTTTGTGACGGTGGATATCGGGGAGACTATTGCCTCGGAGACGGAGGAGGGGAAGAATTGAACGGATTGGATGTGAGGTTAATGATGAGGGCGAGACTTTGAGCAGCTTTCGATACGTTCGCTGTGTGGTGTATAGGTTGCAATACCAAGGGTTTTGGAAGGAATGTCTATTTTTGCGTATATTCTCAGTGTAAACTTTTGTGCTCGTTTGTGGAAAGGCAGTACATGGGTAGAAACACATAGGAGTTGACGCAGCTAGCATGCTTTCTACGTCTCGAATTCCAGTCTTCGACAAAGGTACGCCAGTTCTGGTGTCCGCTGGCTAGGGATCCATCGGATACGCTCTCTTACGCCGTCAGAGCCTCAATCTAGCCCACCCATCCCATCCTCCCTCAGAAGAGCGTGTCTCCATCCCTCATTCTTCCCTCACCTCCCTCAAGCACCCTTCGCAAAAGGACTAGGCCTCTCCGCAACAGGAAACCGAATCCCCGCCACGTCCTTCCACCCCTCCGGGCCATCCTGGTTCTTCTGAAGAAGCTTGCCAACCAGCGTCTGTCCCGGACGGACGGGCCCGACGCCGGCGGGTGTTCCCGTAAGTACGAGATCGCCGCGTTGGAGGGTCATGATGGAGTTGATGTGGGCGAGGAGGGTGGGGATATCGAAGAGCATGTCGGAGGTGAGGCCGTCTTGCGCGGTTTTGCCGTCGATCTGAGGATGAAAATTCAGGGTTATAGAGACTGTGGAATGCTGCTCTGCGGGGCTGACAGTTTAGGACACGTACCTCTAGGACGAGTCGCAGGTCATGCGGGTCTCGGATCGCTGTTTTGTCAATGAATTCGCTGCAAGTATCAAGAAAAATGATTGAGACATGAGCCCCAAGTGCACTTCACTTTCACCCCCCATCACCCCCCATCACCCCAAAAACCACACAATCCCCCCCTCACCCACCCAACAGGCGTAAATCCATCGAACCCCTTCGCAACCGTCCACGGCAAACCCCCTTTCTTCGCCTTATCCTGCAAATCCCTCGCCGTCATATCCAGCGCCAACACATATCCCCCCACAGCATCCTCAATCTCCCTCCGCTGCGTTTGGGGGTCCAGAAACGCCTTGCCGGCGCGTGGGGTGGGTAGGGCGTGGCCGATGATGACCCCGAGTTCTAGCTCGTGGTGGATGGTGTGTGTGGAGGGGAGAAGGATGGGGTTGGGTGCAGAGAGGTAGCTGCTGACGGGTTTGAGGAAGAGGAGAGGGTGGGTGGGCAGGGGGTTGTTGAGTTCTTTGGCGTGCAACCTTTTGAGTCGAGCCGTCAATTAGTATTCTGAGGGCGGGGTGGAACATCACGGATACTCAGGAACTCACGCGTAGTTGCGTCCGACGGCGACGATGGAGCGACCCCACTTCGTAAAGTCCTTGAGAGCTGCAGCCATGGTTGAGAGTAAGCAGAGGGTGGGGTGTGTTGGAGGATGAGTTGTGGGGGTGAGCGAGCGAGTGGGAAGTCGGAAGTCGGATGGCCTCGGAAAACAGCCGCTCCGATTCACGCGTGGACTCCTTGGACTCGGGTGTTTGCGTGGATTTCGGATATGGAGGTCTTCAAGTACGTACAATTTTGTGATGTGACAGCCAATAGTCCCCCCTTCAGCTCCAAGTGGCATCTATTGGGTTGACAGGTACAGCACGAAAGATCACACCCTTGCGTGGTATCGAGCAGAGGTACGCTCTACCAAACGATCGTCCCTCACACAAGTTCCGTTCCTATCCAGCTACTTCCGCCTCCCCTTCCCACCCGTCCCTCCACCAGCACCAGGAGTAGTCCCCTTCTTCCTCGCACTCCTCGGCGTCCTGGGACTCGCACTCCTCGACCTCGCCGTCCTCACCGGCTTAACCGCCGCCGCCGCCCCGTCATCATCATCGTCCCCCGGCTCGCTTTTCACCCTCACATCCCCATCATCGTCGCTATCACTATTCTGTGCCGCAGCGGCAGCTTTCAATGCAGCGGAAGCGGCGCGCGTAACCTTACGCGTGGTTTTTGTCGCCGCGGTTTTGACTGTTTTGACGGCCGCGGTTGGGGAGGTGCCCGGTTCGAATGCGAAGACTTCTTTGAGCTCGCCCCGCAGGAAGCCGGTGAGGAGGACCGATATGATGCAGGCGGGGGATAAGTACAGGAGGGCGGGCTAAATCAGATGAAGGGGTAAGTATATCTACACTGTGCGTTTAATGATTAAGCATTGCAATCCACGCACCTGGGCAGCCTGGAAATTGTGCATGACAACCACAGTGGTCACAAGGCCCGTGACATACGCAATGGAGCAGGCGGTGAAATACGGTTTGGGGAACTTCCTCGCGTACTTGTTCTTCTTACCCGCAGGCGAGGCCAGGAAGCGATCGTGGTCAAACTTCAGACACAGCGCCACGAAAATGCCCGGGATGACAATATCGCCCAATCCCAACAGGGTAAACTGTAGACCCTCCGTCTTGAAGAACGTGGACGGGTGCAGCAACATCCCGACGATATCCTTCGGCCACAAGACCTTAATGGGCGCGTCAAATCCCTTGGCGACGGTGACCATGACGTCGGTGCCAAACACCCAGAAGATGTCGTAGAAAAAGAGGAAGGAGAGGAGGGCGATGCCGGTTTTGAAGGAGTCCAGGTTGAGAAGGCGGATGGCGGACGTTGCAAATGCTTCACCGTAGATATTATTGAGGACCCAGTGTTTCGTGAAGGCGTACGAGCCTGCGATCACGATGGCTAGGAGAATGACGAAGAAGTGGAAGCCGCCGAAATGGTAGGTGGCGATTTCTGTGGGGCACAGCTAGGTCATCCATCCATTCAATGAACAAAAAGACACGCAGGAATCCCTCCCTGGGGGCGCATCATCAAATACTCACCCTTCTGCTTCTTCCACAAATCCACCCGATAATCACCCTTAATTCTCCACCCCGTTAAGTACCTCGTCAAATCTAACGCACTCTTGGACACCGCCCCGACACCCAGAATCGAGAAATAGGCGGTAAACAGTGCATTCAAGTATTCCTTGTTGAGGTACTTGAACACGAGGTAGAGCGTCAGGAGTGCGGCGGAGCCAAAGATGGGGAACATGTACGCGTCTTCGAGACTGAAGTATTCTTGGTCATCGTCGGCGGTTTCGTCGTCTGAGTCGGGTGTGGATGATCTTTTGCCTCTCTTTTGGGAATTAGATTGACAGGTTAGAACGAACAGGGGAAGGTTCCGAAGTTAAGAAGGACACGCACTTTCTTCTCTTTAAGAAACTTGATAGACGCCCAGGACCCAATATAGATTGGCGCGGTGGCGAGGATGCCCAGGGCGATGTAGGCAAGCAAAAGACCGGTCTCCATGTTGGGCGAGTGTGTTGGGGATTCGCCGTTCAGAAAATGCCAGTCAAAATTCCGGGAGGTGATCTGTGCGGGATCCCGTTCTGGGATGAACAGGTGACACTCCCGGAAACAGCGAAGGACCGAGGGCGGGAGGTGAGGTCCGCGCTAAGGGTAGTAGGGCAGGAGGGCGAAGTACCGATCGCCCACGTAGCGTTTGCGGTTACTGTATAGGAGACGGACAGAACCTGAATTTGAAGCGTCTGAGGTGACGCGCTTAGGCCTTTGATGGATGGACCTCCAGGCTCCAGACACATCCAGACACAGGATGGGAGGATCGGCGCTTTCCATAGACTTATATTCCATCCCGGACTCTGTGATGTTCCCAAGAACTTGTACCATGTATTCTGCGAATTCCGCACTTCCCATACAAGACATTCTTCTCCAAAAAATGGATCCTCTCTAAGCCCTCTATGTCCTCCTGCGACGCCTTAACTATCCGTCCGTTCCGACTTTTATACTTTACAGTGAGTAGGACTAGGTTTCGCTCCCCACCTGGCCCTTCCGCGTGGAATGATAGGAGGTAGACCTTCCCCCTCATTCATCCTTTTTGCGGAGATACTCTGCGATACGGAGAGACGGGAACGAAGGAAAACGTGCGCGTGAGTGTTGAAAGGATGGCGGGAATGCAACAACGGTCACGTACCTTGGTAATCCTCGAGCACTAGCGGTGTTTGCACCTACGACCATAAACAAACCAGGACCGCACATCAGTAGCCGTCGCCAGACCTATGCAACATGTGACGTCCCGCGGAGAATGTCTCACCTTGTTAATCGCCTGCTTAACGAACCGGCCATCCTCTAAATACAGCAGCCGGTCGGCGTAGCATTCCACATCCGGGTTGTGGGTAACCATAACACACGTCGTCCTCTTCTCCTTATTGATATACAGCAGCAGGTTCATGATATCTATCGTGTTGGAAGTGTCGAGGTCGCCTGTGGGTTCGTCGAGGAGGAGGATGTCGGGGTCGTTTGCTAGGGCGCGGGCTATGGTTCTACGGTGTGGAGGCGCGTATGAGTGCGGGTGGGTGTCGACGCGGGTGGGCATAGGACTCTCTTACACACGCTGCTGCTCGCCCCCAGATAGCTCGGAGGGGAGATGGGCGATGCGGTCTTGTAGGCCTACGGCTGGTTGAAGCGAGGTCGAGGAATGAAGGTTCAGCGGTTGGCCTCCCTTCACATTCCGGTTTTCTCGCATCACCTCCTCGGCGCGTACTCACTTTCCAACAACATGAGCGCCCTCTCCTTCCTCTCCCTATGTCCCAATTTCCCGCGAATCGTCATGGGCAGCTCAACGTTCTCGTACGCCGACATGGTGCCGAGCAGATTGAAGGTCTGAAACACGAACCCGATGCGCTGCAGACGCAGGTTCGAAAGCCAGGCGTCCGTCGATGTGTCGGAGATTTCGTCGCCTAGAAGTTCTACGCGGCAGTCGCTCAACATCTCACATCGCAATATCATTTGAGCTCAACCCCAGAACGGTCGAACATACCGACAGTCCCATTAGACGCATTATCGATGGTCCCCAGTATATTCAACAGCGTCGTCTTCCCGCCGCCACTCGGTCCTCGCAAAATCACAAACTCCCCGCGACGTATTGGGTAGAACTCTGAATCGGGCGCGAGGTGGATGTCGTGCAAAGCGTGCACTTGCTCGTCTGTGCCGGGGATGGTGTAGGCTGTACGATGCAAATGTGACTGTCAGTGAACAGCGTTGAACGGATTTTTGAGGACCGGAACTGGCTCCGTACGTTACTTTTGGACAAATGCTCAATGACAATGACGGGCTCGCCCAGTTCTTTCAGGGTTTGCGGCACCCTGGACATCCATGGACCTGCATGCCGGGTGGACATTGCTTTCTGCTATCTACTGTATATATATACGGCGGCGGCTGGGCGGGAGGTCCCAAGACTCCAAGATGCACGCGTATGAACGCATCTTGAACGGAAGAGACGGAAGTTTGGTGCCCATCCCTCGGACGGAATGTCACCTCAGCTTTCCAAGCATTAACAAATTACAGTATTTCGGGAAGAACAGACGAGTAACCTAACCAATCAGAGGGTCCCTGCAGTCGACCTCTTCACCTGCCATCTTCACAGAACCCCAACATTGACCCACGAACCAGAAGCCAAAAATGAAGGTCGTCGCACTCATCAGGTACCTTACCGCAACGCATAATGATCTATACTTTACACAAATGAAGATAACACCTTCTTCCAGTGGCGGCAAAGACAGCTGTTTCAACATGATGCACTGTGTCGCCAACGGTCATAAAATAGTGGCACTAGCCAACCTCAAACCCGCCGTATCCAGCGGGAAGGGCAAGTATATCTCCTTGCGAAGACCGACAAACGTTGAGAGCAACCTGTTGAACCAAGCCCTGGACCTGTAGACGAACTGGATAGCTACATGTATCAGACAGTGGGACACGACGCGATCGACATGTATTCTGGGTGCATGGACCTGCCGATGTTTAGGCGAGAGATACAGGGCCAGTCGATTTCGCGAGGGAGCGATTACCGGCCGACGGTGGAGGACGAAGTTGAAGATCTTTATGAGTTGCTTTCGGAGGTGAAGGTATGTTTGATCTGTCTTTAATTCGCGAGACCCGAGCCGGGTTGCATGAAGCGACAGCTACCTCCGCTCTGGTGGGGGAAGCGCGGGCCAAAAATCCTTATGGAAACTGCACCATCCGATCTTGTTGGAGCGAGCACCAATGACCAGGAAGGATATAGTTCATCCCTGCTCCGTCGCTCGCCACAAGAATGCTTGAGGAACGTGCAGCGCCACATCGCTGTCATGAGAGTCAGCGAGCCGGATAATGCGCATCCGTCCATCGCTCGCTCGCTCACATCAACTCTCCCGTGGGAACTACTGTACATGTAGAGATCAATTCCAAATGTCGAGGCCGTGGCAACGGGTGCGATTCTATCCAATTACCAGCGAGTACGAGTCGAGAATGTGTATGTACCCTATAGAAACATTTGTCAATACAATGCAGTTTCTCATACATGAGTCCATAGATGTTCTCGTCTCGGGCTTACATCGCTGGCCTACCTGTGGGAGCGAGATCAGAAGGAGTTGATGCAGGAGATGATCGCATCTGGACTGCATTCTATACTCATCAAAGTGGCGTGCATGGGTATGGACCGCTGTCGGTCGGGTGAATGACGGACGCAGTGCTCATGGAGACTGGAGCACATAGGGTTGACGCCGAAGCATCTGGGGCAGAGTCTCGCGGAAGTCCATCCCCATCTCTTACGTTTGGTAAGAGCACTCAGTATGCCTACCCTTACAGCAGCGGATGCTCATCAGGCAATCTTCCCTGACAGAACGAGCGCTACGGAGCCCACGTATGCGGCGAAGGCGGCGAGTTCGAGACCTTCACCCTCGACTGCCCACTGTTTATCAAACGCATCGTGATGTACGTTTCCACCCCATTGCCCATGCACATCGCATTTGATCATCCTCACACAGAAATCCGCACGTCACGTAGAGACAAGATGGAGGAAGTTATCCACTCGGACGACGGTGTCGTTACGGTCGCCTATCTGCGGATCGTGAAATGTCATCTAGAGGTGAAGAATGTGGAGGAGACGGGGCTTAGCGAGAATTTGAGGGAGGAGCTGGTGCAGAATCCGATGGCGGTTGAGGAGTATGCGGGCGATGTTGACGACGTGGAATGGGTGAGAGCGCGTACACCTGCAGGATCGGATTGCAAGCGCACTGAGGCTGACGGACGCTTGGCGAAAAGGGCTCAGTTAGCCGAACTGTACTTCCGGAAAGCACTATATCCGCTGAAAGTACCACTGATACATCATGTGAGTTGCTACGTGGCACACCTCTTCCGGCTCGTTCACTAGAACCCAGTTCTCTGCCGCAGATGAATGGCCAATTTGCAGTCGGAGAGCAACCTACCTCGCCTTCTCCGGCGTCGACATCCACACCGAGGGAGTAAATCCCACCCGCCAAAACAATCTCACCGCCCACCAAGAGATCATAATGGTGATGGACTCCATGCAAAGTAAGGAGGCATCACGACTGTTCATTCATAAGCATACTATACTGATGAGAAAGGTCCTATGGTTCCTTAGGTCGCTTGGCAAAGCAGTCTCTCACTTGGGACAACGTACTAAACATGCATGTTAATGTGCGGGATATGGAGGACTTCGCCACTTTGAACGCGAGCTATAAATCGTACTTTGGGATCAACCCGCCTCCCCGGTAATGCCTATTTGGATCTTCTAAGCTTTAGGAAGTCGAGAGACCAAACTCCGTTTCCAATCCACAGAGTAACGATCCAAGTCCCCCTCCCGCCCACCACTCGCCTCCAAATCGACCTCCTCGCATACACATCCCCCAACCCGCACCAACAAAAATCCACTTTACACGTCCAATCCCTCTCCTACTGGGCCCCCGCCAACATTGGCCCCTACTCCCAACTCGCCTCCACTCCCTCCCAAATCCACCTTGCGGGCCAGATCGCGTTGGTCCCGCATACCATGAAGTTTGTGAATGCGACGACACCGGGGGCGGAATTGAGTGTGAAGGCGTTTAAGGAGGAGGCGAGGTTGGCGTTGCGGCATGTGGGGAGGGTGTTGGCGACCCGGGGCGTGGGATTGGAGGAGGCGCGGATGTGTGTGGGGTATGTGACTGATGTGAGGTTTGTGGACGTTGCGAGGAGGGTTTGGCTGGGGAAGGTATGTTGTGCCTCACCTATCTTGATGGTGGGAAGGGCGACGTGAAACTGAATGACATCGTTTTCTACATAGGCGCGGGCCTCTGTCCCGGCTGTCTTTATCGTCGTACCAAGACTTCCCCGCGACGCCAACATCGAGTGGCATATCACTTGCGGGACCCCGGGACAGTCACGCGCAGATGATGATGATGATGAGGATGATTCTGCGGTGGAGGAGGACACTTCCGCCCGGACGACGCAAGGTTTGTACTTCCCTCCCTTCTTTACGGGGGTGATCAATCATAACCGGAATATTCATAACGCAGCGAAAGCGGAAACGAGTACCGCGAGCATTTGGAAGGTGCAGGGTCTGAGAAATGACCAGACTGGGTACATCATCGGTACATTGGGTTTCAAGGGTAAGGTTGAAACCTTCGTGCTCACGAATGATGCATACGGATCGGGGACTGGAGATCCGATAAAGCTCATCGGCCCTTGCCTATTATTTTGCCCAGATCCTTCCGGCTTGACATCCGGCGACGCCCTGTCTGGCCTGGTCGAAGAGTTGTCTGCACCGTTTCTTCGCGCGCTTCACGAGTTACGGTTCACACCGCAACATCTTATGAATCTACGAGTATTTCACCACCACAAACTGCCGAAAAGCTGGGTTTCTCAAGGTATGGAACCCCTCCTACTGTCGCTCATCATTGTGCAGCGAACTTTAACCCGCATACTCCCAAACGAAAACACAGCATTGAAATCACGCGAGCTTTTCAGCACCTCGTCGTCCGCAGTTACACTCATTCCCGTATCAGCCATAGAAGAGACAGACGCCCTCATGGCAATCTGCGCAACAGCATGTATCTAGAAGTTACAAACACTGCCTATACGTAAATAGACTACCTGAGCATCTGCCTGCTCTCCCATCAACTACGTCCGGCCTTTCGCTTGAGATACCGTTCCTTAGCCGCCCTGACAGCCTCCTCCCTCTTTCTCGCTTCCTCATCCACCACCGCCTCCTCTTTATGCCCGCCAACAGCAATATGGGGGTGCGTGTGCGGTCGTGGACTGACTAGCCCGCTACTCCCCTCGTTTGCGTCAACCAATGGCGAGACAACGGCGCCTTTGCCGATCTCCTCACCGAATGATCGCTCGACTTGGTGTGCTTCGTCGATGACTTCGTGTACCAGCTCGAATTCCGGTTTCGGTGCGGGTGTGGTTGTCTCGCCGTCGCCTTTTTGGCTGCCTTCATCGCTTTTCTCATCGTCAGCGGTGAGCTGAGCGACCTCCGAGATAGAGATGCTCGGACGCCGTCCTTCGTGATGCCCTGCAACGTTACCCGCAAGCCGGTCCTCATCCACCAAACCCAGCCTGCCCATCAACACCTCAACCCACTCGAACCGGATCTTGCTGACGGTGCGCATGTTGGCGCGGTTGACGTATTGCACGTCGTTGTAGATCACGAAATCGCATTGCGGGTGTGAGCTTGCTGCGAGAGAGGATTGAGGGTGGAGGGTAAGGGCCAGCATTTGGGATGCGGATCGGGTTTGTGTGTTTGTTGAGGTGGGTGCTAATGATGAGGACTTGTGGGCTACACTCGGTGCGTACGGGTAGAATACGGCGCGTTGGGTATGCCGTTTTGCAGTGTTGACGTAAAATGCGGTGCAGAAAGCGCGTAGAATGGGTGTGGGATCCAGGGATGGACGCAGATGAGTGCTGCGGCCATCCAATCTCCTCCTCCGCTTTCTGTCGCGCTCGTCATGATCTCTAGATGCAACAGAGGAATCGACAGGCAGACCGAGCTTGTGCATTACTTCCGTTAGCTGCTCCCGGACTTTTCGGGCAGCTTTCATGGCGCGGTAATGTAGGTAATGATCGTACGCCCAATCCTTCGAGAAATCGTCGCTCTCCCATTCCTGGTAGATCTTCAACAACGTCAGGTGGTCCCCCGTTGCATCATGGAACCGTTGACGGATCTCCTCCGCCTCCGCCTGCTTACGTTTGCCGCGCGGAGTTGTAAACACCTCTTCCACGGAAAGCATGGACACAATGGTGAGAGCCTCAGAAGCACAGTGGAAGTCCAGGGAAGCCGAGATAAGCACGCGCGACAGGAAAGGCGAGATGGGGAGCTCGGCCATTTTGGAACCGAGCTGCGCGAGATGCCCATGCTCGTCGACGGCGCCCAATAGGAAAAGGGACTTGATGGCCGCGACGATCAGTTCCGGATCTGGCGGGTCGATGAATTCAAAGTTGATAATGTCTTCTATGCCCATCTTCTTCATCGACAGCACGGTCCCAATCAATGAACTCCGTTGGATTTCGGGAATGGTGGCCGGGTCCATTCCCTCGAACGCTTCTCGCGAGTACAGGCGGTATACCTTGCCCATCGCAGTTCTTCCTGCCCGACCAGCCCTCTGAGTCGCCGCGGCCTGACTGATCGGCACAACGACCAGCGCATCTACACCAGTCTGCGCGTCAAACATTTTCTGCTTGACAAAACCTGAATCCACCACGTATCTGATTCCAGGTATCGTTACACTCGTCTGAGCTATGTTAGTCGCGAACACGATCTTACGCACGCCGTCGGGGGCATGATCGAAGATTGCGCGCTGTTCCAGGGTCTCGAGGGAGGAGTAGATCGGGAAGATGGCGACGTCGCGGACTGTGCTCCGATAACGGACTTCGTCGTAGTCTAACTCTTCGTGGGCTTCTTGGAAGAGGCGGGTAGCCTGCTCGATTTCCTGTTGCCCTGTGAGGAAGACCAAGACATCACCAGGCTCCTCGTTTTTGTGTATATGCAACACGGTGTCGACAGCTCGTCTCAGGAAGGTGGCCTTTGCCGCGCCCAGCTTCATCTTCTTTTGCCAAAAAATGTCTACCGCGTACATTCTGCCAGGAATGGAGAATACAGGTGCATCCCCAAAATACGCCGCGAAACGATCAATCTCCAAGGTCGCGCTCATTATGACCACTTTCAATTCCGGACGTAGTCGGCATGCCTGGCGAAGTAGCGCAAACAAGATATCTGTCTCTAAGCTCCGTTCGTGCGCTTCGTCGAGAATAATGAGGTCATAGGCCCGGACTTGTGGGTCCGTAGCCACATACCGAAGCAGGGTACCGTCTGTGACATAGAGCAACCGAGTCGAGGAAGAGGATTGCTTTTCAAAGCGGATCGAGTACCCAACAAGGTCGCCAACACGAGTGCCCGTCTCCTCGGCGACTCGTCGGGCGGCGGATATGGCAGCTATCCTGCGCGGCTGCGTTATGCATACATTGCGGATAGCTGGAAGTCCCTCAACCACGTATTGTGGTAACTGCGTCGTTTTCCCACTTCCTGGAAAAGAAGGAGAAGTTTAGATCGTGTTCCTATGGGTGTTCTTCCTGAACGTGTCTCTGCAGTCTCGTTCCTTGCCTGTGTCACCGACCACGATCAGAAACTGATACTCCTCAATAGCGGCCAGCAGCTCGTCCCTGTAGGTGTATATGGGCAGCTCTTTCCTGAGGTCCGCGAGCCGCCGCTCCGACTGGGTTGCTTGTCTGCCTGTCATTTCGCCAGTGACCACATGGACAGGTATAGAACGGGAAAAAGCGCCGAAACCTCGACGACGCGTTTTGCGACTGCTATGATCACGAGCAACCGCAACAAAGGCGCAGTTTTGCCATACTTGGCGCCCCGAACTTTAGATCGCACACTTGCACAAAGAATTGGCGACGAAGTGGGATCTCCATCAACCAGAAAGGCTACTCGAATAGGATTGCGGCGGACAACCTAGTACCTGGCCATCAACTGCCTTTCCTGATTCGGGACTGATACATCACAGAACAGCAGCTGGGTATATAATAAATTGTATTCGTGCCAGACATCGTAGGAGCATATGACCAAAAAGTGCAACACAAAAAGCTACATAGATAGCGTGCTAGAAGGGCCGGGATTGAGTCAAGGACTAGGCGTAATCACACGCCGTCTCCGACGCTCTCGTGCTGACGCATCTTGTGAATGCACTAGCAGTTACATTGACCCTTGGGACACTTGCAAGCGGATCCGCACGAACAAGAGTGGTCGGCGACCTTCCGTTCGGGTTCACCACAGTTGCATCTGCGAAAGATAAAGACACATATATGAATATCACTTCCATATAAGCGCAAGTACACGGACTATTTGATAACTTACTTTTCGTTTTGCGCAGGGCATACACACTTTGTCCCGCATGTGCAGTGCGCACTCTCCTTCTTGCTCTCAGCCTTGGCCTTGACGTCCGCCGAGTTGCATTTGCAGGCGGTGCCGTGTGCTCCGTCACAGCCGCAGCCAACACCGCATTCGCAGACTCCAAGCTTCTCTTGAGTGCCAGACATTGTGAACGATTTGTTGTTTGTTGTTGGAAGAAGTGGAGTGTGGTCGAGGCGAGTGCTTTGGGTTCGATTTGTTGTGTGTTGTGTTGAGGACGGGGGATGTGCGAGGGGTCTCTGTTTTTATAGCCGCCCGGGTCGCAATTACCTGCTGCTAAAAAGTCTCTCTGCGGTGTTTTTGCCTGGGAAAGATCGCAACCCCGACAAAAGAACTCACATCGTCACGCGCGCTGACACTATTTAGACAGTGGTGGCTTTGATTACAGTGACACAGCAAGCGAAAATGGAGCGTCCCCCCACATACTGTACTACCCCACCCGCACCCCACAACTTGAGGCTCTCTGCCACACCTGACAATCAAGAATGCGCCATTTTCATCATTGGTCTACAGGTGTGACTACGGTGGTACTGATGTCTACGTTATAGCCGGTAAACAGTGGCTCTATTCATGTCGGCCGTCGAAAGCACGGATCAAAGAAAGAATGCGGCGTCATCCACCGCGCTTGCTTGCCGTGATAGAGATTTCAGAGCCGACCGCTCTTGTTTGGCTTGCTCTTCATCTATCGCTCGGTGATTGAAGCTGTGGGCCAGGATGTTTGTCAGATCGTGAAAATGCCAATGTGACTCACGCCCTCAGTAAGGAACCGCGACTTACAGTTCACTGGTTGGGTCGAACTCCGGATTCTTGCATTTGTCCAGCTTCGTATCGATGTCCTTTGCTTCCCCTTTAGGCACGTTGATATCACCCTGTTTCGTGACAATATCAACAATGGCCTCCATCTCGACGCGCAGTCGCGCCAGGTTGTCCGCCTCCGCATGAAACCTCGATGTGAGATATCTGATTGGGAGTAACCGCAATCGTTAGGCCGTCATGTTCAACCAACGTGAACCGGGAGGACCTGTCCCATACTTCTCCAACTCCTTTTCGAAATCATTTTCTCTCGAGGCAGCTAATAAACACCCAAAGCCGATCTGAGCAGGCATGTGTGTGAAAATCAGTTCCGATAACGTGGCCAACGCGGCGAATTGCTCTGCCCTATGATATGTCTTTGTCAATCGCTGCAGATGGAGGTCATGCGCTGCCTTTGGGTGTGCCGAGAGTATATAGTTCTGGAACGTTGTGAGAAGTATGCGACGCCACTGACAGCATGAATCGCTCGCCCACCTGTACATCTAGGAAGAAACCATGCAAAGGCCAGAATGGGTGATGCACCTGGTATTCGAAGCGAATGCCCTGCGAAAGTTGGAATTCATAATCTTTCATGACCTCGGCAGTGGGGGCCTTCGGTATTTGCGCAAGGAAATCTCTGAGGGGTATATATTGATTTTCGACCTTGGTGCTCAGGAAGAGACAGGTTAAGCTGGACGCAAGCAAGTTAGAAAATCGTAAATCTCGTACCGCCCACTAGTGATCCGTCCATGGGACCACACACATACAAATATACTTTGGGGTCATAGTCCATCATGGTATTCCTCAGATAGAATCGTTTGAAGAACACTACGGCAGTTGCCTGTGGTAGAAAGAGACAGTATTTGTTATTTCGAGTCATTGACGGCCCCGTACGCAGAGATCACCGGTATTTGGACGGGACGTACCTGAACAAACCGATCTAATGGAGGCTTTATCGCTTTGCAAAACTTCACCAGTCGGTTGACATAAAACTGGCTCAACCTCTGCTGCTCCTCCCATGAAATGCATTCCGGTATTGGCTCATCTTTACCACTAATTGCCTGCAGAGCATCCATCTTAGCCTCTGAGGGCTCCTAGTATCAGAACTTGCAGATGTACTGCACCGATTGCTCAGCATAGGCTTTTCGCACTCGTTCCGCCCCCTCGCGATTCACTTTCTCCCGAAGGTGCCGAAGTTCTTCCGGAGTGAATTTCCAGTGTCGGAACTGCGACGATTCCTCAAAGAGCCTGAAAATAGCTTGGCTGTGAATTTTGAACGCTTCCGTGGCCGAGAAAGACATAAATACTCACTGCGAAAGGATCGCTGCCGTAGCGTCCGGTGACGGCTCCGTTACAGGAGCCATTGCCCGGGGAAGGCGTCTTACTGTTGATATTACTGCACTGCTGCTGGGCGGCGGTGCCTCGAGGCCGTACAGAAGTCGATGATCTCGCGTTTGAAGGCGGCAACGAAGAGCATGGAACGGCGAAGGCCGTAGGTATTCTGACTATGCTGGGAAGAGATGACGAACGGTGGGGTCGGTATTCTCTGACAATGGCATCTGCGAAGTTTTGTGCGTTTGACTGCTTGAAAGTTGAGAAATGCAACATGCACTTTCCACCCTGAGACCCTGCTTCTCCTGCTTCCCACCCCAGGCTCTAGCCCAGGCTTTTCCAGACTTGCCTCCATCAAGACTTTTGCCTTTCGCTGTCACTCCCACCAAGAGCCTTGTCGTCGTTAACAGCTGAATAGGAGCCATACACCCACCCTCTTTCCACTGCAGCCGCCCACTTGAAGCAGACCGATGATGGCGAGCCCGCCGCCCAGCGACCGAGGCGACGCAGAGCATAGCGTGAAACATGAAGACGAACAGGACACAGTCTCGCCACTGAACGGCGGACCTAGCCCTTCAGGAGAGAAGCGGAACAGGGACGAGAATAACCAGGACGATGTCGAGGACGACGCTCGAAAGAAGCGGAAAAAGCCAAGTGGCTGGGATGATGGAATGGCAACCACGAAGCCAAGCGCTGGTAAGATCCTAGCGAAAACAGAGTGATAACCTCGTGGATACCAGCTCACACCTGGTTTGCATCTTCACTTCACCAGCAGCCTCGGCCTCCGTCTCACCACAACCCGAAACGTCCGCCCAAACACAGTCTTTAGCACTGCCCGCCGTGCAGTCCATAAACCCTGCCCCGGTGTCCCTAGGACTGAGTCTTGAACAAAGGGCGAAGCTGGAACAGGCCAAAGCCTACGCTAGGGAAATCACTGCAAAGGTGGGCTCAAAGTGCATTACGTCCTCGACATCGCCGACTGCTGATACCGCCATAGCTGCTTCGATCGAAACTCGGACAAGCACCTCTGATAGCACCGATGGGGATTGCGCTCAATGCCGGAGTGGAAGCACGGTCAATTGCGGTCATGAGTCGAATCTATGTCGGCTCCATCAATTTCGAGCTTAATGAAGTTCACATCAAAGCCGTGTTTTCTCAGTTTGGCTACGTCAAATCCGTAAGCATGACTATGGATCCAACTACTGGAAAGCACAAAGGATTCTGCTTCGTGGAGTACGAGGTGCCCGAGGCGGCCGAGCTGGCCCTCGAGGTGATGAACGGAGCTGATCTGGGAGGACGGTATGCTTCGCGGTCGTTCATGATTGATCATCTGCAGCGGTGAATTCATCTCTAGCCCGGCGCGCATCGAAGGCAATTGAAAGTCGGTCGCCCAAACAACTACAATCCAGGCATAGGCGCTAACCTGCCGCCACCAATTCCGTCACGTATCTACATAGCGAATATCAGCGAGTTTGTCTCTGAGCAGAACGTCGAAAGTATCTTTGAATCCTTCGGAAAGATCAAAGGATGCTCGCTTCTGGTATGAGCAAAACAAACAAAGCAGAATTCTCCATAATCTGCTTATGTACTGATCACACCTCTCGCTCTCGGAACAGCCCGATCTGCAGCTCCGAAAGCATAAAGGCTGTGGGTAAGTTGACGGTGCTGCCCCATGTAGGCTTAGCCAGATGCCATTTGAAAGCGTCTATAGCGGTCCGGGTATCCTGATTCGAGGAGCGGTGATATTGACCCTCTCTGTCGACTTGTCTCTCTCTTTTCTCTTTCTATTCTCTTCTCTCTTCGTTCCTCCTCCCCCATACCCTTCCTTTCTCTCCTCCATTCCTCCCTCATTGCCTATTTGGTATCCTAACGAATCGTAGACCTTCGTCTGGCAACGAGCGCAGGGATGAGGATGGCCAGTCTGGCTATGACAAGCTAGATCGCCAATGAAGTGCAGGGTAGATTAGCGGAACGACAGAACTTGGGACACGTGGGAGCATGTCTACGGGGTTCCGAATGGATGCTGACCTGTCTCGTACTTTCGTTGCATATCGCAGGTATCTCGAGTTCGAAGAAGAAACTTCAGCAGCATCCGCCATCACAAGCATGAACAATTTTGAGCTCGGTTGTTTGCCACTACGAGTTCGCCCGGCGATCATCGGAGGGCCCATGCCCGTGGGCATGAAGAACCTGGATCAGTTACCAGTCATTCCGGTTGTTCCGGCCGTCGTTCCCGCCCGCGTTCTCAATGTCGCGCAGAACATCAACAGCACAATCGGTGAGTTCCTTGATGTTTGTGAAAGTTCCGTTCAGTGAACACTTCCTGAAGCCATCCTCGACAGCACAACGCACTGGACTTGCACCAGCGCCTTCCTTTCAAATGCCATCCGTCAATCCGGCATTGCAGAACGCAATAGCGAAAGTTAAAGCCCAGATAATGAATGATGATAACTCGACCCTGGAGGAGAACGTCTCTATAAGCGCAAACCAGCGGTTCGCGATCATGCAGAAGCTGATGCGATCCAAGACTGAAACCGCGGTATGTGAGCTTCTTGCGGGCTAAGTCCGTTTTGTTACGCCTTCGCTCATCTGGCACAACTTAGCCCCGCACAAACATCGTATCTTTGCGGGATATGGTCTTCTTCAAAGATCTTGACGACACTCTAAACGAGGAGATTACGGAAGAGTGTGGGAAGTACGGACAAGTCACTAAAGTCCTGATCTGGGTCGATCCAGTCAAGCAAGCAAATGGGACTCTGCAAGACGAAGATGCGGTTGACATATTTGTTGAGTTTGGGAGCGCCGACTGTAAGAGTTCTACGTCGGTCACTTGTCGACATGGACAGACCGTTCATTTACCAACGAATGCCATCCGGTTTTAGGGGCAGCGCAGGCACGTCAGGGACTGGACAAGCGGTGGTTCGCCGGCCGGCAAATATCCGCCGCATTCATCACGCCGGAGGAGTTTGCAAGGAAGGAAGCTCAGTCGCGTGGGTAGGCGGGGTACGCGGGGGGTGAGCGTACGAGGCCACTCATTCCCGATTCCTCGTGAATGTTGCGTACATACTCCATAGGGTTAATTGGCCGTGCGAACCAATGTGCGCAAGGCTCACTACTCTGTCTCCAGGAAGGCGACTGCTTCTACACCGGAGCTCAGTTTGCGATACATGTACATCATAATGCCATTGGCCCCGACACGGTAGTTACATATGAACGCAAATTACGAAAAAAGGTCTGCTGTGATATATGGGCCGCCAACTCTGACATTGCTCCTTCCTCAAAGTCTACGGGATTGGAGACCAGACTCGCTGGGACTGCGAAAGCCCGAATCACGGTGGTTCTGGTGGGAGATGATCTGCCCTGAGTGGCGGTTAGATACCCATGCAGCAGCCTGGACTAACCTTGTTTGGTCTCTGAACTCGTAATCCGCTTCGAATCTGAATACAAGCCTCGGAATGTCTGTCGGATTCGAGCTCCCGTGCCCTGCGCCATCACACGTCAGCACGAAGGGGAAAGCTAACAGCCATCCGAACGCAGCCACCTCATCCGCGACATCATTGACTAAAATCTGATGTCCTGAATCGGTTTCCCGAACACGGACAGAAATGCTATTGAACGAGTCTGCATGTTTCTTAGCGTCAACTGGTGAGCAACGCTTTGGAAAATAAATTAAATGTCTGTTGCGCAAGAGTGGGACTGACAAGACTGTAGAAACCGCACCTGCAGAGTCTTCGAATTGACGAGTGTAATATGGGTGTAGTGGTCACGTTCATCTCTGGTGATTCTTTGGAGGAACCTCGGCCGATTTACGAACAAAACGGAATCCTCATTTATGACTAAGGCTTGCAGAAATAAAGTGGGGGAGATGCCGGATATCTACGATATCAATGGCATCAGATTAACCTGCATAGGCCGGCTTCTCTGCACATTGCCAGACACAACATAGCGCCAACATAGCGCCAACATAGCGCACAGCGTAAAGCACCGGCTGCGTACACGAGTTCAACATCCACAGACCTGGCGAGTTGCGGCGCAAAAATCGTGTAGGGTATGTGATTTCAATCGGCCATAAGGGAAGAATGGGTTGAGGAAGGCATCGCTGCGGTCCTCGTCAGCAGGGTGCTTCAGAGCGCATGGTCTCGTCGTGGGCAGAAGTGCAAACTTTCGTCGTAAGTCCAACCCACAGTCCTTACCGGACACCGAACACCACTGTCAGCAGCTCTTCCAAAAATGCATTCAACTGTTGCTGCAGAACCTGCCCGAAGTGGTGACGGCACAGATCGCGGATGGCTTCGCGAACCCTTTCTTCCGGAGTCATAACGACGCAAGGCTGAACTTAAAGACAGCTTCTATGGCGGACTCCGAGTAGGTTGTGATGTTGTGTCTGTTTATCTATACAGGCCCGTAAGTATGTATGGTATGCCGCCTGGTTCATCCACGTCAGCTCTCCACAGTAAATGAGAGTCGATGGCCTGCGAGGGCTTGATCTTGGAATTGAAAGCGGATACTCGGACATGACTCGGACACGGCGGCTCGGGCTATCGTGCCGCGTCCCGTACATTTCGAAATGGGTAAACGATGGTCTCCATTACTACTGAACGTACTGTACATACACAGGAAAGTGGGAAGAAAGGGGATGGTAATAGGTAGCTTATGAGACCGTGGAGAGAGAGGGAGCCGTGCTACGCCGCTTTCGGAAAGTTCCAGGGATCAAATCACATTGGTAATAGGAAAGAAGAGGGAAGGAACACCTTGCTGATGTCCACGGATCGATGTGCGCACTGCCGGCCTTCGAGCATGCTCTCCGGTTCGCCGTCTGTTGCCGCTACGCTTGGTTGATCCGCCTGACACATACAGTTTACAACCTCATATTCCACCCAGCCCACCTTAGCCTTCCCACTCCCCACGGTCGTCTCTAATTCCACTCCCCAACTCCCAATCTTCGCTTCAATAGGCGATTTGGAGGATGGGAGTGAATGTAGCCCATCGTAAAGGAAGCTGGATGACTCCGACCAGAGACGCAACCGAGGCGGCTTTTCGGGTGAGAACGCATCAGAGATGCCATAAGGAGTTCGGGAGGGAAGCAGTGGCAGGTAGCCCACTAGAGGAACGTAGAGGCCCGAAGTAGGTTCGCTTGGATGCAATGTCAGATTTTGGGGACACGACGGAGCATTTGGGACCCAAAAGTTCCATACCTTGCGACGAGAAAAACCAAACCCACTCTGTCGACGTCGACTTTCGCGCAGGTTAACTTGAAGCCGGCCACAGGGCCTCTATTTTCTCCCAAAGAGTAAGCCGAGTCTGCCAATAATATAATGTCCTTTGCGTTCTTCAAGCCATCTCGCAACTGCAGTAAGTTTGCTCGGATGACATCGCTGCAGACCTCTCTGAATAGGCGGGACAAAGAACGCAGTTGAGCGAGGAGGGAGGTAGGGAGGTAGGTCAAAAGGGCGAGCAAAAGCTCGTTTGGTAATGTATCTAAGCCCACATGTGGCGTCGTCGCCGGAGTCGTTGGAATCGACATTCTGGCGTACGACTCTTCTGACTGGGTATGAGGTGTACCGTGGAGCTGAATGGGAGCGATGTTGGCGGGTAGTTGGTCGGTTGTCTCCTTTTGTTCAAGTTGGAAAGGAGTGCGAGAAGTGCGAGAAGCTGGCGGGAAGTGTGAGAGGTGATGACTGTTTCCACGTGACCCCGAATAAATTCGGAATACTGTGCATGACCAGCGCTGCGCACTTTTTCCTTTCGTGGCGAGCTGTCGGGCCCGCATTACTACGATCTGCAAGCAGCTTTCAACGCAATTGCGCGATACATATCAACGATGGACTGGGACAACCCTGCAGAGCTGTTCGCTGGTAATTGTCAACTGTGTCCTCGTCCTCGCGTCCGTTCGTGCCCACCTTCAGAGTGAGGTGTTCTCGAACCGGCTAGAAAACGATCTTCGGTGGCTCACCTTCTAATTTTCGGACGGAGCAGGCGACGAGTCCGTGCCACAAACTCTCCCTTGGAGCGACGAGCACGGTCTCCTGGGTGATATCGGAGGTGAGTAGCGAATGGCAGCTAAGCGTATGGAACCAGGTACTTTCCTGCGTTCAACCTCAGTTCTTTTTCTGACGACACTCTTCTGTTTCCAGATATCTCTCCTACAGACTTGTTTCCATCACCGCATATTCAAGATTATGATCATGGAGGAATGTCAATACATGCGCCTGGAACCTTTGCTATTGACGAAGCAAACGCGGCTTTGGGAATCATCGATACGCCTGGGACGATGGAAGATATAGGAATTGATCAGGGACAAGCTGGGACAAGAGTTCCGGGGCCAGATGAGACGCAGGACGATGAAGGCTTGGAGGCGGAACCTGTTGAGAGTCATACTCACGAAGATGGAGATGGGTCGGACGCTGCAAAGAGCGATGATGAAAATGGTGTGGAGGAGGAGCAACCGCAGGGAGAGAGAGTTTCTGAGGATAATGTCAATGGGGAAGGCAAAGACATATCTCACATGGGACAGAAAACGCTTCCAACTCCCACCATGACAAAGCGGTCGAGGAGCCGCAATCCCTCACAGCACGCTTCATCGATGAGCGCAAAGGAACAAAAGTCGACCGCGGCGTCCACCCCTGGGGAAGGTCGCTCCATGCGTACCCGTGAAAAACACACAGATTACAAGGCATTGCTTGCTGGACCTTCCATTACTAGGAAGCTGGTGCCACCCAAGAAACCAGGCTATAATGAAAAAGGCCAACGCGTATGGTGTATATGCAGACAGCCGGATTCTGGAAAATTCATGATTCAATGCGACAATTGCTCCGAATGGTATGCTCGTCCTTGTTGCTGAAGTTACTGCAACTATTTCATAACCGGTCGTACTTTCGCAGGTTCCATGGATCGTGCGTGGGATTAACGAAAAAGGCAGGCGAGAAGCTTACCACGTACACATGTCCGCCATGCTCTGTTTTGATTTCGGGAGCAAATCATCAACGTAAGTGCCCGAGTAGAAGTTGATGTCTGTGATGCGTCAAGTCCTATCCCTTCCCCTGTTCCTCTTGCCCGTTTGGCGTGGCTTTGGTTTTGGAAATACTACGTTTTCCAAATATCCGCTGTGATACGCATGTGGCGAGGACTATCCGTGTGCTTCGATGCCGTTTGTGCAAAGTGTATTGCGAACTCGAGATCCGGGGAATATCCTACCGAAACACGTGGATTTCAATAGCGCGCCCGCTTCTGACCAGGTGCCATCTGAGACGGAGCAGCTTCCATGTCGCATATGATCATGGACGTTGGCTTAGCGCCAAGGATGTCCCCCCATTGCGAGCGGAAAGCGCTCATTCCATTTGCATCCGGCGCTTTGTCCCCGTATGTTCAGTGGTCTTCGCCAGACCTGCGAGGATGCAGTCCATCAGATACGCCAACGTTGCCTACGACGTATGGGAGATGTGGGTCTCTGATGCCTTCGGGACGACGGCCGTGGATGCTCGATAGCGGAAAGGGACCATCAACTCCCAGATCTTCATTGGAAACCTCTCGGGTTCGCAACCACATTTGAAAGCACGCATATGCACAGGAGTGAAGCCGGAGCATCGTCTGCCTCTTTTGTCCCAACTTCCTTTGACTCGCTATTCTGTAGATAGTGCTTCTGTGTAGTCTCCCATCCCTTTGGACCTGGATTGAATTGGAGGTTTTACTCACCAAAATCGTTCCCATCTTTTGATTTCTTATTTTCGACCGACCACACACAGCGCCTGGTTTACCGTCGTCCAAGAAAGCCCAAGAAACGGGATCCCAAGTCGGGTCCAAAGGCCCGAGTCCAAAGCAGACTAGCTCGCGAAGAGCCAGTAAGATAGGCGCTAGCAGAGATCCCACTCCGTCTCCCGTACCGGAATCGAAAAGCAAGTTTGGGGATGCAACGCATGACGTAAGGATAAGCGGTTCTACTGAAATGACCGTCTCACGGACAATGTACTCATGCCATTCCTCTTCATTTGCAGCACTCTGAGAAGCGACCGTCGACATCGCAAGTATGCTCGACGAAGTGTGCACACAAGCCTTGCTTGAACTCCGCCAAGGGCACAGACATCCCTGAAAACAAAGCTGGCACTGAGACCTTCTGCAGCACCGCATGCGCGAATCGGCACGTCACTGCTGAACGTTCTCGCATTGAGGAAGATCGAGCGGCAGCGCTCGCTTCCGCAAAAGTGCAGGGCAACATCCCTCCCAGCCAATTCTTCGGCGTCCCCATCGCCCCTGCTGGATCCGGGAGCATCGCTGCCAACAATATCATGACCAGTCTCACGCCTATCGCGTCGGCTGCTCCACCGAAACTTACTCCTCCGGCCTGGACGCAGGAGCCAGTGCGTCGTATGGCTCGCAAAGGATTTCTGGAAACGTTCACTGGAATCTTTGCGGAAGCAAAAGAGAATACAGAAGATTACGCCGATGTTGAGATTAAGGTGAATCTGGAAGATCCGCAAGCATTTGTGGCCGGTTTAGAGGAGGCAATGTATGAAGCCTGGGCGACACCGAAGAAGAATGCCCCGGGGGTCGTGGAATGTGCGGAACCCGTAAGTGCAATACTCTTCTGTTAGCTTCCCGACTCATCTGTTAAGCTCAATTCGTTCACACGGACCGCTTCTCAATACCGTTTCCAGTACAAAAACAAATATCGCTCCCTGCAATTCAATCTCAAAGACAAAGCCAACCTCCGCCTCCGCCGCCTTGTCGTTAGCGGCGATGTAACCCCTGAGGAGCTGGTCCGGCTTGCACCACAGGAATTGGCGAACGACCAAGTCCAAGCAGCTGCAGCCGAATACCGCCGCAAAGCGCTTCGCGAAGCCATACGTGTCAACACAGAGCCAGTTGGCGTGGTCGTGAAAAAAACGCACAAGGGAGATATTGAGGTTGTGCGCACCGAAAGTGGAAATAATCTGATGATGGACGAAGGGATGCCGATCTCGGCAGTTAGCGACTTTGCTAGAAGCGTCGATGATGAAGGGTCCAACACGCCGCTGTCGAGCTCTGTCAAGTCGCCGTGGACACCCGACGGGGCTGATACTGACTCCGAAGACCAACGATCTTCCGACTTGAAGCGTGAGAAAGATGCGCGGGATGCCGATGAGGCGGATGTAGATCGCGCGTCGAAGAGAGCCAGATTGGACTTGAGCAACGGCGACGGAGATTCGATCTCGAAAAAGGAGGTGGCCATGGATGTCGTTGATAGCTCTCCAACCGCGACCAACGCGAACATCGGAACATCGGAACATCGGGCAGTTACTTCAGTCGATCATTCGCCTGCTGACGCTGACGCTGCCACTGAGCGTGAAGACGATGATGGGGAGGCACCTCGCACCGAGCTGATTCTAGAAGGTGACGCTGCCGGCGATGACTATGGTTATGGCGCCTATGATTACGACGACCCCACAACGGCTGACGGAAATCCGATGGAGGTTGACCCGATCCTGGATCTCGGCCCTACCGACCTGAATGCCACGGTTTGGACGGGCCGCATCCATATGCCTCAAGTAGCGAAATTCACCGCTTCGTGTCGTCAAGTTGGAGGGCGGCTTGTGGGCGGTGTCAAGACTTGGGAAGACCTGTTGCCAGCCACCATTTCCATCGATGGAAGGGTTGCGCCAAATGTTGTTGAGAAGTATTTGCGGGAGCAAAGGTTTTCTGGCGGCAAGCAGGTGGTCGTGGTTGAGATCCTCCCACCTGGTGAGGGAGAGGGGGCGAATGGGGCGAATGCATTGAAAGACGCGACTGCAGATGCGATGGATACGTCAACGGAAAGTATGTCCGCTGCCGCAAACTTGGAGAACTACAACTCCCTTTTCAATTACTTCCGCTCTCGCAATCGCTGGGCTGTCGTTGGCCATCACTATGTGTCCATCAAAGACATGTATTTTTCGCCTCTTGGCAAAGACGATCCTATACCGCCCTGTATAGCCGATCTGGACGACCATCGTCTCCCTGAAGCGCCGAGAGAGGCTGACAAGCTTTACGGTGTCATCATCTTGTCGAAGGACTTTGGAGGCGGAGGTCACGTTGAGTGGGAGGTGCGGGACCGGGAGAAGGAGAGGAACGAGCAGAGGCAGAGACGATCAAGAACGAACTCCGAGACGGAGGCATCTGTTTTGACACTTCCAACCTCGTCTGCATCTGCCTTCGACAAGGCCCCATCCCCACCCAAGGCGGTTGCCCCTGCTCTTCCGCCAGCCTTTGCTTCCTTGGCCAGTTTGTCTGGCACGAATATTCCCGGCTTGGACCCGGCGGTGAACATGTCACCCATCACGCCTGCATCCGGACAACCAAAGCCTGCTCCTTCAAAACCCAGTTTGCTGGACACGTATGCGAAAGCACTTGGACAGACCGATCAGCCACCCCCGCCGTTGCCCGGGATGCCAAGTGATCCGCGAACGCGCCGAACATCGGCTTCCGGCCCACCAACGGTACACCCTGCACCAACTCATGGCAAGCCTGATCAACAATCACAACCAGCGTTCAACATTTTGGACCTGCTCTCCAACCCGGCGCAGATGAGCATGATTTCGAAATTGCTGGCCCAAGTTGGAAACGGTCCAAGCATCCCCGGCACGACAGCGAATGTCGCGGGTTTAGCGGATAATGCAGCCCCCGCTCCCACTTCAGGCGTCGGAGTGGGCACCAGCAATCTTACTGCTTCGAACTCCACATTAGCTGCCTTGCTTGCAACGGCAAATTCACTGGGATCGCCCACAGGCGCTACACTAGGGTTGTCGACTACTCCTCTGAATGTCCCTAGCACACTGTCAGCGACGCTTCAATCCCCAGGCAATCCCGCTGGACCTGGTATACCGGCATATCACCAAGCCCAGCAACACCAGCGACCCCCGTTCCCTCATCCACTCCAACAAACCACCCAGCCTCAACAGCCGTCGCAGCGTGGTGGACCGTATGGGGCACCATCGCAGCTTGGACGGGGATACGCACCGGGGCAAGATCAAGACCAACAATCGAATATGAGCCGGCCTGGTGGCGGTCGCGCTGATGGGAGCAGGGGAGGAAGGGGACAAGGGAGGAGGTCACGCTGGGAATAGCGTGTAAAATGTACATCAGAACAACTCATTGATATGTATGCATTGTGTGTAAGCTTTTTGAGATGGGGTTGGCTGGGATAGGTTTGAACCGTAGTATTACTATATTGGAACTTGTTTTAAGATCCATCGCCTCGTAATTTCAATGAGAGGTGCACATCCTCAGGTCGATAAAAATCCGGTCATTACAGCCTCAACAGCCGATTACGCTCTATGACAGACAACATTGACAACACTGCGTCCCACGCATCCCAGCCCACAGACAACACCAAATCACGCTCGCACGCTGCAGAGGGGGATTCTGAGCTTCCTGATGCGTCTCCCAACCTGCAACCTGACACTGATCAATGGGCCAAGGCCTCCGAGGACCTAGATGACCAGGAAGAACCTGCAGATGACAAGTTGGTGCAGTACGGATGTGTCACATACTCCAGCACTTGAATTCAACAAAGCAACCTTGCCTATGCTCCCGCAACTGAAGTACTACACACAAATCCCAAAACGTTCAAGCAGGGCACTAAACTCGAGCGATGCAGCAAAGTGGAACGAAGCTATGGATGCTGAATACGAATCTCTCATCAAGAATGGGTCCCGGAATGTAACGTCAGAGGAAACGTAGACGATATTGGGTGGCTTCAGTGAGGCTTGGCGCCTTATGTAATGTATCACCGAGAGCTCAGGTGGCCAGCCCGGGTCTCGGATCGTGTAGGACTAAAGAAGTATAATATGAAATACAAGTGAATACGAGATATCCCCGACACCTCCCTCAGATCCTGAGGAGGGCGCCAAATAAATAAGAGGTGAACTACGAGGGATATGTGAAGAAAGGGAGAGCTCATGTTCATTTTATAGTGTTGACGCACTGTGTGATGTGTTTGTTTGAGGCAAAGGCATCCCTGAGCTGACGTCGTGTCGGGGATATCTCATATTCACTTGTATTTCATATTACATCTCTTTACTTCTACTTGATCCGAGACCCGGGCTGGCCACCCGAGCTCTCGGTGATACATTACATAAGGCGCCAAGCCTCACTGAAGCCACGCAAGCCCCACTGGCAGCCCATATATAAAGCTGTCAGTCGAGCGGCCGCTGCAAAAAGCTTCTTACTTTTTTCTTCACTACAATATACTGCTCTCAGCCCTCTCGGAAGGGCTCAATATCGTCTACGTTTCCTCTGACGTTACATGGTAGCACCACCTACCGCTAGCATCACCAAGACACTTAGCAGTAGTCGGCAGAGGAAGCAGATGACTGAGCAAACTCTATGTTGTGTTGGATAAAATACTGTGAAGTATGTATTGACGTCTGAAGTAGAAAGAGGACACAAGGTCCGAAAGGGAAGAAGAGGGTGAAGTCCCGTACGCAGAAGCGTGGCGTAAGCGGGAGGGCAGTTACGTGAAGAAATAAACTACGGGAACCTTGTCTTTGTTTCCTCTGACGTTACATTTTGGCTTAGTGGTTAAGCCACCTGGCTCTCACCCAGGTGGTGTGGGTTCAATTCCTCCCTTCCCCAAACATTTTTGTCTTCTTTCTGTGACTGTACCACCTCTCCGGGGCGTTCCGAGCGACTGGGACGATTCCCTTGACAGTCTATACCGACTCATCAGGCTACGCTATCGCTGGCTGGATTGGACAACCCTCTGGCGATGAAACGATCCCTACGAATCTGCCTACTCTCGTCAGACAATGGAAGAAATTACCTAGGCTCCGGCCTGTGGTTTTCTTTTCTAGAAAGATGAAGGACGCAGAAACTCAATATCCTATGCACGAACAGGAGCTTTTAGCTCTTGTCAAAATGTTGGTTGCCAACCGACCATAGCTCATCGGTCGTTACTTCCGATGTTTTAGCGATCACAAGGGACTCGAATTCATCCAAACGCAACCCCATTTGAGCAGAAGACAAGCCAATTGGGTGGAGAAGCTACAAGAGTATGATTTCAACATCCAGTTTTTACCTGGATGATGGAATCATATCGCTGACATGCTCTCCCGCAATCCAATCTATGCGCCTCGATGTGTAGATTGTCAACGACGCCTCGACATGCATACGCAGATCAGCAACATGCTTGTCAATGAACCTTCCTCCAACGCTACGACAGACGATCCACAAAAGTCACCTATCTGCTCAGAAGAAGCATGGAAAAAAGCGCTACGCGAAGATCCATATTTGGATTATCTGGATGAAATTTCTCAAAAGCCCCAACACGAGAAAACTTCGAAAGAACTCCGTTATACGTTCGAAAATGGATTAGTACGACATGAAGGACGTTTATACGTTCCTGAGGATATTCGTGTTATGGACGACGCGTCCATACCATGCGCTTACCTCATGACAGCATCCCAACAGTCAGTCAATGTCAATTCCCTGTCAAAACCTGACATCTGCCAAACCTCGCAGCCGCACGCAGCCGCGCTACCCCACACCTGCCACTGCCTTCATTTCTCCACGCAGCCGCACGTAGCCACACCTCCCAACACTCGGCGCTTACAAACCCTTCTCCATACTTCCCCACGTACCCGCCCACAGCCTCAGCGTAGCCACCCTCATCCCCAGTCTTCTGTTTCTATGCTTCCCCACCCTTGGCGCTTCTCTTGGCTTCCCTCTCATTCCGTACCCTTCTGCTTCCCCACGCTTCCCCAGCCTTCCCAGAAAAAGCATAAATAGCCGCCTCCCCTGAGCTCCCCACGTCCTGATCCCCCAGCAGATCAACACCAGTTCTTCCTAGTCTTGTTCTAGTTCTTGTTTCGGTCTGAATACCATTACCTGTCAACAACCTGCACCACAAGTCGCCTCTATTTCCATCGGCTCCGCCCATTCATAACAGTTTGATCTGCTCAACAACCCCCAGCCGCTGTACCTCCACGCCAAATCACCATGTCCGACGCCCTTCCCCTCACGGCCGAAGCCTGGCAAGCCATGTGCAATGCGATTGACGAACTTCGAGCGCAGAATACCACCCTAACAAGCCGAACTAGCGCAAACCCAGACCACTGCCCCTGCCACTCACGCCCCCGAACCCAAAATCAGTCTCCCAGACAAATTTGATGGCACCCGAAGCAAGTTCCGTGGGTTCCTCAACCAGATCCGGCTCATGTTCGCCCTCCAACCCAGGCGCTACCCCAACGATCAGACCAAGATACGAACTATTGGCACTTACCTCACTGGCACCGCCCAGGCCTGGCTGGCGCCCCTTGTCGAACAAGACCATCATTCCCTTACGAACCTGGATGATTTCATCCAGCAAATGCAAGCAGTCTTTGGAGACAGCGACAGGATCCGCACGTCCGAAAACAAGCTCCAGAACCTTCGACAAACCCGTGCAGCAACAGAGTATGTAGCTGAATTCCGACAGCTGCAATGCGATGTGTCGTGGAATGACCAGGCATTGATTGCCACCTTCCGTCGCGGCCTCAAAGAAGACGTCAAGGACTTAATGCTCACGATGCCCCCTACCGCCTCAATCGACACCGTGATGGAACAGGCCATCCAATGTGACAACCGATTGTTTGAGCGCCGTCTAGAGCGAAGCAGGAACCGACAGCCATATGTGCCAGTTACCACTAGCCCCACCCTCATGAGCCCCGACAACCGCCCAGACGACCCTATGGTCATTGACGCTGCTCGTCCGCGAGGACCCCTCACACCGCTAGAGCGCCAACACCGCATCACAAACAAACTTTGCCTCTATTGTGGTAAACCTGGCCACATAGCCAAACTCTGCCCAAACAAGATACGCACGGCGAATGTCGCGGTTAAGGAACCTGCACCCATCCAGGATTTTGCCCAAGTCCAGCTGCAGTAAAGGCCGAGCAGCTGGGCAACACCTGTCCTGGGCCTTCTCACCACGCAAGTACTGCCAAGGGAGAAGCCACAAAACCTTGCTCCGATCCTGGCATCTCCAGCAACACCCTTCTCCTGACCACCAACAATGTCAATCTCCGATCTGAGATACCCTCACCCATGCGGATTTTGGGCCCATCCTCACCATTCGAGTACCCTGTTACCCTGCAGATATCGGCCCAGCGAGCTCCAGTTCAGCTTTCAGCACTACTTGACACCGGTGCGATGTCGTGCTTCATCGACGAAAGTTATGCCCGCAAGCACCGCATCCCACTTGTCAAGAAGGAGGACCCCATTGCGCTTGAACTGGTTGACGGACGTCCCAGCCATGCGGGCTCCATTACCCATCACACCCAACCTTTGGGCATGTGGGTCAACGACCATTTTGAGGAGGTGGTATTCCATGTGACATGTTCCCCGCATGCGCCAATCATCCTGGGGCTTCCCTGGTTTGAGCTCCATGATGTGGAGCTACACTGGAAGACTCGCACTCTTTGCGTCCGCTGCCATTGCGGTTTTGGACAATACGCCTCCTGGGATGCCCTGCCAACAGAACCTAGCCCGAAGCCCTCAAGAACCCCTGAACCTCTGATCCGTATCCATCAAGACGAGATTTCAGTCTCCCTAGCCCAGACACCCAACACACTGGACCCAGCACCCACACCGATCCACGTATCGTTTATCAGCGCCCCAGCTTTCCGTGTGGCGGCAAGGCATGACCAGGCATTCATTGCCTACGCCAATCCGACCAAGTCAGATTCCCAAGCCCTGGCGACCACTCCTCCAAAAGATCCGAAGGCCATCATTCCTGAAGAATACCAAGATTTTGCGGACGTCTTCGCCAAGAAGAACGCGGATACCCTCCCAGAGCACCGACCCTACGACTGTCCCATCGACTTAGAAGAGGGCAAACAGCCACCGTTCGGCCCGATCTATAGTCTCAGCGAGCCTGAAATGCAGGCACTCTGTGACTACCTTGAAGAGAACCTAGCTAAGGGGTTCATCAAGCACTCCAAGTCTCCCGCCGGTGCCCCAGTCCTCTTTGTCAAGAAAAAGGACGGTTCCCTCCGTCTGTGCGTCGACTATCGTGGACTCAACAATATCACCATCAAGAATCGCTATCCCTTGCCCTTGATTAACAGCATCATGGATCGTCTTCGAGGGGCACGCCGGCTCACCAAGATTGACCTCCGGGGAGCCTACAACCTTCTTCGGATCCGGCCAGGGGATGAATGGAAGACAGCGTTCCGATGTCGCTACGGCCTATTCGAGTATAATGTCATGCCGTTTGGGCTCACCAATGCCCCTGGAGTATTCCAACACCTCATGAACGACATATTCCGTGACATTCTCGAC